GGGTGCATAAGGTGAATTGCTGTCAGAAGGACTTGGGGACTGTGACATAGGTAATAGGAACGTGAAGGAAAAGATGGGGGTGATAGACGTACTCGAGATGATGAGCTTTTCAAGCACTGATACTTGAAATTGACATGGAGCAAGATTTACGCTCGTTGGAGCCGTCCACCCTGTTTGGAGTATTAAAATGGAACATACCATCATGTCGTTATATGAACCCTTGCAGTGTTTCCGAAAAGAACGGAGATATGGTGTCAGGAGCAAAGGTACTGAGTGCGAGCCAAACTCTGAGTCGGATCTCATCACGGAACTTGTAGCATCATTGTAATGTCTGAAAGTTGAACAACAGCTCCTCACTGACATCAATGATCGAGGGTGGTGGTATGTTGTGGACTTGACTCTGATCGTCCAATTCAGTGTCCTTTCAAAATTGTGACCACATGTCGATAACTGCGATGCAAGAGGGCAGGTGAGTATGGTGAATATTTAGATGTACATGCAGTGATTATCACTTCACTTCAAGCATCCTCACTGAGATTGAAATTGAAATAGACCCATCAATTTCGTACCCCACCTTGGAAGCCTTTATGGTAAAGCTCGACAATGATGAGCCAGCGCGACAATGGCCAGACTTATTCCTCACCCCTTTGAAACGGACGGGAGCGAGGACACTTGATGATGTTGTGGATATGTGCATCGTGTCACCCACAATGCTCTCCGTATTTTTTGGGCTGTGCCCTATGATGATCATGGATTTTTATGTCCATGTCATTGACACTATTAATGCGCTGCAGCACACAAAGTTAGTATAATGCAAGACTGAAAGGTAAGAAACTTCACCTTCAGAAAGGATTGCGCACTGATCCTTAATATTCTAGGACTAAAATAGTGTAGATTAGCGCAAAATTTAATCAAATGTATTGGGTTTTATACTGAACCAAAATTAATTGGTTACAGTGAACCGTCCCCACTTCTCATCAGAGGGACCTGCCAGCAAATCACCATTATTTGACCACCGCAAAGATGATCCTGTTAGATTTGCCCATCTCAGTTCTTGCTCGTCTGGTGGCTGACCTTCCACCTACCCCCACATCTTCCGCCATCATCAACTTCTTCCCACACCCATTTGATGTCTTCTAGTTTCACCCGTTCTTCTGGCACAACCAACAATTCTTCCGTGTCATCGGCATGATTTGATAGCAAACCTCGGGAGGATCCTAGCAACAATCCATTCGCAGTTCAACTCAGAGGCTGTACCACAGTATATCTACACTCGAAACCAAGATCCTCAATGAAGACCCCTGAAGACCTCGTGGATGAAGGTCGCATTGTTCCAAGGAAGAGGGCGTGAAGTTAGTGATGAAGACCCTCCAGCTGCGTCCAGCAGCACAAATGGACGAAATTGATCTCAACCATAAATGGTATGTGACCTCTTCGATCTTCATCATGATATGATTGATTGAAAGTATGCAGAGTCGCTGAGATGATGCATAATCTGATGGAGATCTCCCTTGCCTTGAGCATTCCGGCTTCCCTCCGTGTTATCCCGGGCAAGTACAATATCATCATCCATTCCATAAACTCCTCAAGGCCTTGAGACGTGCCTCTTTTTTTTTCCGCCCTAGCTTTTGAACGCCTCCAAGATTTTATATATTAGGCTATGGACGTATAGCTTCAGGTATCTAGTCTATAGTACATATGTGTGTAGTGCTTCGGCACTTTGTGACAAAATACTACCACAGGCTCATCCCATCACTTGCTACACGATCCCAAGTATCACGAGGGCTCTTGGCAGTCACAATAATACAAGGATCGTCAAGACCATGCTCCAGCAGCCATTTCTCCACAGTGCTAACTTCCTCTGTCACACGCAAAACCAATACCTCCAGGATAACACAATTTGCAAGGATCATTTGGAGTGAGGCTGGCGCTGTCTGCTTCGTGAAAACTCGGGAGGAAATATGTGTGAGCTGGGTCAGGCAAGGTATGCCGATTGGAGAGCCCCCAAAGCACCCAGCCTTCCAACAATTCAAGATGAGTAACGTGGCTGAATATAGGGATGGATGGCAGAAACGGCCTAATGGCTGTCCCGCGGAAGACAGTCGATAGTTGAATGGACAGCCATGACAATGGCAACCCATTCAATGCCTCCAATAGAAAATCCGGCATAGCATGGTTATCCCCCTCTGGAAGAATCCAGAGGGCAAGGCTGCAAACACCACTACAAAGGTGCATGACCTCTGCCGCTGTTGCAAGCTGCACTGTACCGCACAGGCAGAGTGATTTGACATTTTTAGAAGCAAGTGCCAGTCGAGAACGAAGTGAGTCAACGAAGTGACATGCGCGTGTCTCGTTCGTAAGGATGATGGTGTGATATATCAATCCTTCAGTCCTATCCGCATCCTGTAAGTAGCGACTTCAGAACATTCCGGGACTTGTACTCACCAGTTTTGAACTCGCTGGGCAACCAGTAAACATGAGCGCACATCATTTGCAGGGTGCATGCATGCAGCAAGTCGGAAGACTTTTCGTTCAATCTCGTATGGCAGACACAGCATATCAATGTCAGGTCAATGTTCGAATATTCAACCGCTTGGACTCGGAAATACTGGTTAGTTTCATGTGTAATCCTGACGCCCACCTTGACAATTCACAGCTTCCGACTCGGAGTCGATTCAATGCGGATCTTGTATCAATGACACATTCCCGATTGGAAATTCCACTACGTCCTACCTAATTGCACTAGTGCAGGGCCAACCCCGCAATGCGTGCAAGCCTAACCACACCTGAGCGCTGAGCACTGAGCCGTCAAAATCATCATATCAGCCTTATAAAGGCGACGTTCCACTAAATGATATCATTGTGGTGCTGTGCAAGCCGCTGTTAGTTTTTGACCATCACCGGCAAACCTAGTACTACTCACATACTCATTCATTGCGATGCCTTACTATGATCCAGACCAAAGCTCTGAACACAGCTCACGAGGCTCAGGTTACAATGACGTGCATCAGAAATCCTGGGAGTTGAGGACAACATCGTGGAGGATGGCGCTTTCCAGCCAATGGTCAAGGAGCACCAGCAGACTCCCAAGGAAATTACGTCTACACCCGTGAAACCACTGGAAGGTCCTGGTGTTCAAGGGGCTTTAGATTCTGCAAAGTCGCGCTCACCATCATCAAAGGTGCACCCAGCATTGCATCACTGGCAGGAGACGACTCGGAAAATCATGCTAGTAACCAGGTGCGTATGCCGGTACTCATTTCATAAATTATGAACTGACAACAAAGATGGCTCGAAAACCATGTTTCCTAGCATCCTGTCAATATCCCCACATCAATTTGAAGCGTAGCACTGTCAGGCAACGAGTCAAACTCTGATGTGAAATCCGATGCAGTGAGTCTTCTCTTACTCCGTTGATATAAAATCATCTGCTCACACTTGTGCTCAGAGCCGCACGCTATCGCTGACAATATAGCGAACTCCCTGCACGTGCAACCACCCACCAAGAAGCGGCGGGTCACTTTGTCTGAGCAGTAAAACTATATCAAGGCTGCGGATAAAGTGGATAGAAGTCATAGAGAATCGAAAAGAAATCGTCGCGGTGGCTCTCGGGAAACAGACTGCCTGTTCCTGGCACGGCTAGTATGCGTTCTTGAAGCCGTATCTCGGTGATTTAATGGATGCACCTGGTGGTCAACACTGCACAATCATATTGGATTGTATTATATTGTTTATATCTCCACGTCCTCATCGGAAATGATGGTAATCCATGCACCATGCAACCCCTTGTCTTCATGGCATACTCGTTTGATGACGTTCATTGACGACGGGAACACATTGATGAGACGCGGTAGATATATCACACCGTGACAATGACCTAGCGCAAGACTAGCGTATTGTGGAATTTGCCGACTGAGTTTGAAAAATGTGTAAATCAAAAATTCGAACTTTGGTTTTTGTTCCTCAGGTAGTACCATAGGGATTATCAGTCATGCTCATTCCAAAGACCGATACGAGCACCATGCGCGGCTCCCCATCAGCGGGACACTTTCAGCTGCTTAGGCACTGATCCGCGAACATCAGCCGTTAACTTGTGTCTTTTAGGTCCCTGAGCAGGGCGCCCTGGGAATCCTCATTTTTTCTTTGCTGTGGGTGAGGCTGCCCTGCTATGGCTGGAGGTCTCCATGCGAGCTTCGATGACCCCGCAGCAATGATTTGAATACTTTCTGAATTTCACGCCAGAGTAAGTATCTCTACTCTCCCTCCTTGTTCTACAGCCGCTAACACCTCTTCGCACAGTGTTTTTTCAACGCTGTGGGCTAGCCATGCTGACTGGGTGAGGTGCGGACTAGAACATATTGTTGAGTGCGTCCTTTCTGTTCTTTTTAAATGTGAACTCACTTGAACATTCAGCGCCGCCGCCCAAGACCCCGTCCTCTTCCACTCCAGCATAGGCTACTACATGGATTACAGCCAACCCAGCACCATCACATGCCCAGACAGCACCATCGCATGCCCAGACAGCACCATCGCATCTATGTGGGTGGACCAGATGAGCGCGTCCGAAGATCCCAAGTCATTAGGACACGATATAAACGACAACATGTTGTCGTCTCACCCCTTGGCACTGTCTCGCATCCCCCTCGTTCGATCATGCCGATCTTTCCCCTCAGCAAGTTGCGAAACTCATGTCAAATCTTCTTTCCGAGTCCGTTGCTGAGACCCCCATCTTGGACCCCACGCAGCATCGGGTGCTTATTGCTGCTGTGCAGGCAAAGTATGGGCCCGAAATCGTCGCTCTTATCGTGCAGCGCATTTTCCCAACGTTGAGGTAAGGGCAGCGCGTTTACCACTTCCGTCCCATAATAATCCGAACCCTTTTGCGCAGCTTGCCTCCTGGGACTTCCCTGGTTCAGACGCTGATTCCGTTGGGTCCTGACATTACAAGCGATCCAGACACTGTCTGCGCTCTGCTCCAGCGCTTTGGCATTTCGGATGCTAATCCTCCTGGAGACGCTCAATTGGTGGAGATCGTGGGCTCGATTGGCCGCGGAGGGTACAACTCTATGTGACGTTGGAGCTTTGGTGAGGGTGTCGAGCAGCTACGTAAGTGTCGATTTGATCGAGATTTGCACATACTCACGTGTATGATTAGCACATTACTTTGAATTGGGCGAATGTTACAGGACCTGCCATTCCCGAATATGTCACCAACATTGACTCCTGCCGATGAATGGGTTTGATCCTACTCGTATGCAGGGTGAAACCCAGGTCATGCCGATTGGGCCTACACCGGCAGCTGAGCCTCAACGTGCTGTTGGGGCACATTGAATCAATTCTCTCGAGCTTGCAATGCAGCTTGTTGACCGTGCTGTCCGGGAGGTTAGTGACTGTACATTGATTTTCGCTCCATTAGTCTGAGGTGTCCCGCAGATCATTGTTCCAGTTGTTGAGAGGTCTGTGACGATCGCTCTCATCTCGCTACAAGGTGCGGCTGTGGGGTTTCAAATGCTGCAAAGGTTAAACTAATGCTGGTCTGCCCACAGTTCCTTCATGAACTGCCTTGCGGGTTTGATCTGGAACAGTTATCTTTGAAGGCGATGAGCTAGTGCATCGTTCTTTCCACTATGTGACCTCAAGTATTTCAAATATATCCAATTTCACGCCTTCACTACGAAAGTGGAGCTATTACATAGAGTGGCAGTGTTTCCCAGTACCTACTTCTTGATTCTCAACCGCTTCACCACTGACTATAGTCGACTGTTGGGAAATGATTGACTCGAAATGAACAACATTAGATATATCCTCTGCATCGTTCTGTGTCTGGCTTTGTGTCTTTTTACAATGGACCACCACCGCTGGGGATGTGGGACACCCTGTCTACGCCAGTTCTCTGACTACACGGGGCTTGGTCGACACCGTACGACTTGCAACCATTACAAGCATCGCGTGGATCTACAAGCCCAGAATTTCAAACGCCGAGCTCGTGAAGACCCCCAGCACGTTAAGGCGTTTAAGAAGATGAAGCCCTCTATAGCGGATGAAGACCAGGTATGTGATACTTATCTTACCGTCCACAGGTGATAGACTGATTGGTATCCAAGACCTCAGTGCCTTCATCCTCGACAATCAACCATACTCCCCAGATACTGGATCAATCCCATGGTATCGCTCCCTCCCCATCCGTCAACGATTCAATCGGCTGCAATCCAACTAGTTCTCCTCCCCCAGACCCTTCCAACACTCCGGACTGTGATCATGGTTCACGCCCAAGGCGCATGCAGCGACTCCCATTGCGATATAGGGATGAACTTCCGGAAGCACCACTACCTGTTGCTCAGGATCCACCAACCTCGCGTCCTACCCGCATAATCCTTCATGTTTTCGACTACATCAGCACATGTTTCAATAAATTTGGTATTGCTCGCCAATATCGTCATCGCCCTTCGTATGATCCAGATGCAATTGTATCGGCTGATGACCTCTCTGACCTACGTCCTGCCGAATCCCATGTTAGTGACTGTGGCATACAGGATGGCGAGGTGTCCTCGGGTGACCCTTCACATCCACCACCCTGGCCTTGGAAAAACATGTCAGTCTGGAGGCTGATGTCGTGGTTGGTGACAGGAAGCGATCGGAAGTCGATGGCAGAGGCCAAACGTCTGGTCAATGACGTGATGCAAGCAGAGGACTTCAACGTTGATGATTTCGAGCACTTCGACCCCAACGCTCAGATGAAGAATCTTGATACATCTGAAGATAGCGCCGACACCACGGACATTCTGCAGCGAGACGGCTGGAAGCAGTCAGATGTAGAGATTATGGTGCCATCAAAGGAGAAAAATCCTAGAGGGAATGGGCGTGTATTCTCAGTTTCTGGGCTCTTCTACCGGCCACTCATTGCAGTTATCCAAGCTGCATTCTCGGAGAAGTCTTCGAAATGGTTCCATCTAACGCCTTTCAGGCGTATTTGGAAATCACCAGTCACAGGGCAAGAGCAACGACTTTACGATGAGCTTTACACCTCAGACGCATGGCTTCAGGCTCACGATGAGTTACAGAAACAAAGAAGGGACAATAATTGCAAACTGGAGAAAGTTATTGCAGGTCTTATGTTCTGGTCCGACGCCCCCACCTAACTCAGTTTGGGAGTGCATCAGCATGGCCGATATATCTGTTTTTTGGGAATCTATCAAAATATGTTCGTTCGGATCCTAACTCTGGTGCTTGCCACCCAATAGCTTTTATTCCCACTGTAAGCTTTCTAGACGTCTGTCAACCGGAGATGTGTCATTGATTCGCACCCTGTGTAGCTACCGGACTCAATTACAAGCTTTTTATCCACCTTTTTACAGAGGAAGAACTACAGCGATATACTTACACATTGCAAACGGGAGCTGTTCCATGCGGTGTGGTGCATCCTCCTGGATGATGAGTTTGTCGATGCTTACGAGAACGGCATTGTGATTAAGTGCTATGATGGGGTGTATCGACGTGTCTTCCCTAGTGTCTTCCCTAGGTATTCACGTATTCAGCAGACTATCCAGAGAAGCACGTCTACTCTCGTCCTCATCTCTTTTTTGACACTGACTGGGTGTTGATGCTCGTAGAGTCCTCCTAGCCACCATACGTGATAAAGGGAATCGGCCATGCCCTCGCTGTCTGACTCCAAGTCAATGTTCAACCGCATTGGATTTTGCATGACGTCTCGCAAAGAATGAACCAGCTACGGACAATGTTACCGAGAAAGTGGCCAAAGCCCGCAATGCAATATATATGCACGGTGCTCCATCAAGGGAGCCCTTAGTTGAGAGTATCCTGAAAGATCTTCATTGGTGCCTACCGTGTAAGTGTGATGCTTGGCTCTCACACGTGGACTGACATTTCTCCAGAATAGCTTCGTAGATCGCCTCTCATCATTTGGTTTTAACATTTTCCCCGCCCTTGTGGTCGATTTGCTCCATGAATTCGAACTCGGAATATTGAAAGCAGTAATGACACATTTGATGCGGCTACTCTTCGCACTTGACCCACGGAAGATTGTCATCCTCAATGAAAGGTATGGCGTTCTTTTGGCTCTGATTGATTCTTATTTTTGATGCCTTCGCACACCAGATTTCGGTTAATACCTTCCTTTGGGAAAGGTTCCATTCGTCGGTTCCCCGAGAATGTATCATCGATGAAACAGCGAACGGCTCGACATTTTGAAGATATGCTGCAGGTAAGTCTCTACTATCTCATGCGCAACTCACATGCATTCTGACCAACTTATTCATTCCAGTGTGCAATACCGGCTTTTGAGGGGCTTTTCCCCGGAGAGCATGACCATGTCATCAGGGTCCTTCTGTTTCGCATGGCGGAATGGCATGCCCTTGCAAAGATGCGCCTTCATTCTGATGATACCCTGAACTTGCTTGGCCAGTCGCTTCGAAGACTGGGAGCTCAGCTTCGAAGGTTCAGCAAGTTTACTTGTTCAGCCTTTCGCACTATGGAACTTCCGAGTGAGGTGTCTGCACGTCACAGGAGACAACATAACGGGTTTGAATCTCAGTCCAGACCAAATACGGCTGACCGAACAGGACCTCGACCAAAGTCGTTCAACCTGTTTACGTACAAGTTACATTCCCTCGGTGACTATGTGCAATCGATACGAACATTTGGCACTACTGATTCATATAGTACTCAACTGGTCAGTGTATTTTTCAAATGTGCATACCCGTAAAGCATGTCTCATTTTGGATGCAGGGAGAAGTTGCACATCGCCTCATCAAGAAGTTCTACCGGATGACCAACAAACAGGATGTTCCGAAGCAAATGGCAAAACATGAAAGGCGGCACACACATATCAGACGGCAGCAGCAGGATCTCGAAATAGACTCCGAGGAACCTGTCGAGACATTGCCAGAACTTCACCACCACCTATCGGATTCATGGGTCAATGTTATCAACCTCGCAACATTTCTACATGACCATTCATCTGATCCGGCAGTCAAAGTCAGAGTTTGTCCTTCGTGCACCTCATTTGACAGATACTGATACTGATACTATATACTATACTAGGACTTCGTTCCGAAACTCAAAAATCATCTTCTAACTCGCTTGCTGGGTCTCGAATATGATGGTGACGAGCATCAGTTTTCTGATCCCGAGAGAAATGAGCTGCGTTTCATTGATAACCTCTCTCGAGTCCAGCAACCACGTCGTTTTCAGGTCAATTATACTACCTATGATGTCCGGCGTGACCAAGACTCCATGCGACCCGGATTTAATTGCACTGTCATGACACTATCAAGGGAAGAGGACGAGAACGCACACCCTTTCTGGTACGCGCAGGTACTACGTGCCTTTCGGATACAGGTGTTGCATACTGGATCGCAAGCTCGAAACCGTTCATCTCAAAGTGTCGAAGTTCTTTGGGTTCGATGGCTCGGGGTCGATCCTACTTATCATTGGGGCCTTAAAGAAGCACGCCTACCCAAGGTTGGATTTGTCCCTGAGACTGATGATAATGCCTTTGGCTTCCTCGACCCATCACTCGTTATCCGCGGCTGCCATCTTATTCCAGCGTTTTCAGAGGGGCATTCAAATACTCTTCTCAGACGGGGTCCTTCTCTCGCAAGGTTTCAGCATGAAACTGATGACTGGGAGTGCTTTTATGTAAACATGTGAGGAATGGCCCTCATCGCACTACAGCCTACACTCACTTTGCTCCATAGTTTTGCAGATCGAGATACTTTTGCACGATTTGCTGGGATTGGTGTCGGACACGAGGTCCAGTACACATCTTCGGCAATCAGGCAACATTCCAGCAAGTATCGGGATGACTCTTTCAGCTGCGGAGATGAATCATCAGACGAGGAAGACACTGTCGAGGATGGAGATGCCAAGGAAGGTGATGTTCAGGAAGGCGATGTTCAGGAAGATGATGGCGAAAGTGATGGCGGCGAGGACAGTAACAGTACTGATGATGAGCCTGAAGAGTCAGACTCGGACGGGGAGGAGGATGGCAGTGATGACGACGACAACCTATACAGATTTTAATGCATAGACTGCTGCTTACAAACTGCTTGGTAAAACTGGTGTCAATGAACTCCTTGACGTCACTCAGTATGTTCCTGGCCACTTGTGTTAACACCCTCTATAGTACTCTACTAGTACTAGTATACTACCTGTAATAAAACTTATCCCTTATAGCGGAAATTGCCGGTTGTGACAGCTGTTGTTTGTTGACAGCCGCGATCATGGATAAGGCTCGGAACTCTGCCGTGTATATATAAGTGGAGTTGACTATGGTGCCACATCAAGCACGCTAGCATGCCTCTCTCACCACGCCGAGCACAGAGCAATAATTTTGGGGGCAGAAAAAATGCAACACCCTACAAAGGGAGTTCTCTTGGAACTAGCTGCCCTCAGCTCCTCAAAAGGACTTCAATATCTCCGGCGGCCCGTTTGACTGCAATCCCATCTTCAAGTCCTATATCCTTGAACCACAAATTTCATGGTTTTCAAGTAACAACACCCCCAGCAAAAGTGCCCAAAGTTGAGATTTCCAAAAAGGATGGTAAGTTTTTCCCTTTAAACATTCACACCTGCCAGTGGGTTGAGCTAAATGTTTGTGATAGTTTTACATGGGCAGATTATCGGTTTTCTCAGAGGAGAAGGACAACCTGAGGACACCAACGCTGATTTCAAGGTATGAGGCCTTGAGGCTCAGACTCCCACGATAATTCCGCATACTTACTTGTCCCATAGATCTTCTCTGACGTGTCAATCGATGATTACGAGTTCATCATCGAGGCCATCGCCGAAGATGATAATAATCAATTCAATCGATACAAGTAAGTCCGTGTGCGATAATCCGATAACCATTAACAACTCTTTCCCGCAGACTATCACATTCCCCGTCATCCAACCAACTGGTCGCAACACTGCCTACTCCACTTCACGAGAACCTTCTCAAGCCGTTGCGCGACACTATCGATGCTGTTCTCGCATCGATGGGTATCGATGAGGCGCTCGGCAACTTTATAATCCAGATGAACACGACGCTCAGAGGGGAGGGAGAGGGGGGGTCTACAGAGAAGGCCCTTGGTACCCCTGATGCGTTGGTAGAGTTCCACGATGGAGACGGAGGCCGTCTACAGCTTTGGGGGACCGAGATTTCGTTTTCGCAGGCTCGGGATGCCGCCATCGCCAAACTCCAACGCTCCGTCATATTCAACAAATTCATGCGGGCTGTCACACTCTTCGATGTCCTAGAAGATCAGCGCTACTCATCACCCTCAGAATCATCACACGCGTTCCAAACACTGTCGGAGACGGACAGGGTTGTACCGTACCGCAAATGGCTTCAAAAGGACGACTTACCAGTCTTTGGCCCAGTCACCGGCTTTACCCACAATTGGGTGTCGTCGCTCACCGTTGTTGTTACTACTTGGGTCCGTCCTGATGACGGACCGTTTGATCTCTATGATCAGGATCCGCGATATTATGCAACTGCTGTGAGTTCCCCTCCCCCCTCATGTGTAGTACTATCTAATTACAATGACAGCAATTGTGTCCTGACACGGACCTCGTGGGCCTCGACAACGTACAGCAATTGTTCCATCGTACATTCGCGAGCATCAGGGACACCACCATCAGCCACCTCGAAGACCTCATGGCAGAAGAGGAGGGATCCAGCGCCGAGTCCGACATCTCAGATGAGTCTGGCGATGAGGGCACATCCCACATGGCAGAGGCATCCGCCATTTCGGCGTCTCCTACCCCTGACCCCTTCCAGCTCGTTCGTACGTGGGTGCCTCCAATGTCGCCTATAGACTGGAAGAAAGTCATGGTCCAATTGCGGAACGCCGCACGACAGACGGGCTATACGCGTTACTCCACCTGGCACGAGAAGCTGATCAAACGCAAAGCTGAAGAGGCAGAAATATCTTCCAGATCCTCCAAGAGGACTAGACGTTCACGGTGATGTCATGGTAAGTTTAGATTATTCATAATCGGTCATTCACTAACGCGCGCTCAAGTTCTAGGATCGTGTATTCTACTGTACACTCGAATAGGCTTCCCATCATCAAGTTCTCTGTACGACTCGCCCACTACTACTTGTACTAGTACTGTTGTTTGTTTTGCACCTCATGTTTTTTACTACGTACTGCAGCCATTTTTTACTGTACCATTAGTACTACAATACACATGCATGTAGCTCGTTCAGTAATGTCTAGATCGGATCCGTATCAAAGCTTGCATTGATGCTTACGCCGGAAAAGTTTTGGTAAATAAGCGATAGCGCCAGCTAAAGTGGCAAAGCCCGCCTTTTCTCACGACATGCAGTGAAATCTCGATGCTTAGAGCGTGGATCTAACTGTAGACACTCACCATATGCATACGGAAAATGTCTGAGCAAAAAACCAGTACCCCACCCCTCCACCTCCACCTCCACCTCCACCTCCACGAGATCACGAGCCAATCTCATTAAGATTCTCTAACCGAGTCACTACTACCGAGCGATGGTACCGCACGCCCGATCGACGTATTCTCTTTACCAGATCCACGGCATATCACTTGAAGTTGACGGAAGTTTGATGACTCGCACTTGACCATATTTTGGTGTACGGGTGTTTCTATATGCGTCTTCTTGCACTTTTTATCTCTGCTATCTGGGCATTCATTGGTAGTTTCATGAGAGATAGAGACCAAGAACCGTCAGTGTGTTTTCTCGTTATTTTGACTACGCAAGCTCATCAATGTACTCAGTCTTTGACTGTTCTCACTTGTACCCCTCGTTCTCTCCGTCATCACTGCCAAACGCTTAGTGAATTTACCCCGAGAAATCTGTTCAACTTCCTCTATCCTTGACCTTACCACACAGCTTCTCATTACAAATCCTTTCCTTCTCACTCTCTCCCATGATGCTTCTCGCCATGCTAGACGCATCTATACCATCCATTACCCTGATCTTCCGACTCCTTTTGATCGGTGATGTCTTTGAACCCAATGGGACACTAGAAGGGTATTTTTGAGGGTGGGCGAACTGGGCGATCGTTGGTGCGGTCGGTGTGTGGCTTTGGAGCTGGTGTGTCGCGAAGGGTATGCTATGTACGATTTGTGCAGGTGTTGGCGCTTGAAAGTTTGCCGAGTAAGCGTTTTTTCTTCCTTGGTTTTTGTCTCGTTTACTCATGAGTCATGTCCTAGTCCCGATATTCCAATTCCACTGCCAGGCGATACTCACATCATTCATACCGCTCTCATGTGGGTGGCATGCCCATTCCTTGGATTGATTGCCCCCAACAAATAGGACTCCTTACCCCCTGTGCTGGATTCCACTATACCTCCCGCTCGCTCTGCGTCCATGGTGTCAGCCTATAATCATTGGTTCAGGCATGGCAGTCTCATCTTGTATACACTGGGTTGAACGGAGACCCCTTCTTTGCGAGCGCAAGGAGAACCCGGGCCCTCACTGCCGCTGTCAAGACTGCCAGTGCAGGTCGTTACCGCGAGAAATTGAGGACTGACCATATGTATAATTTTATGTTTTGCGATATCTAAGACAACCGATACAGGAAGATGAGCAACAAACGAAGCCATGGTGGTAGATTGAAAGAACGAGGGGCGCACAGTCGCAGGTAATGCTAGGGGCCCGAAAATAAAAGATCCTAAAACAACCAAAAGAGTGAGGTCTCGACTGATCGATCAGCACTGCCTCTGTCTATTCCAAGTAAAAACGCTGCCACGACAAAATCTGAAGAATCTACACCCAAAAGTTTCCCAACCGATGTGATAAGACCCACTACTCAAGGTAGCGGGAATATTGATCTTCCCACTAAGAAATGTGACGAAACCCCCAGCTTTTCTCATTGGTGGAATTAGCGATCCACCCTTGTCAGACTATCCAATGCTATCTCAACAGCCAGAACAATGCTTCAGGTTTGCAGTTTGAATTTACTTGAAGATAGACTTGGTAGCACTTGGTAATGACAACAAAATTTGGCGCCTGTGTTACAAGGGTATTTCTTAGAGTATAATACTTCACCCGAGAACGACAGATTTTCTCATTAGTGTAATTAGTGTTCCACCCATATCAGACTATCCAATACTATCTCGACAATAGGCATGATGATTCAGCTTTGTAGCTTAAATAAGGCCATATCACGATATCAGGTTTTCAGTGGTGTCGTGTTTGTAGGACCAGGCTTGGAAAATACTGTACGCGATATCTTCATCATTCCATAGTGCATAAACAGACAAGTTGAAACACGTCATGCTGGATCCTGCTCAACATTCAACTTGAAGGTTTGCTGCTCATTTAGTGCCCATTCAGTACTCAGCAAGTACTCGCTGCTCCGAGCCCAGGGTATGCCCCGACTCCCTAAACTTTGATAAGTGCCAACGGTGGTGGCCAAGCTTGGAAGTCACATTCAAAAACACAGACTGCGACTTTTCTAATGCCATAGCTAGTTTGTGCATGATTGATCTGCAAAACCATTAAACCGTTACTCGCACACCTCCGAGTCCTCGTGGCAAGCAACATCCAACACAAGGTTTAAAGTTTACGTTTCAACCGTGTGTTGGCCAACGTACCAATTCAGCAACACGCAGATCCACCGCAGATCGGCTGGCAGCTAACGGCGTCAACTGAGCTCGATCTCTATTTGTCTCTTAGGTTCCTCCCGGACCACAGCATGCGCGCTTTCTCACAACAAGCAATCGAAGATGTGCCTAGCATCGTCACAAAACTAGGTAGCCGTGTGTTCTATCACTTATACCGTCTGGATTTTCAGTCTCCCGGCCGCAGGTGATTCCTTGGAATCAATAAATTAAATAAGTCAAGGAGGAATACATAAACAGCTTGCAGTTGGTCGTGTGAGCACATTACCTTGCGCAGAGGGCGGAGCAGTCGAACCTTGTGGGTAGAATCCAGGTGTCCAGTCACACTATGTAGAATCTCGGAGAAGCCAGGGCCAGTGGTCAAATTCACTCCTTCTGGGCCGCCGGAAAAGCTGTCGGAGTGCCATTGGGCTGGGGAATAGCTGGATTGGAATCGAGCTTGCCCGAATCACATGAAAATACTAAGGTTGGCGTCGATTGGCCTAGTATCCCAGTCAAGAACTGGAAGAAACCATAAATGCATGCGTATAAATGCTCACCCGGTGTAGTATAGCTCTTTTCACCCTTGCCTGCTGACAGGGTGCGTTCCAGTGATGCACGTATGCCAGCGATGAATGATGAATCAGATAGCAAAGGAGCGTCAGCCACCGCTCGCTCAACAATGGGATAGCTGAGAAAAGTAGGCCCGGCCATCAGCGCTGGCCAAGCGGCAATGAGCGGACGAACCGGTCTATTTCCCCTAACAGTTCACGCTGGATAGCATCGTTGGGCATAGAAATCAGTTTTGGGTCAGAAGATAGCCGCCGTCGTGCTATGTCATCAACACGAGATTTAAAGGCCTCAGTGCGGTCCTGTCGCCCGGTTAAACGGCCGTGCCACGTATGTATTGATGATAACTCACACTGCGTTGGAAATGTGACAAGAGATCACGTCGCAGGCGGTCAAATTCGCCAGATTTTTTGAACCTGTGATGCTAGCTCTTGAGTATATAACACTAGTGGCATATAAAGTGACTGACTCGTCTATTAATTGGGTTGGATTGGTGATGGTCATAATGCAAAGGGTGCATGGCGCTGAAGAGCCTGAGAGATAACGAGATGACGACGGTCAAGGTGAGAAGGAAATGAAGACCCCGATTTGGTCATAAGCAGATCACGATCACTACGCCCAAACAAATTCCAAGTTGGCCAGTCTCAGATCTGACACGTACTACGAAAAGCCAATATTCCTTCTCAAATGGCACAAGAGTTTCCGATTCTAACAAATGACCTACTCCTCCGCGCAGCTCGTGGCGAGCAGACAGAGCGCGCACCCGTATGGGTGATGCGTCAAGCAGGGAGATATCTCCCAGGTACGCCATCCAGACACCCTCAGATCTCTATCCAACCCACCCTAAATTGCACCAGAGTTCCGAAAAACTCGTGAAACCCATGAATTCTTCGAGATATGCCGCTCGCCTCCTCTCGCAACTGAGATCACCATGCAGCCCATCCGGCGGTACGCCGGCCTTCTCGATGCAGCTATCATCTTCTCCGACATCCTCGTCGTACCGCAGGCCATGGGTATGGAAGTGATCATGAACCCGGGCCCGCACTTCACCGACCCATTGAACACGCCCGCAGACATCGAGAAGCTACCCCGCGAGGTAGACGTAGACAAAGAGCTTGGCTATGTGTTCGAGGCACTCACCCTCACGCGGAAGACCCTTGCGGGCCAAGTTCCCCTCATCGGCTTCACCGGGGCGCCGTGGACACTTATGATGTACATGATCGAGGGCGGCGGAAGTCAGACGCGTCAGAAATCAAAGACGTGGCTCTTTAAGTACCCAGAGGCTTCAAAGCAGCTCCTGGAGCGCATCACAGACATCTGTGTGCAGTATCTCATCGGACAGGTGAACGCCGGCGCACAGGTTCGTCCGCATCTGTCTTGTTGCGCATCAGGACAGTGAGATCACAAAAACTAAACTATTACTACCAACAGCTTCTGCAGGTATTCGATTCGAATGCTGGAGATCTGTCGCCATATGACTTTTCTACGTTCGCTCTGCCTTACCTCAAACGTATTGCGGACGAGGTCCGCATCGGTCTCAGGGCGCGACAGCTCCCTGTCGTCCCTCTTACCTTGTTTGCAAAAGGCGCATCCCCATCCCTCGCTGCAAGCGCCGGATACGACACCATTGGCCTCGACTGGACGATTGACCCTCGGGATGTCACCAAGCTCACTGATGGCATGATTGACGGCAGAACCATCACTTTACAAGGCAACCTCGATCCCGTGGTGCTCTATGGCGGCAGAGAAGCCATCGAGCGCGAGGTGAAGAGGATGTGCAAGGCATTCCATGATGCTAGGGGCGGTGCATGCAAAGCATGGATTGCGAATTTGGGTCATGGCATAACACCAGGCGTTGATCCAGAAGATATGAAGTTCTTCCTGGAGTGTGTTCACAAATACTCGACAGTACCGTCTTCATGACGTGAGAGGGGCAAAAGAACTTTTAATTGTACCAATAGAAGCTTTATTTCACGCTGCTAACAGGTATGTATATCATGAACGCGATCGCCTGCTCTCGCATATCATTCCTAATGGGACGGAAAGGTAAATGAGGTCAAAGCTACATGATATGAATGCTCGATGGATGGATGATTGGGGGAAATGTGGACAGTGCAGATATCGAAAGATACTGAGCCTATACAACGCCAGAAAGAAGATTCACCATTAAATACACAGAGCGAATGAAGATAATCATCGTTGATAACGAAAGCGCGAGAACTGACTGAACTTGAACGCAAAAAAGCAGGAATACAGTTTGCGGCAGATCCAATGCTAAGTCTATGCAACGACATCTGCAGCGCTAAAGCTGCTTCTTCTCCGTCTAACGGGTCGTGGACCAGGGCGTTGTGTAGACTTTGACGGAGGCATGACGATGGCAGAGGCTCCTGCCTTCATCCAGGATTCAGGTTTGCCTGTCCGTCTGTTTGGTAGTTCTGCCAGCGAAGGTGCAGGGTTATGTTTCTTGGTGAGCGTCGGTAATCGCGAAGGGGTAGGTGAAGGGGGTTGGGGTACACGGCGCGCTGATGGGGCACCAGGCCCTCTTGCGGCAGCGGCAGCAGTACTCCGCGCTGTTGCACCACCAGCCAATCGGGGTATCTTGTTAGGAGGTGGTGCTGCCGCTCGACTGTTCCTGGCGGCAGCAGTCTTCTGGTGTACGCTTGTCGCGGATGACCGTAGCACCCGCGTCGGGCGCTGTTCGGATGCTGTACCTCTTGCGCCCGAGATTCGGGTCGTTGTCCTAGCGCGAGGCCGGGCAACGGGTGGTGCTGCTCCAAGAGCAGGGAGGGTATCATCCATCTCCACATCTTCTTCTTCGTCGGATTCAATAGCGACCCGTTTTGCCATAGGCGTCTTGCGCGGCTGTCCTGGCGGAGGTGTCTCACGCGTCCTCGCAGCTACGGCAGCACGACCGGGGGTGACAGGTGGTACAGGTACAGGGTCTGTGGGTGGCGTCAATGATCTGGTTTCGTGCATGACTTCGTCTTGCTCCGCAGGAGGTGTGGCGGGAGTCACAACATGTGTGGCGGCTGCGACTGCAGCTGCCTGCAAGCGCCGAATCTCATCCGCAGCGGACCACTTGGCCCATTGGAGCTGCATCTGGTGCATGTAATGTTGCTGTGGACCAACAACACAACCTGGCCTGACGATGCGCATAAACGCAATCGCCTCTGATGCTGTAAAGCCATACTTCCAGATAAGATATGCCCCAATGAGGCATCCAGTGCGTCCGAGCCCCGCTTTGCACTGAGGATCACATAAATATGTCAGAACAATGGCAAAAATACATTTGAAATAACCCACGTGTACAGCAACGACCCCACCGCCCTCAATCACGGCGTCCGCCACATCAATGAAAGTGCGGACGATTTCGTCTGACGGATTTGACCCGTCTTCGAAGCAGAGATCAAGGTGTTTGATTCCGCGATCCAAAAATAGCTGTTTATCGTAGAGTTCTGCATTGAGACGGACGACGAGGTCGACTTTATGCTTCTCGAAATATTCGAGGCAATTGCAGAAAGCGGAATTGAGTTTACGTTGTAGAGCGAGTTTGCGAGGTGATTTTGGTGAAGCTACACCGGGTCGCGCAGGGGATGCAGGGACTGCTGCTGCTGCAGTCTCGATATCATTCTTCTGTTTGGTCCACGCATAATCTCTAGGTGAAGCAAATGCGATGAAGTTGGGTGTTATCCAGTTCCAGTCACCATTCTCGACCTTCTCATAGAATTCGTAGTCTTGGAGGTCGAATATATCCAAGTCGATAAGGCGGTTTTGAATTCCTTTCCAGAAACCCCACAAACAGTCGTGAATGCTAAGGTTGAAGGTTGAAGGACCACGACCTGCGTCTCTGAAAGACATGAACTCTAGTTCGCTTATGGGTTGGAAGCAGCGCCACGGGGTGTAATTATGTACGATCAACTGAGAAGGGGTGAATACGGTAGGATGTTAGGAGATAACGAGTCGTACCATGTACAGGGCCATCAACAGGGCAGCATTAGCTTTACGACGTGGATCATCGGAAGAATAGAGAACGAGACGGTGCGAGCTGAGATCTTCATCCTGTGGCGATCATGATCGCGTGCCAACGATCGAGGAGGAATGGACGCGTACCTTCAAAAGGCCGTGAATTAATAAACACGCCTTGTAGACCATTGCAAGGTTTAGTGGGCCCCAGTCCTGATAGAATGAGGTGTAGAGTAGTTGGTCGTCGATTGTAAAGTAGTAGTAAACAGCGTCATCGTCCGGGGAGGGGACTGAAGGACCAAGTGGTGCACCCATGTGGGGTTGGGGGCGAATCTTTGGAGCATTTCCTGAGTTTGAGGTAGCACTATTGAGTGATTGGGGAGATGGTGCGGGGTGGGGGAAGGTGGTAAAATAGAGTCTAGATATAATATTAATTCAGAAATTCGGACATGACCCGGTCGTGAGCGGACTTGCCTGTCTCCGAAATAACAGAGTGGTGCGCAGGCTGGTGCCATGAGAGGAGCTCACCGTTGTAAGCGTTGACTAGAGCGGTAGAGAGCCTCGTGGTGGTCAGAGAGAAAGACGCGGTTTGTGAGGGCAGGAACAATTGCCGCTATCAAGCCTCGAGGAAAGAACCACCTTACAAAAGGAAATGAGTCCCGTGACCGTCGCGTCACCAAACCTCTAGTGGCCACAATTTGCTTTCTTTACTTCATTCCTTTGTTCTACTTCTTTAACTTGAAATGTATTCCCATCACTTGCCACAGACAACTTCCAGACTCATAAAGAGATTATCTCCAAAGACAACCAGAATCCCAGCTCCTTGGCAAAAACAGCGCGTCTGCAACGAGGCAACCCGCAAAACAACGTGGGATCCATCTTAATGCGCGCCAGTGTCTATTTTCATGTTTTCTGGGGAGTAGAAAAGCCTAATACAATGTCAAGGAAGGGGTTATGGCCCCATTTCATCTGAATCGAGATAGACATCGTGAAGAACACGAGTCAGTATTAGATCTGATGATGGATTGGCGGGTAACACGAGGTAACGCAAAGGGTTTCATATTGGAAGCTTGAGACCGTCCGCAGTGCAGGTCCTGACCTTCCTGTAGCATTTCAGACTGCTTCTAGCTAGGAGAGAATTATGGTTGTTGCTAGGCTCATTTCCGACTGCAGCATGCAATGTCGACGAGCTCAATGCTCATAGTACTAGTATTCAGTGCACATACCATTAATCTTGGGCCAGTGAAATATCTTTGAAAATGAATGTCATCGCGTTGTTTGTTCTTGTTGAAGCACGTGTGTATGTATCGGAAACCGCGACGCCCGTCAGCACCACCTCGCCTGAGAGTCCACCACCAAAATCGTTTAGCTAGCAGTAATCCGTTGAATCACACATAAACGCGTTTAACTGTATCCATCATGCCCGAGGGCCAGATTTTCAAGGTGCTACCATTTTCTACCTGCTAATCACTCTGCACTAATCTCATCCCCGTGCCTCTTCATCCTAGGCCACTTACAGTGGTATTCCCGTGTTTGAGATGTGAGTCATTCATTCCACATTCAGCTCAGAGCTTCATTTATTCCTACGCGTCCAGGATGTGCAAGGGCGTTGCCGTCATGCGCCGGCGCGCTGACTCGTGGCTCAACGCGACTCAGATCCTGAAAGTCGCAGGATTCGACAAACCTCAGCGAACCCGCGTACTTGAGAGAGAAGTTCAGAAGGGCGAGCACGAAAAGGTTCAGGGTGGGTATGGAAAGTACCAAGGTAAGCGATCTCCGCGACTCCTTTCTGTGATCGCTTGAAGAACCCGCCCCACTACAGGAACGTGGATACCTCTTGAACGAGGTCTCGCTCTAGCAAAGCAGTATAATTGCGAAGCAGCTCTGCGACCTATCATTGATTTTCAGCCGGCGGCCAAGAGCCCACCTCTTGCTCCTAAACACCTCGTTTCTACGAGTACAGCGGCTCGTCCCCCGCGTCGTGCCGCTGCCGCTGCAGAAGCAGCAGCAGCCCTTGCTGCTGCTGCCCGCTCGCGTCGTAATATAGAACCCCCGGTTGAATCTGATCGCGAGATATTATCCGAACATGCATCAGAGGACGGATCTATGACCTCCTCGCCTTCCCGTGGCTCATCAAGTTCACGCACTCCCTCGCCCATCGGGAACAAGCTTGGGTCGAATGGCGCTGCTAAAGACCGCCGCGGTGGCAGTCGACGAAAACCACCACAGCGCCACATAGATGAGCGCTATGATGACGAGGGTTCAGAGGAGGAACCCACCCAGCCTAACGGCACGACTGACCCACGCGCATACGCAGACCAAATCCTCGAGTACTTCATTTCTGACTCAAATCAGGTCCCCCAGGTCCTCATTTCCCCACCGCCTGATTTTGACCCGAACACCGCCATTGATGATGACGGGCATACAGCATTGCACTGGGCCTCAGCAATGGGCCGCTTACGTATCGTCAAATTATTGATCACAGCGGGGGCAGAAATATTCAAGGTGAACAAAGCAGGCCAGACTGCGCTCATGCGAAGTGTCATGTTTGCAAACAACTATGATGTGCGGAAATTCCCCGAGCTGTACGAACTTCTTCACCGTTCTACACTCAACATCGACAATTATAACCGGACCGTGTTTCATCACATCGTCGACGTCGCAATGTCGAAGGGGAAGACACATGCCGCGCGGTACTATATGGAGACAGTGCTGAATCGCCTAGCTGACTACCCAAAAGAACTGGCGGATGTCATCAATTTTCAAGACGAGGACGGTGAAACTGCGTTGACAATGGCTGCCCGGTGCCGGAGCAAGCGCCTTGTGAAACTTCTCATCGATCACGGCGCTAATCCAAAGATCATCAACAATGATGGCAAGAGCACTGAAGATTACATCCTCGAGGATGAACGTTTCCGTTCGTCTCCAGGCCCAACCTCACGCCTCTCATCGATGTCCTTCCGCAATGCCCAAGCGACTCTCGGTCCCACAACTTCCAATGCAATGACACTGGCATATCCTATGAATGGTGACAAGCCGCCGCTCCACCACTCTGTCGCAGGGCAAAAGGCCAGTACGCGCTGTGTCAATGACATCACGAGCATGCTCGACAGTCTCGCATCGTCATTCGACCGCGAACTGCAAGAAAAGGAGCGCGACATGACGCAAGCGCATGCACTTCTGCAGAACATTCAGCAAGAAATTCTAGAGAGCCACCGTGCTGTAAACCAACTCAAAACGCAAGCCGAGGGGCTGCAGCTAGCAAAGGGTTTGCTTGGGGAGTTGGAAGGACGCTTGCTTGACAAGATGGGGAGGCGGTATCGTTTGGGCTGGGAAAAATGGGTAAAGGATGAGGAGAACCGCGAGGCGTCTATACGGGACGCTGCTGATGGAGAGTTGAGGATCACAGCAGCGACGGTGCCTTACCGGACGGACGACGACATCGAGGAGGTTACGGATCCTGGGAAAGACAAGGGGAAAGGAAAGCGAAAGGCGTTACCCCAAGAGGAGAACATCTCAGACCTGTTGCAGTTATATGCTGAAGTGCCTACGGATCCAGAAGCACTACGAGCCGCCTGCGATGCCATACGAGATGAGATTGGGCTGCACAGGAAACGAAGGAGAGATATGTTTGACGAGATAGCGTCATTCCAAGCAGAGGCTGGGACTGGGGGACGGATGGCTGAGTATAGAAGACTGATTGGGGCAGGGTGTGGTGGAGTGATGCCGTCGGAAGTGGACAATGTGATTGGGATGTTGCTCGAGGTGATTACATTTCTTCAACCGTCAGCTGCATGTCTCACCCTTTTGCTGTAGACACTAGAATCTGAAGAACCGAGCGCGTCATCGACAGCATGGAGTGGGTCCAAAGCTGGACCGATGGGCTGACGACGTCTGGGTTTGCTGGGGCATTGGTAATTTATGTCGTTCTTCTCTTGTGTAATCATACCGAGCCTTTATTGCTGGATCTCGACTTCAATATAAATCAATCGCAAATCAATCGTTGACTCGCATGTTTCTCCAAAAATATGATTCTGAGCTCTCGAACTGTAGTCGTTCATTAGGCTGCTTTTCAATTTAAAGAAGGTGCACGCCTATGATGTGCATTTTCGTAATAAGATTGCTTAGTCAACTACTACTTTTCCTCCGACTTGTCTTGAACGCGTTGGACAGTCTCGGACTCGATGTCACTTACTCGTATACAGGTCCAGCGAGCTACTACTGTCTCTCCATGGACGAGAGATTTCCGGCATCTTCTCCCTGTCCCAAAACACTTCCAAAATAGACAAACTTGGTTCGACCCCATCACAAAGGCCGTACGCGTCAAAGACCGCATAAAATACTGGAACGTCGTTCCAGGTGACCAAATTTGCGTACGCGGGGACGCGCGCAAGACCATCCATGAGGTTCTCAGTATAAATAAATTTACCAACCGCGTCTATCTGAAGGGTGCCAACCTCGTGCGTGTTTTGTCATACTGTATGCACTAGTGTTCTCCGATGCTGACAGAGTGCTTTTGTAGCATGAGGGGAAACAATACAAGACCCCGGTCAACCGCAGTGTGCACTACTCGAAATGCATGCTCTACATTGGTGAACAAATGAGAAAGGCTACCTCAGTTGGTGAGCAGCCCAAGGCGATTTCGTGAGTGCTTACACCTGTCCGCATTCTTGCCTTTGACCGTAAATTGCCCACAGTGTGTTTGCGAGACGTATCGGTGTGAGAGATCCTCATTGGGATCCCATCCTTTACCGCTGGAACTGGAAACGTCTGGTGCTCGCTACTGATCCATATACTCCGAAGACAAAGGTCGAACTAGCATGGCCTCAACCGGAAGAGCGAGACCACCAAGAACGTCAGACATACCCCTTCTGTTTCTGTTTTATTTGCTGACTCCGGTGTGTTGTAGCTAATCCACTGTTGGACACAACGCCAGAGACAGTTCGGGAAATAACGTACAAACCACCCGTATTCAGTCTGTCCAACATGATTGGTCTTCAGAGCGGCGCCACCGAGAAGGCTTACCTCAGGACGCTGTTCAATCCGTCTGCCGTTGCTTTCGACCCATCAGCGCCGATGGAGGTACACCTTACGAAGGAGTTGAGCAACCCTCATAGCAGAGCGAAGAAGCAGGCGCGCTGGCAGGCTGCTGTAAAGCGCAAGAGCACACTCTTCAAAAAGTTCATTGCCCAGGAACTCAGGAACATTAATGGCCGGAGTATTCGGGATGCTCGAGCAGAAGCTGCTTTCAAGTACCGACAGAAATTGGAGGAGGAGAGAAAGTCAGAGAAGAAACGGAGGTGGTTGACCAAGGAGCGTGTTGCGAAGATGGAGAGAAATTCTAAGCGCAAGGCAAGGAAGGCGGAGAAGCAGAAGGAGAAGCTCAGCCAGTTGGTCTTGCGGGATGCGCCAAACCAGTTTATTCCTGGCAAGTCTGCGAGGAGACAAGAGGCATGATGTTGTCAGGAGCTATAGTATACAGTATACGCCTGGTTGGTTATCAACTGCTTCTTAATTGTTGTCCCGGTTATCGTTATCTGGGTCCCTTCTATCCCTTTTCGCTTACAATGTTAGAGGAAAGTAACGTGAGAGACTTGTTTCCGATATTCGGAGGGCCGGGCTGGCACTTGCCCCGAGCCTCGCGAATAGAATCGCATACAGGAACATGTTGCATCATTGCATCTCAGCTTTCGCTTCCACCGTATCTTCATTACTGGCTTGCTGCATTCATAGACACAAGCTGCACGGCCAATGTCTGAAATGAACATCGCGTCCACTACAGGTTTAGACGTGGGAGGCGGCGTGCACCGTATCTCCACAGAAGCCGGACAAGACGATTTGGATGATGACCGGGCAACCATTGAAGCTTCACACTTGCAAGACACGCAGGGAGACACTCGCATACGCTGGGTATACTTAATGCTAGGAGCCGCTACTCTGCTATCATGGAACGGTATGTCTCCGGGAAGTTAGGGACCAGTCAATGGCTGATACCTTCGGCTAGCAATGATCAATGCAAATTCATTCTTCATGTCGCGGCTGGCAGGTTCTCCACTGAGAATATCCTTTAGTTCGTACTTGTCTAGTGTGTTTACCGCTAGCAACGTGGTTACATTGGGACATGCGATTGTTACCTCGAAACAAGTGGGTACTGCATACATGAAGGTGCTTTGTCTCTGACCATGGCATACCCCTCAGTCTTCCCCTTCCAGGCGCGCCTTCTGGGCCACCGCGCTCACCTCGGCCATTGTCACCATACTGTTTTTGACAACGTTCATCCATCCTAGCCCAGCTCCGTTCTTCTACTTCATCATGATAAGCGCGTTCTGCTTGTCGGGCTGCGCGTCTTATCTATCAAACTCGGTATTCGCCGGCGCAGCACTCTTTGGCGCGCCTTACATGCAATCGGTGATGTCTGGCCAGGCCGCAGTAGCCGTTGCTGTCAGCAGCGTGCAGGTCGTTAGCTCCGCCATCTCAGTTTGGGGAACCACTCCACTGACTCTGGGCATCAGCGACATCGACCCTGATGGCAAAGCTGAGGAGAAATCTGCGCGTATATTCTTTGGGATTTCTGCGTTGTATATGATTGCTACGCTCCTCGCATATAAGTGGCTAGCGTCATTGCAAGTGTATACGACGACCATGGGGGCTCTTGAGGATAACCTCAAGACCCGAGTTGTCTCAAACGAAGCTGATGAACGGCAGCCTCTTTTGCCTGCGGCATTACCAAACGCGGTTGAAGGAAACCAGATTTTCCGTATTTTCCAGACCAATTTTATTTATAATTTTGCTGTTGGATTTGTTTTCACTGTAACTTTGGTATGGTTTCTCAGACTACCGACGTCATTCTGCTCACCAACGTTTGTAGGCTGTTTACCCAGCTATCACTGTCACCATCAAGCCGACGAATACAAATACTCATCCTTTACTGTTTAGTGCTGTACACTTTTTGGTGTTCAGTTCCGGTGACCTTTTGGGAAGACACATGTGCTCCTTCCCAAAACTCATAATCTGGTCGGCTCGACGCGTTTTGGCTCTTAGTCTCCTTCGGACCCTGTTTATCCCCATGTTCCTTCTATGCAACGTGGAACATTCACTCCCTGTTGCACCGTTTATCAGCTCTGACTTGCTTTATATGCTACTCATGTGCGCTCTGGGCGTATCGAACGGTTATGTGTCTACTTTGTGCATGTTGGGCGCGCCCTCGTTGGAACACAACAAGAGACTGAGGGGCCGGCAGGAAGATATTGACGTTGCTAGCACCGTTGCAGCTTTCTGTCTCATTGTGGGATTAGCAGTTGGTGGATTTGCGAGCTTTGGGGTAAGAGCTGTTATCTGCGACTGTAATCCGTTCGCGTCCTAGATCAAGATGTCTCCTAAGTACATACATACGATACCATGGAATATAATTATAATTTATACCTTTTCTTTGGATTGGGGTCCCTATAGCTAGGCTCAGGAGTCGCTTGAACGCTTCTCGCAAGTTCATCATTGTAATGGTACGTAAATGCGCTGCAACGGCTGAACTTGCCCTAATCGCTGGTTACCACAGTCTCGTTCGATATCGTAAGTTGTTCATACTACCATGGTTGGTCTAGCAGGCTCCGCGAGCAGAGCAGAGAAGCTCCTCGGTTCAGAGGCCCGCCATACATCACCCGATCAACACTCTTCTGGCTGTATTCCTTTGCGTTCGCTTCACAGTCACACCACGCGTTCGTAGTCCTCCCACCTTGCGTCAAACTGCTGAGCCAACCAACTCCTCCACGTCAATAGGGCCTAGCAGCATGTCGCTACAGATTTCGACCATTGATTCGGGGGCTGCTTATCATGCTCTCCCACCAGCCCCGGTCGATGACGACCGCGACAGCGAACTTGATTTGGAATTCGATGATTCTGCAACAGACCCTTCTGTCACTGATGAGGTCGTCGATAGTCGAATACGGTGGGTGTACTTTATGCTAGGCTGCGCAATCCTCCTCCCTTGGAACGGTCCGTACCAATACTTATCTCTTCGGCGTGCGTTATGGTTTTAAATCAGTTTTTGCCTAGTGATGATTACCGCTACCTCGTTCTTCTTGTCTCGCTTGGTCGGATCACCATTACGGGCAACGTTTGCCTCCTACCTGACCACCACTTCCACCGTGTTCAATGTTTTTGCATTGGCACACGCCACGATGACCTCAAAACGGGTTGGAATATAATTTCTTCTTAGAGTCCATATCACCCTAACCATTCTATTGTCAGTCGTCACCCTCTCAAAGAGTTTTCTGGTCTGCCGCATCCGTCACACTCATCATCGTTCTCCTGTTCTTCAGCACCTTCACACACTATCAACCATCAACCTTCTTTATCTTTGCAATCCTATGTTCTATTTCTTTGGCGATATGCGTTTCCTATCTTTCCACAGCCGCCTTCGCTGGAGCCTCGCTCTTCGGGGCTCCTTATATGCAATCTATGATATCCGGCCAGGCTGCCATAGCTGTGGTTGTTAGTGTGGTCCAGGTGGTCACATCCGCCTTGTCCGTCTGGGGTTCGACTCCGGAAGCAATTGCCGCGTTCATATCGAATGACGGCGTTGGGGACGGAAAGGCAGAGCAGGATTCTGCTCGTACATTCTTTGGAATATCCGCATTGTTTATGGTCAGCACGTTTATGGCCTACGCCTGGATGGCGCGGTTGCCAGCCTACAAGGCCACTGTTGGGATCTTGGAAAACAATATCAAGCTTCATGGGGCCCTAGGCAGTCCCACTGAAACGGGAGGGCTCGTCTTTAGCAGTACCGAACAAGCAAGCCATGAGGAAAGAAATCAAATAATACGTGTGTTCAAAGCAAACATCATCTATGAATTTGCTCTTGCATATGTCTTTGTGATCACTTTGGTGCGGTAACTCAAATTATTACCTGGTCGCTAGTTAACTCCTTGCTCCAAGGCCATCTTCCCTGTCATCACAATTACCATACAGTCGACTAACCCCAATACCCATCCATTACTATTCACCGCAGTTCATTTCTTGACGTTCAACCTCGGCGACTTCTTTGGACGATATATCTGTAGTTTCCCGAGAGTAATAACGTGGTCCGCTACACGCATATTAGCGTTCTCGATCGTCCGCACCCTGTTCATCCCCATCTTCCTTCTATGCAATACGGTGCAAGGCCCTTCGCGTGGTTTGCCCGTAATCAGCTCAGACTTTGTCTATATGCTCCTTGTTGGCGCTCTAGGCCTATCAAACGGATACGTCTCTACCCTCTCTATGCTAGGTGCATCCTCTCTAGAGCACAATCCACGATTGCGACAACGTCGCGAAGACGTCCCCATTGCGAGTACCGTGGCTGGTTTTTGTCTTATCGTGGGTCTTGCAATCGGGGGTTTTGGAAGTTTTGGTGTGAGAGCTATTATTTGCCAATGCAATCCCTTCGTGAAGTGAGCACATATACCCCAAATATACATAGACCGAATTTCTATAGTACGATAACTCTACAGTATATATTAGACAAATGTATCATGACAGACTGCTACTGGGGGCTCCTGGAAGACGAGGTGCTAGATCCTTCGCCTGCGAGGTTTGCCTCCGTCGTCGGTGCTCCGACACTCTCAGGGCGAATATATCACGATGTAATATATACTTCTCGTGGGTGGGCCTTGGTGATGAAGAACCCGACGTGGGCAATGATCCCGGTACCTTTGGTGACTTCTCCGGCTTACCGTCATCATCTTTCTTTTCACCTTCATCAGCTATTTTGTCCTTATCCTTATCCGCCTTCTCTTTTTCTTTCTCTTTCTCTTTCTTGCGTCTCTGCTTCTCCTCCCACTCCTCCCTGAGCCTCGCGATTTCCTCGAGACTGACTCCAATCTTGTTCTCGCTCTCAGGCTCGAGCACGCGGGTGGCGAATCCGTGGTCTGACAGGTGAACTGTGCATGTATACAGGAAATCGGAGGTATCTATCGTGGCAAGCACGGCATTCGTGGGCTTATAACAGATGTAGCATGCTTTTGCGGTCGCTGTTGTCTAGTCTCTTTGGTACAAATAGTCATTAATGAATCGCTGGGACATACTCGCTTGTAGTAAAGGTTTGGGAAGGACATGGTTGCAGTTGTAGTGCAGCTGCTGGTACTTGTGAATGCAGCTGTGATCAGAACTCGGTTTGGTTGGAATTGATTCACAGCATCCAGAAATCGATGCGGGAAAGGAGAAAGAGAAGATCTTAGCGCTGGAGGATGATAAGGATCATGTGCAAGCTAGCTGCAGTACCTTGAAGGTGACCCGGGCCTGACCATGATCACATTATTATCAGTCCGGCCCGCTTGAGGGAGAACGGAAATACAGAGCCACCACAATCCACCGTTCTCACTCACAGACTATCACCATCATGAGCACAGTCGGTAAACCCATCACCTGCAAGGCTGCTGTTTGCTGGGGTGCTGGCCAGCCCCTCAAGGTCGAGGAAGTTGAGGTTGCACCCCCAAACGCTCACGAAGTCCGCATCAAGATTCTGTACACCGGTAAGAGGACCTGCACGGTTATCTTATCTACTGATGGGAGCGACCCTACAGGTATATGTCATACTGATGAGTACACTCGCAGTGGTAAGGATCCTGAGGTGTGCCTAGAATTCAGCCTTGTCGTAACTTGAGCTCATCCAAAGCATCGCAGGGTCTCTTCCCCGTGATCCTTGGCCATGAAGGCGGAGGTGTGGTGAGTCAGAACACTTACTGACTGTGCGTATTGCTTTATTGCTCTTCGGGGTTCTTCAGGTTGAATCGGTTGGTGAGGGTGTCACAAGCGTGTCGGTTGTAAGTCTCAACTATAAAATATGTTGTAATGCCCTTCTTGAAAATCGTTTGCCAGGGCGACCACGTTATCCCGCTTTACACTGCTGGTGAGCCAGATCACAATGACCCCTGAATTCCCAGCTCAGTCTGATTCACCAGAGTGCCGCGAATGTAAATTCTGCAAAAGCGGGAAGACCAACTTGTGTGGGAAAGGTTAGACTCCTCCATTCCGTTTGCTTCAAAGACGTGAGTCTCAAATGTATCGTGGTCAGTGAGAACAACCCAAGGTCAGGGTCTCATGCCTGATAGCACTAGCCGCTTCACGTGCAAGGGCCAAGCCATCCACCACTTCGTATGTATCTCAATCCCTTTCGAATCCGACGACACTCATCCGCAAGGATAGATGGGAACTTCAACGTTCTCGCAGTACACCGTAGTGGCAGAGGTTTCTGTCGTCGCTGTGAACAAGTCTGCGCCTCTCGAGAAGGTCTGTCTTCTTGGTTGCGGCATCACCACAGCATGGGGCGCAGTTGTGAAGCAGCAAGGCATCAGTATGTGAAGCTATGGTATTCCTGCTGTAACTCATACAATACGCAGAGGGCTCCAACGTCGCTGTTTTCGGATGCGGTGCCATCGGTCTCGGTGTTCTCTCCACCGCGTCAGTTGTCGGTGCTTCTCGGATCATCGCTGTCGATACGAACCCCGGGAAAGAGTCTTGGGCAAAGAAGATGGGTGCTACTGAATTTGTCAACCCTACGGCGCTCCCAGAGGGCAAGCGAATCCAGGATTACCTGGTCGAGATAACTGACGGCGGGTTGGACTTCACCTTCGACGCTACTGGTAATGTACACGTCATGCGTGCTGCGTTAGAGTCATGCCACAAAGGCTGGGGTGTCTCCACCATAATCGGCGTTGCTGCTGCTGGCCAGGAGATATCGACACGTCCGTAAGTGATCTGGCGTTTTTCACAGGATCCACGTGTGCTGAAGGTTCCTGTAAAGGTTCCAGCTGGTAATGGTCCAGCTGAAGTAAATGATCAGTTGTAACTTATGGATGGATATATTCCAGGTTACTGGTCGCACGTGGCGAGGAACTGCGTTTGGAGGAGTGAAGGGTCGGACTGAGCTCCCTGGTCTCGTCGAAGGTGACTCGATCTTCAGTTTTTTTCAGTACATGCCCTCAACAACGTAATCTGCCTTCTAGACTACTTGCAAGGCAAGCTCAAGATCGATGAATACGTCACGCACCACCGCAAATTTGCGGAAATCAACGAGGGTTTCCACGACATGCACGTATGTATCACCCTGCCTTACAAACCCGACAGAGGCGTGACCTAATTTCTAGGGTGGTGACTGTATCCGATGTGTCGTCGATATGATGGAGTAAAAGGATAGGACCAGTTGTATCCACGAATGGTAGTCTTGAAACCTCGAATAACTGTTGAACACGAAGTGAAAATATTATTAGCAATTGCGAGGCTCAAACAATTTTGGGACGAAGTAAATAATTCGGGGCATCGGGGTATAAATGCAGCAATGACTACTCTTGAGCCACCCCCAAGTTAAAAAGCAAGCACTACACACCACTGATCATCCGTCTTCCCCTGTTTCTCCCAGACAAGGCAGCCCATAGTAATATAAGGGCCGCATTGACCTCCCTCCGCCTTGTCGTCGTCTTCTTCCACGTCAGTCTGAGCAACCCAAGAACTGCCAATGAGAATGATATGTCAAGGAACAGTCTTCGCACGATAGTGAGCACCGGGGACCGGTTCTCGCTCCGAGCAAAAAATATAAGAAGCTGCTTCAATGATACCATCACCCGAGACGATGGCTTCAGAACGAGCGACCACATTCCCATATCATCCAAATCCCATTCGAGTGCTTCAGGACGGTTATCCGTCGGACTGCCTCTACCGGAAGAGCTTCTCAAGGGAAGCGAAACGGTGGATCGCTGCGGGTGCACCACCTGGGACTCGAGCATATCGAGCCGTTCTGTTAGTGCGGCAAGGTGCGTCTGGACGTTTTCGACGGCTTGCTCCAGGGGTAACCGTGAGGGTGTTCGTATAGGTGCTTCAGTGCCATAAGGCCGGCCCCCCCGGATGGAGAGAGCAGATTGAATCCGCGGTACAAACTCGGGTGACTGGTATGTCCCAGAATATTGCCCTGGTGGAGGGTATACGGACGAGGATGCTATTGGTGCTGACTGGCCGGCGAAGGCGGATTGCGTCTGGTATGTGGGCATTGGTTGCATTGGTGGAGCGTTTGCGAGCCCAGCAAGTGGCGGCGACATGGCAAGCGGACCGGTCACAGGAGTACGATATCGTGAGGACATGGAAGAAAGTGGTCTTGGCTGTTGGACAGGCTCACGCAAGGGTGGGAGATCGTGAGCTTCGTCGCCTGATTCGCCATCTTCAGAACTCGACCCACTGCCCTCCATAAGTGCAGCTTTATGAGCCTCTAAACGGGTAGAGGAAAATAGTTGACCGGGAATTCGAGGAATATCGTTCTCTGAGACGCTGGAGCTTGAAGACTGGGAGGTCCGGGACCTTGAAAGGGAATCTAGGCGGACTATATCAATGTAGCAAAAGGCAAGTTTGACGCTGGACATACGGCTCATCACCAGATTCGACGGGTCACCACCATAAGACTGGAGCTCGTTCATGAGGTCACGGGCAACAGTCTTGTCCGAGTATTTACTTAGAACCTGTACTGAAATAATTGGCAGGCGTCATGGAATCATGCAAAATCATACCTTCAGCAAAGCATCCACGTAAAGCCATTTTGCCTCAAATAGATCAAGATCCTTGTGCTTCGCCCATGCGTCCCTGGAGTGTACGTTAACACGTGATAAGGTGAGACGGGGGAACGACGTAGACCGACCACTTTGCCCGGCCTAGCATATCCCACATGCCTGGACGACCGCCTTGGACATTTCCAACAGTCGCTGCGCACAGTAACATGAGTTAAGAGATGCTCGGACATGTGGTGAGAAGGGGATATCTACCTTGTTTGTACAAGCTGTGGTAAGAAAAATCAGTAAGTAAATGTGCGCTTGAAGATGCAAACTCATGTAACGCACCTGTACATCGTCAGTTTCTCCTCGTACCCAGTTTGTATTGGCCCAGTCTTTGGGAGGCCCTGCACTATCTCCACTGCCCGATCAAATTGCGCATCAATAAGTTCACGTGAATCCATGCTAGAAAATAGAGACACCGAAAGGGATGAGCTTGCGGATAATGTGGTGCGTCCAACACCAGTTGTTGACAGAATGGCAGAGCAAGGACACAGTGGCAGAGAGAAGTTATGAGCTGTGTCTGCGATCCACCAGCGTGACGCAAACCGGCCTTATTGAAGGCTTTGAGCGCTTCAGGCCTTCAGCACCACACCATGTTTGTGTTCGGCATTCGCCGAATGCACTCCGGCAAGTCGCCCAAGTAACGTGGCATACTGCGGTGCAGGCTGGAGACTCGAGAGAGAAACAAATTATTCCTTCTTATGTCGAGAAATTTACGCCTCGCCTCGAAAATATGGTCATGGCAAGGGGCCGCCGAGCCTGCGGCTCGGCGGGAGCTTTCCAGGGGTCGAGATTTGGGGGGTCAAAAAACCATACCAGGGGTACTAACCTTCGGACAGACTCTCGGTAGGTTTTAACGATGCGATTAAACTCGCGGTGCCTTCATTTTCAGTCACTGACAGCATTCATACAGAGAAAGGCCGGAATCCTGGTCACTCCCTGATCATCCACGTCTCGTTCTTCCCAAAGAACAGCTTGAACCAGGTGCGTCGCAACATTTCTACGATATTTATTATGATGCCCTTTAGATTCGGTTCCATGGTACGTAGTTGCACTATATTTCTATCAATAACTGTATTTAATTTTACAGATCATCGATGATACAGAAGATCTCGAAGCAAACCTTGTCATGGAACTCGGCCAGGGCTAGATGAGAGAAGCTTCTCGCTGAAAAATCGCTTGCTGACTGTGTGGTCCGCGTCGACCGCGAGCTCGAACTCATGGCGAGTTTATCGAAGTTCAAGTCAAGTCTTTTCGAGCAGAAACTCGACCGCACGGATGTTGGATTAGGATACATGTGGTTCGCTTTGAAAACGCATGGTCTTTCTCACCGCTCACACCATCTCCACGGTAAGCCTGGGATTACATTGAGATTCACGGTGTTATACTAACAAGCCTGTGACAGGTTCTCTCGTCGAGTTGGGGGATAGCCATGGCATCACTGTTCAGCTAGATTGATGCGCTCGAGACACTACGTTAATTGAATTGTCGCAGAATTTCTGTAGTACCTTGTCAAAATTTAGCAATAGTGTTTTGTAGTACCGCTTATTAAATCCAAGTGTTTGACTACAGTACTGTCCGCACTGTGAGCTATTGTGCAAAACAATTGTCTGTGGGGAAATTTGACTAGCTAAGAATTTAAATTACTACAGACTTCGAGCAACTGGCTAGTTCTGTTTGTGATTGGAAGGTTGTGCGAAGTATGTGTCTGTGCATGTATGTCCATTGTGGTGTCTGTCCGCACTGTGAGCTACTGTGCGAAAAAGTCTAAAATAGCATTGTCTGTGGGGAAATTTTTAGTTTGCTGATGCCCTCCCATGATCTATACTATGGCGCTGGATTCGTTCAACTATTCCCCACACAAAATATGCACATATACACAAAGGATTCACACATACAGAGTCGCGTACCGTTGCCGAGATGTATCAGGATGCTTTGGGATTAGCGTGACTTCCCGTTTTGGTAGCACCGCACGACGACAAAATGCTCGAGCTTGCTGTTGAGGACAGCGAGCTCAAAGAGTTGCCCAATCCTTTACCCTTTTCACTAGTTCTTTTCAGGGAAAATAACAATAAGCTGTAGCTAGTTAACTATGCTATTTTGACCATAAATCTTCCATACTTACAATATTCACCCATTCCTGTCATGTATTTATACTGGGCGCTCTGAGGGGCTTATTATGGGCTCAATTAATGATGTATTTATTGTATAAATATATTAGAACTTCTACAAAGCCAGAAGTATTCAATTAGAGTCCAGAAAATACCAGAAAAGCGGTCAGGGTGGGGGGAGGAGGGGAAGGTGGGGAAGGAGGGTTGTGTTGTCCAAGAGTAAGCATAGTTAAGCTACAGGTAATTTTTTCCCTGAAAAGAACTAGTGAAAAGGGTAAAGGATTGGGCAACTCTTTGAGCTCGCTGTCCTCAACAGCAAGCTCGAGCATTTTGTCGTCGTGCGGTGCTACCAAAACGGGAAGTCACGCTAATCCCAAAGCATCCTGATACATCTCGGCAACGGTACGCGACTCTGTATGTGTGAATCCTTTGTGTATATGTGCATATTTTGTGTGGGGAATAGTTGAACAGATCCAGCGCCATACTATACTGCCTCAAACCTACGTACAGGGCGCGAGCCAGCGGTTCCTAACACCGAGTCATGTCATTCACGATACTATACAGATCAACCACAAGAACAACCGTAGCATAATGCGTGTACTGTCTACATCGGGCGTACCCCCATGAAGATAACAAATGGGACGTAAAATAAAAATAAAATTGAAGTAGTCACCGCCCAGGGTGAGGAATTTTCCTGCGTGTCCATCTTTGAGCGCTTAGTAGTTAGCATCTTGCTCAATGAGCGCAATGGCTTTCGCAGAGCGAGCCTTAATGGAGCACTTGAAGGGCTTGGGGTGACTAGGAGTGTGTCTATAGTACCGCGGACGTAATCAGATACGCGACATACCTGATCGTGCCAGCATGACATAACTGGTCAACTTTGGGGGTGATCTCAACACCGTCCTCGACGACTTTGGATATATCAAACACAGCCAGTGACCTCACGGCAAATAACCAAACGGAGGCTTCAGCGTGGAGGAGACCTGTAAATGAAAATAAAGCAATGTCAGAATATATATATATCGGCATTTCTATGAGTTGGGCACACCTGGACAAATACTACGGAGCAGAAAATTAGTTTTGCTCTCAAAATAAATTTGATGCTTACCGCCTTCCAAAACCAAAGCAGATCGTGCGAGGTTCTGTCTCAGGCTCCTTTCCGTCACTGGCCAAAAACCGTTCAGGGTTGAATTCCGAGGGGTTAGCATATGTCTCCGGGTCATTGAGCATGGACCTGTCGATATGACCTGTGAAAACATCGAATACGGCAAAAGGGGGTACCAACCAAATGTTTGCTATTATAAAAGAGTCTTTTGGAATGTAGTACCCATTATGAATATCGTCCTCAGTGACACGATGAGGGAAACCTGTCATTGAGATATCGCTCGGCAACAAAAGAACACGATAAACGAGATACACGTACCCATAGGAGCGACAACATTCCAGCGTAGTACTTCTTTGGCAAGCGCCTCGGTATAGGGGAGGGAGTTGAAGTCGGCGAAGGAGGGAAGGCGATCAGGACCAACAATAGCATCTATTTCAGCCTGAGCTTTCTTCTGCACATCAGGGAAAAGGGTCATAGCTAGAAAGAGCGAGTAGATTGCAGAGACAGACTGGGAAATTAGGTATTAGTCTCATTGAAATATTATTTTGAATATGTAGGGACCGACCGTGTCGGCACCACCGCCGTATAAGGATACAGCGGACCATCTCACAATATCATTTTCCTCTGCAGTCAGAGTATGGTCTTCCAACAGATCTGAGATGAAAGACTTCGGAGCAATGCCAGCAGCCTGTATCATTCAAACGTCAACGCACGATCGCAAAACTACGAATCTCGGTTACCATCTGATCCTTGACGAACTGGTAGGGTGCAGAAACCATTTCTTCGACAGTCTCGTGCCATTCACGCGCTTGGCGCTTGAAGCCAGCACCAGGGAACCACTCGGGGACCTTGGCCACTACACATCATAAGGCCATTAGAATCAAACGTCTGAATGCTATAGCATACAGAATGGCATAAAATCAACCATGAAGGCACCAGGATGAGTGGCACGGGAGAATTGGTCGAGGGCGCGTCCTGCAAGGTCGACGAAGGGATCGCCGTTCTCTTTCACTTCATAACCGTAAGAGATGCGCAGAATGATAGCGCCAGCGGTGCTATGAAAATTCAAGATCATGTCGATACAAGGATAAATAACGCTTACTGTCGAACATGTTCCTGTAGTTGGTCGGGTGTCTCAAACACACGCTTAAGGAATCGGCGAGTTTCAATATCCTCTATCGGGTTGTATACCTCCAATGCCGCACGACTGCCAATGATGCGATGGAGGTTCTTGCGGTGCTGGCGAAAACGGTCGCCGTAAGAGATAAGAGGCAAAGAGTGCTTCCAGCCAACAAGTTCGCCAGCCATAGGAAGAACAGGACGGCCAGAGTACACAGTGCTCTTCTTTTCCAACATGTCCATCGCAGTCTTGACAGAGTTCACCACCATGATATGCTGACCCAGAACCTCGACATGTGAGATATCACCTGTAGACAAGACTTTGAAATACATGATTTTTGGCAAAACACGAGACGCTCACCATATTTCTTGCCCCACTCTGTGAAGATGAGCCAGGGTTTGATTTGAGGCATGTCTAGGACATTCCCAATGAGAGGCAACCCTGCAGGACCAGGGGGATATGGTGCAGGGTTTTTCTTGCTGAATACCCGCATTAGCAGATATACTCCAACACCAGCAAGACATAGTAGGTTCAGCCAAGCGACGTTGGTAAGCGTTAACATGGACTACAAGCAGAGATGAGCACTCAAGAACGAGGTCGCGTGTTGCCTCTTATATGGTCATTACACGATATAACATGCCAGGATAGGGCTCAGGTATTACCCTAGGTATATCACATTACAACGTTGACAGGCTCGTTTTATCTGAAGTGCTAGAATCAGAGAGATAATCGGTCTCAGTAAAAACTTTAACCTACAAGTGAGCGTGAGAGATCATGAGTAGTCGTGAATCTCCACCCCAAGAAGGTGGACCGTTCGTTGGCGGCGTGTCACTGGCAGGACTCGGCGCTCAGCGCCGCTGCTGTTGAGAAAAAATACATCCTTTGGGCGTGCGACCGTGACCATTCTATCCATTGAACGCATCACTGCACATAAGTAAATTGTTGGTCGAAATCTTCTGCTCACGGCGCTCAACAGTGAACATTATCCTCTATGAGTCTATGACTCACCTAACAAGTCTTATTAGAAGCTCCATCGTTATGATTTTCCTTCAGAAAACATCATTTTACCTTGTGCACTCACTGACATCCACCCTTCAAAGCTTCATGCACGGATTCCCCCGGATATAATGTTGCAATTGACTCCCAACTTTTTGGCAGGGTTTTTATAAAACCGGCGGTCAACACTTCAGCGCTAACGGATGAAAACTCCGAGGATGCCGCGCAAGCCGGACGTGCCGCCATGTGCCGAACTCAGACAAGCAGAATGACGACTCGGAGCACATTCAAGTTCACCTTTAATATTTAACGGTACTGGTCTTTGCCGTCAGATTCTCAAAGGATGCATGCCTTACGACACGCGACTACGGGAGACTACGGATTAGCGGCAACTCGAAGTGTAACCAAATGTCCACCATACAACTTGAATTCCCCATAGTTGATCCCGTACTGTGATTGGCAAAGTGCAAACTTCTAAAAGTACAAAACTTGTGACAGATCTAGATGAGTCGTGTGTGAAAATGGCCACCCTCAGCAATATTCACCTTGTCTTCCCGTGTCGTATTTCAGTAGCTAACATCCTGTTCAATGAGCCCGATGGCTTTTGCAGAGCGAGGCTCAATAGAACACTTGAAGGCTGTGGGATGGCTGCGAGAGTGTTTATCCAGACCAGCACCAAAGACGCCATAAGATACGCGACATACCTGATCGTGCCTGTTGAGCGGTCAATCTCGGGGGTGATCTCGACACCGTTCTCGACGGCCTTGGAAATATTGAACACAGCCAGTGACCTCGCCGTGGACATCCAGACGGAGGCTTCAGCAAGTAGGAGACCTGTAGATAAAAAGAAAGAAACGTTAGAATACTTCCGTTCACCGGCGCTTCTGTGAGTTGGGCACACCTGGACAGATACTGTGGAGCAGAAAATTAGCATTGCTCTCAAAACAAACTCCATGCTTACCGTCTTCCAAAGCCGAAGCAGACCGTGCGGGGCTCGGGCTCGGGCCTCTTTCCCAAAAACCGTTCAGGGTTGAATTCTGAGGGATTAGCGTATGTCTCCGGGTTATTGAGCATGAACCTGGCATTATATTCTGTTAAAATATCGAATACGGAAGAAAAGGGGGTACCAACCAAATATTAGGTATTACCAAGGAACCTTTTGGAATGTAGTACCCGTCATGGATGTCGTCCTCAGTGACACGGTGGGGAAAACCTGACATTGAGATACCACTCGTCAACAAAAGAATGTGATAGACGAGATATGCATACCGATAGGGGAGACAACATTCCAGCGCAACACTTCTTTGGCAACCGCCTCGGTATAGGGGAGGGAGGCGCGGTCGGCTAAGGTGGGAAGTCGATCAGGACCGATAACAGCGTCTATTTCAGCCTGTGCCTTCTTTTGTATATCAGGGAATAATGTCATAGCTAGAAAGAGCGAGTAAATTGCAGAAACAGACTGAGAAATCAGATGTTAGTCTCATGAAGATTTGAAATACGTAGGAAAGGGCCAACCGTGTCGGCACCACCGCTGTATAGAGATCCAGCACACCATTTCGCAACGTGATCTTCTTCCTCAGTCAGAGTTTTGCCTTCCAACAGAGCTGAGGTGAAAGACTTCGGGGCAATGCCAGCAGCCTGTAAAATTCAAACTTCAATGCATGATCGCAAAACTGCGAATGTTAGTCACCATCTGATCCTTGACGAACTGGTAAGGTGCAGCGACCATTTCTTCGACAATCATGTTCCATTCACGCGCTAGGCGCTTGAAGCCGGCACCAGGGAACCACTCGGGGACCTTGGCCACTGAAGTGGTAATGTCATTACAGCCAAATATCTGAACGCTATATAATAAATAGTCTTACGGGATGGCATGATGTCAACCATGAAGGCACCATGAGCAGTGGCCCGTGAGGCTCGGTCGAGAGCACGGTCCGCAGTGTCGATGAAGGGATCATTGTTCTCTTTCACTTCGTAACCATGAGAGATGCGCAGAATGATAGCGCCAACGAGGCTATTATAAAAATTTAAGATCATATCAACGCAAGGATGAATAATACGTACAGTCGAACATGTGCCTGCAGTTGGTTGGGTCTTTCAAGCACCCGCTTCAGGAACCGGTGGCTTTCAACCTCCTCGATCTGGTTATATGCCTCTACTGCGGCACGGGTGCCAATGATGTGATGGATGGTCTTGCGGTACTGGCGAAACCGGTCACCGTAGGTGAGAAAACCCAAAGTGTACTTCAAGCCAACAAGTTCGCCACCCATAGGAAATACAGGACGGTCAGAGTACATATTACTCTTCTTGTCCAGCATGTTCAACGCAGTCTTGACAGAGTTCACCACTATGATATGTTGACCTAGAACCTCCATATGCGAGATATCACCTACAAACGAGACTTTGAAATGCACGATGTTGGGGAAATTGGAGGTTCTCACCATACTTCTTGCCCCACTGAGTGAATGTGAGCCAGGGCTTGATGTGGGGCATGTCTAGGACGTTCCCGATGAGAGGCCACCCCTGAGGACCAGGGGGATATGGTGCAGGATTCTTCTTCTTGAATACCCGCGTTAACAGATACACTCCGACACCAGCAAGACATAGTAGGTTCGGCCAAGTGATACCGATAAGTGTCACCATGGTCTACTAGTAGATGAGTGACCAAAGAACGAGGTCGTGTAGTGAGCTGTCAGATAAGACAATCCTCTTCTTATATGGTCGCTCACTACACGATATAACACGCGCAGGGTAGGATGAGCCTTATACTGCGCCTATCATATTAGAATTTCGTGCAGGCTTCATTACTTTATCCGCGAATTGCTGTATTCAATCAGAGAGAATATTGATTTCGATTAAAACCTACATGTGATTGAGTGCAGAAGAACATGTGTAGTCATGATCACCATCCCAAGAAGTGGGCCAACTTGGACGTTTTTGATCGACGCGGTGACCATGAAATAGAAATTTCCAATGCGCGCATTCAAGTATCTTCAAGCAAATGCCCAGACATCTGTTTGCGAACCCACAGCAATATCGGCGTGGACTCCGTGATAGTATGTTATCGCAGGCCGTATCTGATGAGGGAAGACATAATAGAATGAGGTAAGCATCGATAACAACACAAAGCCTACTACAACCACGAAGTGGGCTGTGCCACATCATCAAGACCACTTGGAGTTCCACGTTCGGTTGAACTTGTTTGCGACACCTGAGAATTAGATTTCTATAGAACGTGTGTTCATATTAAATCTCACTGGAAAGTTTCACCGTTTCCAGGCCCATCTACAGATACAGCAGACCCGATAGGAAAACGCGGCCAAAACGACTTTGGAGGAGATGTAAGGATATGATTGGAAGATGAAGCAAAGTTTTGATAAGAGTCCAGGAGCATCAGACCAATGCTTCTCGTGCTACGCTCTCCAACAAGCGACAACGGAAACAAAAAATCGATGACACTGGAAGGTTCTGATGTTCGCGAGGCTTGTGACTCCAAAGTAAAATCTGGAGGATGAGCTTCACTATGCTGTGAGATAGTATGCTCAGCATAAGAAGCCTGTTGCGAGCTGTTGCCAAGTGAAAGGAGTCGAGGGTGTTCGTTCGAAGGGGAAATGATTGATCAAAAAGATACGAGAGAAGACGTTAGACTTGAATATATGAGACTTTTGCGAGGGACGTCGGTGGTTCTCAGGCTAGACTGGGTTGAAAACGCACTGAAATCGACAATGTCAACGTACAGACTGTTACGTACAGAGGTCTTTTTGTATCGTAGTTTGGAGTGGCTCGAGTGGCTCACCTATTCTGGGTAGGAGGAAGAAAGGAACGATAAGGGACAAATGTATGGTTGTAAATGACGCGTCTGCGTGCAACGAGTTCGCGAGACTTGAGTCATGAGTGAAAGTGCGAAATTGTGAAAAGGTAGGAAAGAAGAAACGTCAACTGCCAAAATCTAAGTACACGAGGGCGGATGCGAAGACTAAAACTCTTCGCATCGATAGGTACTAAGAACGTTCGCGCTTCGATCTGAAGTATCGGTCGGCGCGTAAAGGATATGATATCCTTACAGGTGGCATAGACTACGATAGTCAGTGTGAAAATAGCCACCCACAACAAGTACCTTCCTATGTGTAGTTCATGATTGTGCGCTTAGTGGCTAACATCCTGCTCAATGAGTGCAACGGCTTTGGCAGAGCGAGGCTTAATAGAGCACTTGAAGGATTTGGGGTGACTGGAAGTGTGTCTAGTCAGACCAACGCCCGGACGTGATAAGACGTGACAAACCTGATCGTGCCTGACGAGGGATCAACCTCAGGGGTGATCTCAACGCCGTTCTCGACGACCTTGGAGATATCGAATACGGCCAATGACATCGCCGTGGATATCCAGACGGAGGCTTCAGCGAGGTGGAGACCTGTGCATGAGAAGCAAGCAACGTCAGAATACATCTGTTTATCGGCGCTTCTGTGAGTTGGGCACACCTGGACAGATACTGCAGGGCAGAAAGTTAGCATTACACTAAAAATCAACTCCATGCTTACCGTCTTCCAAAGCCGAAGCATATTGTGCGAGGCTCTGTCTCAGGCTTCTTTCCGTTATTAGCCAAAAACCGTTCAGGGTTGAATTGTGAGGGGTTGGCATATGTCTCCGGATTATTGAGCATGAACCTGGCATTATATTTTGTTAAGATATTGAACACGGAAGAAAAGAGGGTACCGACCAAATGTTAGGTATCACTAAGGAACCTTTTGGAATGTAGTACCCGTCATGGATGTCGTCCTCAGTAACACAGTGGGCGAAACCTGTCATTAAGATACCGCTTGGGAACTAAAGAATGCATTAAATGGGATACACGGACCGGTAGGGACAACAGCATGCCATCGTAGAGCTTCTTTGGCAAGCGCCTCAGTGTAGGGAAGAGAGTCTCGGTCGGCGAAGGAGGGAAGACGACCAGGACCGACAACAGCATCTATTTCAGCCTGAGCCTTCTTCTGCACATCAGGGAATAGCGACATAGCCAGGAAGAGCGAGTAGATTGTAGAAACAGTCTGAGGAAAGAAGTGTAGCACTCTCAGAAGATGATTTAAAATACGTAGGAAGGGACCAACCGTATCGGAAGCGCCGGCATATAGAGATCCAGCAGACCATTTCACAACGTGATCATCTTCCACAGACAGAGTACGGCCTTCCAACAGATCCGAGGTAAAAGACTTCGGGGCAATGCCAGCAGCCTATAGCATTCAAACGTCAACGCATGATCGCACAACTACAAATGTTGGTCACCATCTGATCCTTGACGAACTTGTGGGGTGCAGAAACCATCTCATCAAGGGTCTCGTGCCATTCACGGGCTAGACGCTTGAAGCCGGCACCAGGGAACCACTCGGGGACCTTGGCCACTACAGATGGTGAGACCATTGTAAGCAAATGTCTGAATGCTATAGCTTACAGAATGGCATAAAATCAACCATGAAGGCACCAGGAGCAGTAGAACGCGAGAATTGGTCCATAGCACGATCTGCAAGGTCAACAAAGGGATCATTGCTCTCTTTCACTTCATAACCATGAGAGATGCGCAGAATGATAGCCCCAGCGGTGCTATAAAAATCAAGATCGTGACAATGCAAGGACGGATGCTACGTACTCTCGAATATGTTCCTGTAATTGGTCGGGTGTCGTAAACACGCGCTTAAGGAATCGGCGAGTCTCGACCACTTCGATCTGGCTGTATATGTCCACTGCAGCGCGGCTGCCAATGACGCGGTGGAAGTTCTTGCGGTACCGGCGTAATTGGTCACCGTAAGGGAGAAGAGTCATAAAGTGCTTCCAGCCAACGAGTTCACCGCCAACAGGAAAAATAGGACGGTCAGAGTACACAGTGCTCTTCTTATCCAACATGTCCATCGCAGTCTTGACAGAGTTCACCACCATGATATGTTGACCCAGAACCTCGATATGCGAGATATCACCTGCAAACAAGACTTGAAATCCAAGATGTTGGGGAAACGGGAGGTACTCACCATACTTCTTGCCCCACATAGCGAAGGTAAGCCAGGGCTTGATGCGGGGCATGTCTAGGACGTTCCCGATGAGAGGCCACCCAGGAGGACCAGGGGGATACGGTGCAGGATTCTTCTTGTTGAACACCTGCTTTAACAGATACGCTCCGACACATGCAAGGCATAGGTCGAACCAAGTGATGTTGGTGAATGCCAACATAGTCTACTAGCAAATGACGAGCAACTCGAGAGTGGGTTTGTGTAGGGAATGATCAGATAAGAGGAGTCGTATCAACTGATCATGTTATTTATACCTGAACGTTATCTTTACCGAACTTTCAATAGTCTCCCATAGTCAGCCCTCGGCAGTGATAGAAGGAAGACAGTTGTTCCTCCCGAACTTTGCGGAGGCTTCATTATGTTGCCGGGAATGATAGAGGCCATCGATCTCCGTGAAAACCAGCAACATATCGAGCACTACAGAATTGGAAGGAGGTTAGCAGTAAATGTGATATCAGAATTGGCCATTTCACCACATGGCACGGTGACTGTAGGATGCGGGTCAACTCGCAGCCACTTCCACCTAGGGTACGGTTGAAAGTCAGTTTTTTCAACAGTTGTGAGAATATCTGCTGTCAATAACACTGATGAAAGTGGTCAACGGTCATGCATCATGTCCTGAGGCCTGATGGAAATCATGGAAAAATCCAGGGCGTGTCACAGGGAACGTTTGAATGAACTTCTAAAGCCCGCCTCCCACAACCAAGCTTATTTTTGACGCCCCATATCATTCCGTGCACCTGAATGTCTCATCCCTGTCGAGTTTCGGGGTGTGCTTGAATACTTGCGGATATTGCTACAAAATCAAGACTGCCTTGCCTGTCGGTACTGCTTTCACGTCAAATACCTCGCGTCCTTGTCATTGATGATGCATCGATGTGATGTGAGTGTTAGATAATCGTATCAAGAAGAATCATCTGCATTGGGGCAGATTAACATTGTCTTTGGGGTTGGGGACAACCCAGACTCCTACCCAGTCGGCGGGTGTGTGAGAGTCTTCATACTGTTACCTTAGAGTCTGTTCGGGATCACGATTTCGCCCAACTTCGAGAAATTCAGAAAAGAAAAAAACAACTTAAGTAAGCATGCCGGTGTGCCGTGTGCCCTGGTCACAGTGTGACATCTTCTTATCGATTCAATCATGCCCTCGACACGAAACTCATCAGCGCGATACTCTCTCCGGTTCCACCCAACTATGACTAAAGGAAAAGGTAAAAAGAAAGCAGCCACTGACAGTCAGGAAACTGCCGCACCAGCAAAAGACTGCTGCATATGGTCTCTGGATGATGAGAGGAAGCTCGTGGAATACGCTGTACAACACCATGCCAAAGGTGGCGATGGTATGAACTTCACCAAATCGTTCTGGGTTGGTGCCGCTGCCGAGATGGCAACACGCCCATGCCCCGAAGGCGCTCCCAAGACACCCGAAGCCTGCCAATCCAAATGGACTCGGGTAAGTACTATTGTTGTATTGATACATGTGCCGTTACTGATATAATTTAATGTATCTCTAGATCAAAAAGATGTATCAGGTGGTCGACAAAATCGCTAGCCATGCCTCGGGGCTATCATTCCACCCAGAATTAGGAGCCAACATCAGCGAAGAATCAGAGACTATGTGGGCGGACTTTATCAAGGTCTTTTTTCGTCTATTTCCCCTGCTCTACCTTACTAATTATTCATGCAGCATAACCCCTCAGTGAAGCCTTTAAGAAACAAAGGCTGGTCACATTACGAGGCACTGCGAGGGATCATTCCGACACACACGAGCAGCTGGGTTGGGTTTCATGCCGGCACGAGCCTCACCACAAACACGTCGACTCCTACAGCAACTGGTAGTGACATAACTCAAAATACTACCGCCGATGCCCCCGCCAATGTCATGTCGTCACTGGAGAACGCACTCCATCAGGTCGAGTTCCGCGATCTCGATCTCGATGATGATGACATGCGCACCACCCCAATACCGAACGATACCCCACCTGTCCCCGCGCCTATCCTACCTGTCCCCGCGCCTATCACACCTGTCACGCCAAGAGGCTTCAACGCTGCAATGCAGCCTTTTGTTGCCCCCTCGATTTCCACGCCTGGTTCATCAACCGCAGTGAAGCGCAAAGCCGACGGGGACGATAGTGAACGATACGTGTCCTGCCCTCCACACTCTTCAAAAGCAAAGAGTGCGTCAGGGTCGTCGAAATCACAACGTCTCACGCTGCCGCTGGCTTTGGAAGGGTTGGGGGATAAAGTGTCCGGCGAAATATCTACCGCGTCATCCACACTTCAGGACGTCATCACAGCCCACATCAAGGAGCCCGTTCCATCCCGCAAGGGGCGCGCCATGCTTCGAGTCCAAGAGGAGAAGGACTTGGATGATTATGACGCTGTTGCAATGATCAGGCTGTTTCAAGCTGACGTCACTATCGCTGACGCGTATAATAGCATTACAAGAGATGGTATTAGGAAGATATTTTTAGCACAGCACCTGCAGGAGGTAGTGATGTGCCGGGCCTGGCCTCAGGCCCTCAGGCCCTGGCCCACAGGCCCCCATAGGCCAGGCCAAGCCAGGCCTACTTGATGGGCCTCATGAGGGCTTGGGCCTGGCCTGGGTGTCTCATAGGCCATGGCCTAGGGCTCAGGCCAGGGCTTCTACATAATGAATGGATTTTTCCGGAATGTACTGTACAGTAGTTACTAAATTAAACTTTGCAACAACCGCATCCACTGGAAGTCGGCTGAACAACATACCCAGCCTGAGAATGACTCTCACAGTCATGTCTGATGATGACACAGTTGCTGCCATCACAGTATGTTCTAAACAAACAATCATACCTTCGAGCCTTGTTTGACTTGTTCATTCAGCACACACACAGGTAAGCACACAACTCATTTCACCATTAAATTCTAATGCTAGTATGCTACTACTAACTTCTTACTCTAGCGCATACAGGTACATGTGAGGACTCCATCGATAGTGACGTTGACGTCACTGGTGACGGCGATGACAAGAACGACAATGACAGCGACAGCTTCCTGCAAGACATCAATGTGCAAGATATTGCTGTTCCTGGAGGATGGTGCACCCGTCAATGAATGACGACCAATCTCGTGAAATTTCAATTACTCATGTTGACTCAATATTCTGTGCCGCTCACCTAGTACCAATGTTTGGAGACAAATTTGTCCCGGAGCATGTCAATTTTCACAATTCTTTGGACACTTATATGGGGTTTTATGTCAACAGATTTGCGGACCATCAGGGCAACTCATTTTCTTTTTGTATAGTGCTGAATTTTACTTAGTTGTTGCATTGTGGCTTGGATGAACTTTGGTTATTTTGTGCTTTGCATGACTTGAATTAAGGAATTTTTAAGGGGATCCTCGTAGCTTGAATTTCCTTGATTAACTTTGAAACATTCGAAGGACTTTGTTGTAGACAAATTGGATCAAGCTCAGTGAAGCATGATTTAAGTAAATTAGGGTTTTGCTGATGTATTCAAATAAATAAACATCATTTTTCATCATTTTCTTTGATTTTTATTGAGAGGCCCTGGCCTGGGCCAAAGCCAAGCCCAGGCCAGGCCCAACCAGAGGGCTTTGGCCTGGCCTGGGTTTTTGCCAGGCCTGAGCCCTCTGAAGCCAGGCCCAGGCCATGGCTTTCAGGCCAAGCCAGGCCCGGCACATCACTAGCAGGAGGCAAGGAGAGTGCGCGTGAACGAACAGCAACTTTTATAATACCTTTACAATACATCTGCGCGCAATACAATACTTGAAGTTGACAGCAAACATCATCATGATTGGGCAGCAAAGACAAGATACATTGTACATAGGACTAGATACCTACAGCAAAAAAATGACAATATTATTCAGTTTGCACCAGGTGGCACAGGTGCTCCTCTGCGCCGCCTTTCCGCAAGGTAGTCATCCCACATCGACTGAGAAATCTCGTCACGAACATCGTGTGCACGAATGCGTGCTGCTTCAGTGGGAGGTCCATCGGCGAGTGTGCCACTATCATAGTTACCGCTCCACTCATCCGCCTCCACGTCACGATAGTCGAGTAATTCGTCTGGGTTGTGGATGCGGATGACATTGTGTACGAGACACAATGCCGGAGGGATGCGGGCCTGTATGTCGGAATTGTACTCTGGAGGGAGCCGAAGTATACGAAAGCGGTTTTTGAGGACACCGAAGATACGCTCGACGACATTGCGGAGCTGCGCGTGGCGTAGGTTGTATAATTCCTGGGCATTGCAAGGCCTGCAAAGATTGTAAGTACTGCGCCAGGGTGATAAGTCAACTCACTGCAACATACACCTGATTTGCGCGGCCCCATTCAGCAAGGTGGTAGCGGACACCACGATAAGGCACGAACAATTCGTCGCATGCACCAAATCCAGCATCCGCCAGGTAAACCTTGCCTGGAGGGATTGTAAAATCAGTGAGACGTGCCACGTTGTAGACACGAGTGTCCGCTGCAGATCCTTGAAAGCCGCTCAACATGTACGTGAAACGCATGTCCAAGTCGCATGCAGCAAGGCAATTTTGAGTTAAATTGCCTTTGCGGTCACGAGCGGCATCGCGATCAGCAGCTGAGGGATGGCAATTGATGTGCGTGCCATCAATAGCGCCGATAATGTTTGCGAAGTACGGGTATAGTTTCGTTGTCTCAACAATTTGAGGGGGTATCGGAGTGTCTGCGTCGGGGAGCCGGACGTAAGTGGAATAGATTGGGCGGGAGGAGAATGCGATGAGAATGCGTTTGAAGTATCTGAAAGGAATAAAATTAGTATGCATAGCTAGGGGTAAGAGTGGGGGGATGCACTTCGATATAGTATCGTTTGAGCGCTGGAAACGCTCAGCAAGGTGGTGTACAGAAATGCCTGTAACGCAGGCATATAGGAAGATGGCTAGCTGCTCTTCTAGGGTGACGTGCTTTGAGTCGTTGATCCTGCCATTGCGAAGTAATTGAAGTAGGATGATGAATACGTGGCGATGCACGCCGAGCTCACATTGAATCCGCTCTGGATGGCCATTCAGCAATTCATTGACCCAGCCAACCCCCGTCAGGATTGACGTGTGATAGGGTTGTTTGTCGTAGTAGGTAGTAGTGTATGCGTTTACAGCGATCCCCGCAATGTTGATGACTTCGGAAGCCGACGAGACCACGCGCTGAAAGAACTGAATGATGGCTTGGAGAAATTTTAAGTCGGATTGTTCAGCGTCTTCTACACTCTCCTCCAAGTCCTCATTAGACTCATCTTCCTCATCTCCTTGGTCCTCCTCATCCCTCTCATGATCCCTCGAGCCTGATGTTGTTGAATCCTCGTCATTGACCTTGTCACGGTATAGCAAGAGGTTGGAAAGCATGGCCGCGGTGTGCGTATACTACACGCGCATATTGATAACAACTGATCAGCGTGACATCGGTTTCAAGCTCCGATCAGGGCGTGCTTACTTAACATTGTTTTTTTCTTTTCTGAATTTCTCGAAGTTGGGCGAAATCGTGATCCCGAACAGACTCTTAGCCACAAACCAAATATGTACAACATTATTTCAAACACCGCAACTTTGGACTCTACACACCCAGCTGACTGGCAAAACTTGTAGTGGCGCGAGGTTTGACCGTGTTTGTATCTTCCCGTTTGTGTCAGCTCAACACGCAGGCGGAAAATAAAATAAAGGCAAGCGGAAGGTTCGAACGCGGATCGTAGGGCAAAAACATAGGATAGATTACCGCTACACCATAGGTGCTTCCCTAGCCTAGGTGAAAGCAGAAATATATCCCATTGGCAGGCCTGCCACACAGATACTTGTTTTAATAATGACCGGATATTCAATATTCAACTCAATCATTACACATATACCAGCATACCATACCATATAAATGTAATCACTGGGTGTGTGAGCCATAATAATAATTGACCCTTGTGGTGTATCCGGCTATTGTGATTCTCGTGTGTGAGCTGGCCTAAGGGACACAGTGTGTGGCAGGCCTGCCAATGGGATATATTTCTGCTTTCACCTAGGCTAGGGAAGCACCTATGGTGTAGCGGTAATCTATCCTATGTTTTTGCCCTACAATCCGTGTTCGAACCTTCCGCTTGCCTTTATTTTATTTTCCGCCTGCGCGTTGAGCTGACACAAACGGGAAGATACAAACACGGTCAAACCTCGTGCCACTACAAGTTTTGCCAGTCAGCTGGGTGTGTAGAGTCCAAAGTTGCGGTGTTTGAAATAATGTTGTATGTATTTGGTTTGTGGCTAAGGTAACAGTATGAAGACTCTCACACACCTGCCGACTGGGTAGGAGTCTGGGGACAACCATGCCCAAGTGTTGAGAATATATGAACAACCTGACGAGATTCAGCCACAATGATCAGATTAAGTAATCGTCTGAGTTCTACATAGTATTAATAGCTCGACGGTGATATCCAAATAGACGGGACTCGTTGCACCACCTGTTCCTGACTGATCACACGCAAAATCAGAATCCAGACTTATTTTATTAAATCATTGCGCTCTATCTCAACAATCTACGTATATTGAATCTTAACAGGTTATGAGCCCTGGTTCTAACGCCTAGAACCGATAATCAAAAAGAATACACTATGCATAACTAAACCCCTATACACTAAAAAATGTCTAACGCAAATACTACACAAAGTGTGGTTCCGATGTATCAGACCCCAAGCACCACACGACCATCCATTAGTCTCGGGTCACTCGCGTTGTATAAAATAGACCAGCTCACCAATAAAAACTGGATGATGTGGAAGGAGAGGATCGAAACGATCCTACACCTCCACGGAGTTCATGGTCATATCAACGGGACAAATAAAAAACCTGAGATTGATGATGATGAGATTGAACAGTGGGAAAAAGAAGATTACATCGCAAGGACACTCATCTTAATTAATATCAAGGACGATCAAGTCGTCCACGTGTCCCGCGCGAAGTCGGTCCAAGAAGCTTGGAACAATCTGAAAACCATCCATGAGACAAGGAGTCAGTCGAGTGCGTTAATTGCGAAACATACCTTCTACTCCTTGAAAGCCGAAGAAGAAGATGATCTCGGTACACACATTACCGATATGATCAACAAAAGAAATGAACTCGATATAATGGGATATGAGATTCCCGATCACGAGTTCAAAGCTATGTTGGTTATGTCATTGCCGAAGTCATGGGAACATTGGACTTCATCTTACCTGGGCGCACATGCTGATAAGGGAATGGAGTCCGATAAAATCAAGGGCTACACTGCCCAAGAGCTTATGTCGATCATAATCGACGAGTTCAACCACCGCAAAAAGAACAATACCCAAGAGAAGGGGTATTATGTGAAAGCCAAGACGAATGGCAAGAAGCGGAAGGTTGAGAAGAAGCCGGATAAAGGGAAGAACCATGAGAGAGAGAAGTGCCGTGTATGTGGACGTACCAATCATCCCACTGAGAATTGTCGCTGGAAGGGGAAACCCAAATGCGATAAGTGTGGGAAATTTGGGCATGAGACATCAAAATGTTGGTGGAATAAGCCAGGCACGTCATCTGGCAAAGGAAAGCAGAAAGAAGCTGCTAATATAGCATGCAATGATGAGGATTCTGCCTTTATGGTAGATACAGAAGATGTACCTATGAATGAGAATGATGAGGCCAATTTTTCCGCTTATTCATGGGTAGCAGATTCCGGTACAACATCACATATCGTGAATCAACGATCTGCATTCAAAGTTGTCATTCCAGAACATAAGAAAATTACTGGAATAGGAAATACGGGGATAGAAGCACATGGACGTGGTACGATCGAAATTAAATCACACGTGCATCAAAAAGACATCATAGTAACATTAAACGATGTCTTATATGTACCTACAGCAATAAATAATCTATTTTCTTTGACAAGGGTAGATGAAAAGGGTGGACATGCAATCATAGGAAATGGTTGGATCACAGTATTAGATAAGAACCAACAAATATTTGCATGTGGAAAGCGCATCAAAAGATTATTATTATTAGATGCGCAAACCATCCATTAAACTACCGAAAATAGTAATACCGTTAAAGAAGACGATGTAGATAATTGGGAAACGTGGCATAAGAAGTACGAACATATCGGAATATCAGGACTTCAACGAATGCTGAAAGCAAAATTAGTCGACAGATTTAATGTCGACGAAAATCTGATATTTCTGGATTGTGAAGCATGTATACAAGCAAAACATGAGCATAATCTGTTCCCAAAACAAGCAGAATATTGATCTGAGATCCCCGGAGAATTAACGCTACAGATGTGGGGAAAATCACATGTCACTTCGATTTCAGGACTGCAATATTATGTTACATTCATAGATGATTGTACACGAAGATGTACAATAAAATACATGAAAACAAAGGATGAAGCCTCAGAGAAGGTTAAGGAATATCTTACCTACATAGAAAGACGCTGGGAGAAACTTCCCAAACGCCTGAGAGCGGATAATGGGACAGAATACATTAGTAAAAATCTAATCTCCTGGTGTAATCAGAAAGGTATAGAAATAGAAGTGACTGCACCCTACTCACCTCCTCAGAACGGAGTAGCGGAACACTTGAATAAAACTCTATTAGCACTATCAAGAGCAATGTTAATAGCCAAAAACTTACCAAAGTTTATTTGGACAGAAGCTGTGTCTCATGCGGCATACTTGTGCAATAGAGCATATACACAAGCACTAAAAGATAGTACACCTTAAGAAAAATGGTCAGGATTAAAGCCAAATATGTCCCATTTACAGGAATTTGGTGCGCCTGTATGGATACTAAGGGAAGGCGAGAATCTATCAAAACTAGACGCTAGATCAGAAAAACATAGCTTTGTAGGTTTTGTTGATGGTCCCAAAGCGATCAAGTATTATGATGAAAGAACTCGCCCCATTAAGATCTCAAGGAAACTATCACTTCCTAAATGAAAAACTCCCTAACGAAGCTCCAAATGAAGGAGATGCACCCAGTGAACAGTGTGAAGGGGAGAAGTTGGCAGACCCGCTGAAACAAGGCGCAAATGAAAGTGCTAATGAAAACAGATCAAGCGTGAAACAAAAGAGGAAGTGTATAGAAGAAGAAAACATACCTTTGAGACAAAGTAAGAGAACAAAAACGGTACATGATTACCGGGTTCTAGATGATCCGTACCCAGAATTTGCAGAATTAGTAAATGATCCGGATGAGGAACAAATAAAAGACTCACCGGCAGAAATAATATACACTGCATTTAATGACTGCAGCACCGCACCAGATGATCCGAAATCAATCGCAATGACCAGAAAATCCCCGGAATGGCCAGAATGGAAAAAAGCTGTTCGCACGGAGTTGGACCAGCTAGAACATATGAAGACACGGGAGTTAGTCGATCCCCCAGAGGGACGAGTCCCAGTCAGAAATAAGTGGGTCCTAGTCCAAAAATTTAATAAACAAGGCGAGTTAGTGAAATATAAAGCTCGTCTAGTAGCGAAAGGCTACTCACAGATTCTAGGAATGGACTACACCAATACATATTCACCAGTAGTCTGGCTAGAGACAATCAGAACAATATTAGCATTAGCAGTCACCCAAGATTGGGAGATCCAACAGATGGATGTGAAGGGTGCATACCTAAATGGTATTCTCAAAGAAGAGGTATACATGAACCAACCCAAGGGATATGAAGATGGTACCTCAAGGCTGTGCCAATTAATTAAAACACTATACAGGTTGAAACAATCAGGTCGAGAATGGAATATCGAGTTGAATAATAAACTCGAGACCAAAGGATTTGATTGATTATATTCAGATCCGTGTGCGTACATCAGAAAGTCTAACGGAGGAGTAGAAATCATCACCGTGTGGGTAGATGATCTATTAATATTTACGAGTGATCCAAAACTTATGAACAACCTGAAAAAGGAACTTAAGGATATGTTTGAAGTTACAGACTTAGGAGATCCAAACAAGATTGTAGGGATTGAGATTGAGAGAGACCGAGAAAAGGGAGAACTCAAAATCTCGCAATCCAAATATATTGAAGCAATTTTTGAAAGATATGGACTCTCAGAAGCAAACACTGTAACTACACCTCTGGATCCTAAGGTAAAACTCGAACCGTTGACGCACACATCCAAAAAAGGAAACCGAAGTAATAACTACGCTTCTTTGATCAGATCATTGATGTATGCAGCTGTTGGTACAAGACCAGACATAGCGTATGCAGTCTATAGATCAGCATTGTACACAGCAGATCCAAATATATCACATTGGACAGCTGCTAAGAGAGTACTACACTATCTAAAAGGGACGAAAGATCTTGGGATAGTATATAAAACCCAAGAAAAATAAAAATGAAACCCATTTTACCGGATATTCAGATGCCAGCTTCGCCAACAATGATGATCGTACATCCATATCAGGCTATACTTTCATATCAGCCGGCGGTGTGATCACATGGGGATCGAAGAAGCAAAATACAGTTGCTCTTTCAATGACCAAAGCCGAATATATTTGTCTCTCAGATGCAGCAAGAGAGGCAAAATGGCTATGGAATCTACATATGGAACTAGGGTATAAACAAAGTTATCCTACATTAATCTATGGAGATAATGCAGGATCACTAGTGATCGCACAAAACCCTCAGTATCATAAGAGAACAAAGCAATTTGATATAAAAGATCATTACATCCAAAATCAAGTAAAAATAGGTACAATCATTTTACAGCTGTGTGCAAAAAGGTTGACAGTACATGTGTGACTAGAATACATTAGGAAATAAAATAAAACACCAGTGAGGACGGTACCACCATGTTTTCACAAGTCAAAGTAGATAGTTTACATTATAAAAACTGAATATTCACGTCCAGGAGTACCGTAGTTGTGTCAAACAATGTTCCCCGTACGTGTTTCACACTGTTATGTTTTTTAAAAAAAAAATTCTGATATATTTAAGTCATGCGTTTACTGTCAACCATTTTGCACATAGCTGTAAAATATCGTTCAACTGCAAATATGACAGTGGACATATTTATGAAGGCACTAGCTAATCCTAATCACTCCAAACATCAACACGAGCTAGGAATGTCCTCAGCTTGAAGGGGAGTGTTGAGAATATATGAACAACCTGACGAGATTCAGCCACAATGATCAGATTAAGTAATCGTCTGAGTTCTACATAGTATTGATAGCTCGACGGTGATATCCGAATAGATGGGACTCGTTGCACCACCTGTTCCTGACTGATCACACGCAAAATCAGAATCCAGACTTATATTTTATTAAAATGTTGCGCTCTATCTAAACAATCTACGTATATTGAATCTTAACACCAAGGCTTCATTTAGTTTTCAATCTCCGTCCGCATCGCACTTAAGTATCTCGTCTGCATTGTGTTTGCGTACCTCAGTCGTTGATTCACAACACTGAGCGTGATTCCAACAGTGAGTGCTTCGCGAGTTGCGAAACAACTCAAGGCCAAGGTCAATTCAGAATTTGCCACCGGGAACAAATAATGACACCATCACACTTTAGTTTGCTGTCCCAGGCATATATCCATATCTATGGTGGACGATAGGTTACGGTTCAATTTGCCGATTTGCCGCAACTCGATTAATCATGACGCACCGCGTCCCTTCAATATTAATGGGCATCCTGCTTGTTTCTCTGATTCCACATTTCAAAATAAGTACGACTCATAGTCTCGTCCCACGCTTTATGACTTCAAGCTCATTCCCATCTTCCTGCGCAGCTCACATTGTCCGACCACAGTGGGACATGTGTATCTGACACAAACCCATTGGCTGGACCAGTGGGGTCATGTATCAACCTCTGTCGGTGCACACCGCCAGAATTATAAAGAGAGGTGGACACAATGAACCGGCCACAAACTGCAAGGGAAGCCCACAGGCCAGACTTCTAAGGCGGCAGGTGGCCTCTCTACTGACTATAACATGCACATTGCAGGACAGGCTGACTCGGGGGGACTACCAAATTACAAACCAGGACTCTGGCCACTCCTCTGGGATCACCTGGCATTATCACGGAGGACCAACCACCTTGGTACAACAATGAACATGACAGCAAGGATGCTTAACCAGGTGCCACCTTCCTGGGGGCATAGCATCTGTAATTGTCGCCTCATGGGTAGTGGTGATGGTGATGTAAACACTTCACTCTGGTTTCTGCTGACAGTCAGTTCATTCCCCTTCCTAATCTTTGACGTTCAAAAAAGCAGCATATATCTGCAAGTAAGCAAGTTGATGTGAGTCTACACGTATCAACGAGTGGGCTTCTACATGCACAGAGGACGGTTGTTCGAGCGCGAGCCAAAAATGAAACTAAAGTCAAATATGGTAGTGCACGAGCAAGACCGTGGCCGAGTTTGGTTAACCTGGTCGTGTTTGAATCCAGGATTATCAGATATATGGAAGCTTCACGTGCTACGGACCTGGTTGAGTGACAAAGGAAACAAATCAAAGACTGGCTCCACAGGTGACTTTGAGAGGTGACGACATGGATTCATCGCACAGCGCTTGTGAGATGGTGTAATAAGCATGAGATATCTACCCGCGAGCTGTTGGGTCGTGTGTCAAGCTCACCCAAGGTCTGGTTGTTGGTCATTGACAGAAGAGCCTACAGTTATGCTCATCATCATTATGACCTTTGTGGTCTGGTCACACTCACCGCATGCAAGCTTTGTGTAGCACGGGGTTGTGGAGATGCGTCAAGAAGGTATTTTTCAAGGTATACATATAATTGTATACCATTTGTCAGCTGTCTATGTGTACATGTGTATTGTCTGGATCTACGAAGCTCAACGTGTGTGATCTACAGATGGTCGACTTTAGGTTTGTCCAGCTAAGAAGACATGACACCTACATATCATAACTTACATCATCTCTCCCAGTGATGCAGAGGTGTTCCAGAATCAGGTATGCCGCTGCCAATCAGGCAAATAGATCTTCTGTACCTCCCAAATAGATTAATTGCAGGAATATACTGAAATGTAATCAAAGCTGCGCTTGGGCCTGCCCTTCTGCCCTTCCGCACTTCTATCCTTCTGCCCTCTTGCTCGTCTACTCGTCTGCTACCATGTGTTGTCCTCAAGCTCGCCCTCACACTACTGATCCAACTGCATTTAACCAGCAACTGTTATCGTCTGGACCATCCGAGATGAATCAGCCTGCTGGACTATCAATGTTGCAACAATAGCTGTTGTCACTCACCCCCGAGATGCAGCTCACTCTTTTGACACAGGTTCAGGCAAGGCAATCCGTCCCTCCTCCTGTACCAATGTCCGGGCCCCTTGCCCCTGCCATCCAGCCAAACCTGGAAATTGCAGCATCTGTGGACAACCTTGCACGGAGAATGGAAGGCCTCGAAAAAGAGCTGTCGACACTGAAGCGGCCAAGGAATGACGGCGAGGACGACAACGATGATGGTGATGTAGAACCAGATGATGAGAACCGACCTCATCCACATCCTACACACCGACGTGCAACTCGAAAGAAGCAGAAGAAGGAGCCAAAATATATCCTGAACATCCCCAAAGGAGAGCTGTCAGCAAAACAGCTGACAACACGATCCAAACTGCAGGTGCGCACCATGTTTCACAATTTGTGTTGTATTTTATCTGCTATATATGTCAAAGCTGCTTGAAAGAGACTATATCTAATCTTACTGGACTTATCGCTAGTGAGATTGGTGAAGAGCAGGATCAAGACATAGACAAGGATGATGCAGCCGAACCTCCAAAGATGGCATTCAACTTCCAAGGTAATGCTTCGAGTGAAGCTAACTCAGCTGTCTTCATGCAAGCTGCGAACGTAGTCTGGAAGGAACAGCAAGTAAGTCGATGCCTAACATGACGAGACGAGCTCTTATATGCACCTTAAAGGACAAGGAAACTTGTGCGCTGCGATACAAAGATGTGCGCTATACTCATGGCGATCTTGTGGCATTCGCAAAGTCCAAGTTCAGGTCCTACAAGCGCAAGTACATTGAAAAGACCGATGAAGAGAAAGCCGCAAAACATCGCCAGTTCAACACTGCTAACAAGCGCCTACGTCATCAAGAGCATGTAAGACTTGTTTCATGTATTCATCATATGAGCTGACGCACCAATTGAATAAGCTTGCTGAAGATTGAGAAAAGGCAGTCGAAGAGTACAAAGCCCGGAATGAAAAAGACCCCACAGATCTTCTACAACCTGAGTATATGTCAGAACAAGCATCAGAGGTCGATACAGATGACGAGGAAAAGAGGAAAGATAGGCAGAAGGAGCTATACCAAGCGGCCAAACTAACTGAGCGTGAAGTTCACGCAGGTATTCCTGTATGGGAAATTATCAGACCGGCGTGGCGAGCAGATGAGGCATAAAACTGCCCAATAAACTTACTCTGCTGATTTTTCACCGACGACAGGTGACGAAAATCTTGGATGAGCTAGATTCAATTAGGGACGAACAGCACAAAGAGTCCAAATGCAAAACAGCACTCACCAGACGTGTCAATCTTGGCAACAAAAGCAACACCCCACCGTCACTCGCTATCTTTCCTTTCATGTTGGACGTCAGGTGGCACAAAGAACACCAGGCCGCAAATCCAGGTTCAGGACTAGTCGAGATCTATGAGAACATCCCAGATGGTTTTGGATGACTTGACACTATGATCCAACCTGGAGGCAACAGCAACGATCGTGGTCAGGTCCTGAACGATGGAAATCAAAGTGAGAGCAGTAATAACGATGATGATTCCAGCATTTCTTGATACCAGGGTAAAGGAACAAATCACGCGCAATCCTGTGTGGCGCGCTAGCGAAATTGTATTATATGAAACATCGACTGATTAGAAAATTTGTACATCCTGTGATTCACGTTGCTGGTCAAATTAACTCTGGACTTCAAATAGAAAACTTACACGACTGAGACCGATCGTCACCCAAACCTTCACGTTATGTCCAGCCACATTTTTCAATATCAGTGTAACACAAGAAGCTTGAGAGACGAGCAACTCTGGGGAAATTAGCTGGGCAGGACCTTCCACTGCGGCATTAAGAAATTTCTCGTGTTCCCAGAAGAAGACTTCAAGTTCGGGGCTAATCAATTATCTCAGTAGATGTCTGATGTTAAGTGTACTGTGAAACTCACTAGCGAATCCAGTGACGAAGACCAACATCCATTTTTCGCTGAAACCATTGAACATCAAAAAGAATTGATTTGTTCTTGACTCCACATTGTTTATGAGACACGATGGCAAATACTTGCCCAACAAAGCATGTACCATTAAGGTGAACCTGAATAATAGAATTTGGTGCCCTTGTCAACGAGGTTGATGGTGAAATGTGTCGTCCGTCAACGATAAGATGACTATGAAAATCTGTTCATGCAAGAAGATAGTTCGGATTGGGGTTTTCAGCAGTTGTATTTGTGAGTACGCTCACAACGCTGGCCTGCGGATATGTGTTCTGGTAATGCCGAACGAGCTGATGTTGCTGTTCACGGGATAACAAGGCTTTCACAGGTGTTCTGAGAGAGAAACAAGCTGTTGCTATCTCACGTCAACTGACTGTAACATGCAGTGAAACTAAGACTTACCATCTGTACTCGACTCCTCAGCTTCACATGCAAGTGAGGCTACAGTTCCTCAAGTGTCCCCATCAGTAGCAAGCATCAAACGGATAGTATGAAGGAGAAGTCTGGACTTGCTATTGTCCTCTGTGTTTGTGGTTGCCAACAGGTTGATGAGCTGCATGCATGAGATGATTTAAAATTAGTCTTCCGAAGTCATATATGCATGTGCAGAAATTTTTTACCATTGTACTGAGCTCACGGTCCTTTTCAAACGCACGAAACAAAGTAACCTCGAGTTCTCCACCTCCATGGTTGTTCGTGGAATAGCTCTTTAGCACCTTGTTGAGGCGCTCGAAGAGGAACATCCAGAACCCGTAGACAGGTCCATAATCTCGTAGTTGGTCAAAAATGTGGGTCACCCAGTGATGGGTTGGTTTGATGTCTTTGGGATGAATCTACATGTTCTATCATGAGCAAATATATGAACTTCGGACCAACACTTACCTTCACAAACCTGATCAAGTATTCATGCAGTAGCTGTCTTGCACGAGGAATATCACTGTCGTTGATGGAGCGGCCAAGAATAATTTTTAGTGCCGCCGCAAGCTTGATAAAATTATCCACGCCCTCTTCATGCATATGCATGACGGGCTTCTCGCTTGCCTTGTTATCTCCCTTCTTACCCTTGCCCGCTGCATTTCTTTTCACGTGATCCACTTCTTGTTTCTCCCAGTTGGCCAAGCTTACTTCATATGCTGCTTTGTTCTTCGGGTACCACTCATCCCAAACGAGGGGAATCCATCAGTGCGTTCAGAGTAAGTGTAGTCAAAATCAACACCGGCATGAGAGATGACCCACCATGATTGGTCCGAAGACAAGGGCTAGGCCCTTCCATTCATCAGAAGTCAAAGAACCTCCTGCAGGGTAGCCTACCTTCTCAGGAAGACGTGCTACCCATGAGGGCATTTCAAACTGTAACTGTCATTCAACAATGTGGATTTATACAGAAACTCGTGCTTACCACCAACAAATAAGCATGAATTTGATCCAGCTCACGAACAACCTCCGCAGTCCTAGTGCGCTGACAGAAATTCTTTCCATTAATCCAGGCATTGAACCATTGAGTCCGAATTATACCTAAGATCGTTAGAGCTTCATACACGTGAGGTCAGGCAGGATCCACTCACCAAGCAGGAAGCTATGCATAGGATCTATTACTGTCATTCGGACTGGGTCGAAATATGGCAATTGTGCAAGCTCAAACCACCGCACACTATGCTTCTTGAAATATGCTTCACGCTCACTTGATGGTAGATCGTGGTATTCCTTGGCACATTGCTTATGCTCTTGACCGTCGCGCGCAGTAAATTCTAGTAGGCATGTCAGCAACACCATCACAACACGAACTTAAAAACGGACTATCATAGTCCATGGCATCTTCTGTAGATAGCTTACTCTTCGGGATGTGACATCGCGTGCAGAATCCCTCTTCCTTCGAGTGTCCTCCGAAGCCGCACACCTTACACATCGCGGGATGGTCGCAGCAGACGGCGACAAGAATGACACGAATCCATCGACCACTTGGATACCCCGGTGTCTTGATGAGAATACCGTCGTCATAGAGCTTGAGGAGGTCATCGATATAGTTCTTCATGAAGTGCTGTAGTTGGTCCGAGTTAAATTCCTTTGGCCCCGGAGTGATACCGAAAATCATCAAATTCCGTAGTCGATATCTGAGGCATGCTGACGAGCTTATTCTAGTTGATACGTAAATATATCACGCACCGTAAATATGTTGGGAGATTGGTGATGCAGCTAGACATGACTCCTGAACTGTGAGAGCTTGAGGCGGTGGAGCGGAGCGACCCAGCGGGGTTTGGACGGATCGGTTTGGGCAAGAGCAGGGGCTGGAGGAGTAGGGTGTCAGGAGTGTCAGGAGTCCAGCAGGGTTCGGGGTCACGATAGTAGATACACGCATGTACAGCACGACACCATTATCATCATCATTGTCTAGCATCTTCCTCGTTCGCTCCTGAACATCGTGCTGACCAGTCCAGCGGCGCTTCTTTCATAGCTATATCTGTGGACGATAATTAGTGATGATTTTAATGAGGTACAACTACTTACCCATTGCAGCCGAGAGTGATTCCAATTCTCAATTCATCGCTGCTGCTACGCTCAGAACTGTTGTCGAAAAAGAACTCGCCGTCTGATCCACGTAGAGTCCGCCATATGTCGCCATCCTGAATTCTTGTCCTCTTGCCGGCAGGATTTTCCTGCTTTCGCCACGCATCCATCTCTTTCTCCATGCCGTCCTGCCAAAGAAGACGAAGCAAGGCATTAGAAAGTGGATGTTGTGCACACTGTAACTTTGGTTTCGGTTTAGAAAACCCGTGTTTCAACTCTGCATCCTTCGATGATTGTTCTGTTGGATGTCGAGAGGTGTTGTCAGTGGGTGGGGGAGGTGGAGGTGCGTCCATGTCGTCATCTGATGCAGGCGCTGTGTGTGAATTGGCTTCATTAGCTGTCCCTGCAACACCTCAATAGAGATAGATTTTGCAGTGCGTGCAGCGTGCCTCTTTGTCAGAGTCGGGAGGATAAACTCAGCAACAGTTTGGACACAAAGGGTGAACATCAAAATGATCAGTAAGTTCAAGCCTCGCATAAACAGTTTTCAATGTTTGCTCGGGCTTATCTTGCACCCCGAAAGCACCGAGACCATGAAATATGATGGCAAGCACTTTTAAAATCAGATTGTTAGCACGGTGGGGAAGGTGATAATAGAGGTTGAGCCACGGTACTAGAAGTAAGATGATCTTCCAGAACCAATAAGGCGAGGCATCATCAAGAACTTCGCAAGCAGGCCATGATGGTCTTTCTGCTGGCTGGACATCATCCATGGGGGCGTTCTCGTGCTGCAACACATCAGGAACAGAGGTGACTGGCACAATACTTGGCGCTGGGCTCTCTTCATCCATGCTTGACAGAAACGTGTCATCCAGGAGATCAAGCAGTGACCTCGACTTCACATGTCCATCTTCATGCAGAGGGTCCCCCTCCTCTCCTTCATCATCCAAACAGTCCTGAAGTAGCAGGGGCATAATCAGAAAATTGGTCTCGGTCACTGGCCTCAAGGAACAGGTCATGCAGTGAGCTGTCGTCGAAAATCTCATCAACATCCATTTCCGAGTTGAAATCAGAGCCCGTGACAGAAATAGCCATTTCGCTTGCCGGTGAAGGAGCTCTGGATGTAAATGTGTCGAAAGAAAAGGCTTCAGGTAGTAAGTCAATATCTGGAACGTCGAATTGAGAAGCGAGAGTCGGAGATGAGGGGGTGAGATCATCGAAAGGTTGGATATTGTCGTCAGAGGATTGCGCATGTGCTACATAGTCATTAAAAGATACATGAGAGCAAATCTCAGTTGCTTGACAGACAAAGACAAACCAAAATCAGACAAACTACCTGCTGCTATCTTGAAGTCAGCAGAAGGACCTGCCGATGCCACAGTCACCTTGAAGGTCCGTTGTTGTGTGGACGAGGTAGTTGCCTTCGATCTTTTTACCTTTTGTTACAGCAACATGGCCCCCCTATCTTTTTCTCACCCTTTCACTCTGTCACACCATCACAACCATCACCTCTTCACGATTCACCATGATGCTTGATGCACACTTCTTGATCCCCGCCGACCCTGATCTTCTGTGACAAGAAGCTAGACGCTTCCTTTGAACCCTTGATCTTCCGCCTCATGACCTGTACTTCTATTTTCCTTGATCCTCTCGTGAACCCTTATCCCTGACCTCATGGTCATATACCCTCAACCCCACCTTCCTGATATATCTATCTTTAGTTCCCTGACCTGCCCTGAACACTGTTCCTATTCCCTATATATAGTTGACTCCATTGTACTGTATTTCCCTAACTTGAATCTACTGGGTTTTACCTGAACGATCATCTGATCTCTTGACATTGATTACGAAACTGCTATACTCTTGGATCGCTATCCTTGAGTCGATATTATCTTTTATTCTCTTAGACTATCCGTCTTTGAGCCAATACCGATCTCTCGCCTAGACTTCATAGTCAACAGCGAAACCCTTCTTCGGCTGTCGCCTTAGAAGCTTACTTATCCTTCAGTCATAACCCGACGGCTGAGGCCACCGGGTATATTGACACTCCGACTCCTGATTGATAACTTAGAGGAAGTACTCTCTTCATTAACCATCCCAGTTCGAATATGACTTCTGTCGTAACACCTTTTGCTCCCTCTGGCGGTGCCTTCGCTCATCGTATTTTGGGATTTTCTTGCCTTTCGGGCATTCCTTAATGCACTCCGTACAGTTGCAAGTCACAGGGTGCTTCTTGGTATCATACTGGGTTTATTTGCTTCGCATCAGTAGACTGAAGCTGTGAAATAACAGATGACTCACTTTGCTCTTCTGCTTCCCCAGCTTTCCGGACATTTAGTTATAGACTTATAGTTGTGTGGTCAGGGTCAAGGGTGGTGGGGACTTAGAGAAAATTCGGGCAAGTTGTGAGGGCAAAGGTGGACTCAGTGTCCGTTGATTGACCTGACTATCAAACTACCATAGGTAAACTACTGGGTCGTATTCAGCAGATCCACCAGGTGAGGCAAGGTGTGGGGACAAGTTTTGAGCGCATGTTGACAAGCGGAAGTTCGAAGGCTTATACAGACGTGTAGCGTGGATCAGTCGAGGAAGAGTTTATGAAGTTATACATGATGTTGCTGCCGAATTGTATGTGAATGGGCGGTTGAGATTAGTTTCATCAATATATACAAAGTTAGACACGTGGCATACAGAACGATAGGGAACGCAGTGACTGTTGAATTCAGAGGGTGATTATGACAAGGTAATATCATTGGTGGTTTGTAAATACAAGAAGCAGACAGACATAGTATCGCAATCCCGCTATGAGTACAAAATTGATAGATGAGTATCCTGCAAAATCGCCATGGCGAGCCTCTGGGACCACTTGGCACACCACAACCCTGCACTATGATGCAAAGTATAAACTACGACAGTCAGTGTTAAAATAGCCATCCACGGCAAGTATCTTCCTGTGTAGTTCATGTTTGTGGTGGTGGGCAACACCCGCCAACAAAGTGTGACGCTACGCTTATATAAGCCAAATTCCCCTAAATCCATGAAAATCGCAGCACAGCTGCAAGAATTACAATTTCTACATCTATTACAATCTTAATTTACGAGAGTAAGGTTATATCTCAGTGGTCATGTAGGCGTAGTATTTGCAAATGAATATGCCACATACATTATAATTAACAAAATTCCGAGTCCAAGTTGAGATGTGGCCCAGTCTCCTACCCACCACTGCTGAGAGGTTGAAGGCGGACTAATAGGGCAGAGCAGATTGAGGGCAGATTGAGAGACCACGTGTTCCAGCAAAATTTCAATCCCAGCACAACTTTATTTCTTCAACCTCTCAGCAGCGGCTGGCGGATAACATTTATAAACATCGTCAGCCACAGCGGCTAAACTCTGCCGACATAGTGCGGAGTGTAAAATAAATACCTACCTGCAAGGAATATAATGATTAAATAAACCAATTCTTTAACCGCGCAATGGAGACAACCGATCAAGTCGACGCAATGTTGGAGGCTTTTGGCGTTGTTGGGATCTCGCCATCAGATTTCATTATCGAGCTGCTAAATGACCATCGTTACATCAACCACGAGACAGTAATCAATCTAAGAGAATCTGGACAGCACCTCGCGGAACTTCTCATGGTCCAGTCTGATGTGGTTAAAGGGTTATATGTACGAGAGGTACAGACACTGTCAGCAAAAGAGAGCGGCTACCATTTCTCGGTGCTAAATACATCTGTCGAACAACTGGAGGAGTTTGACATTGATGTGTTAGGTAAAGGAATGGAAGTGCACGCACCAATGTTATGGAATTTGCTTGATAGACTGCTTTCGGCGAGAAGAAAGGGACAAAACCGAGGTCATGGCAACAGCGGAGACCCGCAAGTTGGTGAGGATGATGTTAGCGAAGACGAAGAGGCTCTTTGGGAGGAACTAGGTGACTTGGATCTGGAGGAAATTGTGGAGGGACTCGAGGGGAACATGTCGAAGAAAAAGAACAGGATCATAGCACAGCGAAATAAGTTGACTACAATTGTAAGTTGAATCAAAGAACACAAACAGAATGCAAGCTAACTCACATCGGCAGAAAAAGGTCATTATTCTGAGTATATTGATGCAAAGCTCGAACCGAAATTCAAACGCGCTGCAGAGCATCGTTGGCATATTCCTGCAGTCAGTCCACACACCCCAAAAGGTCATCGACACGCTATCGAAAATGGGTGTTAGTGTGTCCGTCGATGCAATAAATGCAGCAGTACTGTCGTTGTCTGCAGAATCCCACCGTGCTATTCATGCCCTTGGTTGAACGCTGCTTGCATCCTATGCATACGATAACTTCGATGTGGACCTGAAAAAAACTGTACACACTGTCAGTGAATCTGAAGACACGCTGGTACACCTCACCTCTGGCTTGCTATTCCCGCTGCAGCATGGCGTGACACGCGAAGACTTACGGTGCTCGATTACACTGTGGGAAAAGTCTCCCCTCAACCTACAGCTCAATCCGTCAACAGTCACAGCGAAAGGGGGATGGAAGGACCTACTGCGGTTGCATCCAGACTCCTTGAATGCAGCTGGGCTGTCTCGTAGAGACCGCTTCAACTCCTGGAAAATTCTTTCCGACCTAATCAATTACGGACCCCTATACTTTCGTCAGTTCAAGGACCGACTTGGCGATCCAGAAACAGTCGATTCTATACCTGTCACAAAGACACCCATTCTCGCAGCACGCGTTATGCATCTCAGCAACTCCACAGTATCCGGAAACATAAGTTCAGTAGTAGAACTACTGCGACAGGGAGGGATCGAGGATCCAGACGAGATTGATGATCCGGACATGCCGGACATGTCAGAGTATGTTGTACTGTTCCACGGCGACCTTGGCTCTGGGGAACGTCTTCAGGCAGCCCAGCAACGACGGTCAATCGAGGACACACATTGGAAGCGCCTACAACATGTAGTTTTCATCCCCGGTTTGTTTCACTTGAAGATGGCCGGTGCAGATGCTATATGGCGCACATTCTTGCAGCAACCGTCAGCACGTGACGATGAAAATGCGTTAATGCACGATGTTGCAATTCTGCGTCCAAAAGAAACAGGAATCTATGGATCAAAACCCGGTTTTCGCCACATGCATGAACTCGTCACGTACGATGGTATATGTCGACGACTGGATTGCTGGAGGGTCGAGGCAAAGAAGCAAAATACTTTGCATGTGGATCTTGATGCATATGCGGCATCAGAGCCTCTGTTCGATGAGCTGAAAACGATGGCTGATCAGCTCGCACAGACATATATCACCAATCATGGACTGCGGCGGACAAGGTCCGCAAATCACTCACAGCGGGACGAGCAATACGAAAACGGACTCCTCCTAAATAGATACTTCCTATTGTACGAGGAGCTCTCGTATGCGATGAACTCGGGGGATATCGGCCGTGTGGAGACATGCATCGTTGGGTGGATCTTGATATTCAAAGCTACAGGCAAGCATAAGTATGCGACACAAATGACCGACTTCCTGTATAACATCTCCTGTATGGTTCAGATATACCGGAACTTGCACCAAACGTTTGAGTCGAACATGATGCACGCGAACGTCACTAGTCGACATGCAGAGGTGGACATGACACAAACATTCAAGCAGCTATGTAAATACATAGCGGAGCATTCCCCACATGAACACACACCAGGACGACATAGCAAATACTCTATCCCTGACCTATTCAGCAAGGGCCAGGAACTATTAGATAAAATGGAGGACGGAGCGGAGGGAGCCGAAGATCAACTTGAAGCAATGTTGGAAGATTTGGTGGTAGAACTAGGCGTATAGCATATGTGTGTCTGTGGCTGCTTCCTATGAATACAGCGTGTGGCAGGGAAAACACGTCACGTACCGAATTTTCCTTGTCGTCAGATGTCGTGATCCCAGTAGTGCCACGTCGAGAAGGGTGCATAGCGCATACGCGATTGCGCTCTAAGGATTTATTTCGTCAAAAGCTAAATATTTAAAACAAGAGAAACCTACTGTTATGTCCCTCAATATTACAGGCGCTACAACGGCTGGCTTTTCGTGCTGTTGATTGAAGGGGATTTGAAGGAGGAGTGGCGTTGTTGTTGGCGCTGTTGTTGGCGCTGTTGTTGTTGGCGCTGTTGTTGACGGATACGGATGATGATTGGTGTTGGAGAGGAGCCAAAGTGAGAACCGGTGCGGAGGCAGGAACTGGGAAGAGACGGTGTATAATGGTAATGATATCACCACCGAATTCGTCAGAACCAGACCACCGCGTCTCTTTGCGGAGGTCTTGAATGGTAACGATTTTTGTGTGCTGTGCGCAGTCCACAATACGATCTAGCACGGAGTCAGGCATGACAAGGCTGGGACCATAGTCGCAGAGGTTGGAATCTCCATATACTCTTCGGGTTACTGCCTCTCGCCAATCCTCCAAAGACCCGCACAGATCAAATCCCGCTGGTCCCATGGTAGTGTGCTTGGGAAGACGAGAGCGTTGAGGGGCCTTGGGAAGTGTTGGCACGATAGCGTCGAAGAACAGGAATGCGTTTGGGTGGTGGATATCGCAGCAGGTCTCGGGTGGGACAGGTGCGCAACGTAAACAGCCTTGCGGAAGTGATGGATCACAAGCGAAGTGGTCTGGAGCTGTTAACGAGTCATTGAAGTACATAAGACATTAATAGAAGCAATACATAATATTAATAGACATTCTCACCTGCAGACGTTTCGTCAAAGTGAACACAAAATACTCTCCGTCGACACTGGATTGTATCCCGGAGATGGGCATTTATTAAGCAGTCCATCGGAGGATCGAGTTCTTTCCTTTTCTTCCGTGCGTTCCATCTAGTCTTTCCCTCCGCAGTTGATGTAAGCATGTCGCGTAGCTCTGAATCCCTATCTCCTTCGCCCGCATTGTTGCCACGTTCATTCCCATCCATGCGCTCATCTTCAACTTGAACGTTCTCATCCTCAACTTCTTCTGTGGGTGCTATGACTTGCTTGGCTACATGCTGGCGTTTATTTCTGGATTGGATCATAGCAGCAGGTGCGCTGGACTTGTCATCAGCTTTCCGCTTCCTCGTCTCTTGACGCTGACGTCTCTCTTGGTGCACATCGTCAAAATATTCCTTCTCGGCAAATAGGACTGCAGTGCCCTGCAGCAGCCGATCTCTGGCAGCGCGCCCCCATCTCTGCCACAATGTTGATAGCTTGCATGTTGCCCTCCATTGGATAACGAGCATGATGTCAGGTATGTCCATTCCCTAGTTAATCAAGTTACTAATGGCATTCACATAGAATATAGACCGCTTACCATTCCGAACGACTCAGTTGTGCAAAGTCCCCATGTCTCACCTGAGGTAAGCCGGCGGACTTCGTTTTCTTTATATTCCGTGGTCATATCTGAATTAAACCATTTTATTTTGTCACGCATCTCGACGGGAAGTCGCTTCTGCAGTGATTTAGCGGCTGCGATTGCGTCCTGAATACTGTCGAAAAAAACAAGGAACTTCGGTGGTATGGGATCGTTGTTCTTCCACCCATCGGGGATGAGAAACGCCAAGTCTTGGAATGACGCAAGTGAGTGTTTGATCTTCCGAACACAGAGCTTGATATTAAAACGATCAATAGAAGTTTTGACGGTTACGAGGTTTTCTGCGCGCATTCGAAGAAGGCGTTTTGCATGGGAAAGATCACTGGGTGCCAGTGTCGCGGATGCCATCATAAAGGGCACATAGCATGGTAAAATGTAGCGTAAGCGTTGCAACTCCTTGTACTCTGGACGGAACTCCCCCCATGACGTTATACAGTGTGCTTCATCGAAGATAAATCTGATGATCTGCGAAGCAAACTCAGGTTTGTGTAGAAGTTTTTCAAACTCTCCCCCTGGCTTCATCAGCTGCTCTGGACTGACTATCACAACCAGGTACTTCATGTCTTCAATATCCTGACATGAATGAGCGCTGTAGGTCACATAGTTTTTTTTGATGTATATAGCCACTACTCACACGAAAATTACTCCAGCTGGCCGTCTCTGCCGATATTGATATACTTTGCATGCCGGCCTTCGCAAGTGAGTCCACGTTCTGCTTTCCGAGTTGATTTAAAGGTGTCACAATGATCTGGAGGCCTTTCTTTAAGAGAAGAGGCAACCAGAATGACATAGTTTTCCCCAGCGACGTGCCAGCGATACAGACTATATCACGGTCTTTCTGAACAAAGGCTTTAGCGACTTTCATTTGCCAAAGACATGGCCGCTTGCCAAAGCACTCGAGAGCGAGTGCTCGTAAGTCGGCGAAGCTAGGGGCTTCGGAATTGGAAGGCAGTTCAGGCATATGGCAAAATAGAAGTTGCACGGTTAAAGAATTGGTTTATTTTACATATATATTCCTTCCGGGTAGGTATTTTTTTATGCTCCGCACTATGTCGGCAGAGTTTAGCCGCTGTGGCTGACGATGTTTATAAATGTTACAGTCATTGACCGTCATTTGAGTTTGAAATTTTCGGAAGTCTACCACAACACAACCTGACACAATCTCGAAAATCGCTTTCGGGGATGTCACGATAGATAGCTAATCTACTTCGAACAAAATTTTGAAGAACATCAAACGAGATGTTATTCCGCAATGAAAAGTGCATAAATCTTGGTGTTATCGTACGTTCACCATCATTTGAGTTCACCCAAAAAGGCAGATTTATTCCCTAGTCGCGCGCTTCCTCGCTATGCATCTGACTCATCCTCTTCCTCGTCAATGTGGGCGAGTGCCGGCTTTGGAGTTCGTGTTTATCGGATCTCGCTTATTTTGCTTCGGTGACACTGATAAGATACTATTGAGACACTCTGCACCGGCAACATTCTGGCAACATACACACTCATCAGCTCCCTTGCGGAATAGAACAGTGATGTGCTTGAAGGTTGTTTGCATGTATTTCTTCAATCTACGAATCCGATTCTAGTTGTTTTGCTTTCAGGGACGTATAATAGTGAAAATTTCGCAACAAAACATAACATCGCACAGTTGTTCGAGGTCTTTCATACCTATCATTACTGCCAATATGTAGTTAGGCACATAACTCGTATGATAGAACAAAAACGTTACATGGGATAGTATCAAATTCGAGTGTCATACAAGGTAAACGCAAATGATGGTGAAAACTCAAATGACGGTCAATGACTGTATCCGCCAGCCGCTGCTGAGAGGTTGAAGAAATAAAGTTGTGCTGGGATTGAAATTTTGTAGGAACACGTGATCTATCTAAAATTCTCCCGCCCTAGCAGTCCGTCTTCAACCTCTCAGCAGTGGTGGGTAGGAGACTGGATGTGGCCCGCATGTTCAAGTTAGTGTAAGCCTGTTGCTTACTACAACACATCACGTGCTTGTTCGGTTACCTTATATCACCGCGTCTCCTTGTCTTTATCTCAGACTCGGGTCTCCTAGATACCACGACATTGCTCCTTTGTAACATTTCTCCAAATCCACGATCTTGTTCCGTTATCTCCTGTCCGATCAGTCTTAGTTTTTCCCGCCGATTCCACGGCGGGTCTCCAGTTAGGTTTCTAAAATGGATTCAAGGAAATTGAAATGGAACACAAGATTTTATGGATGAGATGTTTGCTTATGAAGATCATGAACACTTACATCGAGAAGGGAGTAGAGTTGACGAGAGTATAATTGCGAGACAGCAGCACAAAGCTATCACGGAGTATGTGGACAAGGTTGCCAAAGAAACTCGGAGAAAATTAGTAGAACGTGCATGGAAAGACACCGACTGCAACGGACTTTCGATGGTCAGTCTTGTTGTTGATCCTGCGCATCTCGAGGCAATGCTGATGCCAGCGCTCAGCAATCAATTGGAACTTCAAGCCGGCTCAGTATCGAGACCAACATTCCCACGGGCGGCCCATGCAGAAATACTATCAGGGGTAATAATAATTAATAAAATATCACAACAGGTCGTCAAAGTGAATGTGCCGCAGTGTTTGCCAGTGAGCTAGGTGAGAGACGAGTGTGGAAACACGTATCACAGTAGGTCGTGTTCTTTGTTTGTACGTGTCTGTGGCTGAGAATTCGCGTTTTAGGGGCCCCGGTACATTGCAGTGTGGGTACTGTATTTCTGCATAAATCACTGTTCTGTCACTATTAAGCTGTGTGTTATTTTATGCAATGAACAAAATGTTGAGGCTCGATTTTCAAAAATCACCCATTATTAATATTACGGTGATATGCACGAGGTGACACGTTGATCTTGACGAGTTTTGAACTATTTAAAATTTTGGCCTCAACATTTTATTCCTAGGCTATTACATAGTATTTTGGTCTAGTTGGATTGTTCAAAAAGTTGAGAATACGGTACCCAGACGTTTGTGCCGCCTCATATCTGCTATTTGGGCGTCTAAGGCCCGTGGGAATGCACACTGTGTTGGCGGGTGTTGCCCACCACCAATGTTTGTGCGCTTAGTGGCTAACATCCTGCTCAATGAGTGCAACGGCTTTGGCAGAGCGAGGTTTAATAGAGCACTTGAAGGATTTGGGGTGACTGGAAGTGTGTCTAGTCAGACCAACGCCCGGACGTGATAAGACGTGACAAACCTGATCGTGCCTGACGAGGGATCAACCTCAGGGGTGATCTCAACGCCGTTCTCGACGACCTTGGAGATATCGAATACGGCCAATGACATCGCCGTGGATATCCAGACGGAGGCTTCAGCGAGGTGGAGACCTGTGCATGAGAAGCAAGCAACGTCAGAATACATCTGTTTATCGGCGCTTCTGTGAGTTGGGCACACCTGGACAGATACTGTGGAGCAGAAAGTTAGCATTGCACTAAAACCAACTCCGTGCTTACCGTCTTCCAAAGCCGAAGCATATTGTGCGAGGCTCTGTCTCAGGCTTCTTTCCATTATTAGCCAAAAACCGTTCAGGGTTGAATTGTGAGGGGTTGGCATATGTCTCCGGATTATTGAGCATGAACCTGGCATTATATTCAGTTAAAATATCGAATACAGAAGAGAAGGGGGTACTGACCAAATGTTAGGTATCACTAAGGAACCTTTTGGAATGTAGTACCCGTCATGGATGTCGTCCTCAGTGACACAGTGGGCGAAACCTGTCATTGAGATACCGCTTGGGAACCAAAGAATGCGTTAAATGGGATACACGGACCGGTAGGGATAACAGCATGCCATCGTAGGGCTTCTTTGGTAAGCGCCTCAGTGTAGGGGAGAGAGTCTCGGTCGGTGAATGAGGGAAGACGATCGGGACCGACAACAGCATCTATTTCAGCCTGAGCCTTCTTCTGCACATCAGGGAATAGTGACATAGCCAGGAAGAGTGAGTAGATTGTAGAAACAGTCTGAGGAAAGAAGTGTAGTACTCTCAGAAGATGATTAAAAATACGTAGGAAGCGACCTACCGTGTCGGAAGCGCCGGCATATAGAGATCCAGCAGACCATTTCACAACGTGATCATCTTCCACAGACAGAGTACGGCCTTCCAACAGATCCGAGGTAAAAGACTTCGGGGCAATGCCAGCAGCCTGTATCATTCGAACTTCAACGCATGATCGCACAACTACAAATATCGGTCACCATCTGATCCTTGACGAACTTGTAGGGTGCAGAAACCATTTCATCAAGGGTCTCGTGCCATTCACGGGCTAGACGCTTGAAGTCAGCGCCAGGGAACCACTCGGGGACCTTGGCCACTACACATTATAAGGCCATTAGAATAAATAAAAAACGTCTGAATGCTATAGCTTACAGAATGGCATAAAATCAACCATGAAGGCACCAGGAGCAGTAGAACGCGACCATTGGTCCATAGCACGATCTGCAAGATCAACGAAGGGATCATTGCTCTCTTTCACTTCATAACCATGAGAGATGCGCAGAATGATAGCCCCAGCGGTGCTATAAAAATCAAGATCGTGTCAATGCAAGGACGGATACTACATACTGTCTAATATGTTCCTGTAATTGGTCGGGTGTCGCAAACACGCGCTTAAGGAATCGGCGAGTCTCAACCACTTCGATCTGGCTGTATACGTCCACTGCAGCGCGGCTGCCAATGACGCGGTGGAAGTTCTTGCGGTACCGGCGTAAATGGTCACCGTAAGGGAGAAGAGTCATGATGTGCTTCCAGCCAACGAGTTCACCGCCAAGAGTAATGATAGGACGATCAGAGTACACAGTGCTCTTCTTATCCAACATGTCCATCGCAGTCTTGACAGAGTTCACCACCACGATATGTTGACCCAGAACCTCGATATGCGAGATATCACCTGCAAACAAGACTTGAAATCCAAGATGTTGGGGAAACGGGAGGTACTCACCATACTTCTTGCCCCACATAGCGAAGGTAAGCCAGGGCTTGATGCGGGGCATGTCTAGGACGTTCCCGATGAGAGGCCACCCTGGAGGACCAGGGGGATACGGTGCAGGATTCTTCTTGTTGAACGCATGCTTTAACAGATACGCTCCGACACACGCAAGGCATAGGTCGAACCAAGTGATGTTGGTGAGTGCCAACATAGTCTACTAGCAAATGACGAGCAACTTGAGAGTGGGTTTGTGTAGGGAATATTATCAGATGAGAGGAGTCGTATCAACTGATCATGTTATTTATACCTGAACGTTATCTTTACCGAACTTTCAATAGTCTCCCATAGTCAGCCCTTGGCAGTGATAGAAGGAAGACAGTTTTTCCTCCCGAACTTTGCGGAGGCTTCATTATGTTGTCGGGAATGATAGAGGCCATCGATCTCCGTGGAAACTAGCAACAGATCGAGCACTACAGAATTGGAAGGAGGTTAGAAGTAAGTATGATATCAGAATTGGACAAAGTTTCACCATATATGGCACGGTGACTGTAGGATGGGGGTCAACTCGCAGCCACTTCCACCCAGGGTACTTGGATGAAAGTGGTCAACGGTCATGCATCATGTCCTGAGGCCTGATGTAAATCATGGAAAAATCAAGGGCGTGTCACAGGGAACGTTTGAATGAACTTCTAAAGCCCGCCTCCCACAACCAAGCTTATTTTTGACGCCCTATATCATTCCGTGCACCTGAATGTCTCATCCCTGTCGAGTTTCGGGGTGTGCTTGAATACTTGCGGATATTGCTACAAAATCAAGACTGCCTTGCCAGTCGGTACTGCTTTCACGTCAAATACCTCGCGTCCTTGTCATTGATGATGCATCGATGATGAGCCGCTGGTGATGCATCGATATGATGTGACTGTGAGTGCTTCGCAAGTTGCGAAACAATTCAAGGCCAAGGTCAATTCAAAATTTGCCACCGGGAACAAATAATGACAACATCACACTTGAGTTTGCCGTCCCACGAACTGCAAGGGAAGCCTACAGGCCAAACTTCTAAGGCGGCAGGTAGCCGCTCTACCGACTATAACATGCGCATTCATTGCAGGACATGCTGACTCGGGGGGACTACCAATTTAGCAAGCCAGGACTCTGGCCAATCCTCCGGGACCACCTGGCACTATCACGGAGGACCAACCGCCTTGGTACAACAATGAACACGACAACAAGGATGCTTAACCAGGTGCCACCTTCCTGGGGGCACAGCATCTATAATTGTTGCCTCATGGGTAGTGGTGATGGTGATGGAAACCACTTCACTCTGGTTTCTGCTGACAGTCAGTTCGTTCCCCTTCCTAACCTTTGACGTTCAAAATAGCAGCATAGATCTGCAAGTAAACAAGTTGATGTGAGTTGTTCGAGCGCGAGCCAAAAAAGAAGCTAAACTTAAAACTATGGTAGTGCACGAGCGTCTTGTGAAGACTGCGGCCGAGTTTGGTTAACCTCGTCGTGGTTGAGTCCAGGACCATCAGATGATATATGGAAGCTTCACGTGCTACGGACCCGGTCAAGCGACGAAGGAAACAAATCAAAAACTGCGAAATAGAAATTTCCAATGTGAGCAGGTGTCTTCAAGTAAATGCCCGGACATCTGTTCGCGCGACGCGAACCCACAGCAATATCGGCGTGGACTCCGCAATAGTATGTTGTCGCAGGCCGTATCCGATGAGTGAAGACATAATAGGATGAGGTAAACATCGATAACAACACACAAAGCCTACTACAACCACGAAGTAGGCTGTGCCACATCATCAAGACCACTTGGAGTTCCACGTTCGGTTGAGCTTGTTTGCAACACCTGGGAATTGGATTTAAAACGTGTGCTCATATTGAATCAGACTGAAAAGTTTCACTCGTTTTCAGGCCCATCTACAGATACAGCGGACCCGATAGGAAAACACGGCCAAAACGACTTTGGAGGAGATGTAAGGATATGATTGGAAGATGAAGCAGATTTTTGGTCGCGATAAGAGTCCGGGAGCATCAGACCAATGCTTCTCGTGCTACGCTCTCCAACGAGCGACAACGGAAACCAAAATTCGACTGCACTGGAAGGTTCTGGCTTGTGACTCCAAAGCAAAATCTGGAGGATGAGCTTCACTATGCAGTGAGATAGTATGCTCAGCATGAGAAGCCTGTTGCGAGCTGTTGCCAAGTGAAGGAGTTGAGGGTGGTCACCGTGTGTCAAGGCTGCCAGGTGTGTAAGGCTTGTGTTAGTTCGAAGGGGAAATGATTGATCAAAAAGACACGAGAGAAGACGTTAGACTTGAATATATGAGAGTTTTGCGAGGGACGTCGGTGGTTCTAGACTGGGTTGAAACGCACTGAAATCGACAATGTCAACGTACGGACTGTTACAGAGGTCTTTTTGTATCGTAGGTTGCAGTGGCTCGAGTGGCTCGCGAGTCATACGTGAAAGTGTGAAACGGTAGGAAAGAAGAAACGTCAACTGTCAAAATCTAAGTACACGAGGGCGGATGCGAAGAGTAGAGCTCTTTGCATCGATAGGTACTAGTAGGAACGTTTGCGCCTCGATCTGAAGTATCGGTCGGCGCGTAAAGGATATGATGCCCTTACAGGTGTGTCAGTTATTGAACAGATAGTCGAAACACTTGGGTATTCTCCTCGTCAGTGAGCGGGAGGTGCCAGGCAGAAGCAGACTGTCAGGTAGACCGTGAGCATATTTACAGCATGCATTGAAACCAAGATAGAGTCAGAGGACATGTACAATATCGCGTTGTGACACCACAACCCTGCACTATGATGCAAAGTATAAACCACGACGGTCAGTGTTAAAATAGCCATCCACGGCAAATATCTTCCTATGTGTAGTTCATGTCCGCGCGCTTAGTAGCCAACATCCTGCTCAATGAGTGCAACGGCTTTGGCAGAGCGAGGCTTAATAGAGCACTTGAAGGGTTTGAGGTGACTGGAAGTGTGTCTATTCAGACCAACGCCTGGACGTGATAAGATATGTGACAAACCTGATCGTGCCTGACGAGGGATCAATCTCAGGGGTGATCTCAGTACCGTTCTCGACGACCTTAGAGATATCAAATACGGCCAATGACATCGCCGTGGACATCCAGACGGAGGTTTCAGCGAGGTGGAGACCTGTACATGAAAAGCAAGCAACGTCTGAATACATATCTGTTCATCGGTACTTCTGTGAGTTGGGCATACCTGGACAGATACTGCGGAGCAGAAAGTTAGCATTACACTAAAAACCAACTCCATGCTTACCGTCTTCCAAAGCCGAAGCATATTGTGCGAGGCTCTGTCTCAGGCTTCTTTCCATTATTAGCCAAAAACCGTTCAGGGTTGAATTGTGAGGGGTTGGCATATGTCTCCGGGTTATTGAGCATGAACCTGGCATCGTATTCAGTTAAAATATCGAATACAGAAAGAAAGGGGGTACCAACCAAATATTGGGTATCACCAAGGAACCTTTTGGAATGTAGTACCCGTCATGGATGTCGTCCTCAGCAACACAGTGGGCGAAACCTGTCATTAAGATACCGCTCAGGAACTAAAGAATGCGTTAAATGGGATACACGGACCGGTAGGGACAACAGCATGCCATCGTAGAGCTTCTTTGGTAAGCGCCTCAATGTAGGGAAGAGAGTCTCGGTCGGCGAAGGAGGGAAGACGACCAGGACCGACAACAGCATCTATTTCAGCCTGAGCCTTCTTCTGCACATCAGGGAATAGTGACATAGCCAGGAAGAGCGAGTAGATTGTAGAAACAGTCTGAGGAAAGAAGTGTAGTACTCTCAGAAGATCATGATTAAAAATACGTAGGAAGGGACCAACCGTGTCGGCAGCGCCGGCGTATAGAGTTCCAGCAGACCATTTCACAACGTGATCATCTTCCACAGACAGAGTACGGCCTTCCAACAGATCCGAGGTAAAAGACTTCGGGGCAATGCCAGCAGCCTGTATCATTCGAATTTCAACGCATGATCGCACAACTACAATTGTTAGTCACCATCTGATCCTTGACGAACTTGTGGGGTGCAGAAACCATCTCATCAAGGGTCTCGCGCCATTCACGGGCTAGACGCTTGAAGCCGGCACCAGGGAACCACTCGGGGACCTTGGCCACTACAGATGGTGAGGCCATTGTAAGCAAATGTCTGAATGCTATAGCTTACAGAATGGCATAAAATCAACCATGAAGGCACCAGGAGCAGTAGAACGCGAGAATTGGTCCACAGCACGTTCTGCAAGGTCAACAAAGGGATCATTTCTCTCTTTCACTTCATAACCATGAGAGATGCGCAGAATGATAGCGCCAGCGGTGCTATAAAAATTAAGATCGTGTCAATGCAAGGACGGATACTACGTACTGTCGAATATGTTCCTGTAATTGGTCGGGTGTCGTAAGCACGCGCTTAAGAAATCGGCGAGTCTCGACCACTTCGATCTGGCTGTATACGTCCACTGCAGCGCGGCTGCCAATGACGCGGTGGAAGTTCTTGCGGTACCGGCGTAATTGGTCACCATAAGGGAGAAGAGTCATAATGTGCTTCCAGCCAACGAGTTCACCGCCAAGAGTAATGATAGGACGGTCAGAGTACACAGTACTCTTCTTATCCAACATGTCCATCGCAGTCTTGACGGAGTTCACCACCATGATATGTTGACCCAGAACCTCGATATGCGAGATATCACCTGCAAACAAGACTTGAAACATGATGATGTTGGGGAAATGGGAGGTACTCACCATACTTCTTGCCCCACATAGCGAAGGTAAGCCAGGGCTTGATGCGGGGCATATCTAGGACGTTCCCGATGAGAGGCCACCCCGGAGGACCAGGGGGATACGGTGCAGGATTCTTCTTGTTGAACACGCGCTTTAACAGATACGCTCCGACACACGCAAGGCATAGGTCGAACCAAGTGATGTTGGTGAGTGCCAACATAGTCTACTAGCAAATGACGAGCAATTCGAGAGTGGATTTGTGTAGGGAATGATCAGATAAGAGGAATCGTATCGACTGATCATGTTATTTATACCTGTCATTAATAACAAGGATGAAAGCGATCACCGGTCATGCATATGCATATGCATCATGCATCATGTCCTGAGGCCTCACCCTCTGTCCTTTGCGGCACACCCCCAGAATGATAAAGGCAGACACAATGTATCGGACGCGAACTGCAAGGGAAGGCCAAAAGGCCAAACCTCTAAGGCGGGAGGTGGCTGTCATGCACATTGCACCGGCGGGAACGGCGGACTGATGAGGGTACGCCCTAGTGTACGTTGAATTTCGAACTGTCCGAAATTCACACCATGTGGTGAATTTACAATGCGCCCAGAGGCACAGTGTCAAATTCAGGTAGCCCCGAGTACATCAGTCACAGTATTCAGGCTAAACCCGTACTCCTTGAAAGAAACGGGACCTTTGTCATGGCTGACCCATGCGCAGTTTGAGTTCACAATTCAGTGCGCTGATAGAGGCTGATAGGACCATAATCCTCGATATTCTCGTCATCCAAGATAAAGAAGTCGAAGCCGTACTGTGGGCTTGAAGGGTCTGCGAGAGGAATTAATGTTTCTGGGGGGTTTTGAAGATAAAGACATAATACTTAGCTGTAGTTTATTTTTCGTTTCAACTTTGTCTGTTTGACGAGCTAAGTAGCCGCTATAGGTATTTACAAAAATTCATGAACACCACGGAGACGCCCGATGGGGAAAACCAAATTCACCCAAATTCACACATGTGAATCTGGGAACTTCGGGCATTTCGGGGGTGAATTAACGCTAACTTATAGGTGTAAATTAACACCCCTCTATTTGACCGTACACTAGTACTACGCCCTAGGCATCAGGGACCCTGGCACTACCACGGAGGACCAACCGCCTTGGTACCACAATGAACACGACAGCGAGGATGCTTAGCCACGTTCCACGTTCCAAGGGGCCTAGCATCTATGATTGTCGCCTGAATAGTGGTGATGGAAACACTTCACTCTGGTTTCTGCTGACAGTCAGTTCGTTCCCCTTCCTAACCCCTGACGTTCAAAATAGCAGCAAGTAAGCAAGTTGATGTGAGTCTGCACGTCCCAACGAGTGGGCTTCTACGCGCACAGAGGAAGGTTGTTCGAGCGCGAGCCAAAAATGAATCTAAAGTCAAACTATTGTAGTGCACGAGCGTCTTGTGAAGACCGCGGCCGAGTTTGGTTAACCTGGTCGTAGTCGAGTCCAGGATCATCAGATATATGGAAGCTTCACGTGCTACGGACCCGGTCGAGCGACAAAGGAAACAAATCAAAGACAGGCTTCGCGGGCGACTTTGAGAGGCGACGACAGGGATTCATCGCACAACGCTTGTGAGATGGTGTACTAAGCATGAGATATCTACCCGCTGCGTCAAGCTCACCCGAGGTCTGGTTGTTGGTCGTTGACAGAAGAGCCTACAAATATGCTCATCATCGATATGACCTTCGTAGTTCGGTCGCTATTGAATCCAGAGGGTGATTACGGCAAGGTAATATCATTTGGTGGTTTGTAAATACAAGAAGCAGACAGACATAGGATCGCAATCCCGCTATGAGTACAAAGTAGATAGATGAGTTTCGTGAAAATCGCCACGGCGAGGAATATACCCTACATGTTTCTCTAGGTTCATCTTGGAGCAACTTAGCAGTTTTCATCTTGCTGGATGAGCCCGATGGCTTTTGCGGAGCGGGGCTTAATAGAACACTTAAAGGGCTTGGGATGACTGCCGCGGCAAGTGTGTATGTGCATAACAGATGGCGGGACGCCAATGAGAAGCGCGACATACCTGATTGCACCTGATGAGGGATCAACCTCAGGGGTGATCTCAATACCATTCTCGACGGCCTTGGAGATATCGAACACGGCCAGTGACATCGCAGCAGATATCCAGATGGACGCATCAGCGAGGTGGAGACCTGAACAATCAAGCGACGTCAGAAATGCCTTGTGGATCGGCACCCGCTGTAAGTGTGGCTAACCTGGGCAGATACTGCGGAGCACAAAGTAAGAATTTCGCTCAAACAGTAATTCAATACATACCGCCTACCAAAGCCGAAGCATATCACACGAGGGTCAGTCTCAGATAGCTTTCCATCCTTGGTTAAGAAGCGTTCAGGGTTGAATTGAGAGGGGTTAGCATATGTCCGCGGATCATTGAGCATGAACCTGTTGCATTCAAAGAATTAAATTTTGTGAATACGCCAATTACAGAAAAGGGGAGCACCAACCAAATGTTAGGTATGATCAAGGAGTCTTTTGGAATGTAGTACGTGTCATGGATGTCGTCCTCGGTGGCGCGATGGGGACCGCCTATCCGTTGGGGATAACCTTCAACTAAGGATTGTGATAAACGAGATACACATACCGGTAGGGGCGACAGCATGCCAGCGTAGGACTTCCTTTGCGAGCGCCTCAGTGTAGGGGAGAAAGTCGCGGTCAGCGAAGGACGGAAGACGATCAGGACCAATAACGGCATCGATCTCAGCTTGAGCCTTCTTCTGCGCATCAGGGAAAAGCGTCATGGCCAGGAAAAATGAATATATCGACGAAACTGTCTGAGAAAGGAATCAGTCTCAAAATGCGATGGTTTGAAATATGTAGGCCAATTCTAACCGTGTCGGCACCGCCGGCGTATAGGGATGCAGCAGACCACTTCACGATGTGATCCTCTTCGGCAGACAAAGTCCGGCCTTCCAACAGATTCGAGGTGAAAGACTTTGGGGCAATACCAGCAGCCTGTAATATTCAAACCTTAACTCGTGGCCACAAAATACGAATATTAATAGTCACCATCTGATCCTTGACGAAGTTGTGGGGTGCAGAAACCATCTCTTCGAGAGTCTCGTGCCATTCACGGGCTAGACGCTTGAAGCTGGCACCAGGGAGCCACTCAGGAACCTTGGCCACTACAAATAGTCAGAGACTTGGAAGCAAAGGTCAGAATACTATAGCCTCACAGGATGGCACGATGTCAACCATGAAGGCACCGGGAGCGGTGAGCCGCGAGAATTGGTCCATAGCACGATCTGCAAGGTCAACAAAGGGATCATTGCTCTCTTTCACTTCATAACCATGAGAGATGCGCAGAATAATAGCGCCAGCGGTGCTATAAAAACTCAAGACATGCTGGTGCAAGGATAAATAATACATACTGTCGAAGTTGTTCCTGTAGTTGGTCGGGTGTTTCAAACATACGCTTAAGGAATTGCCGAGTCTCTATATCCTGGACCGGGTTGTAGATGTCCAGAGCGGCGTGAATCCCAGCGACGCGTCGCAAGTTCTTGCGGTACTGGCGAAAACGGTCACCACAAGGAAGAAGAGACAAAGTGTGCTTCCAGCCACAAAGTTCACCACCCATAGTTAAAACAGGTCGGTCAGAGTAGATAGAGCTCTTCTTTCCCAGCATCTCCATCGCAGTCTTGACGGAGTTCAGCACCACGATGTGTTGACCCAGTATCTCGACATGCGAGATATCACCTGTAGATGAGACTCTGAAATGCACGATTTTGGAAAATCGTGAGGCAGTCACCATATTTCTTTCCCCACTCGGCAAATGTCAGCCAGGGCTTGATGCGAGGGATGTCTGACACATTGCCAACGAGAGGCCAACCGGAGGGACCAGGGGGATATGGTGCAGGATTTTTCTTGGTGATTACCTGCTTTACCAAATACACCCCGACACCAGTAAGACATATGTCCAGCCAAGTGACGTCGGTGAGTGTCAACATGGTCTGGTAGCAGAGGATGGGCAAGTAAAAAAGTGGGGTTTCTGAAATGAGGGATTAGATACGATCCTGACTCCGAGTCCTCTCCAGTGTCAATGATAAGTTGGCTACGCTGCGTTAGCTTTCGACGGTAAAAGACGATGTGCGTCTAGAGAAAGGACTTGATAAGTCCTGTACATTGTTAGTAAAGAATGTAGGCATCGTGGTATACGAGGCTCACCCCCAGTTGAGACTGGGGAAAAGGGTAAAAAGGGCTGTAGCGAACATGTTTATGTATAGACGGAGTTACTAAATATGGTAAGTACGTTGGAAGGTATCGAACAAAAGAGAAAAACTATCTATGTTGACGGGCTGATTTCCAACAGACGGGTGGTAAGGTACTAAAATGGGCTGCAGCGTGAAATTAAACCACAGTCTTCTGTCGCACATCTAACATATGTACTAAGGACTTGGTAAGGATGGAACGTTTTATCCCGCGGAAGCAATTCACTGACTCCCATGTGCGTGCCCCGTTGGTCCATTGGAAGGTCGATCAGAGCATGTTACGCGTGCTGATGAAGGTGGAGTATATACATGATCAGGTGCCAGTACCCAGTCAAATTTGCAATTTTGAAATTCAAATATGCTTACCATTGCAAATTTCACCTTTGAGCTTTCCTAGGACCAAGCTCCAAGGAGACACTGCTGGTGATATTTCTGTCTCTGTTTTCGCTTTCGGCGGAAGAAACGCACCACTCGAGGATGGCATCTATTTCGTCAATGCTCGCGTGATTACTGCAATTGCAAGCAAAAAGACTACATCGTGGATATGCAAGCTGCAAGCCATGGATCTTCATCATCGGCAAAGTTTCCAAAGGACTACCAATTTACAAGCCAGGACTCTGGCCACTCTTCTGGGACCACTTGGCACACCACAACCCTGCACTGTGATGCAAAGTATAAACTACGACAGTCAGTGTTAAAATAGCCATCCACGGCAAGTATCTTCCTATATGTAGTTCATGTTTGTGCGCTTAGTAGCCAACATCCTGCTCAATGAGTGCGACGGCTTTGGCAGAGCGAGGCTTAATAGAGCACTTGAAGGGTTTGGGGTGACTGGAAGTGTGTCTATTCAGACCATCGCCCGGACGTGACAAGATAGGTGACAAACCTGATCGTGCCTGACAAGGGATCAAGCTCAGGGGTGATCTCAACACTGTTCTCGACGACCTTAGAGATATCAAATACGGCCAATGACATGGCCATGGACATCCAGACGGAGGTTTCAGCGAGGTGGAGACCTGTACATGAAAACCAAGCAACGTCTGAATACATATCTGTTCATCGGTACTTCTGTGAGTTGGGCATACCTGGACAGATACTGCGGAGCAGAAAGTTAGCATTACACTAAAAACCAACTCCATGCTTACCGTCTTCCAAAGCCGAAGCATATTGTGCGAGGCTCTGTCTCAGGCTTCTTTCCATTATTAGCCAGAAACCGTTCAGGGTTGAATTCTGAGGGATTAGCATATGTCTCCGGATTATTGAGCATGAACCTGGCATTATATTCTGTTAAAATATCGAACACGGAAGAAAAGGGGGTACCGACCAAATGTTAGGTATCACTAAGGAACCTTTTGGAATGTAGTACCCGTCATGGATGTCGTCCTCAGTGACACAGTGGGCGAAACCTGTCATTGAGATACCGCTCGGGAACTAAAGAATGCGTTAAATGGGATACACGGACCGGTAGGGACAGCAGCATGCCATCGTAGAGCTTCTTTGGCAAGCGCTTCAGTGTAGGGAAGAGAGTCTCGGTCGGCGAAGGAGGGAAGACGATCGGGACCGACAACAGCATCTATTTCAGCCTGAGCCTTCTTCTGCACATCAGGGAATAGTGACATAGCCAGGAAGAGCGAGTAGATTGTAGAAACAGTCTGAGGAAAGAAGTGTAGTACTCTCAGAATATCATGATTAAAATACGTAGGAAGGGACCAACCGTGTCGGCAGCGCCGGCATATAGAGTTCCAGCAGACCATTTCACAACGTGATCATCTTCCACAGACAGAGTACGGCCTTCCATCAGATCCGAGGTAAAAGACTTCGGGGCAATGCCAGCAGCCTGTATCATTCGAATTTCAACGCATGATCGCACAACTACAAATGTTAGTCACCATCTGATCCTTGACGAACTTGTGGGGTGCAGAAACCATCTCATCAAGGGTCTCGTGCCATTCACGGGCTAGACGCTTGAAGCCGGCACCAGGGAACCACTCGGGGGCCTTGGCCACTACAGATGGTGAGGCCATTGTAAGCAAATGTCTGAATGCTATAGCTTACAGAATGGCATAAAATCAACCATGAAGGCACCAGGAGCAGTAGAACGCGATAATTGGTCCACAGCACGTTCTGCAAGGTCAACAAAGGGATCATTGCTCTCTTTCACTTCATAACCATGAGAGATGCGCAGAATGATAGCGCCAGCGGTGCTATAAAAATCAAGATCGTGTCAATACAAGGACGGATACTACGTACTGTCGAATATGTTCCTGTAATTGGTCGGGTGTCGTAAACACACGCTTAAGGAATCGGCGAGTCTCGACCACTTCGATCTGGCCGTATACGTCCACTGCAGCGCGGCTGCCAATGACGCGGTGGAAGTTCTTGCGGTACCGGCGTAGATGGTCACCGTAAGGGAGAAGAGTCATAAGGTACTTCCAGCCAACGAGTTCGCCGGCAAGAGTAAAGATAGGACGGTCAGAGTACACAGTGCTCTTCTTATCCAACATGTCCATCGCAGTCTTGACAGAGTTCACCACCATGATATGTTGACCCAGAACCTCGATATGCGAGATATCACCTGCAAACAAGACTTGAAATCCATGATGTTGGGGAAACGGGAGGTACTCACCATACTTCTTGCCCCACATAGCGAAGGTAAGCCAGGGCTTGATGCGGGGCATGTCTAGGACGTTCCCGATGAGAGGCCACCCTGGAGGACCAGGGGGATAGGGTGCAGGATTCTTCTTGTTGAACACGTGCTTTAACAGATACGCTCCGACACACGCAAGGCATAGGTCGAACCAAGTGATGTTGGTGAGTGCCAACATAGTCTACTAGCAAATGACGAGCGACTAGAGAGCGGGTTTGTATAGGAATGATCAGACAAGAGGAGTCGTATCGACTGATCATGTTATTTATACCTGCCATTAATAACACGGATGAAAGCGATCACCGGTCATGCATATGCATCATGCATCATGCATCCCTCTAAGGCGGGAGGTGGCTGTCATGCACATTGCACCGGCGGGAACAGCGGACTGATGAGGGTACGCCCTAGTGTACGGTGAATTTCGAACTGTCCGAAATTCACATGGTAAATTTGCAATGCGCTCAGAGGCTGTCAAATTCAGGTAGCCCCAGAGCACATCAGTCACAGTATTCAGGCTAGGCCCGTGCTCCTTGAAAGAAACGAGACCTTTGTCACGCTGACCCATGCGATGATGATGCGCAGTTCGAGTTCACAACTCCATGCGCCGACATAATCCTCGATATTCTCGTCATCCAAGATAAACAAGTCGAAGCCGTACTGTGGGCTTGAAGGGTCTGCGAGGGAAATTGTTTTTTTGGGGGTTTTGGGGGTAAAGCGATAGTACTTAGCTGTAGTTTATTTTTCGTTTCACAATCCATAGTTAAAACTTTGTCTGTTTGACGAGAGCCGCTATAGGTACCACGGAGACGCCCGTTGGTCCATCGGAAGGTCGATCAGAGCAACATACGCGTGCTGATGAAGGTGGAGCATATGCATGATCAGGTGCCAGCACCCGCCAATTTCACAATTTTGAGATTCAAATATCCTTACCATTGCAAATTTTACCTTTGGGCTTTCCTAGGACCAAGCTCCACTGCTGGTGATCTTTCTGTCTCTGTTTCCACTTTCGGCGGAAGAAACGCACCACTCGAGGATGGCATCTATTTCGTCAATGCTCGCGTGATTACTGCAACTGCAGACGAGGAGACTACATCGTGGATATGCAAGTTGCAAGCTGCAAGCCATGGATCTTCATCATCGGCAAAGTTTCCAAAGGATCTTCAGAGCTCGTGGAGAATCCGTGCCATGCCATGCCCGCAGCTGTATCTCCGCGCAACACGTTACCGATCGTACCTCAGCTCAGGCACTCTTAAAGAAGCTCCTCCAGACGCCGTGTCTGAAACAAACTCCAGACTACTTCGCGATGGTAACTCCTGCTTGTAGGCATGTATAGTATCCCCGATTACCTCGGGGCTCCTTGGACGTGCCTGTGACTTATGAGCTCACACTGATCGTGAAGAACACCCTCATCGTTCTTGAGTGTCGGGCAAAAGCAAGCCAATGGAGTGCCCTATATGATAATGGGCCAACCTCAAAGGCTCGACCTCGCCTAAAGACAAAACTCTTATCACCAGCATTCCCATCACAGTTTTGACAGAGTTCAGCACGTTGATGTGCGGTGAGCTACGGCTTGATGTGAGCCATGCCTGGGATATTGTGCCTGATGAGAGGCCACCATGGAGGACCAGGGGGATGTGGTGCAGGAATTCTTCTTGTGGTGAGCGTCAACATTGCCTACTAGCAGATGAGCGAGTAATACAGAAGTACCTGAGTTGTGTAGCCTCCATTCTTTTCTTGATCTTCTATTGAAATCATCCAAAGAAGCCCGGGCTGCGGACGCGATTCTGCCAGTGAGCACCCATATCTCGTAATCGCCCAATGACTCTGACTGTGCGAGTGAAAAAGGAGTCCGGGACCGAGGGCCACTGGCACGAGCTGCTTACACCATGAAGTTCGGTGCAATCACCACACATATTTCTGTGGGCACGACAGACACGGCTGCCTAAATATTCATGATCGTGGGGCGCCTACCATCTTCGCCTGAACAGGTTATGTTTGACGGCACTAGTAAGTACTGTGGTGAATTCAGAACACTTGGAACGTTCCCAATTTCGTATACAATACCTGCTCTACTGTTACTCCGGTCCCGTTAAACTTACGAGAAAATAGCAGCACGGCGGGCGGACGCACATCTAAGCCACGATAGGCCAAGGTTCAACCTTATCAAGGAAGGGCTGATGATATCAAAACCGGTTAGATCCGCAGCCCCACACTTACAAACTAGCAACTGCCCACGAGAGGAGCAAGGCAATCCCGTGAAGCACCGCGGATGAGGTTTTTTAACACCTGGTCGGCCGGGATCATCAGTCAGCTCGGGAGGAGAGCAAAAAAAATCGAAGACAGCTTCACAAGGGATTCCGGTTCCACGGGTGAACTTCGGGAGGTGACAACGGGGGTTCATCGCAACGGTGGGAGATGGTGCACACCGAGAAGTCTTGTCCACGAGTTGTTAAGATGCCGTGCGCAAAGCCCATTTGACATTTGTGGCCTTACCGACGGTCGGTCGGACAGAAGAGTGCTCGATTACTGTAGGCACAAGGAAAGAGCCAGACAGGCTAAATGTTGTTAGACGGGCCCCATGTGCATGTGCATTTGTTGATAAGCTATTGATTTTGATCATTAGTGGCACCCATTGGCGGGAAATGCCAGACGTGCCGCGGCAAGGTGTCAAACAGACTGCCATGTGTGCTTGTTGCGTAGGCCATGTACACATTTGCAGCACACTCTCATTGCCAGGATATGGTAGCAAAGGTACATAGTCAGTAACAAGTTTATTTCGCCATAGGATGATAAACCGTCAGCTTAGTTTTGGTTGTTCGTCGCGGAGAATGAAACACAAACAGCTGACGACGGTCCGAAAGCTTGTCGGGACTCGGGAGACTCCGAGTCTGTTACAGTGTCAAGGAAAAACATACCAAGTATACTCAGTCAGGACACACGCGAAGTTCTAAACGATTCAAGGCAAAGTCACGATAATATCATTCGCACAATCGTAAATTATTCCAACAAGATGAAGGTAAAATGACATATACATATTTATATGATACCGCGATACACAACCAACCAACCAATCTTGCACAAACCTCAAAGTGCAATATACAAAGCCATGTCGAAAGTGAGTTGCCATCCAAAGCAACGGATGCATCCCTGCGTGTCTCGTCGTCGTGCGCTTAGTAGTTTGCATCTTCCTGAATGAGCGCAAGGGATTTGGCAGAACGGGGCTTGATGGAGCACTTGAAGGGTTTGGGGTGGCTGGGAGTGGGGTGTATGTGTCTAGACCCAGCACAGCACACGATAACAAACAAGCGCGACATACCTGATAGTACCTGACGAGGGGTCAACCTCGGGAGTGATCGCGACGCCATTCTCGATAACCTTGGAAATGTCAAACACAGCAAGTGACATCGCAGCAGACATCCAGACAGACGCATCAGCGAGATGGAGACCTGGCAAGGCAAGCGATGTCAGAAATGTCTCGTGGGTCCGTCCCATGTGAGTTTAGCTAACCTGGGCAGATACTGCGGAGCAGAAAGTCAGATATTCTGATCAAAACAAAACAGCTGAATTCCTACCGTCTACCAAAACCGAAGCAGATCGTGCGAGGATCGGTCTCAGGCTCTTTTCCTTCTTTGGCCAAGAAGCGCTCAGGGTTGAATTCCGAGGGGTTAGCGTATGTCCGAGGATCATTGAGCATGAACCTACAGCAATTCAAAGGCATTGAATGAAACCGAATACAGGAGAGGGACAGGACAGTACTAACCAAATGTTGGGTATTATCAAAGTGCCTTTGGGAATGTAGTACCCATCATGAATGTCGTCCTCAATAACACGGTGAGGAACAGCTGTCGGTGAGATACCCCTCGTCAATAGCAGAATGCTATAAACAAGACACACATACCGGTAGGCACGACAGCATTCCAGCGAAGGACTTCCTTCGCGAGCGCCTCAGTGTAGGGGAGGGAGTCGCGGTCAGCGAAAGTCGGAAGACGATCAGGACCAATAACGGCATCAATCTCAGCCTGAGCCTTCTTCTGCGCATCAGGGAAAAGCGTCATAGCCAGGAAAAATGAATATATTGCCGAAACTGTCTGAGAAAGGAATCAGGCTCAAAATATAACGATTTGAAATATGTAGGGCGGATTCTAACCGTGTCGGCACCACCGGAGTATAGGGATGCAGCGGACCATTTCACGATGTGATCCTCTTCGGCAGACAAAGTTCGGCCTTCCAGGAGATTCGAGGTGAAAGACTTGGGGGCGATACCAGCAGCCTTGTCATATTCAAATTTTAGTTCGTGCATCACAAAATACTAATATTAGTCACCATTTGATCCTTGACGAATTTGTAGGGTGCGGCGACCATCTCTTCGAGGGTCTCGTGCCATTCACGTGCTATGCGCTTGAAGCCAGCACCAGGAAGCCACTCAGGAACCTTTGCCACTACAGATAATCAGGAACTAGGAAGCGAGGGTGAGAATGATACGTCCTTACAGGATGGCATAATGTCAACCATGAAGGCACCGGTAGCAGTGGACTTTGAGAATTGATCGACAGCACGGTCGGCAAGGTCGACAAACGGATCATTGTTCTCCTTCACTTCATAGCCATGAGAAATCCGCAGAATGATAGCGCCAGCGGTGCTATACAAATTTAAATATAAGTCGATAATAGGATAGACGGGGACATACTGTCGAACGTGTGCCTGGAGTTGGTCGGGTTTCGCCAGTACGCGCTTCAGGAATCGGTGGGTCTCGACTTCCTCGATCGGATTGTAGACGTCCAAGGCGGCGCGACTGCCGATGACGCGATGGAAATGCTTGCGGTACTCGCGCAGGTGGTCGCCATAAGGGAGAAGAACGAGAGTGTTTTTCCAGCCGACAAGTTCGCCACCCATAGGGAGGACAGGTCGATCGGAGTAGACGGAGCTTTTCTTTTCGAGCATTTCCACGGAGGTCTTGACAGAGTTCAGGATGACGATGTGCTGGCCCAGAACCTCGACATGTGAGATATCGCCTGCACGCAGGGGTTAAAATGGATGATGTCAGTGGAACGGGATGCACTGACCATATTTCTTGCCCCACTCAGTGAATGTGAGCCAGGGCTTGTCTTGAGGCATGTCTGGGATATTGCCGACGAGAGGTCGGCCTGGGGGACCTGGGGGGTATGGTGCAGGATTCTTCTGGGTGAATACCTGCTTTACGAGATAAACACCGGCACCTGCAAGACATAGATCAAGCCAAGTGATATCTGTGAGTGTCAACATGGAGGACTAGCGAATAAAGAGTAAATAAAGAGCGGCTCAGATATTTTTGAGGGGGTGGCAGGTTGAAAAGGTGTGGGGCAAGTATGGAAAGTGACAAGTTATATTTGAGATTGCTCATTTTGATGTTGCTTCTGGAAGATGTATTGCTAGTAACGTGGCGTAAGGTGTTGTCAACCGGGTAAATCAGCGAGCTTGGAACACCCGCGGGACAATTTTATGTTTATATTTAAATTTACCCACCAAGCGCGGACCCTTACTGTACACTTAACCTTCCACTTGATAAAGGGGTTTTCTTTGTGCCCCGTTGCTACATCCGAGCAGGGCACCCGGTCACACCACAATATCGGACATACTAAATCGAACAGATAATCGAACAGATCTTGGAGAAATAGTGGGGGTTCAATGAATGTTCCATGTAATTCCGCGTATTATAATTGCTGAAAATGCCACCATGCGCCGCAGGGTATATGAAGGAATAGAGTAGCCAATCACAAGATCGGTCGCAGATCATACATGTTACAATACTTACAATCAATGCAAAAGAACGACGCAAAAAAGAATGACACCAATGTTCTACCAAAGTATGATGCGGTACATTTTTTTATGTGCTTCTCATCCACCTCGTGGCACCCCATCCCTAAAGCGACTAAACTGCCTGAGCACTTTTAAGTTCCGTTGCAGATGAATACTATCGTGGATCAGCGCTAGATCCCGGCCACAAAAATGAAAAGAACTCACTTCATCTCGAACGTACTCCTGTGTGGTATCAATCTTAATTGAGATGTTATTCGGCATCCGCTGATATCATATCGTGAGCCAAGTGCTGTGCCAGAAAATTTCATCGGAACTTACCCTCTGCGAAGTACCGGTGCTGTTAGACGTTTTCTGAATTCCCTGAAGCGAGAGCGACATGTTTTCGTCCCGAGAATCACCCCGAAGACTCTTTCGTGCATTAAGAGTTGCCAACAAGGAGTTGCAGTAGACTGAAAACGTTCTCGTCAATCTCGTGAACTGTATCCGACTAAATCGTACTTACGACGTCCCAAGCAGAAATAGAATGCGATGTAAATGAAGGTATCAGGCCAAACTGTAATCTGTGCCACATCTGGGTCAGGAGTGCAACACCAGACCATATGTGATTTGCTACGCACAGAAATGAGGGACATGACCGCGCAAATACTGGTGAGGAGACCCGTGTTGATGCTGAACAAAATCAGCTTGTTGATCATGGTATCGGACCTCCGGAATCCAGTGCGAGATTGTTGAAGGAGTGTGCAGAGGAATACAGCGATAAGCACGTCTCCAGCAGCTGCCAAAGCGTTCACAGACATGGACAGTGGCTTGAGAACGGTCAGTTGCTCAAATGTCGTCATATGGACACTACAAAGGTTATTAGCTAGACTGCGCGTTGTGTTCTTACGTCGTTGACTCACGCTTTAGCGACATATACTTTTGATATTACATTAGTAGACTGGTTTTGGAGGAGAAAAGGCGTCTACTCACTGACAACGAGAACAAATTCACCGATGACAAGGGACATGACCGACCCGGTTGCAATAATACTCTTGTTGCTTACTGGCTGAAAGTGAGCAAACGTTCACTGGTGAAAGGTTTACACATACGTCTGTAGACGCGCATGGTAAGGAAGCTGGCAGTACGATCAGTACGGACCGTTTCAATCGGAAAGATCTCACACCGACCTTTGAACCATAAGCGCTGTGAAGCCATTGAATAAGACTTCGATCTGTGTGACATCAAACGAACGTTGAGACGCGAACCACGGAGTGATGACACGCCACTTACAATCAAACTCCAGACAAGCGTCCCGAGGTCAGTAGCGATACCGAAATCAGTCACAAGATACGTATACACTACTGGTATTCAGCCCGCGGAAAAACAAGACTTGTATCTCGGACTCACCAGTGTGTGTAATCAGAGCTTGATGAACTGAGTCTGATACAAGTACAGCACCGACCTAAATTAAAAAACACCGTTGAATAGAAAACACTTATGTCATGCTACGTGAACATACTAAGAGCTTGATGTACCACGGATCCGAGGGGTACCGGCTAAAGTAGTACCATGTCTGCACGCAAGTGACTTTGTGCGATCATGAGCTCCTCTAGCAAAAAAAACGAAGAGCGCAAGAAGTATACCTCCGTAGAGTCTGAAAGTTGTTGTTTGAGCACGTTTATGTGATGGGGAGGCAGAGAACTTACGTGGCAGAGACTACAACCCCAATCAAGAATGCTCCAAAACTGGATGGGTTTATGTTAGGTGATGATTGGTATGTAGGGGGATTAGAAGAGTACGCACGTATTATCCAGACCACTCATGGTAGAGAAGATGGATGTGAGCGAATGCGGATAAGGGTGCTTGTGCAGGTACCTGTTGTATGGGGGGACGGTTCGGATGTATGGTAAGTGAGGACAAGCTTTTGTATGGTAGTAGATTCGCTGGCCAGCTGAAAATGGAATATGCCGTGAAGCGTGAAAATTGGTGCGAAGTTGACAGGTGCTTCCGTCTAAAGCTGATGCGGATGAACCGAATCTGGTTCGACGACACATGAGGCCCGCAAGAAACTTCGAATCGCCAGTTACCAGAAAATTTCCGCATTAGACGCTATTAAACACACTCTTCCTCCACATAAACATAAGCGCCGAGTCTTCTCAGGGCTGCCAACTTTAGAATCATTATTAGTAACGATTCGGACCAGAGCGAGCGCGCACCACCCATATCTACTGGGGTCTTTAACAGAAGTCTTCCGTTATCGTTGAGGCGGCCTGAGTTTGAACACGATTTCAACGCGAAAAAATGTACGCTCGGAGATCTGTTTTCTCCACCCTGAGATGACTGACAAAAGGCACAAAGGGCGACCTACAAACGTTGCCATTTTCCCATCTCAAAACGGGTCTTATCGGTGTCGTACTCGTCGCGGAGCTCCAATGGAACGACTCGCGAATGGCCTACAGAGTACTCTCATGTCAAGCTAGAAAGTAACGTCATCGACTGTCGATTTTCCTAGTACTTCGATTTGCTTTTGGACACGTCGATGGAGAGCGGAACACCATGGCCAGTAGCGGAACATCCACAAAAATTCGCACATGGCGAGCTCCAGACCAGTTACATTAAGGTTCAGCATGATCAATTGATGGGTTTTTGTCGGCGGTGACCAATTGCAAAAGGATCATCATCGATCGATCTTCAGCTTCCCTGGCAAGAGCGCTAGCGCTACCACTTGTGACCTATCAATTGGCGCCCCAACTCAAGGGGCTATGCATATGTTCTTGGAGATTTGTTCTTGTTGTTTCCCCATCAGAACCACTGTCATCGTCGTATCAAAAAAGATTGACAAAACGCTGGAGCTCGCCTATTGAAAGATTGTTACCCGTGTTCAATCTGTTGCGTTCTTGATATTTTCACAAGATACTGTTTAAAGCAGCTAGCTTGGGCTGGCAACGGGTGTGAGAATGACAGGTTTGGTGTTCATACTATTTCAGTGCCGGTTGTAACGGGGATCGCAAGTCTATCAGAACTCTTGTCAGACTCTATCTTGAGATCTACGAGTGCGCTAGACTTTGCTCGTCGTGCAGGGACCAAAGTTCAGAGTAAGTACTACTGAACAAAGGGACAATGTGCGGCGGTGGTGGCGTCGTAGGTCATGCCACTAATAACTGGCAAGACCTCAATTTTTTTTGGGTTGAAATCAAGATACTGCGCCGCTAGCCGCTAGACTTGTGGAGGCTTTAGCTCAGGGCCTAGCCCATAGAATAAAGGGCACAATATCATAGCGGCGGTAGCATCGATCAAGCAATCGATCACATTCAGGGTGGAGAACTAGGAGGGAGGAGGGTAGGCGAAATTTGTCCAATTTGAAGGGTTAGAAGCCTCTGCACAACACGACCAAATAACACTTCCCGAATTTGTACGCGTCAAAAAAGTCCATGTAATACTGTCCGAGAACTGAACACCATGGCAGTACGTTTCCTACCCCACTTTATTGGACAGAAACTCACTTAATTTTCAGAGCCGCTGCTCTACTCTTTTGTGCTCAACATCAAGATTGGCAAGCGCACGGTGAGCAGCATGTTTCAAAAACTTGCGTTTGAATGCTTAAACTCTACCTTGCAGCTTTGCTCCGCTAGCTAGCCGGTCAAGATGGCTAGCAACAGAAGCTGTCTCGTCGTCTGCAGCAAGTCCTCCTCCCCTGCCAAGTGACCCAAAAATTGGCCGCATAGTAGACGACATATCCGGACTGACACTACTGCAAGCAGCTGACCTCGTTACGCTCTTGAAGGTTTGTTCCCTTCTAAAGCCGATTTCAACTTATCCTTACTCATAGATTCCCAAAAGTCACGACTAAATATTCAAGAAATTGCAATGCCCGCCGCTTCAGCTGCCGCACCCGTCGCCGCCCCGGTTGAAGAAGCCGCAGTGGAGGTGGGAAGCACCATCACTATAAAGAAGGAATGTATTTATTGACCAAGACTGAATTAATCAGGAGAAACCGAAGGAGAAGACAATTTTCAATTTGAAACTCGAGTCCTTCGACGCCGCTGCGAAGCCCAAGATCATCCGCGAGGTCAAGGCCTTGATCCCGAACCTTACCCTCATCGACGTGAGTCTCGAACGCATGCCTCAATCAAGGCATATTCACGCTAACCTCGTCTTAGGCAAAGAAGTTCGTGGAGTCCGTACCGCAAGTTCTCAAGGAAAATATGCCCAAGGAAGACGCGGACAAACTAAAAGCGGTTCTTGAAAAACTGGGGGCAGTAGTGGTACTTGAGTAGATCCATCCATCCGAGTCTTGTATAGAGCATGTGTTCAGGCTATAATTCATTCACTATAATTAAGAAATAGGGTTGCAAGTTAGTACGAATGTGATTGGCAAAACTGTCCAGTGGCGCCTATGGCGATACATAAGGTCACGGCGGGAGCATGACAACAAAAAAAAAACTGGGATAACAGGGACTGAATAGGGGAGAAATTCCTTCAATCCTCCGAAAGATAACGATATTCAAACCGGAAATCGCTTTTCTTGCGCTGACACCATGATCCTTCCCAATCAAAGTAAACATACACGCCTTGCTCGTATTCTTCTGTTATGGCCTGCGGCTCCGAGTGCCGCTGGAACCACGTCATATATTTGACATGGAATCGCCACGATTGGCGCTTCAACTCCTTAGCAGCCATGTATCTGTCATTAACGTGAGTGATTTCCATTGAACGTAAGATTACTCTCGTACTGCTGGTATGTCCCCGGAAGGTAGTAGAAGACATAGAAGAGAGTTTCCACGTCTATCTGGGAAAATATGCCTGGGGTGCTCAGAATAGGATGCGGAGTTTGAGGATAAAATGCTGCGGTGGCAAAAGGATTCCGTGGCACATAGTACTTGGGTCTAGATGCACAACTCATTAGCCCCTATTGAATATACTTGAATCAAAACGTCATACTTCTCGGTATCCTGCGGTTGTGGGACATTTGAGTAACCGCCCTCAAGGAGTTTATGCACCTCCCCGAGGTTTGTCATGCGATGAGGAGCTGGTTATCCGTCAGGATTTTGATACGAGGACAGTGTCCAAAAGACAAACCTTTCTGCTTGACTGTTTCGAACGATGCCACAAGGTCTGACAGAGAGCCAGGGAATGTGCCTGAAGCAGCTGGACGGGAAGGAGGATGCGGCGGTTGCTGAGCTGGCGCCGTTGAAGAAGGCCTTTGGGAACCCCCAATGGGCTGCTGGACAGCTTGTATTGGGGTCGGTTGCTGTTCTACAGTCTGTGGGACCTTTATACCCGGGGGATACTGTTGCGCCTGCTGCACTACAGACGTCGAACTTGCAGGTGGAGTGGGAAGTGATGATGGAGCAATGTTGACCTGGTGTATCTGTTGAGGCAGTGGCGATGATGCTGACGGAGGCAACTGCGTGGGTGGTTGAGTAAGCTGCGAGGCTCCGTTGGTGACCGGTTGGAATTGTGGCACTGTTGATACTGATACTGGTGGCTGTTTACGTTTCATGAATTTTCATCGCGTGCGCAATACCAGTAAACACTTACCGGTGCAACAGGTGAAGGCGCCCTTGCGAGGAGAGGTGATGGTGCAGGTTCTAAACAAGAATTACCTATGTCCTCGTGCTCTTGGCACAAAAACATACCTTTCTGTTGGCGCTGTGGCGATGATGTAGCCGCAGGACCGCTTATAGAGCTTGGAACAGCTTCTGATATTGCTGGTGAATCCTGTCCAGAATAGAATGACCCGTCCTGTTGATGGGATGCAGCAGATGACAGCATTGGACTCGTGACTGATGGATGTGTCAAGCTTGGCGAGGACGTGAATTGCGAATCTTGCATGGCACTTTGCGAGGCCGACGGCGTTATCGAAAGGGTAGATGTCGTTGCTTCAGAGAAATTCGTCGGCTGCGCGGGTGGAATGGGTTGTGATGTCGAGGGCGTTGGGGGCAATGCGCCATTCTGTTGAGAAGATTGCGGAGTGACGGCGGCGGCGGCGGCAGCGGCATAGCGTATCGGTGGAAGCGCTGGCGGCCGTGGGGTTGCCGGTTGCAAATTAGCTCGTAGAATGCTCGCCATTGGCTGTTGTGCAAAATTTGGATTTGGCGGTGGTTTGACTTTTAGGACAAGCTTTGAGTGAACCATTCAAGACTAAGAAACACAGACAGACCTTCTGTTGCTATTGACGGTTCTGGTAGTACCTTGTAAGTCGTAGTAGCAACATATGAACCAAAACGTACTCCGCAATTGAAGTGTTACCCCAGCCTTCTTTTGCACGGGACTTTCATCGCGTTTACTGCTCGCAACACTTTCTTCATCCTTCTCATGTCGCTTGCTCGGCGTTCGTGGAGGAAGGTCTACCAAAATCAGTTTTATAGAAGCGTATAGCCAGCGAATACATACCATCACTTGCAAAATCTGACTCATCGCTATCTTCGTCCTCATCATTTGCCAGACCGAACTGTTCCTCCTCTTCTTCAAGATTGAGTTCGTCGTATATGCCCTCATATTCATTGAAGTCCTCGTCCTGCACCCAGAAAACGCCTTAAAAGGTCTCAAAGTAGAACATACTGCTGCGCAACGAACCGTGTTGCTTTCCACGAAATATTGTACATCTTCCTTGAGAGCCTGTACACGATCCGTGGTCAAAGAACCATTGTCCAGGAGACGAAGGATGAGTTCGAGTCGGTTTACGTGCCATTTTCGACGTTCGTTGAGGTGTTCAAGATCTTCCAGACGACCAGCAGATGATGAACTACCCTTTCCGCGTTTCTTGCCGCCGCCGACTTGAAGTGTCTCAATTTCCGCTTCTGCTTGTTCTACTTGCAACAAAAGATCTTCGACCTGAGACTGAAGCCACGTCGTGACCTCAAGCTTCTCTTGGGCTTTAGGATCGAGCTTGGCCGACTGTATGAGACCCTCTTTGGAGAATGCCTTTGTCTTCATTTCCTTCTCGCACGCCTTGAACTTCTCCATTTGCTGTATACACGAATGAGTCAATAAAGGTCGGGGAGTGTTTCGGAATGGGAAAGCGCGTCATAGGACGAGATGGAGAGACGGTAACGCACGGTTTCTATTAGTCTCCGGTTCTCCAAGAGGGCGGACTTGTCTTTGATGTCGTTGCTTGCTACCCAAGCCTTGATCTGGTCGCGTAACCGCTGGAGCTTCTTTATTTGAGTTTTCAAGTCGGTCTCCAGTTTCTCCTTCTGCGTCTGGTTTGTAGAGGCCTGCATCTTCTCATATATGCTTTCGAAGACCTCGACGCCTTCGCCGACCTTCTTTAGTGTGCGGTCGATTTCGGCTATGAAAGATAATATAAAATTGAATGAATTAGGACGCAAATGCTAAAAGAAACATACTTTGCAGCTTTCTGGCCGCCATGATAGAGCAAACTCAAGTGAATGGAAATATGGAATATCAGCCAAGTTGCTGGATCTATGTTTGGGGGGGTCGTAAAATTGACATTTATTTGGCTCAAAGATTACATAACCACGGCATGGAACTTGACAGAAAAAATTATACTTGGTCCATTGGAAGCGAGCTCAAGCTAGCAAGCATTGTGAAAGACTTGCTTCAAAGTAAGACTGTGAGAGTGATCAACTACCGCATCACTGATGAAAATAACTGGACCCGTTACTGCTGCGGACACAGGACATTGGACAATAGGTCACTGGTTTCCGGGGTCCATTGTTTGATCAGCCTGGGAAAGTGACCCGAAAGAGGACATCGACAAAAGCTTTGAGTGGACGAATCATGTATTTCAATTGGTTTCTCCCCTCAACTGCTGTTGTCTGCTCCGTCTCTTGTTAGCTTCTTATGCTCCTCCATGATGAAATCCCTACGTAAATCGCTCAACGGAAACCGAGATACTCACCGCCTTGAAATCTCTACCCCTCTCCCCTTACCCTCTATATCTAAACCTCAGAACTCTTCTCTTCCTCCTCAAAAAGTAATTCGTGCAATCGCATCATATAGGCCAGAGGGTCCTCAGCAGCTTCCTTTTCAAAAGGGAGACTTTTTCTATGTCACAGGAAATATAGAAACTCAGGGGGATTGGTATGAGGCACATAATCCCGTTACCGGTGCTAGAGGTTTAGTCCCAAAATCTATGTTCGAAGAGTTTTGCAAGAGCCCAGCGTGAGTACTATCCTAATTTTACTTATATTCACGTTAACAGCCTCTTCTTCCACAGTATACGCACTTCTCATATCAGCGTCGCCGTAAATAGTCCAACCATCCCTACTAGTCCAACTTCACCTCCGAGGTCCCCAAAAACACCTGCATTCTTCGCCATAGTTCTTCATGACTTCATTGCGGAACGTGCGGACGAACTTGACGCAAAGTCCGGTGATTGCATAACCGTAGTTGCCCAGTCAAACCGCGAATGGTTTGTTGCCAAACCCATTGGCCGACTTGGTCGGCCAGGTTTGATCCCCGCTTCTTTTGTGGAAGTCCGTAACCCTGCAACAAATCGCCCAATAGAGAATGTCGACGCTCTGATCGACAGTGGAGAACTACCAGGTGTGGAAGAATGGAAGAAGGCCGTATTCAACTATAAAGCAAATAGCATATCACTCGGCGTCATAGAAGAACCATCCAATAATTCATACTCTCAGCAACGTTCCAGCACCCAGCAGGAATCTGCCCCACCTCCCCGTGCTCCCTCCCCCGTATTTTTACCTGAGGGCATCCTATTATCTGCCGACGTCGTCTCATTCCACTATGAAATGGACGAGTACTGGTTCCGCACAGACGCCATCTACCAACCTTATGACCCACACGATCCGCACGTTCTTCCAAAAGCCAAGCAACTCGTCCTATTCCGAGTGTATAATGACTTCTTCGATTTCCAAGTGAACCTCTTGCAGGCCTTCCCTCGCGAAGCTGGCAGAGAACCGGACTCTATCCGGATACTTCCATTCATGCCTGGTCCCGCGGAAAATGTCGATGACGAGGTCACTGCTGCCCGACGGGAAGAACTTGACGAGTATCTCCACAAGCTGTGTGCCCTAAATATGGCTGGCACAAGCTATGTCCTTGAACATCAGCTCGTGCGGGAATTTTTATCGCTGAAACCTGGAGACGTGGAACACGATATTGACCCCCGATATGACGAGGTCAGGGCACTCTTTGCCGAAGAAGCCACAGCAGAACAACAGCATGCACCTGTGACACAGGAATTTGAGGAGGAGGTTCGCGATACGCTTGGGGAGATGAAACTTTCGGACAGAGACGATCGAAGCGAAGGCTCGGACTATGGAGAGGACCACACGCCCCCTACTCACATTACATCTCGTGACTCACAATCCAGCGCAACCCCTCGGGCTCATCGACAGCCTAATTCAGTGACATCACATCATCGCGCGGGGTCCCGGTCCAAACAAAATGGAGGCTCTTCTCCTTCATATCCACATGTTGACACTTCTCGTGCAAGCGCCTACTCTCGAACATCCTTTGCTTCAAACTCCGCTTGGCCAGAACACGCCGCTTCATCACCATCATCTCCCAGTTCATCACAGCCATCTATCGCTATGTCTTCCCGATCTCGTTCCTTATCAAACGCCACTAATATGAATGCGCCTCCAATGTCCGCGGGCAACCCCCAGACAGCCTTCGTCAAGATCAAGATATTTGATCGCGTCACTGATGACCTGATCGCCATTCGTGTACATCCTCGTGTGACACACGCTGAACTGCTGGAAAAGGTCCAAGCTCGATTAGGTGGCAACGTTCTTAATCTTCGATATCGCAATAGTATCAGCAACGAGTTCATCGGCATCGACGACGACAGAGATTTGCGAGAGTGGTTGGATAGCACGGAGAAGCACGTTTTGTACGCTGAATGATGACGGACGGACTGTTGTGTGTTGATTTTTTGTTTCGTTTGTTGTTGTGGAAGTATCAAGTTATATTTTAGTTTTTTTTATTGTATTGGTCTTCGTTCTTCCTCTCCTTTATATCTCCACCTCTGATTTCTTTTTATCTGTGTTGGGCAAATGTAGCAGTTGTCTTCCGTGTTTGTTGTTACGAGTAGTATGGTTGTTGTATACATACCGGTGTACACCCTATGATCCCAGTAATAGCACGTCCTTCGTCCCGATAGCAGGTTTGTGTAGATTCCCCTCCCGTGACCCGTCCGACGGTAAATACGATCGACCCCGGAGGGACAATCATTCCTTACGTAACCTGCATTGAAACAGTTGGAACCAAGCACGACCAAATAGACCTTCTCATCAGTTCACCGACATGTCCTTCATTCGTTATGTGCGGAACATCCGCAGAACAGGGATCAAACAATGGTGGCATCAATTGCAGTACATTGGAGACGCGAAAGCCGGCACGCTCATCGGAACCGACCAGTAGGTACTCGTTACACAATCCTTGGCAGACTTTGACCGCTCGGACAGGTTCGGTAACAAGTACTTTGAAAACCTGAACCCGGACGATGAAATTCCAGGTGCGTGATGCGTCCATTTGTTGAATTTCAGTTTGATCTGGAACATTGTTATAAGGGCGTCATAGATGGGTAGACTTTGCTCAAGTATGTTATTTCGGTCTCTAATTGAATGGAAGCGGGCATAACCGTGTACTGTTTCTAGCATAACCACAACGCTACCCAGGTCCCGGCTGAATGGCATTCGTGGCTATCGCACATCCGCTTACAACCACCCACCGAGGACGCAGTCATGCAGAACATGTCCCCGCCATGGAAAACGGTATGTGATTTCCATGTACCATTCTTTCGCAGTCTAATTGCAGAGCAGCCCTGGGTTGAGAACCTGACGGGTACGAGAGGTGCCTATCGGTCGTATAACACGGTGAAGCCCAAGATTGAAGCTTGGGAGCCGAAGGTTATAACGCGAGGCGAGGCGCGTCCATAGACCACTTGTTATGGAGCCAAGTGACTATATATATCACTACCTTCTACTGTGAGATATGTTCTGGCTCAATGACATCATCTACGATGTGTTCAGCGATAGCAAGGCTAGACGTCAGGCCGGGACTCTCAATGCCCATCAAGCTAACCATAAGTCCTCTCCCACTTCCATCAGCATAGTCCTTCCGAATAGCAAAGTCCTGGAAGCCAGATAGCACCAACTTGGGACGGACTCCAACATAGTCAGGTCTGAATCCATCAAATGATACCCCTGGAAGATATTCAGTTACCGCTCTGTACATCTCTTCCAGCCTGGAATCGCTGGGTGTGAGATGATTCCGCCAAAAGTCCGCATTCTCCTCATTAAAATCGTATTCTGATGCGTCGGAGGGCGGTGATATCCACTCCAGGTCTGGCCCAAAGCGCAATTTGCCTTGCAGGTCAAGGGTCAGATGCGTTCCGAGCGATTGGAATGCGTGCTTGTTCGGACCGGTTTCAGGGCATGGGTATATGAGCCGATTAATTCGAGATATGCCTGGTCCGCTGTAAGCTGCGTATGAGCCCCTGGCGAAGAACATGGGTATGCGTGATGCCTCGGGCAGCAAGGAATTTGGAATGAGATTGGCAGAGAGACCAGACGCGTTGATCAAGGTGCGGGCGAGCAAAGAATCCCCTTGCTCGGCATTCTCGGTGACAGTTTGAACTACCCAGCCCTCTTCTGGGCTCAGCCCGGAAGACTCTTCGCTCTTGTACGGGTCTACACGAACGACTCGAGTGGAAAATACCAGCTCGCCTCCTTCTGATTCTGATATATCCTTTTCTAGGCTTTCCATGAAAGAATGAGAGTCGACAATGCCTGTCTCTGGACTCCACAACGCAGCAGTTATGTCCGGTGAAAGGTCTGGCTCAAGTTCGCGTGCTTGCGCGCCGCTTATAAGCGAGACGGGAAGGACTTGGTCTTCACCATCATGAGACGGCGAGTGCTTCGGCCATGGTAATTGTCTGGCCTTTGCGAAGAGGCTCTCGACGTACGCGCGCTGGTGCTCGTGTGCAACTACGAGTTTGCCAGTCTTTCGGTAGGGAATATTATATTTGTCGCAGCGCTCGTACATGAGGTGCCTGCCTCGCAAACATAGCTGCGTCTTGAGCGACTCTGGAGGATAGTACAGTCCTGGAAAGCCCCAATGTCAGCACGCACGAACACAGTCGCACGTCACAAGGTGTTAGCTCACCAGCGTGTACAACTTCTGAGTTGCGAGAGCTATCCACTCACGTCAGCGTGGAGCATATAAGATAGTAACCATTTCGCTCGCCTTGTCTCTTCGCCAGCATGCGGGTGTCTCTCAACTAGGTATGTTGATTTCGTCGGGAAACGCTCAGATAGTCGCTGGGCAACCGCCAAGCCTACAACACCTAGCCGTAGATAAGCATCAGCGCTAGAATTGCAAACCTGAAGATTGCACGGGACGGACCTCCGCCTACGACCAGGAAGTCCACCACTGCATCTGGACTCTGGATGAAGGTGGTCCAGGTGTAAGAGACTCCAAGAAACTTGATATTTTCTGTCTTACCTTGTACTCGAACCGCCCCGTTGAGTTCAGCGCAGCCACCAACCCTCGTACTTTGGTCGCTGCCATGAAGGCTTCAGCGTCCAAAGGTTGAGCGCCTGAGCCTGGTTTTGGTCAGGTGGTGATCGGTTAGATATCTCCTTGGTCCAAATGATCTAATCAGGATCTCATTGCAATTGATCGATATCGTCACTTTGTTTGTCACTCAACCAACACTCAACGCTTTTGCTTAAAGCCTTGGTTCACCACTACGCCTAGTAAGGGGCCAACTCCGCGCTTACTGGCAAGAAAATGGCTGCCATATTACCACAGCCGGCAGAGTCCTCTTTCGAAGAGAAGCTAAATGCTCTGCAAAGCACCCCGCTCTTTATGAAATCTCTACCCTCAGAAGAATCCGATGACCCTGTGATTCAAGCCTTACAAAGCCTCGCCTTCGAAGGAACGCCAGATGGTGGGTGAGAACCTACTCTTCTCTCCCGTAACCCCTGGTGAATCAAGCTTCTTCAAGAGATCGCTCAAAATTTCAAAGAGCAAGGAAACGACTACTTCAAGGGAAAACGCCATCGAGAAGCAATCAGCTTCTACACGCAGGGAATTGATGCCAAGCCATCTGATATTGTGTTGCACGAAGCTCTCTTATGCAATCGTGCCGCATGCAACCTTGAATTAAGTGAGAAATTGGGCAACTGGCTTGATAACAAGGATCTGACCATTTCGAAGAGAACTATGGTTCCGTGCTCCGAGACTGCTCGAAGGCACTCACCCTGAACACGAAGTCTTCAAAAGCCTATTACCGCTCTGCTATGGCGTTATTCGCGCTGGAGCGCTTTGAAGAGTCCCTCGATTGCTGCGAGAGATGCCTGGAGTATGACCCAGACAACCAAGGGGTCAAATCAGCCCGCGATCGTTCCGCCAAAGCGAAGGCAGAGAAGAGCCGCAAAGAGAGCGAAAAACAGGAACGAATACATAGAGAACAAAGAGAGAAGAAACTCCTGCAGGTGGCGTTCAAGGTACGTTCTATCTCAGTTTCGTCACCGGTCGTCTGACCATGCTTCAGGAACGACATTTGTTTGCCGTCTACAACCCGAAAGGGTCATCAGAAAACCCATACGAGCCTCATTTTGACCCGGAGGACCCTGAAGGAACGACGTTGATAATCCCCGTGTTCTTCTTGTATCCACAATATGCGACTTCGGACGTCATAGCGCATTTTGTCGAAGATACCACCTTTTCTACTCATATTTATCAGATGTTTCCGCCGCAGGCGCCTGCACCTCTCTGGGATAAAGCCGGGCAGTACGTTGCGAATACCCTAGTGGTTTACGCAATAACCAGAAGGAAGCGCCTGCTCAAAGTTGGCAAGAAGATGTCATTGAGGGACGTGTGCAATGCGGCCAAGGCAAAAGAAGGGGAACCTGACGATGGATTAGAGTTGAAAGACGGGTGCTTGACGTTTGTTGTTGTTCCAAAAGGAGAGGTAGAGCAAAATTGGGTAGAGGAATTCAAGCGGACACGAGACAGCTAGACACATATCCGCATAGTGCAATGAACAGGGGTGTTTCCACATTGAGAAGCAAAATGCACCACGTGCACACAAATGTGTTGGTCACTGTTTGGCGCGATAGCCAGACACCATACGGTAAGACTCATCGCAAAAAAGACATCGACAAAGGCGTCAAGCTCGGTGAGTACGAATTGCTGCATGTTATGATGATCAATGGTGCAGGATGGATATGCACATCGAGCTGCTGAGCAAAAATTGCGGTTGAATCACTTTGATTGGGTGGATGCAAGTCATGAGGAATGGATGCTGACGATAGGATCATCTACTACAGGGCCTCATATTCCAGTCATGTCTGTCACCCACAAGATTCTCCGTTCTGCAAATGCACCAACCACCTCCCCCGATGAGACCGAGGTTTCCGTCGCTCAGGCTCTAATCGACCTCGAGAACAATGTCCCTGAACTCAAGACTGAGCTCCGTGCTCTGCAGATTTCCGCTGCCCGTGAAGTTGATGTACGAGGTGGAAAGAAGGCTATCGTCGTGTTCGTTCCCGTTCCCCAACTGAAGGCGTTCCACAAGGTGCAGCAGAGGTGAGGACGGTTGTCTTAGTGGGAAGGCGCCATTGTAATCGGTCTCCCATCTCGCAGACTCACCCGTGAGCTGGAGAAGAAATTCTCTGACCGCCACGTCGTTTTCGTGGCTCAGCGTCGGATGCTGAGCAAGCCCACCCGTAACTCGCGGGTGAAGCAAAAGAGACCCCGCTCTCGTACACTCACCAACGTACACGAGAAGATCCTGGAGGACCTTGTGTTCCCGACCGAGATTGTTGGCAAGAGGACTCGCGTGTCTGTTGACGGATCAAAACTTTTGAAAGTGTAAGTGGCGTGCTTTACGATGTATTGTCGTGATACTGAATGATATTGCAGCATCCTTGACCCTAAAGATGCGACATCGCTTGAGTACAAGCTGGACTCGTTCTCTTCGGTATACCGCCGTTTGACGGGCAAGGATGTGACATTTGAGTTCCCCCCTGCAAACCAAGAGTAGATTACGATATCTCTATTCATTCATGACACATGTTCCGGTTCCCTGCATTCTCCGACAAAAATAAGGACATCCTGCTTATGTCTTGTTTGGGCTATGTGCTGTGATAATACCGGAAGCACTGCAGCACTGAGTAACCTGAGCGAATCCGCCTGACAGTTGGAATGGTCCGCTGGCTACGCAGTGTTAGATCGTTTGCAAATCGCTTGCGAACTAATACCCGGTTTATTTGAAAAGGCTCTTGTGAGCGCTCGTAGCAGCTAAGCAGGCTCGGCGTGATTTCGGCACGTGGTTTCTGTGTCGCGTCTCCAGTGTCGTTTTCGATTGATTCATTTCATTGTCTTCTTCTTGCTTCCGTCGCTAGTCATCTTCCCTCTTTCCTCTTCCTCCCGCCCTTTGTGGCATTCCCTACTCACCTTTAACGTCGTTCTGAATGGCGGAATATCCACGCATGGACCCGTACTCAAAGTCCAGGTATGAACATGGGATAGATGCCAAAATTGTGGTCATGGGCAATACAGGTTCGTTGTTCGGACCAACCAATCCAAGGTCATGGGTTCACTGACGTGTTCTGAATTAACATAGGCGTGGGCAAGACCAGCCTCCTCCATCGCTACACTCAGAACAGGTTCGATCCCAGGAACATGACGTCTACGACCGGGGCTTTCTTCGTAACCAAGAAAGTTCATATCGACGGTTTGAAGGTTCGACTACAACTATGGGACACTGCAGGACAGGAACGATTTCGAAGCATGGTAAGAACTCACTCTCACCTCTTACCCTTCAGGCGTTTACCAATAATCAGGCTCCCATGTATTATCGCGGAGCAAATGCCGCCCTTCTCTTGTACGATATCACGAATGCTGCTACGTTCGAGGACATTCGGGGATGGTTAGCTGGTGCGTACCGCTACATTTCGTATTGGCGATTATTTTCTGACACTACTGCCACTCGTTTCAGAGTTGAAGAAAAATTGTCCGCCAGAGCTCATCATTTATATCGTTGGCTCCAAAGCCGACCTCCATCATCACAGACAGGTCACATCTGATCTAGCCCGCCTATCGCTGCACACCTGGTTTCCCCCACCGCGCCCCCCAACACCTCCTCCCCCTCCACCCCCACCACCTTCAACGCTATCTTATATTCGCCCCAGATTCACATCCTTTACTAGCATCAGATCAGTCCCTCTAAACAACCCCCCAATAAAGTCTTCTCCACCACACAGCGCGTCCTACTTGGATCCCGCCATTAGTCAGTCATCACATTCGTCTGCGCTCAAGCGATGCAACACTGGTCCTGGCCTTCCGAAATCAAAGACGACAGGTCAGAGCTTGAACAGGTCAAAAACAGAGGCATCCCGTTCCCCACAATCACGATTTGGTTCACACTTTGGGCGGCATACTGGAGGGTATGACGCTGCGGATAGCAGCAGCAATAGTATCAATGAAGATGAGGAAGACCTTGATCTCGATGACGGAGAATGGGGACTACACAAGGGGATGGAACTTTTTGAGGTCTCGGCTAAAGATGACTTTGGTACGTGTGCTCGGTCCCCATCTTGATTTCATTCATTCATCTATTTGCCTATAGGTATCGAAGGGCTCTTCGAATCATTGATAAACGCAATCATTGAGCGTAAGGATATCATTGAGCGCGAAAATGAGCTCAAGAAACGTGATAGTGTCTTCTTATCGACCATCAGCACGCCCACCTGGGCCGCCCAAGCCGAAGAAGAAGAGGCACGAGAGAAGGCTCGTTCCACTTCAGGGGGTTGGAGCTGCTGTTCTTCGTGATCTTGTCCCTGCCAGGTGTCAAGACTTCTCAGCTATCTGCTGTCTTTCTACTCATCCGCATCCTACCGGCCCGGCATACCATTCTCACGACTCATTGTCCATCACGTTCTCCCGTCACATCAATCTCGTACACCTGATATCCCAAGTTCTCTTGTTTTCGTTTTCTTTCGTCTACAGGATGCTATGTTCTTTATGCCACTTTCTATGATTCCTACAGGTTCTCCCATACCACCGAGCCGCAGGACCACTGTTTGCAATACTATTATTCACTTCCTGAATTATCTCCTCATACCATATACTACCTTAAGTAGATACAACTTGTGCATGTGTCTATAGTCACCTCATTCAGCAATCTTGGAAGCAATCCTTTGCTGTTGTAATTTGGACTGCAAGCGGCACAGGTGAGAACACCGAAAAAGGAAAGCACTAAGGTGAGCTACTCTGCAGTGCTCTCCGTTTCGTTCCTCGACCACCATGTCCCTCCTTCCCTCCAAGCTAATGGAAGGAGATCAAGCAGACAAGGTCGACAATGTCTGCACGCCGGAACACTGTTTTCGTGCTTTCGATGCATTGTACTGCTCCCTAACATCCAGCGAGCCGATCTCACCTAATTTCGCTGACGAGAAATAGTAAGTAGATCATGACCCGTCCCAATCTGAATGTGTGCTACAGTTGTCATTCTCTAGTCCATTATTTGTGACGTGGAATACCAGGTCATCCCGCTCAGGCAGATCACCCAGACTGAGGGGCTGCATCGGCAACTTCGATGCTATACCCCTTAGGGAAGGTCTTGCAGAATACGCATTGATCAGTGCATTCAAAGACTCTCGTTTCCGGAAAATAGAACGTCGAGAGCTGCCGTCTCTCGAATGTGGGTAAGTGCATCTCGCCTTTCATATGTATGCTGATCCATTCAGCCGTGCGCGGCCAGAATATCCCTCTTGACGGATTTCGAAGACGCATCGTCATATCTAGATTGGACCGTTGGCACTCACGGGATCTACATTAGCTTCCCGAACCCATCATTATACCCACCGTCTTCGAGTACACCTTCTCCTCTATCTTCGTCAGCTTATCTGCCGCGATTCAACTCCAGAGACACTCTGACCGCCACATATCTCCCAGATGTCATGCCTGACCAAGGTTGGGACAAGGTTGAGGCTGTGGAAAGCGCTATGCGTAAGGCAGGATGGAACGGCGCCATCACGGAAGAGACGTTCAGGACCGTGAAACTTCGAAGATACCAGAGCAGGAAGTGTGTGGTTGGCTGGGACGAGTTCGTCCAGTGGAGGAGGGACAACGGTGATGATGAGATCTCATGATTAGATTTCAATCACTATTGCAATGTATCATCATCAAATTGTCGCAGCTTGTACAGATATTAGGGTTGGATTTGTATGTACCCGTACGTGAATAGATGCATTGTCTACAGCAACCGCCCACCACTCCCGTTTTCGCCAAATATGTCATTCCGAAACTTGTCTATTCGACCGCCCCATCCGCCACCAAAGCGCTGTTCTAGCTGTAAAAATACCTTTCGCAGCTTTCCCCCATCATTTCCGCTGGCTTTGCCGAAAGAAACCAAGATCCAGTAGATAAGCCTCTCGCTCGGCTCAACGTCTGCAGGCAAATTCATAAAAGCCTTGAATACCTGATGGAGATTATCGAGGTTCCAATCACTTTTCTGGATTGGGCGGAGCCGCTCAGATAAAGATCCGGGAGGGGTTCTCAGGGAAAGTGGTTTCTGCGCATGCCGCGCGAAACCGAGAAATAGTCCCCGAAAAGCGGAAAGCGTTGGCTGATAGAGCGAAGGTTGACCTGTCGCCTGATCGATAGGAGCCTTCGGTTCCCTATTAGGCGTAGAAAGCATGTCCACAAATACATTAAGTGCTTTCATAAATTGCCCATGATAGGCAAAAGCTTGGATCAAGCAGGTATATGTGATCTCGTCGGGTATTATATCGTCCCGTATGGCGATGCCCTCCACATCTAGCAGGTACTTGACGGCTGTCTCGATGTCGTATTCGCCCACATCGAGCTCCGGCTGCAGATTGTGGCGCAACACGCGGTAAATGGTTGAGGCGATATCCACATGCCCATTCCGGCCATAGGCCCATATACATGCGTTGATCCCGTCCAGACCAGGCTCAAAGCCTTGCTCTCTCATCTTCTGCAGCGTGGATCGAATGCCGGACAATTGCTTTGTTCGTGTATAGTAGTGTAGCAATGATAGATGGGTGATGCGGTTTGGTGGTAGCCCTGAGGCTCTGAGCAGATTAGATGCGTGACGGATGGCGCTGGGGTCAAGCGAGCGGCCGGCGATGTAGAGGAGGGTTGTATATGTAATGATATCGGGTTGTACGCGCACCAAGTCGGGCTCTGCAGGCAGCTTTTCGTCGTCGTCTGGGTCCTCAGAGGACTGCGCGGTCATTTTACTGAAAACTTCCACAGCTGCCTTGTAGTCTTCGAGGCTGCATTTCCGCCATCGCTTTCCTGCACAGTCTAGCAAGGCATTCCACTCCCATAGGTAGATGCGAAAACCAGACCGGTGTAGCATCGTCAAAACAGCAGAAAGCCGTAAGAAAAGTGTTCTTGTTCGAGGTTTTGTGGAGGCGAGAAGGCGGGCAAGACGATGGAGGTGACGCTGAGGAATCTTGGGGGCTCCAGAGAGGTGATGAATATGATGAGGGAACATGATTGTCAAGGTGTGGTATGCATCCCACCCATCTGCCACCGAGGTAGCTTCCTCTAAGCTGTCCAACAATTCTTGCCGCGTCCTCATTCGGGCTGGTGGTGTCTCTTCGAGTGAGTCTATGAGATCCTGATAGCCAGTGCGGTGAGGATTGGAGTAATAATGATGTGGGTTTTGTTGACCGTGAGTTGAGCCGACGCCAGCGTGAATGTGGATGGCCTCGACGTCCGGAGACTCGTCTGTGGGGAGCGGCGCGTGGGGCATCAAGCCATCCTGCCCATGCGGTTTTAAAACGCGTGTTTGATGTGTAGGTGCGTTCAAAAGATCCGCGAATGTTACATTCTTGACGAGAGCGTCGTCTGCCTTGCGCTCGCTCACAGTGCAGCTCACTGCTCCTGGAGCTCCTTCTTTCATCCTGCGAGCAGCATGGATACGACGATGGTTCCGGAAAGTGTGAGACGTTGCCTGCCGCCGAGCGAAAGGTTGTTGAACTTGACGAAGCCAACATGGTATTTGTGATGATGCAGGCGACAATCTGATGCTCGACGTAGAGCCTGCAAGCATGAATATCCAGTGCAGTCATCCTGTGGTAATGATGAGCATTACCCAGTAATTTACATGTGTCATGTACATACCGCGACTGGCACTGAATGAAGATGCTGGAAGAACCAGGTAGAGACCTGGTGACAGTACAGTAACTGACGCGCTCGATCGGAGGAAGTTGCAAGTGCCAAAAGCAGCTACTCAAAATTTTCGGGTCTTGACTTTGGGCGCTAAAAACAAGGTGCTCCTGCAATACTTTGGACATACTCCATGTATTAAACAGACAAATTCAATGCACTCCAGAACATCATGCATGCAGACACATTGATTTGGCGGTACTAGAGCATAGCATGGATAGTCGTGAAAAGATGTAAAAAAACATAATGCCTAAGTAGTACGTCAAAAATGCAATCAATCCCTGGCCTTGAGCGTTCCCAGGAACGCGGCCTTTTCCTCGAAGGTTTGGAACGAGCCATGCTGAATTCAAGACGTGAGATGATTCCTTCAAAAAACAGCTCATTGTACTTACGCCGAACTTTGATGAGGTATCGATGAACTTGAGCTGCACCTTCTCGAGGTCCCGACGCGAGGTGTGGACCATGAGCGACTTACGGAGCGTGATGACACGCTTCTTGGTACCAGGGATCGAGCCCTTGAGCATCAAGAAATCGTTCTTCACAATACCGTAATGGGGGAAGCCACCCATAGGCGTGATGGTCTTGCTTGTGATGTCAGACTCAGTAGAAGCATTTGCCTTATCTTCGCCAGAGCCGATACGGTAAATCTTCTTATTGAGCTCCGTACGGTGATGGTAGCCGTCTGCATGATTGTTTGATACCGCAATACCACAAAATAAAGCAACGTGACTTACTTTGACCAGCACGTGCGACGGAGAACATGACTTTCGAAGGATGCCATGCACCAATACAAGCGACCTTGCGAAGACCTTTGTGAGTCTTGCGAGGAAGCTTCTTGGTACCCCAACGGTGGGTAACACCCTCGAAACCGTGACCCTTCGTGACAGCAATAACATCGATCACCTCATCCTGCTCGAAAAGACTAGTAACCTCCACAGGCTTCTCAAACAGGCCTTGCGAGAACTCGACCTTGTCTGCGATGGAGCCACCGTTAACCTGGATCTCCATGAGGTGTGCCTTCTTCTGGCTGAGACCGGTCTTGCGAATCTGGGTGTGGGCAAGGACACGGACAACGGTACAGTATTTGCGGATGCGCTCGAGCTCACGAGCGGTGGACTTGCCGCCGTCCTCAGCGTGCTTCTTAGCGTAGCGGGTGAAAGCCTTCTTCTTCGAGCGGTACCAGTTCTTGTAGAAGCGACGCTTGATCTCGTCTGAAAGATGGGATGCCCAGACAGTGGTGAGAGTGCGGAGGCCACGGGGAGTCTCGACGTAGCCAACGACACCAACAACGATCATAGGAGGAGTCTCTATGATTGTTACTGCCTCCACAACCTCGCGTTTGTGCATCTCTGCGGTCTCTTCAGATCCACAATCTCTGGTAATTAGGTAGAATACGCACTGGAACCAGGACGGTCGAGGTCACGGACAACATGGGTCATACCAGCCTTGTAACCCAACATGGCGGTCAGATGAACGGGCTTCTTGGGGTCATCCTAAAGTAGATGCGCTGTTAGACCAGTCCTAGACGAATATGCTTCAACTCGCGCACCCTGGGGAAGGACTTGACCTTGCCGCGGTGGCGTGCGGCACGTTTACGGGGGAGGAAACCGAGTGACCCATGGCGGGGGGCTTCGTACTGAACAGATCACAAAGTATGAGTGTCTCGAGCCTGCCCAGGTGTCTATGACAGAAAACCAACCTTACGGTGACTATGGGAGCCAAAATCTAGTCAGCTCGATCTTTTTTGATGGTTGTTTTCGCAGCATGCTCACCTCATTTTGAAGGATCTTGAGGACGGTGTCGGATGCGAGCTTGGCGTTGCGCACAGTATGGCACAAGTTTGCTGGAAGTTGCCGGATCTGTGGCTGATGAACTGTATAGTTACCAACTTTAGTTACGGGTCGTCTCCCAGTTTGGAAAGCCCCCTATGGTTTCTAGCATGGGAGGCTGCTTTGAACCTACTTACCTCTGCTCACCTAGAACCATTAGGAGGAAGATATTCGCTCCTTCGTAATTGGTGCATCGCGATACACTGACGCTGATATGACAGGCATACATGTGGTACCATTAAGCTACTAGCGATGCCTGACTCTTAGACTGATCCACCAGTATAACGAGCTCAAGACCCCAAATTACGAAATCCAAAGTCTTCACAAATTCAGAGCTGTTACAGGTGTCCCTCAGGCTGCTGCGCGATATTCGCAGCACATTAATCCCAGTATGGTACTGTGGCAGCGCAAACGAGAGATACACAAACATTTTTCGGAATTGCCACGACAAACGAAATTTACATTTATGCACAGGGTATATCTGGGTATGTGATAGGTGTTAAACATCTCGTACTGTATATATATCACTGCCAGTTGACATTTCTATGTGTTCCTGGAAAGCAATTGGATGTATGCCAGCTGTTCCTGCCTCATAGGTGGCCATGAACTGGGCATGATATTGTCGAACGCTAAGGATGAGTCGTGGTCCTACCACAAACATCTGCAAAAGCGTAACAAATTCAAGAATACCACGATAGCTCTGAGCTCCCACGGAAGATGAGTCCTGTAGCGATGATGATGAGCGCTCAAATGTAGATGTCAGCCATAGATTGCCATACCATGATATTTGGAGACATCAAGCCAAGGTTGAAGCAAGAAGCAGCAGCAAAGCTAGCACGTAAGGAAAATCAGCAAGAAAAGATGACCTCATACAAAAACGCTCACAATGCAAAGTAGAGGACGTGACTTTTCAGTAAGACACTGAAACAATCACCGATTGCGGTCCGTCCTGTCGCTGGTCGCAGTTCACGGACATGTTTTACAACAATCCAAAGTGCAAGACACAGCGAGAGGACCTCCCATACAGTAGCGAGTGTGTATGTCTCTAACAACCGAAGTTGTTGGGTGTTATCGACTTGGTAAACGCACTGTGTGTCGTAGAGGAACACATCTGGTATTCGTTACATGAGCCTGATGCGCTTAAGATCTCATTAACTTACTCGGTGAAACAAAGCTGCTTCCTACTGCAGCGATTACCCCACAGGCAAGCGAGATAGAGACGAAGGTCACGACGAGAAAGATCAGCATCTTTCTGGATCCCTGATACATTGCATGTAACCGAGATATCATGATGACTTGTATGACATATCAGCCAAAACTAAGATACCGTAGCTGGGCAACTCACCATTCAGCATGGGGTTTATGACAAAAATCGCCCACGAGAGTGCGAGGTTCATAACATTGCCTGAAAAAAAGATGATTAACCTCGCATAACTGAATATCTCGAGAAACGAAACTCACAACTACTTCGGTCAGCATGTTGAACAGACAAGCTAGTTGAAAATCCCACTCACCCCTACATACGTATAAGTGTGATTAGTTGGTAGGTGTCGCTGCGCAATACTTACCATGTCTGTTGTGAAGACTCCCGGGAGATTTACTGCGTGCCACCAGTCAGAAGAAAAGAATGAGTCGGTGCATTACGAGACATACACAATATGTTGCTGCTGAACATGATAGATAGCTTATTAGCTCAGCGCCCACTTGTAAGCTTTGCGAACTCACACAGAGTATAGTATTCCAGCGTAGCGCACCTATAATGTTTGAGATCAGCACGAGTTGGCCACTGCGCTTAGAACAGAAGTTACGTACGGTGATATATAGAGCAGTCATGAGGGAACGGCGCCGCCTCTGACCCAAATTACTGACTGTATCATAGGCTCGATGGGGCTGCTCACCCAGATCAATTCATACTACAAAACCATTTTAATGATGAGAAGGCTGGACGGCAATGGAATCAACGTACCTCTTGACCGAATGTCAGCACTGGAGAATATCATAATGTCATCAATAATTCGCTCCATGAGAAATCTTACTCACCCCAGTCGTACACCACAGCAGATGATGACGCGACTGTGAAAACCCAGTCAATGATAAGAGTGAGAAACACCAACGTTGTTCTCCACGAACCTACAAAACATTTGAAAACACGATACATGTCGGGTGACCACGAACTGGGATTAGTTGGAATCAGGGGCATATTGCAAGTTGTGGGTGGGTGTACAATGCGCCAGACCATCCAACGAGAAAACTATATAAGTACGCGGTGAGGTCCAGGCCGTAATAAATTGCTTTAAGCTTGATTTTTAAATTGTGGACCATTGCCGCAATAACCGAGCAGTAATTCGATCCCGCGGCCAACTTGCGGCGACACTCATCATCCAGGGTCCGAATTCGACGTCTAGGAGTGTAAAGCTTTCGCGCGGCCCATCGGTCTGAAATCGATGTTCAACTGAATGGCGGGATTTTTTACATAGAGACAAAGTTGTGCCAATCCCTGATTCTAAGCATTCGATGCTGCAAACCAAGTCAGGGTTATTTAACCTCAGGTGCCGATGGTGTGCAAGTGACAAGTGTGCCGTCAGTATGAACCTTACTTATTACATAGTAAACGGTTTATCCGTGTTGACTCATCTATAGAAGGTACCGAGGGCTTGCATGACTCAGCTTCTCTTAGCTAACGTTCTCCAGCAGCAAAGGGTACCAGACTTCGGAACAGAACGCCCTATAGCTAACGCTGGCAGTTATCTCACCAACCACGTCTCCTCAAGGGACCCATCCGCTTCATTTTCTACACGGTCCGTCGAGCTTGCAACCCCGTATCACCTACCACAGAGACTTCCATACCCATCGTCGCGAAGGTCTCCACACAAGGATTGAGTTTGATTAAACGGTGGGTTGGTGAACCTGATTGGAGTTCATTAACACTCTTCATCACCCTTCAAGGGGATCAATCGGCCTCCTGTTTATTCCATAACATCGGCCATAATGCAGGGGCTCATGCATAATTGTATGTAAACATATAATGTCCAAGAGAAGGGTCTTGTGTCATACTACTCGTTAACGTCACTTGACTATATCATGTCTCACTGGTCTGAGTCCTATGAACCGTTGCCACTTGGTCCTTGAACCCTCGAATCAGAAGATGAACTTCCTAAATGTATTGTACTACTCTACATAGGAACCTTCGTGATAGCACTATGCGTGTCCTCGCGATAAATTTGTACCCTGACTAGCGCACCTGTGACACTATTAAGTCTTCAGGCCACTTGCAGTGTGGTTCCTATCAATACAACGAGCATCGGAAGACTCAGAGTTCGGGGCTGTAGTATCACCCTGCAGTCCTTGTACCAGTACGGCAACGCAAGCGAGAAAATTACGGGGCCCCACCCCGGAAAGACTATGACACAAATTACATTTTAAGTACAGGGTACGTATCTGATAGGGATTGATCGTTTGAAGATATCTCGTGCGCGCGCTACACATCATCGCTGCCAGTTGACATTTCAATCTGTTCCTGGAAAGCAATTGTAGGTATTTGATACGTTCCATCCTCACAGCCGGCCACGAGCTTGGCGTGATATTCTCGAACGCTCAGGATGAGTCGGGGTCCTACCACGAACATCTGCATAAGCGTAACAAGTTCAAGAATACCGCGATAGGTCTGAGCTCCCACAGAAGACGAGTGCTGTAGCGATGAGGATGAGTGCTCGAATGCAGATGTCAGCCATAGATTGCCATACCATTATTTTGGGAGACATTAAGCCAAGGTTGAAGCAAGAAGCGGCAGTATAGCTAGCACGGAGGGAAAATCAGCAAGAAAGATGACCGCATTCAAATCATGCGCTCACAATGCAAAGTAGAGAACGTGACTTTTCACTAAGACCGTGAAACAATCACCGATGACGGCCGGTCCTCTCCATTGTGGTCGCAATTCACGGATGTGTTTTACAACAATCCAAAGTGCAAGAAACAGCGTGAGGGCCTCCCATGCAGTAGCGATTGTATACGTCTCTATCATCCGAAGTTCTTGGCTGCTATCGGTTGGGAAAACGCACTGTGTGCCGTAGAGGAATGCCTCTGGTATTCGTTGCATGAGCCTGATGCGCTTAGAGTTTTTCATTAACTTACTCGTGTGAAGAAAGCGGGTTCCAACTGCGGCAATCACTCCGCATATAATCAAGACAACGGCGTAGGTCACAGAGAGAAAGATCAGCATCTTCCTGGATTGCTGATACATGGCATGTAACCGAAATATCAAGACGACTTGCATCACGCGTCAGTCGATCTGATGAAATACTGTAGCTGAGCAACTCGCCATTCAGATTAGAGTTTATGACCATAATCGCCCACCCAAGTGCGAGGTTCACACCATTACCTGGCAAAGCCCAGTTAATGACGAGCCTCACAAAACTGAATGCTTCGAGATACTCACAACTGTTTCAGTCAGCATATTGAACGGACAAGCTGGTCGAAAATCCCACTCACCCCTACATACGTAGAAGTGTGATCAGTTGGTAGGTGTGGCTACAGAATACTTACCATGTCTGTCGTCAAGAATCCCGGGAGATTTACTGCGTGCCACCAGTCAGAAGAAAATAACGAGCCGGTGCATTACGAGACATACACAACACGTTGCTGCTGAATGTGAGAGATGACATATCAGCTCAGGGCCCACTTGTCAGCTTTGCGAACTCACACAGAGTATAGTATTCCGACGTAGCGCACCTAAAATGTTTGAGATCAGCACGAGTTGGCCACTGCGCTTATAACAGAAGTTACGTACGAAGATATATAGAGCAGTCATGAGGGACCGGCGCTGCCTCTGACCCCAAATTAATAAATACATGACGCTGTCCTTCTGATATGGGCCTGCTTACCCAGATTAGTTCGTACTACAAAATAATTCTAGTGAGATGGCTGGTCGGAAATGGGATCAACGTACCTCTTGACCGAATGTCAGTACTGGAGAATACCATAAGGTCATCAACTTTCGCTCCATGAGAGATGTTGCTCACCCCAGTCGTACACCACAGCAGACGCTGATGCGACTGCGAAACTCCAGTCAACAATAGAGCTAAAAAAAAAAAAACACCAAAGATGTTCCCCACGAACCTACGAAATAGTTGAAAACATGATTCATGTCGAGTGACCACGAACTGGGGTCACTTGGAATCAGGGGCATGTTGATCGTCCGAGTCTGAGAGTGGCGAACTCGGTGGGTGTACAACACGTTTGATTTACAGTTGAGATATGCGGCGACAGAGTGCCCGTGTTTTGAGTTACCTTAAACCTTTTTTAAAATCGTTGACCGCAGCAAGCAAAGGAAGAATGAATATTGTTCTTGCGGCGACACCTGGCAGGCTCGTACAAATTTAAGTGGTGTTCGCGCGACCCATCGGTAGAATGTCCAAATTAGTCGTTATAGCACCGTACGTACGACTCTGGGCCACAGCCTGTTCAACGGAATTCTGGCGGGGTCAAAACATGCTTGAGGCATCTCCGCGTAGATTCAGACAACAAGGCATAACCGTTGCAAGGGTGGAAGAAATCAAATTTCTGAATCTAAAGAGCTTATGTAATTACTAAGCAACTACTTAACGAACCACGTGACTCAGCCCTGACTATAATCAAACGTGGTCCAGGGCCTCCCATGCGGCGAGTGCGACGTCGTGGGCACAATTGCAAACCTTGCTTGCCTGAATTTACTTAATGGATCATATTTCACGCGTGGGGTAGAGAGAGGTGAGAACCTTGTAGTACTTTTTTGTGACGGGCCACTCGCGGTGACCACTGCACTTAATTATGTTAAGGGACCAGTTACAGTATGGTCCGCCCAAGGCGTCTGGACCCGCCAATTAGAAAGTCGCTTTCGATGGCGCGCGTGCGCCAGACCCTCGTTGGTAAGTTTGTGATTAACGGCATTCTTCCAGGTTCAACCACCTATGGCATTTATGTTGAAGGTTTCAGTCAGGAATCAGGATGGCATCACGTAGATCAGCCGTATCTATGTATGTATCCCTTGCCATCTAGCTGGCTCTTGCGCTCCAGCGCACCCCAAAGCGGTGAGTTTCGACATTGCTTTCGTGAGCTATGTCATGTTTCATGATCTTTGACCACAGATCCCTGGTTCACGCGGTGTCACTGCAGGTGTGGTAATTATAAGCTAGGGACTCGTGATTTGGAGTCTGGAATGACTTGTTTCATTCCAGCTACGGTTATTACTGCTGTAGCGGGAATACTAACATATTATAGAAGACATCGGGTGGAATGATACGCCGCAGCCTGGCTGAAGCCTTGGCTATTTTTTTGGGGGGACTCATATACTTCGGCACCTAGTTTGCGCCACCAATTGTATACTGATCTGTGCAGTAGTGTATTTCTGCTGAGAATTTTGTCCAAGGATCAAGATCTGCCCCTGAACCCGAAGAGGGTACCTTCGGGTCTGGGGAAAATTTGCAACCCTAATTTGCAATTGCAATCGTCTACTAGATCGATGGATCATGGGATCACATCATCGTCACTCATCATGGCATTTGGCTCGCCTTCTGTAAAATTTTGATACATGCATAGCTATCAGTTATGGCATCTCGTACGTACGCTCTCATAATATCTGAGGAAGAATTTTCCTCTGATGCAGTTCAATCGTGTCATCATGATCATGCGTATTACGCAAGTATTCTGTTCAATGGAGCCTGCAAGTATCCTTTTGGGGTCTGCCTGCTGGTCTCTACTCTGAGCTTCAGTTAGTCCAGTATCTTCCTACATCAGCAAAATAAAAAATGACGACGGTTGTATATACCTGCGGCAGTGAAGATCAGATACGGAGATGGTGGTGACATGCGTCTGAGATGTACATCAGCCCTGAGCAATTGCTGAAGAATCGCTCGCTCGTGCCAGCTTCGTCGTCGCAGCGTATTATCAGAACCACATCCGCGACATGCTGTGGGCACACACTTGTACTGCTGAGTGTATCAGTATTTCAATACTGTCGTATGTAGCACTTACAGTCTGCGCGCCGCGATTGTGAAAATTGCCAGGACCTTCTTTCAACACTAACCATGCTGATCACGCCACTGTACAAGCTTCTGCTTGAGCTCACGCTGGTGAGACACGGTATTTGTGTGAAAAGGGTCGCAACGCCTTACGCAGCATTGTAAAGCTTATTACACGAGTACAGATGTCGATTGCTGAGTTCCCGAAGGTTTGAACCTATCTCCATGGACTGGCAGCAGAGTTTATAACTCCGGATGCACAACACAGAGGAGCGTGTGTTGTATGCGCGCACAATGCGATCGTGGCATGCCTCCGAGGTCGCGAGTGTGAGGAAGTCTAAGACCCTTGGACAACGAGGAAGCAATTGTATATCTTTATTTTAGTAGCAGCTTGATGGAGATGAAGAACTGTTAGAGATGTAAAGCCGGACACTGTGCCTAATTGCATTGACCGAAAGAAGGGGTCAGACCATTGGATTTATTTTCGGTAGTTGCCGGAACCCAAAAAAGTGCGAACCAATTGTAATTTTGTTAATTAATTGTTGTTTCAGGATCCGTACCTAGTATAATGATCTCGCTATTCGCCAGAAATCTTGGGTTGAGCAAGGTAAGCGCTAAGCAATTGTGCTTCGTTCTCATTGCGTGCTCAGAATTCAAACAGGTCTGCCTCCAACTAAATACCTATGTGCACCCCGGTCAATATTTAATATTCAATGCCAATTGATGTGCACCAACCTAGCTGAGCTACGTGCACCCCGGTCATTACTTTAATGCTTATCACCCCGGCCAATGTTCAATGCCTATCATCCCGGTCAAACTGATCTCCGATGGGCCTGATGGGCCCCGCAATATCAATGTGTCCTCCCATCGTGCACTCTGTTTCAGTCACTTAACTTAAGGGTACAAGACCTTGTGATCACTCAAAGTGAGTTGGTACAGCCTGAGTTCCCTCCTCCCAAGTCCACGGCGTCCGCGCCGATCATCATGCGGACACAAAGAAGTATCGTAACTTGGGTTAGTTAGTGCAACTGTCATGAAAAACCCACTGAATTCATTACGGACAGCCAAGTGATCCACTTGCCAGATTGATAATCCGTACTCAGCGGCGAATTAGTCTAGGTCACTAGTTGCCATTGAGAACGGATGTTGACATCGGATGAAGGGCTTGTGTTAATGATCCGACCTTCGCTTTACCTTGTTAAAACTCGCGTCCACATCCTCATTCATTCACACTAATACTTACCTCCCCCATGGGTACTGTAGATGATACGTGCGTATGCTTCACATCTCCGTTCGTATACATTACTTAGCAGAACTTGCGCAGGTTTGGAGCGTTCTTGATTGGGGTTGTAGTCTCCGCCACGTAAGTACTCTTTTTTGAATCAACTATGACCGCAAATTGGAACTTGTATGTTGCAGGCTTTACGGAGGTTTGTTTTCATGCTGTTCCTTTTGCGCTGGGAGCTCACGATCACACAGTCACTTGTGTGCAGACATGGTACTACTTTCGCCGGTATTTTGCAGATCCGTGGTACAACAAGCTTTTAGTAGGTTCACGAAGTGTCGATATGTGCCACTTCTCTAATGTTATCATCTAGGTTGGTGCTATATTCATATCAGACTCGATCAATCAAGCTTTGATTACACACACTGGTGAGCGCCGGATACAAGCCGTGTTTGTTTGGGAACTGAATATCAGACGGTAGTGTATACGTACCTTATCACTGACTTTGCCAACATTGGTGCCCTGCAAAAACTTGTGTGGAGTCTGTCTGTGGGTTGCATGTGATGAGCGCAAAGTTTTCGTCTGAACGTTCATCTGCATCACAGGTTGAAGTGTTGTTCAATGGCTTCACGGGGTTTATGGTTCAAAGGTTGGTGTGGTCTTCTGAATACAAAAATCTTTAATGATCATCCTTCCAGCTTCCTTACCGTGCGCGTCTACAGACGTACGTGTGATCTCCTGCCAGTGAACGGTTTGCTTACTTTCAACCAGTAAGCGACAAGAACATAATTGCAACCGCATCAGCGATGTCCCTTGTCATTGCTGAAATTATCATTGTTATCAGTGAGTATGCGTTTTGCTGCTCGTAAATCTGTCTACTCATGTGACATCAAAAGTATATGTTGCAAAAGCGTAAGTCGTGTCAGAAATCATCAAGTAGTCTGGCTGATGTACCACCCTCTTCAGTGTCAAGTTGACAACCTTCAGTCAAGTTCCCGAGCTCAAGACATTGTCCATGTGTGTGAACGCTGTAGCAGCTGCCGGGGATATCCTTATCGCGGCCTTCCTCTGCATATTCCTCCAACAGTCTCGCACTGGTTTCTCGAGGTCCGACAACTTGATTAATACACTGATGTTGTACAGTATCAACACCGGTCTGCTCACCAGCATTTGCGCGGCCATGTCCCTCATTTCTGTGTGTAAAAAATCACAGATGGTTTTGTCATAACGTTTCTGACCCGGACGTGGCGCAGATTATAGCGTGGCCGGATACCTTCATTTATGTCGCATTCTATTTCGTCGTGGGCCGTCGTAAGTACACTACATCCAAATTATGCTGTTCACGAGGTCAACAAGATCACTTTTAGTGTACTGCAATTCCCTGCTGGCAACCCTCAACGCACGCAAAGGCATCCGTCGCGATTCTTATAACGAACATTTGTCGCTCTCGCTACAGGGGGCTCGGAAACCTACCAATAGTCCTATCGGCTCCTCGCAAAGGGTGAGTTCCGCGAACTTGCACAGTGCTTTGCTCATGTGCAATCAGGAGACGCCAAACGATCTTTCAGTCAAGATCGATACCGCGCAAGAATACATCGATGACGAGGTCAGTTATGCTCCTTACCAGCGCTGTGATCTAGTGCTGATTCGGATGTACGCTAGTTTCTATCTCCGACGGATTTTAAAAGTACTCAGTCAGTTTGATTGCTTCGGATATGGGTGTCCCGAGGTAGAGGAGAATCACAGAATGTACCCATCTTACTCCTAAAAGAATAGCTAGCCTGCTGCGCCTTTGACAGTTCAAGTTGCATTTTCTACATAGACTTAGTATATCTTTTTAGTCCAATTCACCCAAACCAACTCAACGTTTCCGGCAGTCACGATGTAGCTACACATATAATGCTTCTCACAGAATAGATTTGATTCCAACATGTTCGGCCCGTGGACGGGGAGGAACGAGACATGGAGAAGAAAAACTCACATGAAGTCCAGTGCTGCAGTTGGCGCTTGTTCAGGGTTGTTTTGGCACATGAGGAACGCGACTTGGACGCGTTCGTTGATCAATTACCAAAAACGCGCTTTGTCACAGAGTGACAGGTCACGCATGCCACGGTGTTGAAGCCGTTCTCAAGATTACAGCAACAAACAGCCTTGAGCCGGCATCAGCCAACACGCTCGTTGACTGAAGACGCTAACATGTCCGCCATGGACGTAGACCAAATTTCTCCAAAGTCATCTCCCGCCAAGGTCATAAAACGCGCCCCAGTCACGTACGGAAAGCGTAGGGACCCCCAGCTTGAAATACGCGACTCTTCTGTAACCCTCGCCGACCACGACTCTCCTCGTGTGGAGTCGGAGCCCTTAGATAAGAAAGGCGAGGACTCGGCGCTTGATATGTTGCAGGGCTCACAGTCCTCCTCAACTACCTATGCAAATGATGACGCTATGCACGATGCCAGTCCTAAACATCAGTTTGGCTGGAGAGCACAATTGAAAGCGCTAGATGAAGCCTTCGACAAAGACCAGGAACCACTTGTACAGCCTCGAGTTACTGAGCGGTCGTCATCGACGCCACCCTTTCAACCTCATTCCTTTGAGGAGAATCAAATCACACATATGGATGCCACGCCTCTTTCTCCAGTACCACAAAATTCCAATGGGCTATCCGATGGCACACTGCTACCCCCTACAAGCGATCCAGCTGCCTCCTTAATTGACGAGTCTCTTGAAGATTCACCCATAATTTCTCGCAAGGCCAGACGCCCGAGGAATCGTGTCGACTGTGATTCTGAGCGCGAAGATTCCGAAAATTCTTCCTTGGTATCGCCTGTTCACCATCCAATCAATACTCCTCTGCTGCGATCTCCTCCCACACCTTCGACATCAGAGTTCGAGATGCCTTCAACGAGGCCCAAGGCTAACAAAGGCAAGGGGAAGGCCCCTGCTCGGGATGTCCCTCCGCTTCGTTTTGAGAGTGAATCCACTTCTACAAGTGCCACTTCAAAGAAGGGTAGCAAAGCCAGGCGGAAGGACGAATCCACGCGCCTAAAGACCAAGGTAGTTTGGCCTTTTGTCGCGCCCATCCCATTTTTCACTCATACGACGGATAGGCTCCGACTAAAAAAGACCTGCGTGAAACTGTTTTGGAGAGCTCGCGTATCACTGCGAGAAAGAATGTCGAGGTGGCGCGTACTCAGAAATCGAAGCATACCAAGGCTCGGCTTTTTGAGACGATCAAGTGGGTAATACCAGGTTTTTCTCCAAAATAATGCTGCTGACTTTGACCAAGGGATAAAGCCTTGCGTAACGAGGAACCTCCCTCAGATCCAATATCCAATTTTTCCTCGCCTTCCAAAGTCACACTAGGCGGATCTTCTTTCGGCGCACCTTCACGTTTGCTTGGATCCTCTGCTGTTGTGCATCCCCGTGCACAGGCTCCGCCCAAAAATCCTCCGCGGCGTGCAACTTCCCCGCCGCAGTCAATGGCATCCGACAACAGCGGCGACGAGATGCCGAATCTCACAGACCTATTGAGGCATGAGCAAGCCAAACGCAAAGAAGCTAATGACAAACGTGCTCTCGCGGAGTTGAAGCAGCGAGCCCTCCAAGACGCAGCTAGGCGGTCATCTAGGACCGGAGATAGCGATGATGATCTAGAGATTGTGGATAACAATATGCATGTGACAGCCCAAGAAGAGGCAGTGAAACGCAAAGCGGACAAGTTGCAACATATTACTCCTTCGAAGGGCAAGGCGAGACAGCTTGCGTTGAGTCGGAAATCTCTACCAGGACCGTCCGGCTCCCGTGCGAAGCCTTTTGCACAAGCCAACATGTCCGAATACCTCAGGGAATCCGCGATGTCATCATTCGACCGGAAGGCGAAGGGCAAGGACACTAAGGCCCTGCTCACCACACAACAATTAAACAGAGCGCTCATGCAACAAGCTGAGACTAGCAAGCTTGCGACTATCCAGCAGCGAGAAGAGGACTGGAAACAAAGAGGAGGCAGGGTACTAGAAGAGCCTGTAGAAGTTGGGGAGAACACGTCATTCAAAGACAGGCTTGCTGCATATGTGCAGAAGGGGCTTGAGGTAGCAGAGCACGACGACTCTACTGTTGGCGACATGGAGGTGGACGACACGGACGGGGACGACGCGGATTATGCTCCCGAGGAACGGGGCTCAGCCAGTCCAGAGCCCGCGGAAAGTGATGGCGAGGGCGGCAGCGATCAGGAGAACCAAGCTACGGGCGTCGATGTCAATGATGGTGCAAGCCAACATACGGACGTTGAAGATGAGGAGGTCCAAGTGCACAGACGCGGTATTCGTCGTCCCCTAATGGTGGCTTCCGATGACGAGGATGATGCTCCCAGAATTCTCGTGCCAGACTCCTCGATGCTGGACTTGGCTTCCAACGGTATAGTGATACGCAACTCGGAATCGGACCAAACGGAGGACGAGAATGACAAAGAGAACAGCAAAACGTTGATGTACGACAGGAGCGAGGACAAAGAGAACAAGGCTGTTGTTCGACACTCCCATTCAGTTGCGAGACCTCCCTTAGGTAGTAGACCGGGTTCGCTTCTTGACATCGAGGATGTTGTTCTCAGGAGATCTCCGTCTTCAACATCGTTGGGAGGTTTCGATGGTGTCCCCAATTCTCCTGAGCAAAATTCACGTTCGCCGTTGAAGGAGATTGCTCAAGATGACTCGTTCGCGGGATCCCCAACTTCAAAGTCCCCATTTACCACCAGACTTCTCCAATCTACGTCAAAGCATCTGACATCCCCACCGGAAGCATCACACTCCCTAATGACCCTCGACTCACCTCCGACGCAGCGTTGCGTGCAGCTTGGTCGTGCGGGATCATCGTTTTCCGACTTTGAGAACGAGGAAAAACATGGTTAAGGGTTTCGAACCCCGCACACTACTACCTTCCTTTTCTGAAACCCTTAGCAAGAGTAGTCCTGCATCCTTCGTACCCCTGGATCCTCTCGCAAATGGAGGAGGTTTTTCGCAACTGTTCTTAGATGACAAGGTTTGCAATCTCATTTGTTGCAGTTCAGTTCATTGAATGACGTGTTGGGTTATTTTAGGATGAGGGACCCAGCTTCAGAGAGACTGATCTTGTGGGTGACTGCAATGAGCCCACTTTGTCACTTGATATTGGACTGGAGCCTGCACTGGAAGTCAGCAGTGCCCTTCGCAGGAAGGCTGACGACATTTTTGAAAAGGAGCAAGAGTATGTAATAGAGATCGCAAACAAGCAACGGAAGCAGGCTGATGACCCTGGGATGTACATCCGCGACAACGGGTGAGTACATCGAAGTGACATCTAATTCATTCCTGGAAATTTTATTCATTTTTCCAGGTTCTTGACTCAGACATCGGGGCCTGATGCTGAACAATATCGCGTCAAGTCTTTCCAGAGTTCACAACTTCTGGCATCTCAAACATTGCTGGGTGATCTCATTCCGTCGTCTTGTGAGCGTGCTCCACTCCGAACGTTGTCCTTCATGGCTACGCAAGAGTCCTCGGATATACAGCCTCTTCGCCGACTAAGGCGGCGCAGTACTTCGCCATTGGACGGGAAAGCACCTGTACAAGACGACGCCTCCCTTCTGCCCCCTCTACTTATTTCTCAGCTGCCAAAGAGAAACGCGTTTGATGTCTTGGGAGGGAACCCAAAATCCAATGCACCTAAACGAAAGCTGGAGAAATCTGAATTCGTCGCTGCGGAGGCCGAGGAATCAGATGAGGACGAACTGATTGGCTTCGGGCCTTTCAAGAAAGATGACGATGAGGAGGCAGAGGACGACGATGACGATAAAATTGTGGAAGGTCTTGTTGATGATGCGGCCATGGATGTTGACACAGAAGGGGCTGATTTAGTCCAGGAGAAGTTCAGGTGCGCATTATGGACAGATTATTGACACAGTCAGCTGAATTATCCATAGAGAGCATGAGGAGGAAGATGACCAGAAATTGGAGAAGCTTCACCAGGATGCCATTGATGGCAAATTCAGAATGAAGCGTCGCGACCGTGGGATCGGCTTCGACGAGGATAGCGACGATGACGAGGAGGACGAGAATAACAGGCGAATACGACGGGGTATGAACAAGAAGCGCAAGATTGATGGTGACACCCTCGAAGACCTAGGCAAGTAGTGCGATCGCTACAGCTCCATTTTGGAAGCCAACTTCTCTATCTATAGGTCGAAACCAAGAAACCAAGGCGTTCTATGACGCATATCAGCATGAGTTGATTGATGATGACCTTGAGTTTGTGCATTTGCAAGCAGATACGCGAATGGTTAGTGAAGATGAAGATGAGGAGACGAGGAAAGTAGTATTGATCGAAGATCTAAATGCCGAACTGAGGGAAGCGGCCAGGAGTAGAGAGGTGAGCTGCACTGTGCTTCTTCTACCTTTGTTATCGCTGATCTTCAGTAGACTTTTGAAACTCTAGATCCGGAGGACATATCATGGATCGACAGGGCGGACGATGAGAACGATGAGAATGTTGCTGTCAAAGTGATGACAGAGCGCTCCAGCAATGCGCCCGCAAAACGACCCACAGTGACTCACTCAGACTTTGGTTTGGAGGTCTGTTCTACGCTCAACGAGGTTTATTGTGATCTGATAGTCTCCCTTGATAGCGCCCAAACCGGATATTTGAGAATGACCAAGAGAAAACAAAATTGCGTTCGTGGGCGAGAGGTCAAGGTGGCGGAAACCAGGGGACTGGTCGGTCTGCTGTTGGTGCAGCCATTACAGGACACGCCAAGGCCAAAGTCAAGACGGGTGGTGGTTCCTTGAGAACAGCCCAGGCGGCCACTGGAAGCAATTCTATCTCGAGCGCACCTGTTCCCCGCAAGCTGGAGAAGGGGCGAAGTATGCTCTCCAGTGTGTCCGATAGGAGTAGTCGATTTGCATAGTGTCTGTTAGCCTATCTACCATCTACCTTATGTACTATCTCTGGCCCAGAGTGACAATATTTTTGACCCGTTTTTTATAACACAACAACTACACCACATTAAAATAAGGCAACAACATAAGCAAGTAGGATTCAGTACATACTGTTACTAAGCTTAAGGCTCTGCCAAAAATATAGAAAAATGTCACGTCTTGCATCTCGATGGTACAACGTTTGTGTCTCTCAACACCACTCAGCTATCATGTCAGAAAAAACTAGAGTGATATTAGAAGGCAATGGGATCCAAACCATTAGTAAGATTCCCGAATTTTTAGCGCATGTGTGGCTTCCCTCCGATGGATTGGCATGGAATTCAAGTGCACATCAAGTTCTGAGCAGTGTTTCGCTGCCGCAAGTACTTCTCGTCCATTTTTCGTGGAATAAAAAATGCACACAGTAAGCTATTAATCAATCATCCTCTAAAATCATTGTGCTAAGGAAAATAGTGAAATACGAGTGTGCTACATCGTGATTTGCAACTCCGGGTCATTTTGCAACTCCGGGCCAGAGATAGTAAGGACGAAGCGAAACGTTTGATCCCGCGGAACCAATCCGCGTCGACTCCTTGTGCACGCTCCACTCGAACCCCTTTGATGTTCCACTCTGACTCAGGCTTGTATATTGTATGTTTGACAAAGCATGTATAATCATTCAATGGATCGGTGTTTCCAGTACTAGTATACAACAGGGAAAAAGAGTATCGTGCAGACATGATTTGAATAACTGGGATCTAGGTGGGACAACAGGGCAATAAAAGCAATCAGGATAACATAGCATAGAATGCAATAACACGACGAATCAATCAAACTAGACACCTATGTGAACAAACACGATCTGTTGTTCTAGTGGAATCTTCTTGTGCAACGATTTCAAAGCCTTGTGCAACGCTACCGCAGCCCGTGTGCAGTCCAATCTCCTTGAGCCATCGACCAGTTTGCGGTAAAAAACGGACACAACCTGTTGTGCAACCTCATCGTCGACAGACCACATGGAACCTATCACACTGCGAAATCCAGAGAATTGCATCGCCGCAGCGAGATGTATCGCCTCGTCGGGACTCTTCTCATGGCCCACGGTAGTGTGGCAAGCCGATAAGAATGCAAACTCCATGTTCTGCCAGTTGGAACGGATGATTTCCTTGATCATCAACGGCCCATCGCGCATTGCGAAGGAAGAGTCGAACGATTGCGTCCGATGTGGCATTCCATGGCAAGCTAGATGGAGCCACTGATTATGATTTAGTGCATCAAGTGCACCCTGGATTGTTGCGTCGTTATCCTCGAGTGATGTGAAAGAGACCACGGGCCCAAGACACCGAGCGACGATGGCTAACTCGGGAGCGACATGACGGAGTTCCTTCCCTCTGTCCGGATTCGCTTGACCGATAGCAACAAAATGTTGTGTGGACACCTCTTGAGAAACTCGCTGTCTCGCCCGAATGAGTGTCGCCAAAGTGGGGGTGTAAGAGGAGATATAAATGTGAGAAAAGTTGTTTTTGTTCTTCTCGTACGGTCCTGCTGCATGTAGAGGAAGAAGCGTGAACTCAGCAGTGGGGCACCACCAGATACGCGAGCCATGGTTAATTTTAGACGCCCTAAGAGCTCGGACCACGGGATCAACAACACAATCCCAAAGCTTGCGGAGGATGCTGACAAGTTTGTTTTGACGATCAGAAGAACCAAATTGCTCTGCGAGGGACTGAAACTCCGAAGACAACTCGTAGACTTCAGTCTGCGGGATATCGAGTGGAACGTGGACAGGATCTTGTGCACTGAAGACAATCAAGGCGTCACAGCCATACTGGCTTGCATTGACGATAATGACAGGGCCTTCTTCAGCAGCCTTCTGTAGGTCGGAGAAAAGGGGAGGCAGGAGAAACCGAGAAAAGTCAGGCAGCATGCGGATGCGGGAGACGACATCATTCCATTGCATGGTCAGTTGTCGGATTTGTGGGGACTGCTCTTCAGTAGACCGATCAAGCGCGCTACGAAGGCCAAAGCTCAGCTGCTTGAACTCATTCTCCAAGGCTGCGCCGGTGTCACCGGACAGGGAAAGTTCATCGAGCGGTGAGCGTAAGCGTGCCAACTTGGTCCAGAATACGGCACGGCCTTGCTCCACCAATTCCATCGCAGTTTTCAGTGCACCATGACGAACACTGCACGAGAAAGCGTCCATGGCAAGTGAAGCTGTGGCCATCCTGACGACATCAAATAGATGTGGGGAAGACGGCAACATAGCAACATGCTGATCTAGGAATTTCAACGCAGTTTGATAGGCAAGTAATGCAGAGTCATGGTTCGTCTCTTCGGCAGAGGTGGCCCATGACTTGGCAGCAGTAAGATCCCTACGGGAGACTGCATGAGATAGGTAGGAGAGTTGCACATACAGCCGAAATGCTTCATCACGGTCAGACGGGACACCTCGCTGCTCGAATCTGTTACGAAGGCTCAGAGCAAGATTATCGAGAGACCCTGATCGATTAGAATGACCGGGGGGACGAAGGAGTAGTGCAGCCCGATAGAGCTCGATGGCCTCATCAAGGTCAGACGGGACGCTTCGCTGCTTGAATCTGTTTTGAAGGCTGTTGGCAAGATTGTTGAGAGACGTTGATCGATCAGAATGACCGGGGGGACGAAGGAGTAGTGCAGCCCGATGGAGCTCGATGGCCTCATCAAGGTCAGACGGGACACCCCGCTGCTCGAATCTGTTTTGAAGGCCGGTGGCAAGATTGTAGAGAGACACTGATCGATTAGAATGACCGGGGGGACAGCCCTGCAAGGCCGCTCGACACTTTTGCACCCTGTCTGCTATGCTATCATGATCAGTTACGAGGACTGTCATTGGTCAAGAACACAGGGAGGATGAAGCCGAAGAGCGCCGTGGCAATTTGGCGAAGACAACCCTGTGCCTTTCATGAGTATGAAATCTAGGCGGATATGTTCGAATTGCAATACGCACGCACATAGAAATTCGAGCACTGACACCCGGAGAAGAAATGAGCGCTGAACTTGTATATGTAGTAAGAACTAGTAGTAGCAGTGAGGGCCTGAGGCCTGAGAGCATCAGTGAATTCACGAGTCCATGAAATTGTAGCCGTGTGAACTATAGAAGAATACAGGAAAAGGAATATCGCAGTGAGATTGACGCTAAAACTGAGCAGAATATGGTAGGAAGCTTCGTGACGAGACAACGAAATGTCTGTCTTGTTCAGTAGTTAGATGACATTCAGACTGTGTGATCAGGGCTCAAAGTACATGAGGAGAGAGCATGAGCATGACAATATGCTCACGGAATCATGACGCGAGGCTTCTTCGCATCACCCGTCTCGCCCGCATCAGTAAGATCTTCTTTGTCGGAATCTAAGCCAGGTGCAGCTAGCGCGGGAGTGGCCTTCTTCTTGCGGGCCTTCGGAACAACAGATTTTGCAGATGTTTGTGATGTCGGCCGTTTGTGTTTTGTCATGGCTCAGGGCAAGTGATCTATAGGCAGTACACGAGGATCAAGCTTCAAGCTTAAGTCCCGTCCTACAGTATAAACAAGACCGCCGTGTGCAATAATGCAATTGGTGCGCAAGTCACGTTGTGTGTATTTCAGAGTCTGACTCACCTTGCCGATTGTTAGTGACCGTTTGACCAGCCGAAATCCATAAAGCTGATTTCATGTTCGAAGAACGAAATTCACGTCCTCCAGCTTTGAACTCCCCTATTAAATATGGGGCCATGGGAGGTATTACTAGACTCGTATTTCGCTCTGACTCGGGAGACGTGACTATCGAGTCGCGCCCTCTGAGACCCAGCTCGATCGTGTTCTTGATCAAAGGCGCATCAATCCCAATGGACGCATTGCCACCAATCCTGTCTCCTTCTGCCCACCCCATCGAAGCAAGCATCCTGAACCCAACATTCGTTTCTCCGATCTTTGGAGCAGCCTACGAACGGAGAATGTAACAGCTGGATTTCATTCAAATTGGAGGAACCCCATACCTTGCCAACTCCATCTCCATCTTTGTGTCGGGGCATCTTATCACTATCAAATCTGCCTCCGCGTCTCATCATGACATTCCTGACTTTATGCTCATCAACAGCACGGGTCTTCGTGGACTTGATGAAAGTGGTATATCTCCAAGCTTCCTTGCCTTTACTCTGCTCTTGAGGTTAAACGAGTTAGCAAGCTCGTGAACTTTCTTTGGACAGAAGGGGCGAAGTATGCTCTCCAGCGGGTCCGATAGGAGTAGTCGTTTTGCGTAGTGTCTGTTAGCCTATCCTGATTTAGGGTCCAATCTCACGCGTTCACCCGCGCCAACTTGAAAGGTCTATTCTGTACATTTATTTTCCACCTGTAATAACCTGCCAGATCGCTGCAAAGTAAAGAGGCAAACAAAGAACACGTATGTTCACAAAGCAAAAAGTCTTGATGGAAGTGCAAAGAGAGGCATGTACACCCAGAAAAGCACGAACAAGGCAGATATCTATAATGGATAAGATGGGTATCACCGAGATATAAATAATGGGCGATAAGGCTCTACAAGACTACAGCCCAAATAAGCGTCAAATGATGTTGGTAGTTTAGTGGTATTGATGTCCAAAGTTTCTTCCAAACCGAACCCAAGACGCGCGCGGGCGAGTGGGTTGGATGAGTCCGAGATTTCGTGATTGGCGTGTGGGCGTCGGGGATCTACGTTTGCGTGTACCAGTCTGAATCTTTTTTTAAAAAAAAAGGTAAGTTGTAAGAAAGCGAACTGAAATAGATTCCTCACTTTATGCCTCAGCATGATAAGTTTGGCCATGCACACTGGAGGGCCCGATTCCCTGAATGGATTGCCTGGGAACATTTAAAAAAGGCAGCCAGCACAAGCTCAAGAGCAAGACTTACGGGACGCGACGAGAGCTAGACCTGCCTCATGGGCGTCAAGGAGGTCGTCGCCAGCCATGATGGACCTTCTGACAGCAGGTGAAAATAGGCATAGCAGGATAATAGCGGAGAGAAAGGTAACGAGAAACATAGAAGACATGACGGGCCTATATTTAATGGAAGGCTGGACAGCGGCGCTAAGCACCAGCAGGGGCTGCGCGAGCGTCGCACGTCGTGAAAGAGAGAGGGAGGAGAATAATAGTAGGCGGGTGGGGGATAACAACCAAAACGGCTTCCATCAACTAAAGACGCTCGAGAACATAATGGATGCTTAGTCAGAACAGAGACGTGTTGTGCCGGCATTATCATCAATGAATCATGATCCATCATTTATTCAGTGCTAACCCTGGCTAGCCTTAGAAGTTCTCAGTGCGCGACATGGCCCACCTGTTGTCAACGGCCACAATCACAGCGACGGGCCTCCTTTGTAAAGCATTTCTCAACTCAGGGCTTTGCTCCATCACCGTTAGCAATCTCCCTATACTATTGAATGCTATACGGAACGATGAACGGCGGCGACATGGGCAGGGAGTGGTAACAGGTGTGTCTCGTAATTCACCGTGGTCAACGTCTACTTATTTATATGTACACGTTGAGTTGCAAACCATATTTCCACGTCTGTCTTTCAAGTTCCTCACGTGAACATTCATGCTGAGACTTGAGTCTGGCCACAGACTAGATGATCCACTCGTATGGGGAACACTCCCAATGGAACTCTTTTTGAACTCGAACACAACACGATGGTCGCTTGGTGCATCAGAAATCATGTTCACTAACCCGTATGTTGTGCGGACATAGTCAGTAACGTGGGCAACTGAATGCAAACTTCGGCCAGGAAGTCTCTTCTCCGCTTTCTTTCGTAAGGGTCAAGTGATAGAAACATTTCGCGGAAATGGAATCTTCCAACCTTCTGTAGATATCGCCATTAAACGGCTTAATGAAGGGCATTGGGTGGGTCCAATGCTAGCCTGATTTCTGTGTCCGCATTAACATCATTCAGGTGCATCTTTTTGGAGAGGGAAAAGTCAATCAACCACTCGACTATCCGCGGACAAACGGAGCCGCTCGCTTGCCGCGGTTTAAGTGGGGAGTGTGAGTCGCTTTTTCACCCTCTTAACATCCAGTTATCACAATCAAACCCCCAGGGGACGAATCCTGATGGAAACTGCAGTTCCCCCTCTCATCATCCCGATGTGGCTCACTGGTATAGCACCTGAAATTTCCAGTGCTCCATCTTTTTTGACGTGATGCTAGGTTTTGACAAATTGATGCCTGAGCACCGCTCGTTTCCTTACAAATACTTCCCAAAATTAGGTATAAAACTTGGTGTGGCGTTTGGCGATCCAATACCGGTCAAGGAAATAATGGCTGCGTTGAGTGCGTTGTCGCGCTCGCATGTGCCCCTTGTCGCGGAAGATGGTGTTGCGTCGAAGCTTGGTGAAGAGTTTCATTCAGGTGGCTGGGTTGGTCGCACAGTCATGCAGGCTGGAGAGCGGTTTGCGCCTGGACGCGATGTGATGAAACGTAAACGCCAGTCTGAGATGGACGCGGTGCGGAGCGATGTGACTGCGATCGTTCAACGAGCGGTGGAAGCTTTGGGTACGCAAGTATCTGATAACCATCTCAACAAGTCTCATTCATAATTAATTAATTCCTGGGCGCTTGATCGTTTACGGAAAAATTATGCATATTGTGACAACAGCAGCCATTTTAGACTTGGGTAACAGATCGTACACTACAATTTGAAAAGAAGGACATGACACCATGGTATATGGGGCGTGATTTGGGATATGGTAATGGGTGAAGAATGCGCATGTGGGTTTGAAACGCAGATTTCATCCACCCTCCACAGTGGCAGACTGTCCCGGACAAAGCACTAAACTGCTCACATCAGATTCTCCCGTGTAGTACCAAGTACAAAGCACCTAAACACTGGATTAAAACCCTGTCATTTCGGGTGGCGAAAAACTCACCATCATGGCATAAAATGTCAACAAAATGAATCCCTCCGCCCAGTTTGTTTTACTGTCGGCAGTCACGAAATTGACAAGGAAGCAGGCCCCTAGAAGTAGTGCGACTTCAAAGAAATCTGATGGGCTCTTCAGCTTTGGAGGGGGATAGCACCATACTCGACATCAACGCACCAAATAGCAAGTTGAAAGGCTTTCCGGTCCACCAGCCAAGCAGAGTTAGGAACGGCATCCAGAGCAAGACGAACTGAATGCTCAAGTCAATGGCTTCAGCTTTGGCCAGAGTATTGGGTGGGTCGGGATCATTGGTCTTGGACCATACCCGGCGAAGGGCCTTCTGTAAAAAGTAGCCTGCTGCAACAGCACCATCTGCCGAGAAGGCAACGCAGGGCAAGACGACCAAGCCAAAAAACTCCGTCGTGATGCCGGATATATGCCTCACAGGCTCGATGCTGTCCACCAACTGCTGAAAGTTAACGAATGTAGACCTGGTCATTCAACGACACTTACCCACTCCGAGGTCACAGCCACGACCGCAATGTTGATGATTAGGAAGAAGATGCAAACCCATTGACTAACCTCGGGCTCCTTGCGCTCTAGTTCTTCCTCGAGTTTCTTGAGCTCGTCGGGTGTCAAAGCATGGTTCATCGAAGTGTTTCCAGCACCAGGAGGATTGTGATAGAAAATGCGCGAACATATGTATCTGACAGTAGGGTTTGCCACAAGGTAGATGCATGAGAAGTAAAGGAGCCTACATAAGAAGGAGCATCACCGCAAGCCCTCTGCTCATGCGCAAAAAATCGGTTTGAGTGGTGGTACCAAGGACCGGGAGATCGCCGTCAGACAATACCGGCGTAGAGGTACTACCACTTATAGCTGCATAGAATGAAGCAGGCAATAACAAGGCCAACACCCTGTGCGGGCAAGCGGTCACTCATAGCTCCACGCGGCAACTATAGAAAACATACCCAACAGTAAGCAAGGTATGGTTGAGTTGTGTGTGCATAGGATGCAGGTCCTGTTCCCAAATTCGAGCACCGCCTGTCAGAAAAGCGGCACCAGGAACAAGGAGGAGGTGCAATAGGACCACACCTGCAAGATGGCATAGTTTGTCAATGCTGGGGGATGTAGCGGATGATTTCGGAGCTTACCAGTAATGGTCGATTGCAGCAGCTTGAGCCTGGTAAAGTATGTTTGAATAACGCCAATGATTGCATGTTAGCCAACGCATAACTTACTCGCACTTGAGCAGCAACATGATAGCGAGGGTCGCCTCAACCGCACTACAATCATCAAGGTGTGAATACGAAGCGAATAAAGGGGGATCGCCCTACTTGTTCAAAGTGATCGTGATCAAGTCACCAAAATCCTTGCCACAATACAGAGCCATCTGTTCACCGCAGTAGTCGAACAAGCACTCGTGCGGGATAATTGACAAGAAACACACTGCATTAGAAAATGAGCGCTGCTCGTGAATCATTCTGAAGAAAACGTACGTGCAAAGACAACGGTGTAACTCAGACGTCCATCGAAATGTGCCCACCATGCTACCGGCGTCAGCAGGAGTAGTAGATTGATCCCTGTGACACTGATGAGCATTCAGACGTATTTAACCTCGTCGCAAAAGGCGGCGCAAACGCACATGAACATCCATATATGTTTTTGATGCTCTTTATGACGCCGACCTTCTTCCTCCCCCGTCCAAGGAAGCGGTGCCAGGTGGTTTTGAGCCGAGGTTTGCCATTGGGGCCTGTCTCGATATCAGGATCAACTGAACCGAAGTCTGTGGATGAGACTGGAATCGGTGAGTGGTGCCCAGTACATTCCTGATGGATGATTGGACTGCCTGTGATGCTGGAGCTTGCTCGAGTATGGGCAACCCTACGCTCTGCCATGGACTACACTAGAAAGGACGTTTTGATGGGGGGAAGGAATTTAATTTGGGCGTAATATTCCTTGTACCTCGTTATAAAGACCCCATGCGTCATGTAGACGCTGGGCTCGCGAAACACTATTACCGGAGAAGACGGGCTTGGCGCGATGGGAACCGGTCGTCCAAGTTTACATGTCCCCTGTCCATGTCACGGTGTATCCCATACACCGGTGTGCAAAGTGGCGAGCCATGACAGTTACGATTAAACACATATCGTGATACGCTCACTATGCGAGCCCTAAGGCCTGAGGGCCCTGCCACGACAAAGCCTATCGTAATGTCGGCTTGTTCCAGCTTGTTCGCCTCCGAAACGATACCTAAGGCGTACCTCCTGTCCGGACTCGGAGCCTGCAGGCGTGCGGCGTGGGTTGCTGAGCTGTGAACAGTGTGAAGCCAAGAAGTTACCCATGATGTGGTCACTAACCTCCCAGGGCGGGCGCTCTAGAACGAAATTAGACTATTGAGAATGGACTTCGAGTACAGCTAGCAGGCTAACTTTCACTCCAACTTCTTGATTGCTACTGTCTATACTGACAACATGATCCGAATTTGCAAAGGCTCCAGCATGCGCGGCCCCATCCAACATTAATATTGTTTCATCCAGTTGCTCGGCGCTCAAAGAAGCACATATCAGCATCGCCTCACTCTATTTTGATGAGCCCAGACCAACCGCTAGTGCAGTTCGCCTTGATTCCGTTGGTCAGAAAATGACACTAACCGAATAATTGCGGCACGAACTTTATGTACGATTCAGATAATCTGCCATAACCATACCAATATAAGACAGTCGGACCTTCCAATTCAGAGGAGATACAAACATACACTGCAGGAGTATTTGAGGTCAAGCACTGCCCTAGTATCACCATCCCTCGGAAGTGCCAGCCGCATTGCACGTGTCTTCGGCTGGGAATATCTGAGTCTCACCAGTTTACTGATGCAGTCGGCGCCCCATCCCTCCGTCAATCCTCACTAGAAGTTTGAAGACGTACGATGGAGTTCCAATAGCGCCATGCTTCCATGTCATCGTGGCCGCCAACGCTGGTGTCCATGACTTGACATCATAATGCGCATCGCATGTTCTTCAAGGGCCCGGGTCCCCTAGGTGACAGCTGACACTCTTGTAGACTGACGATGCAACTAAAAACTCCCGCATTGTTGTTCACCATGCACAGGCAACACAGCATCGTAATGAAAATTGAATGGCAATGCATAACCTTGATCAATAAACGTAATCATGAGTCGTCGTAGCTGTCGATTGTTTGAATCCCAAGGTGTTGACCAATAGACCACAACAACCATCAACAGTACCATAATGGCTCTTGTGCAGTCTAAGGTGGTCTTGTACCGTGTTGTTCCTTCCCATACCCAGTTCGACACTCTGGGCCATGGATGTTGTTACAAAGGTCGAAAGTTGGATTGCTAATTGGAGCACAGAGGGAGAGTCCGAACTGTGCGTAGCTGTCTGCTTATTTTTGTGGCGCCCAACCTGACCCTCGATTCACAAGTCGAAATTTCCTCATTTCACCTCACTCAAATCCTTCCGACCCTATTTGCGCAGAGGCTCTGACGACAGCTTATCACGCCCTTCTTTTGTCCGCTCTCACAACTTGGCAGCCTAAGCATTCCTTAAACGCGCAGGCTCTCGTAGCCTTTATCCAGTCGGTCCTCCTTGCACTTCCGTCCTCCTCCTCGGCACGTGCGGGTCCACCCGTGCATAATGCTGTATTCGGAGAGATTCTTGTGGATGTCCTGTGGTCTACAGATGCTCAGCTGGACGAGTTCTTGGCAGACGCGAAGTCTGCTTTAGTGGGCTCTGAGCAAGCTTCTGGAGGTTATCAAGTAAAGGACACCACGAAGAAAGACACTACAGATGGTGCAGTAAAGGCATCCCGACTGAGGTATCTTGTTGAACAAGACAAGGATACCTTAAGCGAGCTCGTCAAAAGACTCCTGGTAAGTACCATTACACAACTTCACAGCATTCTGAATTTATCCGCAAATAGTTCACTGGCATTGTTGATCTCGCTGTATGTCGAGAGCGCCTTGACTTGTCTTTGCTTGCTAGTGCCGGTCTAGTTTCGGATAGAATGTCGTTTGACAAGAAAGAAATACGAACTCGCACTGGGCTCTTGTGAGTCGAACGTAAACGTTAAATCATTAATGTTCTCTGATTCTCGAACACGTAGCTACAAGCAGAACAAGTTCAACCTTCTACGTGAACAGTCCGAAGGCTACAGCAAACTTTCGGTGGAGCTTACGAGTTCCTTGGGTCCTGCGCACTCACATGCTGATGCTAGGCCGGTGGAAAGCTATGCCTCTATCGAAGACCGTGCGCGCCAAGTTTGGGAAAAGGTCATCAGCCTCATTGGGTATTTCGACCTCGACCCAAATCGCGCTTTGGACATCATCTTGGATGTATTGTCGGTCAACGTGGCAACCCACTACACATTTTTCTTGGCGTTGCTTTCGTTTTCTCCATGGACTGGACTGTATAGACGTCCCGCAATGTCCACTGCTACCCGCATGGCTGTTGATCCCGTTACTGAACTGTTGGGGGATAAGAGCCTGGACGAAGTATTGAAAATCACCGAAGCAAATGCTAGCGATCAGTCGACACCACCATTAGAAAATGATAGTGGCACCGAGTCTCGAGTGCTAGCACAGGTGCTAGGTTTCAAATTCTCCCATTATCAGGTCAGTCTTTTTCGAGGTGAAACGATGCTTGCAATTCACTCGTCATATAGTCCCCAGAGGCCCATGAACCACCCCCGAGGAACCTCTATCTAACTGCTGCCATCTTGATCAGAGAGGGTTTTATTACTGTAGAAGATCTTTACCCTCATGTGAGGACATTTCTGTCAAATGGCTATTGACCTCCTGACAACGCAGCAGCTTACTCCAAGGGACGCGGATATTGAAACATACCACAAGGACTATCTTGCCCAGGTCCAGCAGCGCATTTCTGATGCCAAGATCAGTCAGCTCGCCATGGCAGCTCCTTTGGAGTCTTCCAGCTCCAGCTCGCAGCCTCGTGTGGAACCTACGGAAGTGAAAAAGAGCCTTGAGTTCAAATCTCCCAACCAAGTCGCTGGACTAGTCAATGGCCTTCTCTCTGTGGGAGCTCTACGCCCGGCCATCGCGGTTTTGACGAGGATTCCTTGGCTTGTTGACGCTCACTCCGACTTGGCAGACCTGATGTTAAGGGTTCTGAAGTATTCCATTGCTCCTCTGTATGATGCAACATTCGTCCTCAAGGAACGCAATCCAAGTTTTACGCAACCTCGTGCACGTTTCAGTGCTACTGGAACACTGGCAGTTCCAATTCGTAAATATCAGCTATCGTTAATAGCCCCCACTCCTCCTAGTACTGCGTCAGTCGATTTCGTTTTTTTCTTTCCCGATTGGACCCAGCGCATCCCACTTTGCACTTCTTTTGAGGACATGGTAAACGTGATCGAGCCTTTGATGAGTTTCATTGGGCTGCACGTTTCGCGTGACGCCTTGTTCGTCACGAAGATCACGAGGCTGGGACGCTCACAATTGTTATCCACTGTAAGTTACTCGTTTGCTCGTCTAACCGATCTTAACTCAATCGATCTCAGATTCCATTGGATCCAGTTTCCAGAAAACCGTTAGGTGAACCTGACGCGAGTCATCCCGTCCGGCAATTCTGGTTCAAGCTCCTTCGGTTATACTTCCTTCCTGCGCTCCCTCTCATTCGAGGCAACGCAGTTTGCACTGTTGACATATGGAACGTCATTCGGCAGTACGAGACGACTGCAAGATGGAGATTATACGGGGAATGGAAATCCAGCTACATCTCCCACCCTGAGCTTCGTATTCGACAAGTGCAAGCCGACCGTGAAAGCAAAGGGATTTTGCGACGTCTATCGCATAATACAATCGAGACGCTATCTGGAACAGTGGCGAAACTGGCTCATTCGAATCCTTGTATCTTTTTCACGAACGCCGTCAACCAGATCATGGCATACGACAATCTTGCCAACGTCGTCATACAAGCATTGCGGTATGTCACCAATATGGGATTCGATGTACTTGTGTACGTCATTCTTGAGGCTCTATCAAATCCCAATAAGAACCGTGTCAAGGACGACGGAGTCAACACTTCCGACTGGCTTCAAAGTTTGTTCTATCTGTTTCTTTGTCTTTACTGTCCTTAGCACTTATTTTAGGTTTGGCATCCTTTACTGGCATGCTTTTCCGGCGGTACAGCGCTGACCTATCGCCCTTGCTGAAATACGTGGTTCACCAGTTGTATAATGGCCAGACAACGGAGATTGTTGTACTTCGGGAGTTGATTTGGAAGATGGCAGGGATTGAACCTCTTCCGAGCCTTTCGGACCCGCAGATCGCCGCGATGGCTGGAGGCCCTGCTCTGAGAATTGAAGCCGTCGCCTCAACGACTCGTGGCGCACGCCTCGACCCAGGTGACGCTGTCCTCAAAGGTCCACAACGGCTCGGGAAAACCATGTTAGAGACGAATCTAGCACTAGCTCTCCTTATCCAAGTTGCACAGCAGAGGCAGTCCTGTGTTTTCAAAGCCCCTGATGCTCACTTGAAGTCACTCGCCAGTCTGTTTGATACCGTAAGCTACCTCATCCCATATGCTATACTTGCACTCATCGTCGCTGTAGACTCACGGTGTCCTGCTGCAATATTTGGATCTGCTTACCTCACCAGCTGTAATCTCGCCCAAGGACTATGCAACGAGGATCCTGCCTAGCCTTGCAGATCTAGGGGAGTTGTATGGGATAGCACCTCCTATTTGCATGCAAATTATACGCCCTATGTTGAATGCTACGATACTGGTGAGACAATGCAATCGTTTTTGTGACACACAACTGAGCATTGTTGCAGAGCGCTGCCCAGGAGAAGGAACGACTTGCCAATGAGGAAGCGGAAAAGCGGTTGAAAGCACGTCTCTCTGCGGCAAAGCGCGAGCCTTCTGCCGCGACCCCTAGGGTGGATTCGCCTACTGGAGTAAATGGAGCTAACACTCCACGAGATACTGGCGATCAGAAGCCATCAGCCGACGGTGTACCAGAAGATGCAGCTATGGATGTTGAAGCGACTACATCGGCGACTCCAGCTCCTTCCGAGGTAAGGCGCATTTGACAAAAGGAGAATACTGTTTTCAAGCTTCTCTTTGCAGAGCCCGTGGATACCGGATCTAGAAGCTCTTTTCGACGACGTTAAGCAGATTGCTAAGAACAGTGCTCTTGATGTCATTGGGTAAGTTATTCTTTTCACGAAAAACTTGCGATATTCAAGACTTTGCAGGCCCGGTTTTTACTTGACTTTCTGGCAACTTTCCATGTATGATCTGGCACCACCGGCCGCCCGGTATGATGAGGAGTGTGCCGCTTTACGGACACTGAGTCGTCAAGAGGACTCCAAGTATATTGCGGCTGACCGTTCTGCTGACAGAACGAAAAGGCTATCGGCTGGCTCCCATCGGGCCAAACGGGACAGATACAATGCTTTTGTGAATACTCTTGCTCAGGAGTTCAAAGAACAAACTGCCTCGAGAGTGTTCACGATGAAACGACTGGCCCGAGAAAAGCATCATTGGTTCGCCCACAGTAAGGCTCCTTCAGTCACATCTATCTCAATTCCTGACATCATTCTAGCCGAGCATCGCTCATCGGTCCTTGCTTCTGCAATCATCGAGCACTGCATTCAACCACGATGCCTCCTGTCGCCTATGGATTCAGACTTCTGTGCACAATTCATCAAAGTTATGCATACACAAGGGACTCCAGGGTTCCCTACTCTCGTGGTGTATGACAAGGTAACATCCGTTTCGCTCTGCAATCTACCGCATTCTTACAGTGTTGTTAGTTGCTTGGGGATCACGTGAAGGCGGTTGTCTTTTCCTGCAGCGAATACGAAGCCAAGAACTATGGTAAGCCGTCTACATCTCTTACTCATGACTACCTTTAACAGAAGTTGTTAGGGCGTTTTTTACTAGGCATATTGACGGATCTCTGGAAGTGGGCTCAGGATGAGCAGCTCTTTTTGATGGAGAATCGCACGAAAGTTGGCGGAAAGACTATTCTGCTTCCGGGTTTCCAGCATAGGTGGTCAAGTAAAGACCATGGAAGTATTGTCGCGGACGACCTTCTGTCATGGACCGGGTTCAAGCAGATTCTCCGTAAATGGCATCGAAAGTTGGGACGGGTATGTTTCTGGTAGTCTTCTGATGATCAAGCTGACATCTTATCCCCTTAACAGAGTCTTTTGAGCTGCATTGAGACAACGGAATTCATGCACGTCTACAACGCTATCATTGTGTTGAAAGAGATCCTTCCCGTATTCCCTCTCGCTGCTGTGGGTGACGCTGGACCTGCCATCGACTCCGTAATGGAGAAGTTCCTGGAAAAGGAAGAACGCGGTGACCTCAAGATTCTAGGCCGAGCGTAAGTCTGCTGCTTCAGCTGTCTGGAATCATACTCATGGTCAATAGTTATTCTGCGAGTCTGAAGAAGCGAGAGCCATTCTGGGCAGTTCCAAAGTCACTTGCAGCCAAGGTACCATTGAACTGTTTGCAAAGAAAACCTTTTTAACCTTCGTTCTAAATAGTCTAATGGAGATCCTATGTCGCCAAAGCCAGCGAATTCAGCGGGTATTCTTCCTGAGAAACAAGCTCGCACTCCCATTCCCCTCAATGGTGCTGCAACACCTGTAGCAGATCGAACTAGCACTCCAGTCCCCACCTTACTTCGTGCGAATGGAGCGGCTTCACAAGCTGTCGTTGATCGACCCACCACACCAGCAACGTCTACCAGGTTAGCCATTGACAGGCATGTACAGATTTTCATCCTATCGTACTGGTTGCTCATCGCATGCGTAGCATCCCACGGCCAGAGAAAGTGAGACGAATACGGCCCGAGAAGGGTAGTGAATCCCCAGCTCCTGATGGTGATGCCAAGGGTGTTGCAAAGTCCGACTCGATGGACGTTGACACGCCTCTGAATGAACAGAAATCGACACATGTTTCCATCCCCGATCATATTCTTCGCCCTACCCCTCGTCTTCATCAAGGTTCCTCCCAAAATGCCCTTCCGTCAACTCCGGCCACCATGGCTAAGGATGCATCCAGACTTCAGCGGCCACCGTCATCGAGTTCTGCCCCGAATACATGGGAATCCCCACACTCACCACGTCCTAGATCTGATGAAAAGCAAACACAACCGTCCTCAAGTGAGGCTATGCCACCGCCATCTGCTCCAAGCCAGACACTCTCGGCGCAAGAGCTGCGCGAAACTGCCAAACAGAGTATTGGCAATCGCCCACCAGATCGGGCCGATGATAAGCGATCTCAACCTGGTTCTGGTGCACCGTCCCCAAATCCTCGTCGCCGTACTCCTTCTCCTCCACCTCGTCCTGGTACAAGAACTCACAGCATGGAGAGCCGCGCTAGCGGTCGACGTTCTGACCGTGGAAGTGGCGATGGCGATCGTCCTGATGATAGGCCATCTGATCGTGAGGCTCGGCTGGAGCCTCGTGCACCAACTGGACGTAAAGACGCTGCCACGCACCCCCGAAGTGATAGAGGCACCCGAGAGCGAACATCTACTCGAGACAGTGATCGAGACAGAGAGAGTGAAAGAGACAGAGACTCTCGCCGGGACAGACATGCTGAAAGGGACCGCGACAGAGACAGAGAGAAGGAGCGGGATCGGGACAGGGAGAGAGACAGGGAGAGAGATAGAGACAAGGACAAGGATAAGGACAAAGACCGCGATCGTCGTGACCGAGACAGAGAGCGTGATAGAGATCGCGACCGTGATCGTGACCGTCACCGCCGAGATGAGAAGGATCGTGACAGAGATTCAAGGAAAGATCGCGAGACTTCTGGCCGTGGTCCTACTTCCACAGCAGTTGCCACTGCCCTGGACACTCGTAATTTGCCCACTCGTCCTGATCCCACAAGGCACAGTAGCCGAACACAAGTGGGCGATGATGGACTCGGAAAGAGGAGGCGTCCTACTGACGACGAGGTACTATTAACCTCACCCTGGTCATTGTTACGCAAGTGCTTACCTTTTTGTAGGCTGACCGTAATACCAAGAGGAGCTCCCGTAAGGAGGGACACCGTGAAGATCGCACCCGCAGGTCAGAGAAAGAGAGTCACGACCGACTTCGAGAATCTGATCGGCGTCGGGAGCGAGAAGCACCTGAAGCTGAAGTACGCCACCCTATATCTGACCGAGTACGTCGCTTTCGTACTTTCCACCATCATGTTGCTCACGATGCGGCCTTAGCCTGGCGAGAAGCGATTACCAGAAGGTCCTAAAAATTTACCTCCTAGTACACCCTCTGCACCACGGGCGATGGCATCTGGGGATGCGTCTAGAGCTAAACCTGATATTCCTACTAGCCGGAGTGGTGGGGATTGGAAGAGTCAGCGTGACCACGGCTCACACACGTTCCCGGCCTCCACCAGCGGCGGGCTGAACCAGGATGTGGCTCCAAGTTTACGTTCGCGCATCGGCGACAAAGAGCCTCCCCGCACAGCTCCGCAGGCACCATACCGCTCTGAAGTTCCACATAAGGACGATGACCGCGATAACAGGAAACGAACTCTAGCAGGTATGCGATCATCTTGGATTCAACGTAATCATAACTCACTCTAATGAAGATCGCGATAAAGATGTCGGTGAAGCCACCATCTCAGCTGCAGGAGAACTCTCGTTACAGCCCCCCAAACGACCACGAATCAATCGCAATCGGTACAACCCCCATGCCCTCCAGGCTCACGGTTTAGCCAAAAGGACCTTGCCTATAGATCCACAAGCTGGGGATAAGTCTCGATCAACACGTTAGCGCGATGTGACTTCACTCCAGTTTACATTGCTACTTGAGTTCTGCAGTATATATCGTTACATTACATAGTACACCAATGGCTGATGATGCTCCATTCTACGCAAGTCATGGATTATTAAATGGGTATATAGCTGAGATGAATGAGTGACTCCGAGTTGAATCGATAATATTACGAGTTGAATCGCGCGTTAGGTAGCAAATAACTGTGGTCATCTTTTAATCAAGGTAAGGAATTCCTCTCGAGTCTTTTGCTGAGTTCGGAAACAGCCCAGCATGCAGGAAGTGACGGTGATGGAACCCGGTTTCTGTACACCACGCATGGTCATGCACATATGGCTAGATAGAACCGAAACTGTAAGGATAAGACTGTCAGGCGTCGTAAACACTTACGTTGCTTCCATAACGACTGCGACTCCGCGGGGCTTAATTGCCTCCTGAACGGCGATAGCAATCTGTTTAGTCAACCGCTCTTGAACCTGCAGACGACGACTGAAAGTTTCGGCAATGCGCGCAAGCTTGGAAAGTCCAAGCACTAGCTGATTTGGGATGTACGCGATAGCGACCTATGGATAATTCCGAGTGTGATTGATGAATGTCAGTGGCACGCGTAATCTCGGAGGCCACATACTTTTCCTGTAAAAGGGACCAAATGATGTTCACAAAGGCTGGAAATATCGATTTCACGAACTAGAACCATTTCATCGTGGTCTTCTGCGAACACAGCATCGTTGATTACATCTATGAAGGCGGAAATGAGATAATGAAAACGACGGGATTACATCAAAGATAAGCTGAGCCTCACCTGCTAATCGCTCTTCGTATCCCCGAGTCATCCACATAATGGCTTGAGCGTACCTCTCCGGCGTCTTCAACAAGCCTTCCCGGTTGGGGTCTTCTCCAATACATTCAAGGATAGTCCGTACCGCAGAGACCATCATTGTCTCACGCGCGGTGCGCTCTGTTGTGGTCTCATGCAGCCGAGACACGGTGGATTTTGCTGTCAGAAAAATGAGTATCATTCAGATGTCATTCGAGTCTGATTGAGCCGTACCGGGCCATCCAAGACCATGGGGGTCAAGAAGTGGGCTGCCTCTCTCGATAGGGTTAGAGGCCAAGGTGAGAGGTGTCGACATACCCGAAGCAGGTCGAAAGCCATACCCCTCTGGTGCTTGACGCCAATTGGGACGTGACGCATTGGCTGATGAAGATGCCAAGGTAGGTTCGGTATCTGGAGTAGGGTCATTCGTAGGTCGTGGGTCCCCGTCCTGGACAGGATCCGCATCAGACTGTTGGAGTTCTAGTTGTCGTAAACCACTTGACAAGAGCTCGACGTGAGATGTCATTTTAACCGAAAGGGTTGTCCAGAGGCCTGCTCGACGTCAAGAAGATAAAAAATACAAGTGGATCTTTGGATCCTTATCGCTTAGCGAGACGTTGGACTGGGCCGTTGCTCCCAGATTTTCTGAGAGTGCGAACGCGCCCGGCAAATTTGGCGGCGAACGCTGTCACAGGACCCCGGCTGCTGCCTGTGACACATGTCCGCACATTTGGTTCCGACGCAAAGGCTCGGGCAGGCAGGCGCCATGAGGGGCAAAGTGTTTCGGACATGTTTGAAAGCGGTCAATGATCTAACTAAAGATTGATGCTACACAAATCCGGATGACAAGTTAGGATCATGGGGAGGGTGCAGATTCAAATTGTGATCAAGGCAAAACGGTCACATGATGGCCCTTGTGGCCAGTGTACCTAGGTGTACCTCGACATTCAACGATGCCGCGTCCAGAGAAAATAAAACCCAATCTGGTACTTCAGCAAATCAACAGGCCGCCGCGGGCTTTTCGACGTTCTGTATGTAAGTCCGTAAAACATTGATTTTATGTTGACATACCGGTGGGAAGCTCCTGGACGGTGGCAGTACGAGAAACTGACATCACAAATCAGCGCACAAGCGGTCCCGGAAGAAGCGCAGGTCTGTCTAGATACGCCAGTAAGAGAGCGACGAGTTAGGATCAAGAAGATAGAGAAATAAAGCAAATCACCTGAATAAAGACTCGTATGCTAGTCAACAAAGAGACACTGGCAGCGAACGTGCTGTCATGTCGGGTACCTTGATCAAACCGCTGCCGATAAGTGTTCTTTTTGTGCAGGCGCTTGACCAAGATAGCAACCCTGAGAGCACTGCATGATAAGTGGATAACATAGTCCGAGCGCTAATAGCGGATATAACTATATGTCATAGATATTGCGCCTTGCGATACCTAGCTGCGAGTCGCTGAGAGCAATTAAATAAACACGTACGGTGATATGAAGACGTGGCACAACTGGGATGTATTTCCCCAGAGATGATGATGGTAGCTGCAGGCTATGCGGGAGTTGTAGCATCGTCATCATGGGCGCGGCAGGTGCATTTGCAGTTGTCCAGCGTTCACTGGTGGGTCGAAGTCGCCACGTCGATTATGCATGAGAAATTTGAGCATCGAATCGATAGTCGAAGACGTGTTGGATTTCATATGAGTGGATACTTGAATATAGTTACCGTCAGTAGACCGTCAGTTTAATGTGTGACATCCCAGCAGCCTCTCGCAGTCATCAATTCATGTATTGAACGGTCATGAACGTCGGTCAACCAACCTCAGCCTACAATTGAGATATGATCACCGTCACATCGGGCGACCCATCATGATACGACGGATAGACCATGTCTAGAGTGCCACGGGTTTACGGGCGGCGTGGAGAAGCCGGGGTCCTGTATAGACTCTCTAGGTCCTTGTTGTCACCCAAAAGCGGCTACTTGAAAGGAAAGAAAAAAAAAAGTGTTTGGTCTTGGTTTAGCCAGCAGCTAGGCTCGAGCAAACCGGAGGGAGTCCCATACTCCTCTAGAGCTTGCCGTTACTAGTAAGTAGTTGGGGATCTTCCTTGCCAATTCTGCGGCAACTCACTCGCGTTCTGTCATGTTCCTTTATTGTCGTGTACGAATTCTTATTCGCCCTCCTGAATCCTCACGCAATGATTTATGCCACCCTCTTTCATTCCTAAATCGTCCCTAAAGTTTCATAAACCTTGTGTCTTCTGTTTTCTTCTCACTAGCTCCATGTCCCGGGACAGGTCTGCCAAACTCGTCTTGCACCGCTGGTGAAATATCACCTCGGATCTCATCAAAGTAAGACGACATACTGCTTGTAGCGGAACAAAAAGCTTTGACGTGAACCACCGAAAAGCTGTGACCCGGGACTCTTCATAAACCGGGCGCTGTTTCCGGAATGGTTTCGTGGTTTACCGTCCGTGTTCACCGTTGAGAATGTGTCAAGGGTTGAAGCCTCGCGGCCTATGCTCATCATCACAATTCAACAATGCCAATCGCGTACGCCTCCACTCAAAGCAAACGCCCTTAACGTCATGCCGCTGCATTCACAAGGCCTGGCTGGCCTCTCGCGTCATTCCTCGCCGTAGAGGATCCTACCTCATGCCCGGCGCACATCGTCAATTCAACGAGGAAAACATTAGATTGGCTGTCACAATCACTCGTGGCTGCGTTTTTGACTTGTTCAGAGTCCTTTGGAGTCTGCATCCAGTTCGCACTACCCTCATGATGATCATAAACGTGGTTCGAGGCATGTTTCCTGCATTCAGGGGCTATTCACAAGCAATGATTGTCGATGAGGTTGGTGAACCTCGCATGTTTCTTTTCGTGTTTCTAACCTCGTCCCAAAGTTGCAAAATCTAATCTCGTCTGGTTGCTTCACTTGGTCGCGCCTACTGAAGCTGCTGGTCGCGGAAATATGCCGAAGAGCGGTTGAAACAGCGGTCGACTCCTTTGCGTAAGCTCATATCTTCAGACTGCGGAAAAAATTTCATACATAAAAATAGTTCCGCAAATGAGACCGTTGTTCATGATTCAGTGCGCTTTTTCGTGGAATATCAGCAGATTGCACAACGTTTGAGGCTCGACATCCCGACACTCGCGGATCCTGTCGTGAGGGACTGTCTCCAAGAGTCCGATCTCTTTGTCAGATCATTTAACGGCATGGGCGGGTTTGGACTACTTTCGCCATTTGACTTTGTTCAGATTCTAGCGCAAATATCGGAGCTTGCATCGTATCTTTGGGTGTTGTTGGCCTTAACAGGTGGCTCTACACATATGGGTGCTTTATTGCTATCCCTACTTTCCGCTCTATTCCCCCTTTTCTTGAACCGCTGCGGACTCGCTCCTTCACATCCTGACCTGGCTTATACAAGCAAGGAGGCTCGCACTGCGGAACGCCAGGAGAAGCTCCGAAATTTGGCCTATAATGACACACATCGGCCGGAGGTCCTGCTCTTTGGGCTTGGACCATGGATACTGCATTCCTGGGCAAATGCTCGCAAGTCAATGATGTATGACGAGCAATTGTCGCCACGAAATCAGCCCACATTGTCACAAATACTGCACCAGATAAATGTATCCGACCTGCTGTTCGCCCTCCAGAATGTGAGTAGTCACTCTTTCCATGGTCACGCAAGAAGTGTAAATATTTTTGTAGATTCCTATGTTTCTGATGTTTCAGTCCTCTTCTGCGTTACTGGGATCACTGGCGTTGTATCGGAGCTCCATTCAGTCGGTGGTCTATACTGTTGGAAACCTGGTCAATACGGTTCGCATGGCATTCCAAGGAATATTTTTTATGGGTGCCTTTTGCGCCGCCATGAACATCGAACCTCGACTGACACCTCCGAGCGAAGACGCAGAAATGTTTCCTAATCTAACCAATGGCATGAAAATTGAAGCAAGGTACTTGAATTTGTCTGTCTTTCCATGTTTGTTGACCCCCTATTTCCGCAACAGACATCTATCATATACGTATCCAGGGAGCAAAGAGCCATCACTAAAAGATGTCACCTTTAGTCTAGAAGCTGGTGAAAGTCTTGCAATAGTCGGGTACAATGGCTCGGGCAAGTTTCGCCATACACTTCATTCATTTTCATGCACTTATCAGAAGGTGGCCAGGGAAATCCACACTTGCCAAGGTGCTGCTGCGAATTATAGATTTCGACCAGGGCGATCTCCTTGTCAACGGTGTGGACATTCGTCGGTTAACTCCGAGCGATTACCACCAGCATGTTACGACCGTTTTCCAGGGTTTCTCTAAATACAGTTCAACCGTCAGAGAAAACGTTGGATTGGGCTGTGTTCAAAATATGCAGTCGCCCGAGGCCATTGAGCGTGCCATGCGTCTCGGTGGTTCAGATGCATTTGTGGGCGCATTGCCGAACGGAATGAAAACCAAGCTAGATGCCTCGGGTTTTGAGTTCATGCCGTACTCACCAGCATCAGGTTCATGTCATGGTATGTCCTCGCGGTTGCAGCATGGCTTGTCTGGTGGCGAGGTAAGTTCGCCTATTGCCATACATACATTTTGTTGAACTGAGTGTATTCTCAGTGGCAGAGAATAGCAATTTCTCGTGCATTCATGCGAGCAGATCGACCAGAAGTTGATCTTTTGCTGTTCGATGAACCTGTGAGTGTGTTATCCCTTCCACACTGTTCACTACTCATTTCCGTGGGTAGACGTCATCATTGGACGGTTGTGCTCAGAATCACATTTTTGACACTATCGACAAAGTCTCTCGCTCCCCGCAAGGCGAAAAAATCAAAACAGTGATTTTCATCACTCATCGTCTGTCAACCGCCCGGCGGGCGGATAAAATCGCAATGATGGAAAATGGTGTAAGTCAATCACCGCGTGGCGAGTCTCACGACCTAACGCCCCTTTATCGTGTGCAGACAATAACTGAGTTCGGGAGTCATGATGACCTATTGAAAAAAGGCGGTTCATATGCCACTTTATACGAAGCATCCGTTTAAATCGGTAGACGCTCGATGTTCTTCCCTTCTCACCCATACATTCTTCCAGATGAACTATTTTGCATACTTCATAGACTGCCATTTCGAACGATGCTAATGAGTTTACTTACACATGTGGAGCTGTTAATGTACCTCTATAGAAATTAGATATGGCTGTGCATCAAAATTGATCGCTCGTAGAGTGGTCCATGTATACTACGATGCCATCATGAATGTATGCGTCCACATTTTTACCTTCCGGTGGCTCAGCGGAGGCCAGCGGACTGTCGCAAAAACCAACTACAAGGCCAGCGTCCCTGATTCCTTGAATCAGCGATGGAACCTGCAACTTGAATTACATCAGGAGGGTGAGAGAAGCTTAGGCGCCACGTAGTTGGTATCTCACCAATAATTTCGGATCGAAGAAAACACCCAAAAGGTTATTTCGCTTTGCAAAGTCGACGCCAGCAGCTACGCTGGATGACCAATAATGACATCCGGAACTTATATCATCAGCATGGTATCTCGTCGACGCTCGTTGCCCCATGTCAATTTGGCCGCATTGAGATGAAAAGAACACCGGATCTGGTCATACAGTAAGATAAGATCTGATTCCACGATGCGAGTCGGGGAAGCACTGACAATTTGGTTGTTTCCAATTCAGTGCTACACAGACTTGTGGCGAAAATGAAGTGAAGGCAATGCGGCGGCGAGCAAACGCTCCACCTAAAGCCGAAGAAGTCTGCCGGATCGTGCGCAGCACACAATCGACAGCTTCATTCAGGTCCACTTCGTATCTGATGGAACCGCGGTCTCGACGCCTGGAAGGCAAAGCCAACTCTAACGTAAGGCCGAGGTGCGTAGGAAAAGCCTGTAAAGCAAATTCTTTCAAAGAAACGATCAGATGTTACAAGATTGAGCCCAAACCTGCATGACGTCCGCAAGAGTGACCATACAGTGTGATAGCATTCTGGACCATTCTTGCACAGACACAGCTTTTCTAAACGACTTATCATCGCGCTCCAAACGACTCGCCAAGGCCTGGAATTGTTCCAGAGTGATATCGGAAACACCAAGGTCAAAAGAGGCTTCCGGAAGAAGACAGTCGCTGAATATTACAGGGTGCAGGTCACGGGTAACTTGCACGGTGATATGCACGTGATTCCCGATCAAAGATGATAAGGTTAATGTGTGCAACGGGGGGGCGGCGTTCGAATGTATCGAGGGTGACGTATACGTAGAATCAAATGAGCTGGGAGATTGCTGCCACGGCAATGATGTCTGCGAATTGGAAGGTGTGCTTCTGGGTATTGCCATTGATTTCCAGTAGGTTTCCACCGCTCCGCCCACTTCCAAAGTGACACCTTGAAATGGCGTTATGACATTGATTGAGACAGTAACCTAAAATGAATAGTCAATTGAGCGTCTAGCGAGATCAACTGTTAAGTTAAGCCTACTTCTCCGATACTATGAAGACGAGTGTCAAGGATAGGAAGTGTTACATCTGATACGCCATTTCTGCCTTGGAAAACGGATGGATGCGCAATCGCACGCCCGATCGTTTTGGTTCCGAAATTGGGGTATATCGAAAATTCCAAGCTCAACCCCTTCAGTGACGGGGATTGGAAGACAAACACATCGCAGTCTTCCATTTGAGGCAGTAGGATGCTGTATGGAGCAGCATTGACACCAGGACCAGCGGTAATTACCAATTTCAGGGGCTTTGAAGATGGAAGGGACAAATTGGGCGCAATGATAGAACTGGTCAGACGAGGATGGAGTGTTACACCTGCGCCCTGGAAGAAATTATTGTTGACGGTAACTTCGACCAGGTAGTTCCTGTCCAAATAATTATGCCCGTATACGCGATGCGGCATGATCGGGGGAGGAAGTGATAAGGAAGGAATTTGATCAAACTCGGAATCCAATTGCATTTCTGCGTTATTCAGGGGAGACTTGGGGCCAAGGCTAACGATTTCGGTGGCGTGGGGTACCCTCGCCGCAGCTTCGATAAGGATTTCTACGGACTCTCGATGCCCATACCAGGCTGCATAATGAACCGCCTGATGTCCCACTTCATCGGCCAAGTCCATTCGAACACCAGCCTCCAGAAGAACTCGAATGCAAGATGCGCGACCCTGGCGCGCAGCGTGAAAGAGGGGCGTCCACTCGTGGTACTTGTCTGGAGTGTCGCAACCTCCGTGGCCCAGGAGAAGCTTGACGACATCGCCATGACCCTCCCGTGCGGCAAGATGTATAGGGTATTCGCCATTGCTATTTGGCGTGCAACGTGCCCCTCTTTTCAGAAGAAGTGACACGATTTCCAAATGTCCATGCTCACTGGCCAAAGCCAAAGGAACTAGATTGTCGTTCGGCGCAGTGAACGATGGCGAGATGCACTGATCGCAAAGCAGCACTTGTACACAGTCCGAACCCCCTCGAAAGGTGGCATAAACCAGAGGGCTGCAGTTATCCACATCTAGAACGTGTGGGGGTAGGGAAGCTTCCAAAAGCCGCTTGCAGACATGCGCGTACCCATGCATCGCCGCATAATGCATGGCAGACCGACCATAGACATCAAGCTTCTCTGGCCGTGATGACTTCTCCAAGCACATATTGACGAGGCGAAGAGCCCCCGCTGCAGCTGCCTCGTGGATACAAGTTCGCCCGTTGATATCATCGACGAAGTCGAAGTCGAACGGGACCGTGATGCTGGCGAGTACTAAATCCGCTAACTCAGGCGGTGCATCGACGATAACCCTCCACAGCACGCGGGTGACATTGGTTCTGCCACCATTCTGTATACCAAGAAGATCTGAGTGATGAACAAGATCCTTGATAGAGGCTTCATCCGAGTTCTCCACGGCTTTTCGCAAATCATGCTCAAAATCACGGAACGGTCCTGCGTACATATTTTTCTCGATGAAGCTCACGACATCATGGGCAGCCGGACCTTCAAGCTTCAGGCTAGCAGATAGGTCCGTGATGTCTAGGAGACAGGATGCTACAGTGTCGGACAACTCTGATATGAGCTGTCAAATACATTAGAACAATTCATACTAAGCGATTACGTCACTTGCCTGCCTATTGAAGACTGGCTGGACTTCGACCTGCCTGGCAAGGTAGAGCTCCTTCGTTGTTGACCGCGACCTCTTGTCCCATTTCTTCAAAATCTTCCTGAACCCTGTTGCGTTCATTTCGATGAATTGCTGAAAGGAGTTAGTTCGGGTTACATATAACAGTCGTGTGATCAAGTACCTGGAGTTTTCCAAGATCCCTTTCAAGGAGACGGAAGCCCTCCTCAACAGCACTCCACTCGACATGGTTTACAGTGGTTTCCTCAGATGTATCAGGGAGCCCGCGCATTGCTGCGGCACGCCTCTTGGAGAGTAGGGTCTCCAAGCGGAGCTTGAGCTCTGCTTCTTTCTGCAGGTAGAATGTATTGATCTTAGATGACCCGATGACATTAAGCCTCATGTAGTAGACACTTTAGTGACAAACACACCTTCTCCAGTTCGCGTTCCAACTTGAAGAAGAAAGCGGCTTTGTGCGCCTGGAAGTCAGAACCACGATCGTCGTCTTGTTGAAGAGCAGACAATATAGGTGGTTCCTCTGGCTCATCTTGCGTTATCGGTTCAGCGAGATTTGAGGTATCTAGTTGGGCTGAGACTGGGATGGCACTAGTCGGCGCAATAGGATTCAAGATATCGGCCGGGCGGACACCAAGGGCTAATGCAGCTGCTTCGGAGGCAGGTCGATTAGCAGTAAGGGACGAAATGATCTTCTTGAGGAATTTGTAGTCCAGATAGTATGTTGACCATCCAGGGACCTGTTCTGCCTGAATTTGTTTGCCGAACTGTAGATTGCAGCGTCGGTAAGAGCTCTGATTGGGAAAAAGGTTGTTTGGGCAGCCTGACCTTCATAACGGTCGTTTATTGTTCAAGAAAAGGAAAAGGGACTGTAACAAAGTGGTAGTTGGTCAGACCATGATGGTTGTCCCTAGAAGGGTTTCGGACGCTACTGAAACCTTGACTCCCTGAATTTCATGCACGTGCGTTAAAATGCTGCTGCAAAGTGTCAAGATAAATATATGTCGGCGATATCAAGGGTGATCAAGCTGATATCGATAATCTTCTTTGGCAGTTCTCCTGATGGGCGCCGGCGTTCGCGCGATTCACGCTCTTGAATTGTGACGTTATGTAGATCACGGTTCGGAATATACCCTTAGGCATTGACCATGCTTTTGTACATTGATATCTCGCGCCTGGCAGTCAATTCAAGTCGGTGTGTATTGCTTTCGCATTGTGCTATACGCCAATCCAAAGAAGCGCACGATGAGGTTCGTGTCACAGCCTTGTCAACGGTGTATACTCTCAGTGTAGTATTATCATAGTTTTCAAACGACTCCTTTCCGAATTGCGCAGAATTCGACTTGATACACCTTCTGAGGGCGCATATCTGATATGGTCCCATCTCTCCCCTAGGCCCTGCAAAGTCCCCATTTAGCCTCCTGGAGCACGCCCTGGACAATTTCATAGACGGCCTGCTCCTCACGCCGTTCAATCCCTGAACTTACCTGACATCCAATAGGTCTACGTACAGACCTATGTTTGAGCTTTGGCCAGGAGCAGAAGCTGATCTATTGTGTACTCAATGCGAGTATAGGCCGGCATCGAGGAGTGTCGGAAATTGGTCAACGATCTTATTCGGGCCATCCACCAGGGTGCTTTTCGCCGGACCGCCCCTAACATTGAGCAGGAAATAATGTTCCTTCACGAAGAAATAAGCCCCATATTAGGATGAGGTAAAATGGCCTCAAAAAGACTATCAAGGCCATCATGTGAAGGGTAGCCCAATCATGAACAATATGCCCCGTGGCCTGGGTACCACCTGACGCGGAGCGAACATCAAGAAATGTGTAGAGTTTCCCGAAGAAGAAGTACGTCTCAGATTCGTTATCTGGGTTCCACAACACAGTGTCTGCTCGATAGACATATCTGAACGAAAGAGCCGCTCAGTCCTTGACAGTGGTCTCCGGGGATTCAACCAAAAAAACTCCTCCGGGTGACGAGCCGAGCTGGATGAGGGCAGATTCATCGCGACTAAAGAAGTAAGCCTGAGGATGGTCGTCTGGAACTGGAAGGATGGCGTCTATAAAACCAAACCCTACTTGACGCAGCGGCCAGTCATCAAGAATATTTCCTGGCCTAGCAATGGGCCCAGGACAATCATTTGTCGAATACAACATATTTGTGGAAACATACCGCATCCATTGTGGGACACATAAGCAACTCCGTGAGATTGAAGCGGACGGTCAAAATCCACGTTTCCGTTCACTGTGCCTACCCGATGGCAAGAGACGCGCACGTTGTGACTAAGAGGGTTCTCTGCAGGGTACCATGGTGTGGTGGAAAGTTGAAACATGGCTGGGCGTCTGATGACAAAGGAAATCTCACCATCACTATCATGATGACCTCGTGAGTCGTGACCGTCTTTACTGCATGCAACCATCCAGTCTGGAGTCCATCAACATGCTGCTCTACCTTACCTTGTGGTGCTTGATGCGGTCGGAGAACGTAGTGTAGTCCCATTGGTTGACAATGGTCTTGGCCGGTCAATTCAAGAATTTTTGCTGGTCTGCGAATCCGATGGAAGCTGGAACTATGAACAAGCCACATCAATGGTTTCAGTCAATCTGTAGTTCTTATGGATCACGTCTGAGGCTCACTGGCACTGGTGTCACCCTCCTATCATCTCGAATATTTACCTTGATTATAGGTCATCTGCGAAGGCCTGCGTATCTGTCTCATGTATATCGTCGATGACGCTACATTCTAGCGCAGAAGAGCCCGAACTCGGATAGCACATTGGGCATAACATGGCCAGATGAAACGTTGATGTTTGTCGTTGGAGGGACGTACAAGGAGTCCGACTCCCTTGGCAGTGGAACATCGTATGCATCCACATCCCGTCTGCATATTGTTCACAAGTCATTTCGTATGTCCCACAAGATGTTGTCTACTGTGCTTTAACTGATTGAGTTCATTCTTGCTTTGCTCATAATTGCATCAACCCTCCACACATCCACATCCTACACGTCCACACGTCCACACTTCGTTTCTCCATATAAAACCATCACGCATTCTCTGATGCCGATCCCCCATCTACCACACTTAGCCATGTTCTTCACTCCCACCCCCCGAGTTCATCTTCCAAAGCTGCCATTGGAAAACATGGAGGCTCTTGCGGCCAACCGCCTGACCTGGATTGCAGGATATGACGTTGAAAAACTTGTAAGCAAGTCTCACATATTTTGCTGATCTTCAAGTCAACCATGGTGTCCAGGACTGGGTCACCTTCTCGGGTTTGGATCCCGATATTTCTGAGTATGATCAAGACGCGTGGAGAAACCTGGTCAAAAGCCAACGCACCCAGGTACGGGTGGTAGCACTTCTCACATCGTTGTTTTGCAAGCTAACGGGTTTGTTGCAGGATCTTATACAGTCCATAGTGGATACTACTGTATGTTCTGGAGGTAGTCCAGAGCTAGCGCAAGTTCGGCAAGGCATGGTGTGTTTTCAAATACTACTATTGCTTCTATCTCGTTTACCATTTATGTAGAATGTCCTTCTCCAGGGATCGTCAGGAACAGGAAAGAAGACAGCAGCTTATGCTATCTGCAATATCCTCAGACGACCTATGCTTAGCATATATGCTCATGACATTCCGTACGTTTCCAAGGTGGGGCCGTGGGCTGCTAAGTTAGCATCGGTATGTACAATACGCAGGTTGTGAGACTTCTCTGACGCGACGTGGTGGTTGTCTAGCTTGCAATAAAGTGGAACGCAGTGGTCTTCGTAGAACGCGCATATGTACGTATCGTTTCTAAAAGCGCCCGTTGTATCCATTCTGAAGACACGTTGCGCAGTATTTCTTGAGGTCTAGTAGTCCAGGCCTTCGAGTATGTTCTTGATTGTTGTACCATCATGCTATAGACCTGATTCTTTGCCAGGCTCGCATCAACATCGTTCTCCAGGAATTTGAGTCTCCTGGATGTATCTGTTTGTGGCCGTCAGTATTGACAAACCAACAACAAAAACAACTGAGGCCATTTTTCGCCGGTGCGTACCTCAGCCGTCTGACCCAACTGTATTACTAATTTTTCCCCGCAGCTTTCAATTTCCCCGACCTCGATAGGGCAGCCCGGCGTCAACGTTGGCTCCAACTCTTCAGGAAAGATGAAAGCGCTGCAACTTCATCCGGCAGTGAAGACACACTCGACTCCTCTAGCGCGAGAGACATGGAATCCTTGACTTTCCTCCGCGAGATCGAGAAAATTTCCTGGTACAAACTCGATGGTAATGTCATGTTTGACACTGGATGATGCGATGGAGCGCTGACGGTGCTGATAGGGACGGAAATCGAAGAATTTATGAATTGGGCACGAGACATGGCTCACTATACGTAAGTCGAAGTTGATACATGCTGTTCGTGACAACTAATCACTGGCGTACAGGGGGGAAGATCCATCCCCTTACCACTTAGAGGCATCTATCAAGGCCATGGGGGTGCGCCTTTCTTTACGGCGCAAGTTCGCCCGGTTTTTGGCGCTTCGTGCAATGGATCAGCTCGAGTTACCGGCCAAGTTTTCAAGAACAAAGTGAGGACGTGGTGCCTATTTGCATAGTGCTTGCTCCCTTTTAATCCCCATACCTGTATGCCGTTTGCCCCATGATTCTGAAATCAAACAAGTAACCTGGGTTGGTATGTCACAAAAGGTCACAAAATCCTTCACTTCTCCTAGGAAAACCGAAAATTCCTCTACCCAGCTGGATGATCTAGAGCGCGCGCACTCTTCCCTAGGCTTTGAAGAGCTCTGGCGTCTCAATATACTCTTCCGCGCTCCAACGTACTTATTACTTGAATCATGCACTGATGAGGAGTTTCTCCACGGGCCCTGGAACGCAACTTGCACATTTGTCACGAATCTATGCGACGGACGTTATCCGTTGTCTGCCCTTCGCGATCGTGCTCGGACCTGAGAAAGAATTGCAAAAAAGCAGCCCTCGCCGCATTTCCCCCAGTATCTCCAATCTGCTTTGCTCGCCCTCTTCGAAATGATCAATGCAGCCACCAATCAATATCTCGAAAAGTGCAATAGAAACTTGTGCGTACTGCAATGCGGGTGTTATACGGAAGGCTGCTAATGCAGTATTTTCTGGTGATGTTGTTGAGAGGAACTTCATCGAGTTCATTCGGTGAAAATTACCAACAAGGCTACATTTCGTAAATGCAGTTCCGGGTGTGTAACTTGAACCTTCTCCGCGTTAACGCACGTTCTTAAGGAGTCGTGGTTGACCCGTTACCGTTCCGGAATACTTGCTAAACTCAGGATATCGGTCCTTGGATGAACGTTTTCCAGCGGTTAACTACAGTGTTTCATCCAGGGAGTTTGCCTGTCTTGTCTAGAACGGAGAAGCCATGCAAGATCTCATCGTACCTGAGAGAAGGTCTTCAGGGAAGATACCTCACATAGTTGCCTTTGGGGTGCAAGCTGATCATTGTCGTTTGTCAGGGTAATCGTTCGAACAGGCACCTTTCTATTTTCATTCTGGTCGCATGGTGTGTTGCATTTGATTATCTGATATCATGATGCTAGTCCAATGGAAATATGCCCTCACTGAAGACCGGGCATATATAAGGCACTACACCAACACCCTCCCCTATAAATCATTGAACTTGGGCAACAGGCATCCTTCCTAGGACCTCATCCTCGCCATCTCTAACTCGTTTTTAACATCTTCAAGCTTTTCCTCCTCCCTCTCGCCCCTGGTTACGCCACGAACTGTCCAGTTCGAAATGATTTAACTCATACACAGATTTCAGACTGTCTTTTGGCAATGTTGTTTGCACCGCTCAACTGCTAGGAACACTTCCCTACAACCACCAAATAAGTGAGTTTTTGCCACACATTTGTGATTCTTTTTCAGAGAACGACTAGTAGTATTCATTCGTATATGGGCTGTCTAGGGGGGACTAATTCATTTTTATCTAAGCTTGATCTAAAGGTCCATGTGCAACGGCCCATTCAATGTAACGGCCCTACCGTGGATACGGGGCCATGCGTTGTCGATGAAATCCACCAAGTTTGACTTTCCGTAGAGTATCCATCTCTGACTGAAACCACCTTGCTGTCGTCCTCGAACTAACATCGCAGGCGCTCACGCTATTTTCCTGCACGAATTGTTGCCACGAGCAACCCCTGTTGCCTGCATACATCGAGCAGCTCGTTCCAGAAATTATGTGAACTAGGACGATATGCCGCAGCTACCATTCCCAAACGATGCAACCTCTCGCCGGGCATTGGCATTATGAAATCTTCGCTTCTGGTGCCATTAATCTTGATGTCGATCAGAGTTCAGTATAAATTTTGCCTTCCCTGGTGGCGCAACCTCATCTGTGGTTGCAAAATATCTTGATGATAGATCATGACCCTGGATATTTGTGAGATGTTTCTTCGTATAATTCTTGGCGGTGAACTACCGAGAACAGAGAACGTCATATATAATGTACCAACGCAAATACCATGAGGTAGTGAACCAACTTAAACCAAGACCTTCCTGAGTTGCCACGCCTTTGCAGGCAGGAGCGTTATTGGGCAATTACCGTGTTGCTCGACATGGTCGTGTGCGCAGCGGTAGCAGAAAACGTAACCGGATGGCAATGCTGTTGCGTTGTGAATAGGCTCTTGGCAGAGCGGGCAATGTCCGTATTTCGTGCTGTCGATAGTGATCCCTGCGGGATGTGGTGGAAGTATCTGAGGTGGAGGGATGACCGGACCTAGAGGGGATATAGACAGTGACCGCGCAGGAGAGCCCGGGGAATACCACCACTCAAGAAATTTGATGAAGAAGATGGCTGTAGGCAAGAGAAGTCTCAAGGAGTCGAGTAGTAATTGTGGTGACAGCAGCATGAGCCGTCGAACTACAGCTAAGAATCCGTTCTTCGTTGGGGAGATCGCATTTTGCTTCACTTGGTGTGCGAGCTGCACAGATGGTGTGAGTGCAAGGTGAATGACTGAAATTTTAAGCTCACGAAATCGTCCATATTGAGTCTTCTGAGATCGACTCCTATCCAAGCTAACCATGGGCGGTAGAATGGGGTGCGATCGAATAAATAGGATACATTATGAGCAAGAAGCCATACTTCAAATCCGGTGTTGAACCATGGGTATAGTGTTTTGAACTTTCTGCGTATAACACCTGCAATACTCTAGCAATACCTGTTAAGCATGGCGTTATCGTGAAACAGTACTGCTCACCTCGTCTGTGAGTTCTCGTATATGTCTTTCGCTGCCTCCGTCCTCCAGGATATCCGAGTCAATGCCTCCACCGAGTGACTCGTAGTAGTCTTGCCCTTTCGCTCGTAAATAAGGTACAGCAATCTGGGTTGACCAGGTAAGAAACGATCCGCTTAGCATCGAGAACCCTTACTAGGAAAAATAACGACCGCCAAATCTCGCGACTTCTGAGCTTCTCACCAGGTGGTATTCCACCAACAGCAGCTGTTGCTCGCTCGGTTGTTATCCAAGGCTTTCTGCGTCTCTTCAGACCGTAAAAATTCTCAGCAAATGATGCATCTAATGATATTAACGGCGTACTTGAGTTTCCCGTGTCAACTTGCCAGACCAATATACTCACTGTGCTTGCGGAGATAGTGACGTTCAACAAAAAGCATGATGAAGGCATAAAATTCTTCATGGCGGTTGACTATACGGATGAGTTGGCGAGGGTAGCGTTGAGCAAATACCTGAGGGGCGTGAGTGGAGCAGTTCTGTGGCAGATTGGGAGGACTTACTGCGAGGACATACTTTAGAGCAGGTTGGAGTAGATCACGAAGCTGCTCTTGGGCAACTAATTCAAACAAGGAGGGCTTGAGCGGATCTCCGCCCACATCGTTGAAGAACTCCATGCATGTAGAGTGTGGTCAACGATTGGATGACTTAGTTGATTCCGAATGCAGGTCTCACGTGGCGTCCTCGACGATTACCGGGAAATGAACGATGGTCTTCAATGAACCTCAACGAACCCACCAGTCCGAATCGCAGTGACTCAAGTGGTGGTCGAACCGCAGCAGCCTTGGAATATCAAGGTCTATCCTCTGTCGAAGACCCATTGCAAGCCTACTTTTGTGGTATACTAGCTGCCTTTGCATCGTCGATACGCTCTCATGACCCCCAATATTGAAATATATTTTATTTATTCAAAATTGAGAGTTCAGCGCTAGCTAGCACGCATATGATCAAGTTCTATTGTCTGTACGTCGCGTAATTGCCTCCCACTGAGGGTTTATCTGGCCAAATATTATTGGTACTGTTCAATAGTCTCCCAAGCCGTGAGTCCGCGAGGCACTCCGGCTCTTATCCTCTTCCTGACTACTCATTGTACATTTTTCAATCTCATGTTTACCTCCTTCCACGCAATGATACCTTCAGACGCTGAACTCGCCTCTCAAGCACTCACTGAGGAGGGCAATTATCGTTTCCCATCGTTCTCGGCGTCTGACGCGGTCACGCTTGGTTTATCTCTACGCAAACGCTTCCGTGCGTCTTCTCGACATTCTAAAGGCAAAGGCCTCGTCATCTCCATACAAACCATCGCCGGTCACACCTTGTTTGCGTGTACCGTGGGCGACCTTGGCCACCCAGCCGGTGTTGGGGATGTTAGTTTGAATAGCTGGACAAGTGTGGAGGGCATGGTTGGAGTTGTAAGGCAGACCGGCCACTCGAGCTATTATGTCGAGAAAAGCATGAGCGCCATGGGCAAGTCGGCAAAACAGATAGGAATCCATGGGGACCATATTATTCACGGAGGAGGTGAATACTTTCATTATACTTCTCAAACCACGAGCTTAAATTTACTTCCGCTCAGCATTCCCAATCTGGTTGGACGTCAGTATCATATGCCCTACTCATTTGCGAGTTTAATGGGCTGACAATAATCTGTACAGAACGCCCATTGCTGTCCTATTGCTGTTGTTGCTTGCTACTCAGGTTCAAGCCAAGAAGACCACCACGTACGTCTTCTTCCAAAACTTACTCGATTCAATATTCACACACCAATCATCAGCTTGTTGTTACAACTGTCCGGGATTATCTTCACAAAATCAACAAGTCAGAAACACGAATATCTGCCTCTTCTGCTCTAGGGACAGAGATGCATATGCCTCTCCCGTCTGTACCAATCCGGGAGAGCACGGTAAGCTCATATCAGCAAGTCCAGGTTCGCCAGTTCATTAGCGAGTAAAGGGATGGCTCACAGATCCGTCACACAACGCACTTGGCATGAGAGGGCGGTCCGAGTCACCATTTGACCATCATGACGAATGAGATACTAATGAATGTATCATATTATCGAGTCGGGTGAGCGGTGGTGTGTAATAGTTATACCAATAAGACAAAGACAGGCAGCTATGATGGTCATAGAATGACACGCATGTATTATCTACTCGTGGCTCTCGTTGTGCGAGGGGGGCGGCCTGATAACTCGGATGCTTTCTACGAACAAGGATAAGTAATGTGAAGTTAATAAGAGCAACAAAACATCATACCGTGTCTGAGGAATATTTGTCTTTGGGCATGTGGTGAAGATGAGTCTGCGCTTGGGTCTGCTTCACGAAGCTCAAAGTTCGCCTCGACGTATACTTGGGCCCCTTTCTGGAGAGTGCGCAAGTAGTTGGTCTGACTGGGATTGAAGCAAACGATATTGTGCCATGTCGTTCCAGCCTCTTGACGGCCTGAAGCAAAAATTTAAGTGGTGATAATGCACGAAAACCAAATTCACTCACTGCCATCCGGGTTAGGAGGCGGAGGGGGGTAGTTGGTGGTTGCAACGGCATAGCTGACAAGCGTAATCAGACGAACGTCTCAGGTAAGGTGTAGAAAACTCACGAGACATATTCTCTGTCGCTCTTGGTGGTACGAACTTCAGGGTCTTTGCCTAATCGCCCAATGAGAATGAGCTTGGAGACATCGTATGCACGCGTCGAAGTTGTAGAGAAAGCCTTGAATTTTTTTTTTGTTAGCGCATAACCATTCTTAAAAGCGTATCAACCTACGCGACGCGGTGCGCGAGCAACAGCATGACGAGCAAATGAGAGCATGATTCTTGTCTTTCAAAACGCGTTCTGAAGCAAAAGTAGTTTCGATTTTATGTGACAGTAAATAGAGGATATTTGTTTGTGCTTGCTTGGTGGGTGGCCGGCAGTGCTGGTTCACGGTAATTCCATTGAACCAGATCTCATAGATTCTTCCTTGTCAATTCTTTGTATCTCCATATCTCCATCTGTAATCTTTAACATGTCCAGACATAGGCTTGTACGAAATATGAACATCCATGGTAAGCATGAATCACCCTGATGGTAGTTTGGTTTGAGATTTATGATCCACTAGATGAACTGGATGATGACGCTTTGTCCGATGGAGGTGATGAGCTCACTCCCGAGCAGCATGGCGAGTGCCCCAATATCTGTGCTTGTGCTGCATGCTGAGAGTACATTGTAGCACAAATGATGTCGTGTCTCGAACAAATTAGAGAGATCATCGGAAACGAAGCTGCCTCAGGTCTTGACGATGATATCATCAAAGAAATCCTATGGGATCAGTACTTTAATATAGAGAGCAGTTTATCGATACTGTATGGTGCGTACTACATCAACCTGTTTGTCCTTCAACTAACAGATGTGCATTTGACAGAGGAGCAGGACCGGAGAGCGTCAGCCAAAACTCGCAAAGGTAAGTTCCGCCGTGACCTCTCATTTGTAAATAGTCTTGCATTCGCTCTTCCACCATGTTGTTGTTACCCCCCGTTTTGGATCCCGTTTATGGAATCGCCTACGCCGTAGACGAGACGACGAACAGGAAGGTGCATGTCATATCCACCATCCCTGTATGAACCTTTGTACAGTCAGGAGCTAAATATGTTTCAGTGCGATCCGTCAGTAATGATACCCCATCCGAGGGTATGGAGGGGGCCCATGACGTACCACAATACGTGGCTGGACCAACAGGATACGAATATTATGATGGCGACTTGGACCGACCTCGAGTTCCCCTCATAGTATTGGCACAGCAAGGCCAGCATGAGGCTTACTATCCTGAGGAATATCCAGATGAGGTCGACTCGGATGATATACCATTGGGCGTCATGTCACGCGGCTCGAGACTCAGCACCATTACGGAGATTACCGAAAGGACTGAACCCTCTCGCCACTGGCCTTCAAAACAGCAACTCGTAGCTTTAAACAACCCACGTGCGTCGACTATCAGTAACTCCACGACATCGTACGGACAGGTCATTGGTGCGTGGTACCAACAAGAATCCGATTGATATGACTGAAGCCAGGACAGATACTCGCGCACGCAGTCCCGTCGCGGCCGAATACCCTGATACGTCGATGGACCCAAACTCCATTCCTCCATCCCCATCCCCATCTGCTGTACGACGTCTTTCCAACTACGAAGCCGCGCCATCACTTGCTCCATCACTATCACAATCCGATCTGCGCACAGAGCTGCTTCCAACAGAGCGCGCAGTTTCACGCGCAAAATCAGTTATTCCTGTGCCACCCATGGATACGCTTCCAGAGATTTCCGATTTCCAGTCGAAGGCGAGCGAAAAACCGCTCCCTCCTAAACCTCCAGCTAGCAGTAAACCCTCGAAATTATCCATGCTTGCGAGTTCTCGTGCAAGTACGAGGACTTCTCGCTCATCAGATTTGGACACGACTTCAGTACTCACATATCCCGCCTTGCGACCCAACGCAGAGAGCCGATTATCATTCGCACCCGCTGCCGCTACAAAACGGCCATCTACCGAGAAGACACTTCCTTCTATAAAGGCTCCGTCTACCAAGGCTCCGTCTACCACCACTTCTTCCATGTCTTTGCATGTCAAACAGGCCATCCAGACAGCTTTAGAGCTAGAAGCTCATGATCGTGAAAGAGCCGCCAGACTTTCGCCAAAGAGCGAGTCTAGCGTGGCGTCTAAAGCGCCATCAGTTTGTACTATCAAGCCAACGCTGCCACATTCGCCACCTCGAGCTGATCCCAGCTCAAACTTGCTTATGCGCATAGAGCCTGAAGCGAAGGCTCGCCCTCAGTCCAAGCTCGCAGCGCTTGCCCAAGCAAAAGCGAGTGCCAATAGTACTAGTCTCATGTCGAAGCTTCCGAAATCCCCGCCTAGTTCGCCTCCGAAGGAGCTTCCTAAATCTCACACACAATATTTCACGCCAATCGCAAATGGAGCCACAGCTACTACTGCTATAACCACATCCTATCAGTCGCTCCAAAGTCTTTCCATGCCGCAGACTCGGGAGCCTGCGACGCTAGTCCAGATGCCTGGCGCAGAGCCCAAGCAGTCTAAATTGGCAAAGAAGGTCAAGAAAGCGAGTGAAAAACCGCAGTCTACGCCACCCGACGACGACGATACTTGTGTCATCATACCGTCTCCATTGTTCCTATCAAAGCCAACTAACCCTCGTGCGTCTCCCTCGGCATTCGCTTCTATACTTCTCGATGATCCTCTAACACCCCCATCTCCTGAAGACAAGGACACGCATTCAGCTCACAAGTATGGAAGGGAGGTGCCGAAACTTGTGAAGGTGTACGAGGCTGCCCATTCACAGGGCCACTCTAGCCTCGGTCTCTCCCACTCCCAACGACACAGGTCGTCTCGTCCTAGGGCTGCACCGCCGGAGACGAAGATACCCTTGGGATTTGCTTTTGACGTTCCAAGCCCTGACGATATCGTATTCAACGCACGTCGGGGAACTTCTCTCGCGCAGAGACGGTGAACAAGCCCGCTCGTTCCCAACTCCGTCCACGTTCCTTTCTTGTATTTCTCTATTTATTCATTTTTCTGGAGGACTCTTGTTTGTTGTAGAATTATTATTATGGGCTCTAATGGAACTTTTTTGCTGATCCTCACTTCAGCCGCGAAGGAACGCGAGAAGGCGGAGAAAGCAGCGCAGAAGAAGGTAGCGCAAACACCTTCTTCGTCAGGCTATACCACACCGGTTTCTCAAGCCATGTCTCCTGTGAATACACCAAGCGGTAGGGCGTCAAAGAAATCTGGTGCGGGTGCGAAAAAGTCGGGAGCCATGACTCCTCGCGGTACAGGGGGTCTGGATGCTCGACTGCTCGACATGGCCGGGTTGAATTTGTTGCCAAAGGAAGAGGAGCCAGTCGATGAACCTCCTCCGAAAATAGCACTAGAGCGCGGAAAGCTGTTGCAGGATGTCCGAAAAGTCCTTGAAGGGCAAGGAGGTGATAAAAAGGCTGTCAGCTTGGTCGTGATTGGTACTCAGTCTTGTTGGCATTTTTTGAGTGATTTTTTTTGTTGATTTTTGGATGACAGGACATGTCGATGCTGGAAAATCGACGTTGATGGGTCGTTTGCTTTATGAGCTGGGGAGAATTGACGAAAAGACCCGCATTGCTAACGAAAGAGGCAGCAGTAAAGCGGGGAAGAGTAGTTTCAGTTGGGCATGGGAGTTGGACGGGACCGTTGAAGAACGGGAGAGGTCTGCATTTCTTTGTTGTTTGAAGTGCACGTACCGACTGATCACCAGAGGAATCACAATGGACATCGCTTTACAAAATTTGTCGACCCCTCATCGACAGGTCACCATTCTAGATGCCCCTGGACACAAGGATTTCATCCCAAACATGATTTCTGGAGCGGCGCAAGCCGATTGCGCGTTACTTGTAGTCGATGCCATCGCTGGAGAGTTTGAGGCAGGTTTCGATCGTGGTGGTCAGACTCGTGAACATCTGCTGCTAGTTCGGAGCCTCGGTGTATCACAAGTTATCGTGGCGGTCAACAAATTAGATCAGGTTGGTTAGGTTCTACGAATTACATGTCTTATCATCGCTGACGTGGTCGCAGGTGAATTGGGATCAGAGTCGATTTGAAGAAATATGTGGGTTGTTACGGGCCTTCCTCGTCCAATCTGGGTTTCCCTCGTCGAAAACGAGTTTTGTCCCAGTAAGCGCCATGCTCGGCGTCAACCTCGTCAACTACACGGATGCCAATGCTTCGGTACTGTCTAAATGGTACAAAGGCCCTACGCTGGTTGACTTGCTCGGTGAGTCATTTTGCACTGTTCCCGTGTTGACATGTTCAAATATTTCCAGATATACTGGAGCCCCCCGCTCGCGAAATCGCCTCCCCGCTAAGATTGCCGATCTCTAATGTCTTCAAGGGACAAAGTTCCGGAACGGGCGTAACTGGTCGTATATGCGGTGGCGTTGTGCAAGTTGGAGAATGTCTTCGAGTACTTCCGGGAGATGAATCTGCAATCGTTCGACGTGGGTTCCACAATTCATTAGTGTTGTGCGGATGTTGTTGACCAACGTGCAGTTATTGATGTTGAGGAACAGAGTGTGCCTTGGGCAGCAGCTGGGACTAATGCAACTCTGTACCTGACTTCCATCGACCCCATCCATTTGAGCATAGGAAGTGTTCTTTGCCCGCCATCGGATGTCGTCCCATTGGCCACAGTGTTCACAGCTCGAATCATAGTATTTGATATTCAGCTCCCAATCATTACCGGTGCATCGGTACGTCGTCTGAGCCTCCTTATCTACGTTTCATAACCCCTATGATTAGATCGAGCTATTCCATCACTCACGAGATGTACCTGCCACGATATCAAAGTTGATTGCTACGTTGGACAGAGCTTCTGGGGTAGTGACGAAGAAGAACCCCCGGTGCGCTTCCTTTTTTTTTATTGCCAGGGATCATGCCTAATCTTGTGTGGTCAAGGGTGTTGACCAAAGGTACCTCTGCAGAGGTGGAGATTAGTCTGCGTGCCGGGACCTTATCGGGTCCTGCACTCAGCGCTCGCCCTATTCCATTGGAGCCATTCTCGGTAAACAAAGACATGGGAAGAATTCTCGTTCGACGGGGAGGCGAGACAATAAGTGCAGGTAAGCCGTTGACCCTCCTAGCCGTCAGGGTTCTCAAAAACTTTATCAGGTATTGTTCTGGACGTTATCTCCTGAAATCAAGACGAATATCGCAATAGAAATGCATACATAGCGCCAATATATGTACAACAGTCACATGAATTCCAAAAAATTATGTAGTAAAAATTGAAGAGGTATCGTTCGCGTGATGGTGAAAAAATGAGAAGTTGTCTGCATGGTACAAATGAGAAGAACTGCTAGCGTGTGAATGGTAACAATGAAAAGGTAGTAAGAGCATCTACTTCTTCGTCTTTTCCTTGTGAGAGAAAAACTCTTTCAATTTGGCGAAGAATGACCGTCGCTTCTTTCTCGGGCTTGCAGTGTTGAACTTGGATGACAGTGTCACAGGTGAGTCGGTGGTAGTGGAAGCAGGGAATGAGATATCCTTTGAATCTTTGGTATCACTGTCTGTAGAGGGCATTGACGAGGCAGTAACTGCAGGGGTATCTTGAGGCTCGGGCGTCGGCAAGGATAGCTCGTTGTCGGGCGCGATAGGCCCAGCATCAACAACAGATGTATCAATTGTTTTAACGGGGTCTGGATTGACGTTAATATCAGGCGTTGTGGGATTCGCAGCCGCGTCTGAAGGGGGCGCGATTGCATCCACGAGCAATTCTCCGTTATGCTCTTCGGCAGCCTGCGTTCCCAATTTCTCTTCCTCCGTAGGTTTGCCATTCTGCTCTCCTCCGGCTTGAGCTTCCTGCGTGACAGAAGGCACTGATTTGGATAACAGTAGAGGAGAATGCGTCGACGGCTCAAGAACAGAAATTGTTGCATCGAATGAACCGGGGACCAAAGGATCACTTTCAACAGATTCCCCGTCTGGTAAAGGTGACGCAGATTCGTTCAACATGTGATCATTGACAGGTAAGATAAGGATAGGGACGACGGGCGCGATTTGCGGCGTGGCATCAATGGCGTCAGGGGAGGGAACTCCCTGAGTGCTATCTGGTGGTGCCTCGGCGACGATTGGCTCGATGGCCGAAGTGGTTGGTGGTTGTTCGGTTGCATCCTGCGCAGTGAAATGAACATATATCAGTGTTGCAAACAAAATTCTGCGATGTTGTGATTACCAGAACGTGAACATTCTCCGTTGAATGATGAGGCGTGCTCGAAAACATAAAGCTGATGCCCGAGGAAACGTATCCTAGTGCGCTAGCAACTTCTTCAGAAACGTGCGTCACCGCGCTCGTCGCACTGTCCACAATTGCATGGAAGGTGTCAACCTCATCGCTCGATGCGGGAGTTTCAGCTGGTTCGACGATAATGTCGGGAACATCAGCTGCCGGGAGTTCCTTGTCAGAAACACCTGAATCATCAACGGCGTTTGTGGCATCGGTGGAACCAGAATCAGTGATTCCACCATGTTGATCCGCCTCCAACGCCTCCTGTTGGGAGGTCTCGCTAGACAACGACTCTTCAGGCAATGTGGTAGCTGAAGTCATGGAGTCGGTGGGGCCTTGGGGAGCAGCAGGGGAAGATGGGTGTTCCATTATAGGAGTGGGCTTAGAGGGCGCGAACAGAACATTATTAAGGTTCCCGGCACCATCTAACTCTGTTGGGCGGTCATCACGCGTGACCCAGCTTCCGTCCACAATGAACTTATAGGGAACTTTCTCATTCCAGGGGACCCTGACATTGCCTACGAAACCAGATGTGCCCTTGGGCAGGTGCGTAGTGCAGGACCACTGCCAGGATATGAAACTGAGCCTGCGGCGGACTTTAGGTAGGCAGGGAAGCCACTTACGTGGTCGAATGAGCCAGTTAAGATCACATCCGAAGCATCACTGTGAGGCCTGAGAGTAGAAGGTGAACACAGGCGCTAAATCGATTTGAACAGCGTACCATGAAATTTCGGCTTCATGCAGGTCGTCCATGGTGTCGAACGAAGAGTAGAAGGAGGGAGAGGACAACCTGCAGAAACCCCTGCCGTAACATGTGTCCTCATGTTGGCCATGATTCAAATGTAGTGTCACGCTTCGTCACAAAATATAAATGCACCATGATGTAACACAACCTTAAAGCTGGACACGATATGTACAAAAAGAAAGCCCAAACGGCCATATCTATCAACGGCTCCCCTTCTTGTCCGCTCTCCACTCCTTGAACATGCCGTCAAGACTCTTGTATAATAGGTGGGACGGTAGACATCGAATTATCTCACTCATCTTCTCCTCTGCCTCTGCCTTTCCCTTCTCACCAGAGGCTTTCCGTGCAAAGTCCACTGACATGTGGAACAACGCTAGTACTGCCAAGGATACGTGTGTCTGCTGGGCGCCGTGCGACGAGGATTGTGAGAGAGCGGCCAAAAGTGGCCCCGACACACTCGGAGCTGATATCGCGGGCGTAGATTGGGAAAAGGGGGTTGCTCGTTCGCCTCTGACCAGCCTGAGAAGAATCTCCATCATGTTATCTACCTCAGTCAAATGTGTCTTCACGAAACGTTGTCGTTCTGTGTGAACACCGACAGGGGAGTTGACTGCCCACCCATCCAGCACAGTCCAAAGCGTCGGAGCCTTAAGGAGAAAACAATCAGGACCAAGACTTCTGTCAAGATAGTGAGAACGAACTGGATCAGGATCTACAACTGCGATCTTTTTCTCCCACCCATCGGCAGCATCCCCTGCCACCCAAAACATTCTTCCAAACATGCTCTTCAGCCACTCCTGGACATCTCCCGATTTAACCCACTTAGGCTCCGACAATGGGCGCTCAGTATCAAGATGGACGATCAAACTGATTTTTGAAGGTAGCGTAGCCTTCGAGAAGGAAGGCAGAGTCTCATCAGTGCCGGATGCTTCAGACAGCGTTGATAATGGAGAATATGATTTTGTCGCATCAGAAAGTCCCTCAATCTACAATCGTGTTAGAGAACACAAGAGTAGATAAACAAATATTCTTACCAAAACGCCCTTGAGCCCATCGTCGCTTCCTTTATCGAGGGATATGTGGACTTCGATTCGACCCTCAGATCTGTAAACCTTCAGATAGTCAACCACTTCCGCGTCCACGACCAAACGCCTGCTACCGGCAGCATATGATATTGACAGGCGGTTTGCAGATGGCACTCGACCACCTTTCGATACTGTTGCAGTCACCGGAGGGTGCGATGGCTCGCCATACGTTGAACCGGAAGAGGTCGATAACAAGGTATTCGAAGTGGGAGAGGCAGGGGGCTCAGGAAGGTGCTCTTGATCCGCAGAGTCGTTGGTACCTTTGACATGCATAGCGGCTTCGTGCTCGGCTGGAATTTCGCCAGTAAGCTCTAAGACAACTTGCTCTTCTGAGTACGTGAGAAGACCCATATCCTCGTCGACAATTGTCGACGCGAGCGACGGCTCTGCTTGAAGGGGCTTCGGCCCGGAAGCCTGTGTGTTGGACACCTGCGTATCAGGGTACCCATCATCATCAGCAGACTGTTTCTCGCTGTGAGGCATATCAGACTGAACAACAGGAGGAGAACCATGACCAGTAGAAGAACTCGTGTCAAAGGAAGTACTCAAAGTAGCATGAGAAGGATCTGCTAGCGTGGCTGATGCATCAAAGAGCCTATCAACAATATCATCACCGGTAGGCTGGGTAGCTGGCAAAGCATCACCACCCTCTTCAGGCGCAGAAACCAAAATGTCCACGTTCGGCTGTGTAGCGACAGCACTACCATGGTTTACACCAAGGTCAACAGCAGCAACATCTGAGGACGCTGATGGCTTGACTCCTTCAGCATTCGGGGCAGCATTGTCCCCAGCATGCGAGCCATCAGACTGCTCATGAACACCTCCTGAAGAGGCTATTCCGTCCATGTCAGTATTATGGGAGCCTTTAAGATATAAGTTAGTTTGTACAGCCTTGAGCCACGAATGGACGCTCCCCCCAAGCTCGAAAGCATCCACCCAAAGCAAAAAATAAGGAGGGTTCAACTCACCATTCCCATCCCCATTGAGAAAAGTATTCGTAGCAGGAACGAAATGGGGAACACTTGCAGCAAGGCTCTCCTCTTCATCCATATCATCAACGGTGGTAGCTGCATCGGCATCGGCATCGGCATCGGCGCCTATGTCGCCTTCATCCTCAGCGATAGCGGCCATCAGCCAATCGCCCTCACTGGCAGTTTCTGCCACGCTGGGCGCCGCGCTTCCGCGGCCCACTCCATCCAAGTCAACACTGACATTATCGTCCATCTGGCTGCTGCGAGGAGGAGGCGGTCTTTCTCGACCTTCCTCTGCATCGCCATCATCATCCTCAAGCTTCTTGCGCTTGCCTTTGCGCGTGTCTGGAGGTGCAGTATACGAAGCATTGTGCGGAATGGGATGCGAGTCATCGGGAGAAACAGGAGTGTGGAAATAAATGCGGATGCGAGAGGGCGGAGGCGTCGTCATTGAGGACGACTGCTCCTGGTAGGAGGCATCCGGCTTCGTATCTGCCGCGTCTGCTGTTGGTGCGGATTCTGATTTCACGGTCCCAGCAAGCATGTCTTCATCCTTAACTTGTTCTGGTGATGATTCCAAAAGAGAAGCAGCGACCTCTTTTTCTTCAGCCTTTACAGGCGATGGTAGCACTCCCCACGTCCATCCAAGTTCAGGCATCTCGAGGCCCACAATTTTAAAGTCAGTGAGCGTGCGTCGATTTTCGTCCTTCTTACCGCTGCTTGCAAATTGTGATGCATCACGGTTTCCAAAATTTGTACTACCATCCTGGCGGCCTGCACGACCTGAAGTATGACCTTGTCCTCGCCCGCGGAAAGCAGGATTATTTTGATGATGTTGATGTCCTGCATTAAACGACCCGCCTCCTCTGCGATTGTGAAAGTCCTTGTTAAAGCCGCCTCTCGAGCCGTGTCCACGCAGAGGATTTTGTTGACCAGTGACGCCACCTCGTCCGCCGCCACTATTCATGAACATGCTGCCGCCTCTGCCACCACGTTGTCCGGTCAATCCTCCCCGGTTTCCACTCATGACTGCGCCTCGGCCTCGGCCGGAGTTTACATTGCCTCCCCCCCTTCCACCCATTCCACCTCTATTGCCACCTAGGGGCATCTGATTGGCGCCAGGCTGCCCTTGACCCTGTCCTTGGTTCTGGGGATAAAGCCCAACACCCCCCGGCGGTGCAGGAGGAGGTTGGAACTGAGGTTGAGGAGGGGGCGCACCAAGTTGTCGGTTCTGACCGTGATGCTGATTCGGCCCATCAAACCGTTGACGTTTGGCAGGGGGAAGATGTTGGGGCGGGGTGTGATGAAGACCATGGTTATGTCGAGGCTGCTGCTGCTGCTGCTGCTGTTGAAGTTGGGGCTGCTGTTGAGGAAAATACGCTTGCGGAGGGGCCATTGTCTGTGTCGGATGGGGGTACGCAGGCTGCTGCTGGGCCACGATTGGCTGTTGGGGTTGAGGAACATATGGTTGCTGATAGCCAACGGACGGTTGGTACGGATTGTACTGCTGTTGAGGTGGAGGCGGCGGAGGTTGGACCACAGGTGGAGGTGGCTGATACTGTTGTTGTTGAGGATGACCATGTCTCTGCTGCCAGTGCATGCCCTGACCGCCATAACCGTAGTTTGCATACAAAGCACTTTGTTCAGGGGGCGGTCTTGGAGGCTGCTGAGGAGCAGACCATGCCGGAGTATAAGCTGGGGCCGCCTGTTGCTGTTGCTGCTGCTGAGCAGCTACCCAATAAGCAGAATAATCTGGAGGTGCAGCAGGTGGTGGTCCTGGAGGAAGTGGTGGTTGCGGCGGGTTGTATGTCGGTTGCGGTATAAACGGATTTTTGTTCATGACAGAATCCTGCGGCTGCCGTCGTCGCCGTCGTGGTCGCCGATGAACAGCTTGTCGTGGTCGCTCGTGCGCGTGATCGCTACAGTCAACAATGAAAATGCAACGAACACATTTATGCTTATGTCAGCTCCCATGATACCTTGCAACGGCACGATGACGTCCAGCATAAAACCTTGTGCGAGAAAAATAAAATTGCAACATTACACCGTGAAAACAAATAAAGTGGGAATACAGTGATTATTCGATTAAGGTGGAAACAATGAGTCCAAACCCCCCGTTGACGTGATCCTACTTCACGTTCTGTCCTGACTCGCACCGGTAGAGGCCCCTGAAGTGCCCGCGATGGGACCACCGATCTCGGTAGGCGGGCTTGAGTGAAGTCTATCGTAACGTTCACGCTGCAAATAATAAGCGATACGTGCATGTTCCGAATGTAGCCCACATACATCATGATCATTCTTATCCTTAGCGACTTGGTCGACGTGTCTTCGTGCAGTTGAGAGGCGTTGTTTGAGAGTCTCTAACTGCTGTTGCTCGGTCTAGGAAATGTAAGCGTCGAAAAAAGGTCTAAAGTGAAGATAATATACACACATGAAGGCCCGCCTGCGCATTGTGAAGGTCTGCGACAGCTACATCATGTTTGCGAGTGATGGCATGGAGGGATTTAACGGTCTCCAGCTCCAGCTTTTCCAGCTTCTTGACGGATTTCTCTGCTTTTTCTACGGACTAAAAAATGTCGGCAATGGAAATAGTCAAGGAATTGAAGGTCTTGCCTTGGAGGTTTTGGCTTCCAATTTCTCCTGCTTGTGCATGTGTTTGAAGGCTGACTGCAATATCTTTTCCTCAGATTTGGCCTCCATCGAGAGTTCCTTCTCAAGCTTCTTGATAGACTGGGGATCTGCATGGAGCTCTGTAGGTGCGGACATGTTTGTTGGAGAAGATGAAGTTCAGAAACAAACGCAACCTACTGTGATTAGCCCCTGTCTGAGGCAGGTTCGGATGGACGGATATGCCAAATTGATTTTCACGTGGCATGACAACGAGAAATCTCGACGGCGATCTTCGCAGAGAACGAGAACGTTGATATTTATTTTGCCATCCGTCTGCCCCACTGCAGTGCTGCGCAGTGCGCACGAGGTCATCGTTGATTAATTCTGTTCGCTTCCCTGGAGGAAGCCTGAGTGGAGCTAACAGGATATCTCCTCTCTATATCTTCTAAGCACTGCTCGTGGCAACCCCCCGAATCCGACACTTTCACTCACCTTTTTCTCCTAAAATCTCTAGTTCAGGTTAACTGATTCTTGCATCAACGCGCAGCTAGGAAAGCAATCTATCTATCGGCAATTGCAGCCGATTGCCCTGTGACGTGAAGCCGCCAATTTATATATGGAGCACGATGAAGGACACACTCCGTCCTCCCCCTTCATTTGCGCCTCGCGACCCGTTGTTCGCCTCTGACGACATCAGCGAGGAGGACCATTTTATCAACTCCACACCTTCATCCCTTTACCAACACGATCCAAGCACCTCCCAGCTGGTGCTGGAACGTTATCCATCACAAGAATCAGCGTACCCCTCCCAGGTCAATCTCATGAGCAACTACGAAAATGATGTCTATAGGCAACCGCAAAGCAGACAGGAAAGTGGGGACTCGCATCCATGTGAGGCTAGCGCTACGCAGACAGGAACTCAGAAGCCATCTGTCCACTACCACCAGGATGTAAATTCATCGCCCGCTACCGGAAGTTACTTCGGATTTCCCAAAACGGACTCACGTCAATCTTCGGATGATGAAGATGAGGAAGACGAGTTCGATTGGAGTGGTGACGAGGATCTCGATAATGAGGAAGCCAAGTTCGAGAAGCAAATGGGTGTAAAAATTAAATCTCGCGGCTGGGGCATTATCAGGTGAGTAGGTTTGCCAAGGATGTATACAGTCTCCGACCAACGAGAACATTATAGGCTAGTTACTTTGCTCTTCTCCTCACTAATCGGGTCTGTCTTCCTCGCGGCAGTCTTAGTAACCCCCGCTCTCATTGTCCATTTCTTCTGGTACAAGCCACATCCAACGGACCACAGACACTTTGTCGACATCAATATCGAGGCTTGGCTCTTCTGGGCAGCAGCCAATGTCGTCATTTCTTGGGGTCTCGCAATGATCATCGACATTGTACCTGCTATCATACGTGTGGCGATTGCACTCACATGGGGCCATGTCTCAGAGAACGTTAGATCGAAGCTCGAGTTGTATGCCTCGATCAAGGATACTGTCAAACCTTTATTCTATGCCGCAAGCGCCTGGCTCAGCTGGAACATTCTGTTTCAGAATATCTTTGGGTTGAATGACTCGACTAATATCCAGAATTATGCTCCTTACACGGACCGTGTAAGCATCATTCCGTCATTCTTCATGTTCTGATGCTAACTGGTCTTCCTCAGGTCGCCCAAGGAATTGAATTTTTGTTCTTCTTTACCCTTGTGATATGCATTCAAAGGATGCTCTCGCATGCTATTGGTGAGGTTGTCTGATCCGTGTCGATGTCATAAGTCTCATTGCTCCCAGCCTTCGCATTCCATAGGACTGCGTATAAGGAACGTCTGGACGAAGTTAAGAAAGCTCTTCAAGTCATAGAAACGCTTCGCAACTACAAGCCTAAATCATCTACCCGTCACAAGTCCAATGGTTCCCAAACAATGTTTGCGACCTTCACTGGGTTCAAGCCGTTCAGCGACAAAGAGCATTACAATATCCTCAGTAGCAGACTGCGCTCCGAGAGCTCCGCACCGAGCGAAGGTGACGATGCGGACATGGAGGACGGGGGAAAGCTGAAGAAGAAAAAGGGAAAGGGTAAGAGCAAACATAAGCAGCGCGAGCCGACCAACTTGGTAGTTTCGGAAGATCTAGAGTCTTATGGCACCACGCCAGAACAAACTGGCTCTGTGGCAACAACGGCTACCCACTCCCCAGTCGATAAGCATACCACTCACAAATACCCTCCTACCCCCCAGCGTTCTGTTGACCCACACGCTGAAGATCCGACTATCGTCGTTCAAGCAGCGAAGGCGTTTAAAACTGCTGTACTGCACGATGCCCGGAATATCAAGGGTGCCACTGGTGGGCTTGAAGCGCTGGTCTTCAGCGTGAGCTCAACACACGAGGCGAAGGTAGGAGCATTTAGGTATGCGTTACGCGTATGCTGAAACTAACTTGGATGGCAGCGTCTTGCCAGGGCGATATACAGGACCTTCAGAAATCGCCGACATACCTACCTCGAGCCCGAAGACTTCTACCCCGCATTCGCTACGCAGGAGGAAGCCAAAGACGCTTTCCGCACTTTCGACCAAGACAACAACGGTGACATATCGCGGTCTGAGATTAAGTCGTCGCTGCTTCGCGTGTACAAGGAACGTCGGTTCCTGTCACGCAGTATGCGTGATGTTGGCGCTGCACTCAAGACTCTCGATCAGATTTTGCTCCTCTTCGCTCTCATCATCTTGTTCTTCATCTCGTTGAGCATTTTCGGTGTCAATGTGACGCAGTCCTTGACGAGCGTGTATTCCCTTGGTCTCGCGGCCAGCTTCATCTTCAAGAACTCAGCGAGCAATGTCTTCGATGCAATCGTGTTCTTGTTTGTAACTCAGTGAGTCGTGTGGCTGTATGCGCTTGAGCATCAGGATGACCCCCTCGTTTATAGTCCCTTTGATACTGGTGACCGATGCTTCATAGATAGTAAGCCGCTGAATCACTGACTGGGCGTTGCTAATGTTGTTTTGGTTTTCAGACGAGAATCTAGTTGTCAAGAAGATGGGCTTGTTTGCGGTATGTGTGTTTCCCTGGAAGGGATGCACAGCTCCTGATACTCTCTTTATCAGACGGTTTTTGCTCGATCAGATGGTACCGAAACGTATTACTTCAACAGTCAACTGTTCGCGAAGTTCATGTACGTATCCGAGCGTTCTTGTGCACCACATGATGTCTGACAATGGCTGTAGCACGAACGTCCGCCGTAGTGATGTACGAACCTAATGCACCTTCTCTGAATGTGTTGTACTGATTCCACTGGCAGAAAATGGCGGAATCTTGTACTATCCAAGTTGCATGGCGCACGCCACAAACAAAGCTGGACGCGCTTGAGGAAAAGCTGAACAAATGGCTTTCCACTGAGGAGAACAGGTGGTTCCAGCCGACCACATCGGTCGTGTTGCAAAACATCAGTTACCAACGCTATCTGGAGTGTACGATTGGTATCTCGCACAACTCGTATGTTTGTTTTATTCATATACAAAAGAAACACAGAAGCTGATCATGTTCTCATGCAGAACATGGCAGTAAGTCACATAGAATGTGGGTTGAGTATGTTTTAGTTGACACCTTCCTGTAGAGACTGGGGCCTCCGAAATGCGCGCAGGACCGCCTTCCATGCAGCAGTTCAATACTACTGCCAGGAGTTAGGAATCACAGCATATGAGGCACCTATACCCATTGCATATGGAGACGCTAACACGCAACGATACGACATTCCCCAAGAACCAATACTACCCAACCCCTTTTCAGATATTCGGTCTCCTGTCACCCAACGTTCCCCAGATGCAGCTCCGAAGAGCTTCCTTGGTTTCACACCTCCGAGGGATCAAGGTACTCGTTTGACACGTTCACACACCCGTGTGCGCAAAGGCAAGAGTCGCAAAGCAGCTGTGCGGGGAGTGGGTGCGGACGGTGGAAATGGCTGAGCGCGCATCTCGACCATGCAAGACGACTTGTTTGGACACTAAGTACTAAACTTAAGTAAGCGTATACCCGACCCTAGAATCTCGTAGAGTAACTCTGTCAAGGGGTGGGACTCTGAACCAGATTGTCTGTGTTGTGGTGTAATTTAGATCTAGATCATTTTCTCCTTTTTAGTGACTTTGATGGTGAGGCGACCACACAAGTTGTCTGACATTGTCCAACAGTTCGTGACGTTAAACACTCGTCGATCGCGATGTTAAACATTTTTAATTTGATCTGTCTGACCCTCTTGGATGGCGCTGGCAGGTCCGTGTCCCTCTTGCGGTGCAGGCTCGAAAGAGCTGCCAGCAACATTTTTTTCTGTCCATACCTGCCCTTGCTCAATATTCACGACTGATACACTTAGGAATTTATAGGGTGCATATATGCATGATTTCGACCACTTTGAACACTTGCAGCAGTGATAGTGGATCGCGTTGGCCAGCTAGTACAGAAAAACGAGACGTAAGTCTCTTTCTTTGTATGACACCGTTATGAGCCGGAGGCTACAAAATTGAGTGTTTGTCAATTCTAAACTGATTCTAAACTCCCTCAGTTTTCGATGAATATCTGTGTCAGAAACACAGTTCAGTAGGTCGCTGATGGGTATCATGTATTGACCTACGCGGTGGTGGGTACTGTTTGTTTGCTTATGATCAACTGCTTTTCCCTATAATTCAACCGCTTTCCCGACCGCATTCATGCTGTATTATTTTCTAGGGATTATACAATGTGCCCAGATGTGGTGTCGAAGACCATATCTCTTTCGGGCACCCATACGAGGATAATCAATTATGCCGGTACCTCTCTTCGCTTCCTTTTCACTTGAGTCACGCCGTTCACTGCGTTCTCTTGTGACGGATGGCGCTGCTGCCTCGTGAATATTTTCCATCAGCCTCTGGGCTTACCATCACGAAACAAACAGCGCCGAGGGCTACAAAACTAAACCCGAAATCTATGAGAACAACGGATGGAGGGTGCGTCAACAAAATCATCATAAATCAGTGATGAGGTAGGAGGAAACTGAAGTTACATATGATCGGTTTTGAGGCGTTCTTCTATTTATTTGCGCTCATCGAGTGGCTCAGGAGCAGCAGCGTCCGGCAGAATGACGAACTTTGAACATCATCGACCCCCTCTTCCTTCTGAACAATCTTCAAGGACATGTACACGCACTTCGACGTCGGCTGAATACACCGGTTTGCTTGTACATTCATGCAAAAACGTACACAACATGAGTATATATTTTATGAATGCCACAATAATTTTAATCAAGAGTCGAGGCTGGAGGGAAATTTGTACAGAAGGATATTGATCAACTTCGCAACGAACTGCATAGCGCGGGATCAACCACTGCGCCAACGCCAAAGCAGAAATATGACTCACTGTCGCGGCTTGCTCAGTTTGTCAAGCTCGTCGGGAGATGATTAATGGCAGTACTTGATCTTGGCAAATATCTATTGGTACAAGGCGCAAAGGGTGAGCCAAGGGGTTGAATCCCGGATGCAAAGTGAACGACTAATACTTACACCCGTCTTGCAAGTAAGGCCTGAGCAGCATTCGTCGTTGGACGCGCTGCTAGAGCCGCAAACACCGTTTTCAGTCGCGCATGCACTAACAAACATAGATGTTGTCAAAGCAGCAACGACAGCGATGAGGAATGAGAAACGCATGGTTTGTGATAGGTTATATGGGATGCGTCAAGGGGGATCTCGAATGGTAGCTTTGATATTAGCAGTAGGAAGACTGCTTGCTTTTATGTCCTAGAGATGGTGTTTGTGGAAGTATTCGGCAGTTCTATCAGAATGGTTGGACCTGGCGGACTTCAGGGAGAGAGTATAGGCAGAACTTGGGCAAAACCATGGGATCGGCGGATAAACAGAACATTATGAACTGTAAAAGTATGAACTTTGACACAACCTCTGGTAAGTATTGGTTCAGAGATGGCACAATGCCAAGAAGATCGTCAAACCTAGTCCGCGTGTTAATCATGGTTGAGTGTACACAGGTGCAGAATGCATAGTTGGAATCTGAGACCTAGCATTTTCGCGGAATATGGTCCAGGAAAGTCCTGGCGACGGATATAGAGGCCACCGGACGTGTCGCATAGAACCAGTACTATGTAATTCCATCTGCTTCGGACCTGCACATAGCCAGATCCCAAGAAGCGCTAGACTCGTCCTTTGGGTCGCGGCACGATATACACTTGGAACTGGGGAGAGGGCATCGATATTTCTCCGAACTACCACCTGAACTGAATACTGTTTTAATTCGACCGTGCGCGTCGGCAATGGAAAAGCGGAAGAGCGGTACTTACTCGACGGTTATCTTTATGTACTAATTCCTGCTGGCATTAGGGAACTCTTTGTTCCAAATTTTTCATACAGGCAGCTGTGCTGTGGTGGTGTCACAGAATATCCTGGGGCCCGCGGGGGACAGTAGTTTCAACGACCGCCGAGCTGAAGAGTGGGGTCTCAAATCATGATTCACAATGATCTATATATGGTCATTTGCTTATTGGTCAATCAAAACATATCGCTTGCAACTGCGAGCTGAGCTCACATGAGGATATCCTTAGGTCTTCTATCAATTCAACGCACACACTATTATCCCGGTCCGTGTGTTTGATCAGCTAGGGCCAGGTAAAAATGCCGCGGTTGTCAATGTGACGCGCGGTACAGGTACCACAAAACGTAGGCGAGACCAGAAATAATAACTCCGATTAGGACGCGGAGCACGAAGGTCAGCCCCTAGTTGAAATTTGGACTGGGAGGTGCAGGTTCGAAAAGCTGTTGACAACTTGTTAACAGGCTTTCGAACCGATGACAACAAATTTTTTCCTGTTGTCACACCTTCAATGCGGGGCTCAAGTTGAACCTTCACTAGCACTCCTGGCCCGGGGTAGAAATTAATTTAAACAATTGTTTTTATTAGTTGATTTTATAAATATTAAGTACTTAAAAAAAAAATTAAGCGTAAAGAAACATTAAAATTTAATTAATTCTTGAAAGCCCATCTCAGGAGCTCACAGTTAAGCTTTGGTTAGCGCATGTATTCAGAACCAGTTCCTCTTTGATGGTGCAGGTTTGATACCTTAGTCAATGATACCTGCCAGTGGACATTCACGTTCCTCGTAGGCCCATCTTGACCAGTCATAGCCAAGTTGTCACCACAACAGATTCAAAATTTGTTTTCCTTGGAACTCAAGCCTGTTCAAAGCAGATGGCTGATTGACTGCAGAGGAATGCGTGTCCCTTCAGTCTATGCCGCATGCGAGGATACGAAAACCATACATTTCCAACTTCCATGATAGTAAGTAACATATGTACATGTCACCCTAGTAGGTAGTTGAGGATCGGTGCTGCGCACCGCTACATGATCATTTGTAAACCCTAACCACGATGTGAATCCCGATATGGAGCGTGACATCCGATATCCGACGCTTGACCTTGAACGCGTCACCTACAAACGACCGCGTAAAGCACCCAATATCAATTCACTTCGTCTACCCCCATCATGGTACGTGCAGAGCCTATGCTCTCCGGGATCTCATTGTTAAAAGTTTCCCTAGTTTCGGAACACATATGACTCTGATAACACTGTCTTCTCGCCACAAGGTCGTCTTCACCAGGTCGAGTATGCACTCGAAGCCGTGAAGCAGGGATCGGCGGCAGTGGGCTTGCGATCGAAGACCCATGCGATCCTTCTTGCTCTTAAGGTCAGTGGATGGTAATTTCTTCACGTAAACTCTTCATGAAGAGCCCATACAGCGTTCCACCGGAGAACTCGCTTCGTACCAGCAAAAGATGTTCCGCATAGATGATCACGTCGGCATTGCCATTGCTGGTCTTACCTCAGACGCACGAGTGCTCAGGTGCTTATTGAGTTATATGGTGTAAAGCATGCATTCTGACTTGACTGCAGCAACTTTATGCGACAGCAAGCAATGGGAGAACGTATGATGTTTAACAGACCTATGCCAGTAAATCGCCTCGTCTCCTCTATCGCTGACAGTACGTACTTGAGAGGCTCGTGTACGTGTGATGCTCATTTTATTGTTTACAGAGGCACAAGTGAACACGCAGGAGTATGGTCGCAGACCATACGGTGTTGGTTTCCTCGTCATTGGTCAAGATCAATCAGGACCCCATCTTTTCGAATTCTCACCATCAGGCAACTCGTATGAGTATTACGCTATGTCAATCGGCGCTCGCAGCCAGAGCGCAAAAACCTACCTGGAGAAGCACTATGAAAGTTTCGCAGATTGTATGTGCCGTGTCCATTTCACACCCTGTTCATGCAATTGAAGTTGTTGCAGGCGACCTTGAGGACCTCATTCGGCACGGTCTCCATGCCCTCCGCGAGACCCTCCAACAAGACAAGGAGCTTAATGTGAATAACACGTCGGTAGGCATCATCGGACCCGAGGGTCAACATGAAAAGCCCATTTCGCCGCCGGGCAGCTTCCGGATCTTAGAGGGTGATAAAGTAGAAGTATACCTTCAGAGTATGGAGAAGAAGGAAGAAGCAGCCGCACCCGCACCTGCACCCGTACCTGATGCAGCACCAGCGTCCACTGCTGATGAGGATGTACAGATGTCAGGATAGATATAATAACAGCCACCTTTCTATTTGGTCAATCACAAAAGCCGAGGTTCGAAAGACCCAACGATTGCGAACGAGATACGGAAGAGATGCAGAACATGAAATAATAATAAGCGAGTGGTGATGTGTAGCTCTAAAATGTCAGGTCAAGTTTGTCTTACAGGCCAGAGCTCTTTGCCTGCATCCCAGCTTTCCTCCATATTTGTGCAGCTAAGCCTGGCCTGCGCAACGACACTAGTAAATGCACCATCGTGCTCAGGAGAGCAATGCTTCCCGCCTGATGAGCAGCTGCAATGGGTACAGGGACGAGGTACAATAATGTTGCAAGACCCAGAAGAACCTGAACATTTGCCATGGCAAAGGCTGCCGTGACAGATGTGCGAGCTAATGGCGGTAACAGCGCACGTATGGCGGGTCGCCGGCTGTAAGCGAAGAGCAAACAAGTGCTGAGATACGTAGTCATTGCCTTCAATCGAACACTTAGAAGAAGAATGCGATATATGAAAGAACGAAACGTACCAGCACTCGATGATCAAACTGAACGGTAGTGGGATTTTCGAAGATATTTCGCCACCAGATGTCAGATCCATCAACATTCTTAGCATAGGCGGATGAGAATAATTCATCCATAGGAGGTGCAAGTCGACCGCCCATGAGCGGAAATTCGTTGTATAGAAGACCGGCGTCCAGCCCAGCAACAAATGCGCCTGCGCATAGACTTTAATCATACTGAAGCGAAAGCCGAGATAAACGAACCTGATAACGCAGTCAAGAAGACTAGTGCAGTCAGCCCTTTGGAAAGTCGAGAAAACCTCTTCACAATAGGATTTGAAAGCACGTTCTGCCAATTCATAGTGCTCGATCCGCTCCACGAACCACCTCTAGCGTATCTCCAATCTTTAATCGCCGCTAGTCCGGTTCCGAGCATCCCTGCGTACAGCACCACAGCCGTTCCAAGATGAGCTGCCAAGCGGTACTGAGAGACGCGGGGTACTGCGCCCGGCGTGTCCATAATGGAGTCTTCCAAGCCCGATTTCACCATATACCATCCAAGAAAACCCTGTACACCGATGAGCAGTGCCATGCCCGTCAATTGGGTAGGCATCGAGGTAGTGAGCTTCTTCCGAAGACCAAAGTAAACCAGAGGGACCACAAATGTAATACCAATAAGGCGCCCAAGTACACGGTGACCCCATTCCATGTAGAAAATGTTCTTGAAATCATCGAGGGTAATGGAGTGATTGAGGCTGTGGTACGTTCATGAGATGACCCAAGGAGCAAACATGGATAGGACGCTCACAGTTTAAATTCAGGGGTAGCCTTGTACTTTTCGAATTCGGTGTTCCAGTCCTCCACATTCATAGGTGGAATGATGCCCGTGATGGGCTTCCATTCTGTGATGCTCAATCCTGATTCGGTGAGACGCGTTACTCCTCCAACAACGATCACCGCAAAAACCATCGCCGATGAGAACAAGAGCCAACGCCCGACCGCTGGTGGAGCGAGCACAGGTAATTGTGATGTCTGTGCAACAGCATGAAACGCGTTCGCAGAGAAGAATCGAGGCTCAAGGGAATGAAGGACGGCTGGCTTCCGCTGCGCAACGACTGAGTAGCATCTCCGGTAGAGCCATGAGTAACGGAGAGGTGAACTTGTGACTTCAGAAGCAAGGCATGACTTGGGCACTATTCTTCTGGAGATGTTGACTGGAGCAGTCGAGAATGTGCACGCCCGTAAACCGAGATGAGCTCTTGGACGCAACAAAGCGTTTACGAAGCTCAGCTGCATATGAGGTTCCCTCAAGCCTAACACTCGGACTGATCAATCCGGGTATTCAATGTATGTGGTACTTGCCAGAAATTAGAATTTGCAACTCGAACGAATACGTCGAAAATGTGCAGATTGACGTTGTGCACAGCCACAACATGCTCACCGTGTAGTACCTTCCTTCCACACCACCGCCATGTTCACCTTAAGGAGGGGACTGGCAGCATCACGAGGCCTCCGGGGGTTTTCAACAAAGCCCCTTCTGATTCCGCCAGCCAACCTTTCTGAGGGAGAGAAACTAATATATGACAAATTGGCCGACAAATTTTTGCCAACTGAACTAGCCGTGCAGGACATCTCAGGTGGGACTCCTTTTGCCACTCATGAAGCTCACGATCAGATTGGTTGACCTATAATATTTCAGGAGGCTGTGGTGACTTCTATGCCATCAACATAGCAAGTGAGGCATTTAAAGGCCTTTCAACGTTGAACCAGCATCGACTTGTCACACGAGTACTGAAACAAGAAATTGAAGGAATTCATGGGTTGCAGGTCTGGCGTCGCTGTAATTTACCATGGAGGTTTACTGACACATGATCTGGTCCCCCAAGGTCAAGACTATCACACCGTCATCAGAATCATAGCTGGACAGTAGTTCTTCGGACACCAATTGCATACCCGATTGTCCAGTACATACGTATACAAGGTGTTGATGGCATTTTATTTCATTATAGCACTAGAACAACACACGGGACATCATTTCCGAGAACGATCGCTTCTAAGGTCACGCATGCTACACTGCTATGGAAGTCTCTGGGCATCTACGCCATCGGAGCGCTTCTTGTACCCATCTCTTGAGAAGCAACGGGGTATTGAAATTACTCCAGCCCAGAATAGTGGTAAAGCAGTCACTTGACAAGCCTCATGGCCGCTTTGATAGAGTCAGGAGCGAGATGGCTTCGCGATTGTATATTTCGCGATTTGGGTCGTCCATCACCTTGTTACGAACCTGTTATCTGATTCGAAAGCTAAAGAAAATTTCATACCTCTTCCCAAGCGAATTTCTTTTTTAACATTGTAAAAAATCGTTTGTCTGCCTATAGGGCAGTGCTAGTACGAACAAATCATCAAATTAAAGATCTTATGCTCACCTTACGTCTCTTTTTGTAACAGAACAAGATTTCTGTACTGCCACTGACGGCCATCTCTGATAAGGTCTGGACCAAAAGAGGAAAAGCAGGCTCGAAGTAAACACAATCTGCTGCGAGGATCAGTTCAGGAGGAGGCATGTCCGAGAGCAGCGTCTCTCCCCTTGCATGAAGTCAATGCTGCACAGGTTTTTACACAAGTCAAGATCATCTTACCAATTAAGTTCGCGTACAGAGACACAGGACTGCAGATTGTTCAACGTCACGTTTTGTTGCATGATATCCAGCATTGGGCTGAAAGAATTTTTACTTCACTGAGACAGCCGAAATAAGCGATAAGACATGTGGGGACGAACGCTTGATCGGTGATCCAGACTGTACCACCGAGTGCGCCTGCTACAAGACCAACCAGTCCCGTTCCACTCCCGAGTTCGACAATCTTCTTGCCATCAAGATATCCATTGCCTCGAAATGCGATGTAATTTGATAGGACCTGTACTGCATCAAATGCCTTGCTCTTGCATCCAGGAAAAAATGACACACCTCACCAGCTGGCCAAGCAATGCCACCACAGCCATGAGATGCATCAACCTTGAGTGATATTGACACAAGCGGAGAGCCCACAGGAAACGATAATTGGATCGTCTCGCCGAGGATAGATCGAGGCTGCGAAGGTACAACAGCAGCCTGAATGTCTTCGTGATCTCGAGCGAAGTCGCTGGCATCTGTCCTGAGATGTCGCAAGGGATCTAACATGTCGAGAGCCTCGTCTAGAGCAATCTCGTTTAAATTTGGCGCCACTAGTTCAGGTGGATTGTCGAAAAGCAGTGATGTGGGTTCGATCATAGCTGTCCGATATGATACGGCAAGTTTGGGAATATGATTCGACCGAGAATAAGCTTGACTATGGTGAACCTGATAGAGTCAAGCTAGTCTCCCCTAATCAGATCATGATAATTAAAAGGAAGATAAGTCCGAGTCGTTCGTGACAAGTGAACTGTCCAAATTCAGCTTCCGGCGGTCCTGCTGTTTTTGGAAAACTCTGAATGATTGCTTTCCCTCTCCTTCCAACACCAAGACTACTATCCGCTAAACATGGAGCTGAATACGGGACCACCGAGGAGCACCGTCCTGGCAGCTGACGATAAACAACTTTTTTGAGCTCCACAAAGTACAAAGTTCATCAGCTCGCCGTTCACTTTGGTGACCGGACCCACGGGAACAGACCAAAGTTAGCAATGTACACACACGACCGTCATCAAGGAACCAGTACTAGTTTGATTGGCATCAGAGCACGAAGCCATATGCGATTATAATCCAAGTCGGTGTTAAGTCACTGCCGCAGCTAGCTACAATTCGGGAGTCACATCGGCAAGATGCGTTTCAACTTTCCTGGGTGCGAAGGATCGGCTTGGCCGAAACGATATTGATGCTCACGACCTCATTTGATAGAGCTATATAGCGCTCCAATTCTCTTTGTTCCCCGCATCCATCATATCTGCAGAGATGCAGTCATCCCGTACAGACGATCTCTCCCCTCTCCCCGTATTCTCTCGGCGGAAGACCTCTAGGTTGCGGGGACCGCGCCCATGCAGCTGGCTTCAAACGGGCATAATAAGAGAAGAAAATGAAGGGAGCTGGTCATGGACACGTCGGCAGGCCGACCTGTCCAGAACATCAACACTATGCTCCCGCACATCTTGCGACTCTTCTTCATCCAATCAGTCCAGTCTCACTTCCGAGTCCTCGTCCGGCTCATCGTCATATATTGACGAAACACAGAATTCGCCATTTGATCACCAGTCGTCGCGCAGACACAAACGTCGCCCTCAACGGCGAATACCATCGGGTCCTCGACCTCCATCTTCTCCACATTCTCCCAGTTCTCCCGTGCGACCTACACTTTCTGTTAATACATCACTGTTACCCCCCGTTACCCTTGAGCAGCCTGTCCTTCCGCTGCCCCTGGCGGAGTTCCCACATATAGCACCAACCGAACCTACGACTCCCGTACCTCAGTTACCTCCAGCGATTGTATATTCGCCCTCAGATATACTAGATTGGGACGCAATTTTTGAGGTGCTAGCTTTGGAAAGCAATCCATAGTTTGGGCTTGGAGGTACGAGTACACCAGCAGCATTCCAACCACAGGCAAACAGACTGATTGCTTCATTGGATAGCAGTTTAGACCGCGAGTTTCTCGCACACATTCACATAGCATACTCACGCATTTGTGGTCATGGACACTCCATTTTATGATCTCATGATTTAGTTTCTCTCGCAATCTAATAGGCGGTTTGTGGCGCTCATTTAGCTACATCTTTCTTCCACGTTCCTTTTTAGTTGAACGTGGTCGATAAAATACTGTATATTATTACAATGAAGGGTATTATGAAAAGGAATGATTTTTAAGATCTTTCTATTTGGATTGCCTAGCTACCAACTGCCTACGGGAGACCAAATAACACGATACCATAGGGATTCAGGCCTATTCAATATTCAGGTCCTGAACCAACTATAGTCTAGGGCTCGGGAATATTTAGGTCACAAGATTAGGCCTAGGCAACGAAATTGAGAAAGAAAACAATGTAGCGAATCACCTTTCTTTATCAGATGCATAGGGAAAGTCAAGTGAAATTGCACACTGCTTCCCAGATTCCAGATAATTATATAAATACAGGAAGATGATGGACAGTCTGTGTACATGGGAGACTGAAGTATTACCAAGCCCCACAGGAGGAACAGGGTAAGGATATCATTGACAAGACGTCCATAGATACATAGTAGCAAGTACATAGAGCACCACACCAGCCATGTATAAAACTAGACTGCAGGGATGGTCAGCCAGACGATCGTTGGAAGCTCCAACGTAACCGTAGCTGTCCTGCGGCAGGAAGTATCATCGTGTGAAGGGCGACAGCGGCTCAATATCACGGTGTACACAGACCTCCAGGCTTCCACAGCAATGTCGTTCCTAATAAACCACTGTGTTTATTGAAGCGGTCTTTAGCACGGTCCAGAGGTGTATTGATTCGGAGTCTGTAACCGGAACTGCTTTGTACCTATAGCCTTTGTGACATCAGCACATATTATTGAACATCACAAAGACTGCTTACTGAAGATATGTCAGCCTGTGTTATTCTTGATAATACGAATACGACTGCGGTGGATGGGAGACCAACGGCAACACATCGAATAGCATATCCTGATGTGCGAACCTCATCTGAAACGTCGAGTGTGTACTCACATGCATGTCACAAACAATGACACGACTGCCATCCTAAGCGTTGGCGGCGTGTGGGTAGTTATAACGTGCGAGAAACGAGTGCCCCAGAGGTTAGATTCGTTGAATGTGACCAGGAGTTGGCAGGAAAGAAGGCACGACTGGCTTCCTTCTATTTATGAATATGCTTAGGGGACTCCCGGAGTAGGGCCGCAGCCTCTCGCAAGTTGCACTGAGCTCGTGTACTTGGTGGAGCCCATCCTTGTTGCACCAGCTCAGTTGAGCCAGGCTGGCATGCTGCTGCTTGTTTGCCTCAGGACATTCGAACTTCAAATTATGGCAATGCATTTAAATGTCACAAGTTAGCTATATCCGTGACGCGTGACATGTTTGACCTTCTTTCAAGCTCAAGCTAAGGCTTGACTACGAGAGACTAGGTACGTTTGACCTAGTCCTCCTGGCTTTGAGAAAGCTTTGTTTTATTTCACAAAACGCAGAATCTTGCCTAAACTTTTACCTCGCCGAACTCATCGTCCACCTGTCAAATGCCAGGTTGGTGCTGGCCAGGAGTCTCCTGGCACCAACCTGGCATTTGACAGCGCATCTATCGATAAATCGTTTCGCATAGGAGCAACCACCATCAGCACGTTTTCCTCCAGGCTTGTTGGAGACAGTCAGCTCTGAATTTTCACTGAAGACGATGTTTCGGCCGTAACCTGATAACTTCACGCGGACCGGATCACAGCGACTCCCGCCAAGAGCCTCGAGGCATCCCTTTGAGGCTCTCGGACATTCCTGACACCGATCACGATGGAGAAAAGGAGTCATATTGGATCCCCATCGACATGTGATACCTTGGCTTTTTTGGAATTTACCGCGTCTTGAACTTTAGCATGCTTTTCCATCTACTCCGAGAACGGAAGTGGTGTACTAGGTTGATACGGGGGGAGCGGGATGTCTTCCAGATGCACACACGTGTGATCTCCAATCGATAAGATCTATGTGCGGCATTCTAACGTAAAGTTTGGTTCAAATAAGTTGACAGCCGATTGAATCCTTATCTACCCAATTTGTGGGGCCGGAAGGACATCCAAGGTCTTTTTTTTTTTTTGCCAAACGGTGAGTTCTCGCATTGCCAATCTCGTCGAACCCAGTGATCCTTCTGGGCGCCACCCTTCAAACCATTCTGGTCATTAGAATGGGTCTACCTTGGTTTTGGGCGTCAGGTGAGCTGTCTGCTATCTAACATTGAATCTTTCAAATTGCTGCACAGATCGTCCTCGACCTAGGCAAGATAACTAGGTGCAAGCGTTGCGAGAAGAAATTCCATGGTTGAAGGATTTCTGGACAAGCCCGATCCAGGATAGTCTCTCCTTACGGCGTGTCAGCAGGGATCCAGATACTTCAATTTGGAACAATGACTGATGTTCTATCCCTCTAGACCTTTATGCCTCATTCTTCACCATATTTCGTGTTCCACGCCATATTTCTGGCGACATTGCAGCAGCAAACTTACTTACTGTCCGCAACTTCTTGATATCAACCCCACCAAACAGCCTCTCCCTATATCACAGATTTTAGTACCTGATTGTAATCCCAACACAACCGACAACACCTAAAGCACAATCATGGTTTACTATGCATACGTACAGGATGTACGTTCAAGATCCATACTTCGATGACTGCGATATGTAATTTTTCTAGATCAACGGCCATTGGTCCTCGCGATACGTGGTCGTCTTCGCCAGCCGTGCAGTTGCCGATGAATGGTGGCGTTGCGTGTCCACTTCCGCCAATACGATCTTCAAGTATTCGGACAGTATCAGGCGAATTACCCCGCAGTTCTTCACCCACGACGTTGCCAAAGCCAGCGCCGCCCTCTCTACCTTTGAGGACCAGGTTGCGTCTCGTTTCAGTGGCAAAATGTTTTTCACGCCGCTGCCAGAGTCCGCATTGAGCGTCATTCCGATTCTAGATTTCGCGGATCATGTCAGCGGGAACTCGTGAGTTATTTTATTCAAGATATTTCATATCTAGTTAATAGCGAGCATGGTAAAGTTTTTTCATCCGCTCCAAAGTCTCTCCTAGCGAGTACTGGTACTGTCCTGGATCGTCGACCGGCAACGTCACACCTAACTCCAAAGTCTATGTGTCGCGTACTGAGCGGACCCGCTTCCGCGTCCAACTCATCAGCGAGCGCAAGGACACTACAGGAACCATCATGATTGGCTCTGACGAGATCGCTATCACCTTAACTTCTACCAACCTGTCCATCAGAATCTCCCGCAGCAGCCATTTGATCGTTTCGAAAAGCCCTGAGTCGGGGTTGAAGTTCAGTGACCTTGTGAACGGATTTGCGGTGGTGACTCCCTTATTGAACAATGAGGGTCAATCCGAGAACATAAAGGAACTCTTCAAGACGGATGACGGAGAAGAGTGGGAACTCGTTTGAACTGGTATCATTTGACGTTGACAAAGTACTTGCATATAACGCGAAGTTGACTTACACTGCTATAATAGAAGCTACGTCAATTTGTTCTGCGACCTCAAAAGCTTATCAGATGATATCAGACTCGTTCAGCAGGTGTGAACAGACCCGGATCTGACTCATCGAACGGAATTTGAGCAACTTGATTTCATGTGAAATGGACTCAGGCATCGATGCAGATGAGAAACTCATAACATGCTCAATTTACGTTGATTCGAGTCCGACGCGGTGCATTGAAGTGGTGGACGGACTGTTGATGGTGGCGCTGAGGTGAGTTCGAGAAGCAGCTGGGGTTGAGATTGACGATGGTGCCACAGACAGATATTTCGCGACTAATGGGCGTGCTATCTGCCGTTGAAATTCAGTGGCAGTTGCCAAACCAACCACTTATACAGCTTGGAGCACCACGAGCCATGGCTCAAAGGACTGGTGAATGGTAGTAACAAATTCTGGCTGTCAGCAGTAGAGTGCTAGTTACTCGCAACTTCAATATCATGCCGCTTTGGCATCTAGGTTGATGGCCAAGGTGACCACCACATCTGCGCTGATCATTCATCGGACGTGTCGTGCCGGGCCTGTTCTTCCTTTCGGGCGTCCAGGGCCGCGCTTAGGTACCTCAGATGTGGAAGCTGGTGGGAATGATGGCAAACTTGCCAATCAGTTCACAATGATCAGCAACAAGTGGTACCTGGATAGCTGGCGGACCTGAAGACAAAGACAGCAAAACTACGGTACGGTCTGATCGGCTCCAGTAGGTTGTCTAGCTTGCCTGTGCACTGGGTAATCACTACGCTGGCCCTACTCGCACAACCCACGACGTTATCAAGCGGCTGCATGCTGCGCGGATGATCGGTACGTATTTTCCTTGTCTATGTATGTCTAATTTTTTTCCGATTTCCTCCTAGAAATCATCGAAGACGTGCTCGTACGGCATCGCTCAACCAAAATTCCAGTCACTCAAACCCGAAGCCATGCTGTATCTTTTCAAGTTTCTTCTACTACCGGATTCCTCCTAAAGGATGAAGGCATCTCCGGATTTCGCGCCCCGCCTACTTGAGACTAGGCCACGACGCGTGACGCGTCCCATGCCACGGCAAAAGACAAAGAGCCTAAGTTGAGGCATCCTAAATTTGCTACTACTACGGATGACCTGGACCAGTTTCAATTCTGCCGATCTGATCATCTGAGTCTATTACTGTCTCCATGTAAAGCTACTATAATTATAAGGCTGTTGCAGTGGCCATATTTGTGGATTTTGTCCATCCTGTCTCAACTGCAAGTAGCTTCCGTTATTTTCGCGTTGATTCCGCCATCGATTCGTTTGTAAGATCAAGTCACAAAAGTTGAACTTGTACCAGGGGGTTGGGTGGACCGCGGCCGGGCCCAGCCGGACTGAGCCGTAATATTCAATTTCGCAATCTTTCTTGAACATTCCGAGACGTTCCGCTTTAGTTCCAACTAAACTGGTTGTCTACGCGGACCAGTCTTGCCTAAACCTTGAGCAGGGAATTTCAGGGAACGAGCCTACAACCAAGCTGAACCAGCCAAACCAGCCAATGCTACTCTTACCTTGAGAGATTGAAGAGCATAGCGTCGTACAGGATCCACCACCATCAATATGGACATGTGTTGGCCTCAAGGCTAGCTGGAGTCTGGAGACAGTTGGCTGGGAGGATCTTGAAGGTGCCTTCAGTGCTGTAACGTCATGGCTCCACGCGTATTGGATCACAAAGTCACCCCCATATTTCCATCTCAGCTTGTATCTTCGGTGGTGATCTGAGCTATCTCAGTATCTGCGCCCTCTTTTCGGCCATGCACGAGGCCAGGTACAATGGACTTTCGATGCCGCGGCCGGGCCTTTGTGTGTTCGACTACAACCTAGTTTGAATTGTACCATTCCAATCCGGACCACAGTTCCCATCTTCCCACCATCCTTGATGTGTCCTCGAGGCCACGGTGCACAAGCTTACGATAATACTTAAAGCCACCATCAGCAGTATAAAAGACTCTCCCGTTTTGTTTATTGAGACTTCCACTCCATCAGCGCTTGCTTCAGTATTGTCAAAATGGCATACTCCCCATACGACGCCTATGACGCCTACGATTCCTACGACTCCTACAACCGTCCTCGCAGAAATTCGCTTGGTGCATACAGAACAACCACCCCTGCTGGCAGCTATTCACCATATCATGATCACCGACTGGCCACGACGTACAGTGATCCAATGATGCACGGAGAGGTGCCACAACTTTTGCCTGTGTTCATCAGCATCTGCTAACGTTTCATTGTGAAAGCGCTACAATTCGTCATCCTACCCGGGGTACCCCAATCGCGGCCTGTACCGGACACCCAACCATAGCATGAATTATCTTCCGGGTTGTAAGTGGACTGTCTAGATAAACTCAGACTGGCTCTGACCCATACCAGCGTATGATGATATGGACTACTATAATGGCCTTGGAACGCCCGGTCTCTATCCACCTCTCGTGCAACCTATGGGAATGGGACCACGTCGGTCGTCATTAGTATCTTACCAGGCAATGCAGCCATCATTCGCAGACCCGTTCCGCAGAAATAGCCCACCCTCAATCAAATTCAAGCGTAAGGGTGCCTTCCGGGCCGGAATCAGCCTTGGTGAAGCACAAGCCAATGTTCGATTGGCCGGGTACGATTCGTACACCTTCAATGACCTCGGTGTTGACCATCGAGGCAAGGTCTACGTGAAGATCACGGTAAGTACAGCATGGGTATGTTCTCCAGCTAAAGCCTTAATTGACCATCTCAAAGTGGCCTGGATATTCAGCACTCAATTACGAGATACCTGTTGATGGTTATGGGGGTCTCGTTGACCTTCAGTCGTTGACGCGAAGAATCGGGCGTGCGGCTGCACATTACTTTCAGGTGAACTATTCAACGTCATTCACTCAATATTGAAGTTCCTTATGCACCGTATACATAGGCCAACATCATTTCCATACCATGGGATCGTATCGAGCTATCACAGATGGATCAAGTGAATATGGGCACATGGCTTCTCAAGATGACCACCAACTGAGCAATATCCTGTCCTGTGCGTAGCTTCGTCTGAAGCGAGAAACTTACAGCGTACTTTATTATATATCTTTCAAGTCCCCGGTAATCTATTCATACTGCAGCTACACTCGTCTGTTTGTCGATGCCTGGTGTATCCTCATCTCTGCGCCCTCTGAGCCCTGCTCTGTTGTACAAGAGATAAAAAAAAAACATGTGTGTATCATATTACGTCACGAATCTTACGAACTTTTACGACCCTATCGTTATGTATTGGAAGGACTATCAATGCCACCGAATGCAATGCGCTATGTTTGCAGTCACGGAAGTGCCGCTCGCCGCTTTTGCCTCTTGTTGGATTCTCGCTTATTACGAGGGGTGCTGCGTATACCAAGAGCACGTTTTACTTTGGTCATGAAGGGCAAATGGGTTTCCCTCTCCCTTCCCTATCACAAGATATGACAACAAGCGACGGAAATGAAGACACGTAGACTAACCATGGCACGAAGTTCTTGCTTCGCGTGCTTCCTGCCCTGTCTGGATGTCCTAGGATTGGAAAGCGCCGCTTCTGCAGAAGGGCCACGGGCATATTAAACTCGGTACATATCGGTAATTGCCTACATTATGACAAACTTACTGTATCCCCCAGCGACTCTGTTCTTGTCTCTACTAAAGAAACGAAATCTACGACCAGAAGATGTGCGTTCCCGTTCATCATGATGCACGTTTCTTCGGAAAGGATTCATTTTGATTTTACGCGATCAAAATACGGTCAAGCTTTGGTAGATGGGAGTGGGTTAATTATTGAGGGACTTTTGAATTGCAAGAGTTATGTACCATCCAGAAGCTCCATCGTAGGATGATGTGGCGTGGTATAGATAAGTGGAACCTGCATCATCATGTCCCTCGGTGAAGCTGTTCTTGCCCGTGGGGCTGAGGGCTGAAAAAAACCGTCATGATGATGAACCTGACATAGCCTGACAGTCATTTGGGGCCGATCTTACGGCATATTTGTGCTTGTTTGTAGAAGGAATGATCATATCAAACTATTTCTGATCGTCCACGCAGAAGAAACTAGAAGAAACCAGTACTGCGGCGATCTCTGCATGTTTTCAGATGAGGATACGGCCCTCATTCATGCAGTGCAGAAGCAGTATGCTTCCCTGAATCACAAGCTACCGAGAGGAACTTTCACGATTCTAGCTGCGATCGCCTTGACTTCGTCTGATCCTTTGTCAACTCAGCCAAAGATCATCGCATTAGCTACAGGATGCAAGTGCCTTCCAAAGGACAAGCTTCCCATGCAAGGCGAGGCTGTACACGATAGCCATGCAGAAGTTCTCGCTCGTCGCTGTGCTATCCGTTGGTTGATCGAAGAGATCGGTAGGGCATCTGATGGACCGCATTGGCATTCTGCATGGATATCCAAAACGACAGATGGGCGCTATCGTCTTAAAGACGGCGTCCACATGATCATGTACATATCAACACCCCCTTGTGAGAAATACCAGCACCTTGTATGTTTGCACGTGTCTCATTTCAACCGATCAATGTCAAGGTGGAGACGCTTCTATGCGGTTCCTTGCTGCTTTCCAGGATGAGGAAATGGCGGCGATTAAGGACTCCGCAGTGTTTTCTCCTTTGGCCCCAAACGCCCCCTCCAGAGGGCGCGATAATTACTCCCTTTTTGGAGTTCTCCGCACGAAGCCCGGGCGTGCGGACTCTCCTCAAACGTTGTCATTATCTTGCAGTGACAAAATAGCGCGATGGAACGCACTTGGGATACAGGGCGCTTTGGGCTCTGCTTTTTTTCACCCGATCTACTTGACAAAGATCATCATTGGCGAAGTCCCGCAAGATCTACATGACGTTGTAAAGTCGGATTGTGAACGAGCATTCTGGGGGCGTCTGCAAGATATTTATGGTATATATGTTGTTTGAATGTAAAGAAATAATGTACTTACAAACGTGTAATGCTTTACACAGGCCTTCCAGAGGGATATAAACTGAGTCGACCGGAAGTCCAGTTCACGTCGGTTGTGTTCGTCCATTCAAGGTCGGCACAAGAGCATTCTTCACCTGCTCAAAGATCGTGCAATGAATGTAGATATATGTTCATGTGTGCTTCCGCTGTCTTTCTCAATTGGGTTGTCCTTAGCTTTGACTTGGGTCGCGGACTCGCCATCACCGCAGGAGATACTGATAAACGGCCTCAAACGAGGCGTCCCTCCAAAACATCGCTACAAGATAATTTTCTGGTAAGGAGCTAATTAACTTCCGTCTGCAAGTTGTCTCATGCAATATTTGGACATTCGAAAGGCCCAGGCTCTCCAAAGTCTCTTTGTTTCAACTGTACAGACAGACGAGGAGCATACAGAACCTGCCTCCTGAAAGGTAAGAATCCAGGACAACAAGCGGGCTATCACTCACAGCTTGCTACGTAGTAAAACAATGACCTATTATCAAGTGAAGGAGAGCATGACCCAGTACCAGACTGCGAAAAATTGTTTGCTAGGGGGTGGTCGGCCTTTTTCGGGGTGGATTCGAAGTGGAGCTCGATGGGAGAACTTCGATTCTAGTAGTGACATCGGACAACGAAGGACTAACGTTACGGATTAGACGCCAGAAAGAAAGCAACGAAAGCGCATGTATGTAATTGTAGTATGTAGAACCTGTGATAGATAACTGGGGTATATATTAGGGAGCACAACGAATCGCAATATGTGGCGTTCCAAAGCGTTTCCGAAACACTGAGAAATACAGGAGAATTGGACAACCGTTGGCATTATGCCTATTGTTCCTTATCCTTGTCAGGAGAGTCGGCTTCCGAGAGCAGTTCGTCTAGGGAAGTAGCTGGCAACCTCTGAACCATTAGTAATGGCGAACTGGCACTCGATTCAACATCCGTAAATGTGGGGCTTGATCTGCCAGAGCGACTGCTGTTGGTGTTGTTGTTACTGCTATCTGCAAGCTCCTTTCGGAGTGCCTCCAATTCGCGCTCGAACCTTCGAGAGAGAAAAGTCAGATTCCTGTGCGAGAGACCCAGATCTGAGGATGCTTACTTGCGACCGAATACCTCGATATAGAAACCCCCACCGTTCCAGACGCTCACAGAGAATATCGAGATAAGGAATGCTCCACTCCACACAGGGCTATCATACAACAGAAAGACCGCAGGTAGTTCAGTCAGGAGAGAGTAGACTAAAGGAAAATTAGCATGGCTGAGCTGTCATCAAGTGTAACATCAAACTTCTACATACCGAGTTGCCCCGCCATGAAAGAGAATTCGCGGTACTGTGGAGGAACCATTGACAAAGCTCGCCCAATGGCACTACGCTTGTCATTCAGGAGGAAAGAAAACGACGTCGTTCGCTGGCCAGATGCAATCTTGCTTCGACGGTCTACTAGTACAAATTTCCAATACATCAACTGCCAGGAGAGATCTAGACGGCCAGTCATGTTAAGTCGCCAAGAACATCAACATGAAGCTTACATATAGCACCGCTCATAAGGAGAGCACGGACTGGATCGAGGTATGGGAGTGCCTTCAACGCGGGGAATCTGTCTTCTGCATTCGGATAGAAGTGCCTGTCCAAAGTGATGAATAGATCGTATAGAAGAAGATAAACTTTGACCGACCGGATCACCGTGAACGTAAACGGTGCATATATATGCACGAATAACGATGTGACTTTATCTGTGTCATGGAAAACAAGGCTGTTTCTCCACGTGATAACAGCACTAGCCAGCGAGCCATGTGATAAACAATAACAAGCCATGAATAGCACAGCGTTTGATGGCAAGAACCACAGGTAGATGCAGTTGAGGATGGTGACGTAGTAGCAGAGGTCGAAAAGGAAATAATGCCATGATCGCTTCTTGTATGTGTAAGCACGGAGAGGAAGGAGATATAAGCCCTGCACTGTGTATGATATATGGATCCATCTGCATACAGGACATCAGTCACTACCAAACGCGTGGAACTCTTGAGGGTGCGTACTGTGGAGCCAAGCCGAACAACAACGCCGACACGAGGAGGGACATGACGCCGAAGAAAAATGACAATTTGTCGCGAGTCCTCACCACCTTGGCGGAATGCCATGATTCCACTAGATTCTGCATGCGGCCCGAAATCTGTAATCGACGCGTTGAATTACAATGAATGCCACAAAGTCCGAACGCACCTTCAGCTTGAAGTTCTTGACCTCGCGGTCGAAATTCTCTGCCAGCAGATCGCCTGATTGCACGCGCTTTTTCAAAGCTTCCTCAGCCTTCAGCTTTAATCTGTCGCTGTGCTTTTGTATCTGCCGCTGGAGTAAGTCCAGCCGAGAGTCAAAGAATGTCTCCATGGTATCTATCGCAACATGCAGGTCAGGGTCTGGGGTGATTATGGCGAGAGGGTAAAAAAAACTTGCCTAGCAAGGTGAAAGCGCCTGTCTCGTCTCGTATGAAACGTTCGAAGGGTGCAGAAAAGTATGCTGTCCCCGTCGACGGGAACTCTGTCCTTAAAGTGGGCGACGGTGGCCTTGACACCATTGTGGAAGTTTGAGCTTTGAGTTTGAACAATGTGAACGCAAAGCAAGGTGTGGACGTCTGAAGCGCTTGCTTCAAGCTTTGAAGGCGGTGCGTCACCACACCGCGATAACTGGATGATTACGTCATCACAAGTATGTTTTGCCTCTCGCCGAGTCTCGACCTCTTTGGCTTCGACTTCCTAGAAGGAGCGGCTCTGGTCATTTGAGTTTACTGGTAGCGTAGTCAGCCAGTCCACTTCATTTATTGCTTATCCGCGTTTAGGCAACTCTCAATCTTATCCCGTCCAAATAAACAACTTAGTAGGATTTTGTGGACGAGCAAGTGTAGGCTGTCCAGCATATATAGCATTCAGGACACAATCATCACAGAGAACGTGGCGCAATGCTCTAAGTAGATTACAGCAATAGCTCACATCAACGAAAGGTCGCCAAACTTCTCCTTGTAACCTGGAATCATTGTTCAAGAGAAACAAAATATAAGATGAGACGATGAGCATACCTGGTACAGTCCATTTGCCTTTCTTGACCATGGTCTCTACGGCTTCCAGTATCCGTGGGTGGGCGTTGCCGACATCCTCCACCTAAGGAAACCAGAAAAAAATCAGACTAGATTCCAAAACCATGGAGAGAAGACGCACCGTCAAGTCCTCGAACGGACGAGCCTCTTCGATATTGGCAAGCGTTGCTTGCAACTCCTTGAGTTCCACGTCGATTTGAGCGGCGGTCGCTTTAGCATTCTCAACCTGCGTTTGGTCATAAAGACAATTGGTCACGGCACCATAACCTTAAGCGCATAGAGGTCGTACCGCTTTGGCCTCGAAGGTCTCGATGGCTTTGATGTGGGTGGTTACGTCGTAAGTAACAACCTTGAACTCTTTCAACAGCTTCTCGGCCTCGTCAACAATTGCCTTGTTCTTCAAGACGGAGCGGTAGTGTGCGAGGTCAATGGTGGTAGGTTGAGATCCATACTGCGACTGGATGCGTTGAGCGTCGCCGTGTCGTTTGCGGAATGCCTGCAGAGCGGCGATGGTATCTGCAAACGGAAAACATCTATCAGTTCAACTGGTGCGTTATACAAGTTGCAGTTCATGCCTTTTCCGAGCCCAAGTGTCGAGTAAATACGGGTAAAGTCCTGTCAGCGGGGAAACGAAGATGAGTGGTGGTGAGCACCACCGAGCACGAAAAAAGTAAGACTTACAACTGCAGCTACTGCTGCTGCTTTTGATGCCATGGCTTAGAGAAAGGCGGAAAATAACACGAGTAGCTGAGACACTAGAGGCACGCGTTGGCTACCCACAAATAATGCTGCAAAGAACGCGAGAGTAGACTTCAGCGAGCGGAGGTAAGGCCGGGAATTGCCGATCCCGACGTTCATTCCGACTCTCGACGAAAGGGTTGGAAGTTGGAACAGGCTCGAATTTGTACAACAACGCTAACGTTGTTCCATTTATTCATTTCTACATTCTCCTCGATATCTACTTTAATGTTGAAATGCTCTGCTTCCGAACATTGCTGCATTTAAAGTTATCCGGGAGACACTGTATCAACCCGATTTCGCAGGCAGACAATTCAAGCCTATCAATATTTGGCCCTCTCGTAACAAAAAGCTTGTGAAGTTGCAACTGTTACTAAAGCCTCAAACAATGCATATGTTCAGCTCACAATTTCTTTCATCCTTGAAGAAATGGTCAGTGTGAGACCCAAGAAGCACCAATTATACGCGGCCCGTTGAGATAAGATTGACTCTTCGCACCCGTACTGTTTCCCAATCACCTGACACCCTTATCTTGCTCCGCTACCTTATAAAAACAATACGTACGAATGACCTTCTCCTCGACCCTTTCCTCTGGAACTTGGGCACAGATCGAGGGTAGTGGAGCTCGTGTGACATCGAGAGCCTAGATCGAGCTTAGTGTTAGAGACGCTTATGTGAGTCAAGTAACGCCCTTCCCATCTTTGACTTATTTAGGACTTGAATGCTCAGCAAGCATGATTTTTATCGCTTCTGCTTTCGCTACTGGCAAAGTTGTCGTAGAGCAGTTTCGTGCTCTAGGACCACTGCCTACTATTCTCCTTGCCGCCGCGGCCATTGTTGTGACGTACAATTTCGTCCAGTCGAGAAAGAGTCGTGTGACATCCTCGAATGTTGCTCATACATCACCCGTCCCCGAGAAAGATAAGAAGGTGAACAAGAATAGGGAACTGGGCGGTATGATTTGACGATTCCGGTGTATGTGATGACGCTCACTTTAATAGAGTGGACCGCGGAAGAATTTCAATATCCCGAAATTGATCCGTGCCCCTTCCCACTGAAGGATGTGCGCCCAGTTCCTTACAGGCCATTCCGACGGGGTGAATACCAGTAAGTGCTCTGCCTGTTTCTTTATTTGCCCAAAGGGTGGCGTACGGGTCCGCGTGCTGGTGTGCGAGTGGATAGCATCCTTGAACATGATTCGTGCATCATTTTGTGTTCCCTTGACCGAACTCACGGCTAATGATTTTTGTCGAATGCAGCATCACAATGGGTATTCGCACGATGCCCTGGACTGAATGGATCGAGCTAGACTCAACCTACTCGCACTGGCAAAGCGTGCGTAAATTCCGCGTTCGCACACGTGGGCATGATGCCGTACGCGTTCTTCCCGCTCGAGAAGACGAATCCGTCAAAGTCCAAGGTGGCGCATGGGCTGGTGTGTGATCTCCATGAGATGGAAGGGTTGAATCTCTGCTGATAAGTCACAGCGAAGGAGCTCGTCTATGAACTCGCAGAATACCTTCCGCGGCGATACCCTTCGAGCTTCCGAATAACACGACTTCCAAATGGTGTACCAGCACCGTCCATTGGTGGTGTGTCGCTCGCTTGGGGACATCAACAGCCCGTGCGAACCATCGAGGCGGTGGAGACAGGAGAGAAATTCGATTTGGGGGTTCTGGAGGGTCTGGACGGTGTTGAAATGGGCGAGGAAGCGATGAGGATCACTGCAGGGCTGTGAGTACCGTGACACTGTGTCTGACATTCCTGACCTGCTGCACTTAGTATACAAGAAGATGTGGCACTTATGATCGAGGGTATAGGGCTTCTACACCAGCTTGGGAAATAGACCTCAAAACGTTTTTTTATACAGGCACAGATGGCAAGTACTACTTCCAGGCAGGGGCGATCTGCATTCCAGGTAAGTGTGCACAGAGAACTTGAGGATTATTTTTAACACCCTTGCGTCTTCTCAGGCTTCTGGCGCATGCGGGACAAGATCGGAATGACCCTGGACGATATTCATATTTCAGGAAATGTTCCACAGTGTAAGCCCATTTTATTATTTGCTGTTATGAGTCACGCTGATACCGGCGTGTGCGACAAGTCAAAGAAAAATTGCAGACCAGCATGGAAAGGTTTTTCAAACGGATGCCGGTGGACAAGCCGGTAATTCGAAATAATTATTTTATACAAACTTGCAAGCCGTCGCACGTGGCACATGCCGACAGTGAGGCGCGACTGGACGTTGAGGAAGAGTGCGTTTTCGAAGTTGATCCAGAGGAATTAGGTTGGTCAGAATCGACGAACGGACCAGAGGACTCGTTTTTACATGGACACGGTCATGCCGCCAAACCTGCATCGTACCTCGCGCCATCGACACTACGACTCCGATCTGAGCGGCAAACGTTGCGTCGGCTTCCTCGTACAGGAGCCATCGTTTTTGGTATCCGCACGTACTTGTTCAAGATCGAGGAACTGGCTCGGGAGCGAGGAGTGGCTGATCGGCTTGGAAGCGCCATAAGAAGCTGGCCTGAAGATGTTGGAGTATACAAAGGGCGTAAAATGTATCGTGATGTGCTACTGAACTACCTAGATGAGTGTGCAGCACGGGATGGGAAAGAGGAGGAAGGCCGAGGATACCCATTTTAAGATTGTGGTGGTCAAGGGGTGGTCATAAGGCGCCGGCGTGGTTGAGGTGAAGTGGGGTAAATTGTGCGGATCATATGTAATAAAGATAATTTGAAAGGGACGATGACGAATGCCCTGAGTGCCACGTGTGAAAGTCGTATAGGATAACGACGATAAGTAAAATAACGGTCGAGCTCGCTGTTATGGATGATGACGACGGTGATACCGCATGGACGAAGAGAAGGGAAAGGGGGCAATTATGACAAATGACGTGTCGGATCTGCTAAAAGTAGCCAAAATAAATGATTGCGTTTATCGAGCGTTTATTAGAACTCCGATTCAAGTTCAATATAACACGAGACTACGTCAGACGTCGTCATTCCTTTCTGACTTCTCCTCAAGAAAATTGGACGAATAACGCACGGGCCCACAAATCAATACCCGGAGCAATTGGCTTCGCGCCGTAGCGAAAACAAATCTTTTTAGCGCGAGCGCCCGCAGCGGCGGTGACCAGTGTCGTCATCGGTGTACAACCAAAGTCTGCTGATTGTTTCAATACGTCCTATTGTCGTCATCGTCATCATGTCTTCTACTCCACCCAAAAACGGTGATACATCCAACTCCCCTGACGTCAAACCCCTTCCAAGGCAAACTAGATCAGATTTTGACCTCGAACCAAACCCATTCGAACAATCCTTCTCCCGTCCCTCCCATGTTCGCCATTCTCCACGTTCAAAACGTGACTCTCCAAGTCCAGCTTCATCCAAATCTCATCATGACAGACCAACCTCTGCTGCTTCTAACCCCCATTCAAAGGATGGTAGGTCGGCTTCTCCAAGACCAGTACTCCCCCCTTTGGCATCCATAGCATCTCCAAGCACAGATCAAAGCTATGGTTGGCAATTTTCTTCATCTCTCGCAAATTCACTCCGTGCTGGTCCCCTCTCCCCCGCCATGCTAGCCGGCCCCCAGCAGGGTTCAGACTCCGCCTCACATATGCCTTTTGACACCTCGTTCCGGACAGGATTGACCCCCCGCACCGGCCTCACTCCCCGCACGGGATTGACGCCAGGCACAGGTCTAACACCCCTCGTCGGGGGCCCAGTATCCTTCCCCCCTCCCTCACCGAATACCGCCGCATTCCTTGCGCTTATGAACAATAATGCAGGCGCTAATTCAAATGCGACTATAACGCCAAACACCCTTAGTGCAATCACAGGTGTCCTTGGTTCTTCGTCAGCACAGTATAGTTCTGTCACACATGCTCCCACCACGAGTTCTCATTTATCCACATCCATCACTGCCAATCAAGAAAACAATGACCCTCCTTACATCAGCGCATCCTCTGCCGCTAGTACTGCTGCAAATGGTTTATATCTGCTTTCGCAAGCTCATCAGGAGCTCACGAAACGTGAAGAAGCACAAGCACGTGCTAATAGCGTGGCGAATGCATCCAATGGGAGGCGTGGTACAAAGCGCAAGTCTTATGATGCTGCGAGTCCACCACCTCAACCTGCTCCCACGGCTCGTGTGCAGTCTCAGCAGCAGTCTGCTCCCGTCAAACGCGCACGTGCTAACACTGTAACCAGTGTCAGCACCAATGGTCATGGTAAAGCTTCTACAGATGATGAGGAGGATGAGGAGGATGAGGATGATGATGACATGCCACCATCTCAGAACACCGGGGGACGGAAACAAAAGAAGCCTGAAACAGAAGAAGAAAAGCGACGCAACTTCCTTGAGCGAAATAGACAAGGTTTGCCTTTATTTAGCGATCATCTCCTTTTAGGTTACTAAGTCATCGCATAGCCGCCCTCAAGTGCCGACAGCGCAAAAAGGCGTGGCTTGCGTCATTGCAGGCCAAGGTCGAGTATCTTCAGACTGAGAACGAGCGGTTGACGTCCGCTCTCGTCTCGTCGCGTGAGGAGATCTCGCGGTTATCTGCCCTCGTTGGAGGCGCTGTCATTGGACCGGGGGGACCGACTGTCGGTCCAGGAGTAGGGCCGCCACCAGTAGCGGTTAACGGCGTGGCCACGAATGGCCAGCCGATCAGCATGAACATGAATCTGGTTGCCAAGGGTGCAGCGGCTGCCACCTCTGGCCGCGCGAGCTACGGGTACTAAATGCCTCAGAGCTCAAGCCAGTCCTTTCATGTACTTTCTTTTTATGAGGGGTTGGGCTATATGTTGGTTGACACGGCGCCGCTCATGTAGGGTTGTCGTTATCTTATTATCGCTTCATCGTCGACACACGAGAAAGACGTCGATGCGCCTTCCTTGCTTGTTCTGTCTCCTGCATAGTCTTCGCATTATCACTAGCATTTTATTTTCCACCAGTTCCCCACCTACCGCCCGCGGTGCCATCGCTTGCATTCGCATCCCTTCGATGTCGCCCTCCTTGGCATAGCTTCATGTTGCCATTCCCCATTACCCGACCTCTCGACCCTACACACACCGCAATCAAAATACGAATTGTACTCTCGCTTGTACGTTGTGAAGTAGGCGATATATCATACATACATCATACACTTGTACATCCTGACCTGAATACATACAGAGGCACCGGCGCGCGCACATGACATGCGCTGTCCTCGATTGTATAACAAGGCGGGAAAATCTCAAGGAATGAAATGGGTTTACGCAAGGTTTACGATTTGTTTACGAGCAACTTTTGTTCCAGACACAAAAAATCGCCACTGATCTACGTTATCCACTTGTCAGCCAGAGCAGGCCTGAACGTTAAGGCATAGGTACAGCCCACTGGTACAAGAGATGATTTTGAAATCCCTGCGCCGCATAACCCCGCATCGGAGAATCATGTGCCAGCATGCTGCGTGTTACGAACTTCCGATACTTGGTATCACATGGCATCCGCGTCCGTTCATTGATGCTCCATTGTTACAGCGGCAACAACTGATACGCTCGGTCCCCATTTAATACATGAATACCAGTAGGTCGGACAATTACAATCTCGTCGGACACAGTCGCACCACATCCCGTTCGTCGATAATTCGTTGTGGTTCGATTGCGCCCACATGTGACGAACTATGGACCCTGGGGCCTGAGGCCTCGAAGCCTGAGGGCGCGACGGATTCATGCGGATTGTGACGAGAAGTTGGCGCGAGGTACTCTTTCGCCAGCTTTTCGGGGGACATACTCGGACGGGGCGATGTACGTACATACTCCGGTGACGGCGCCCCTTGGTTTCACCGCACTTCATGCCCCGCCAAGCCCGCCAGCGTAAGGGTGACCGTCATCCAATCTAGGGAGAGTTATCGCAGATTCAGATACGTAGTCGTGTCTTGGATCCTCTCGGCCCAACAGATAAGGCGGATAAGGGATTTATGTAAGGACGTCTCATTCTCATGCTTGCTGGACTCTTCGAGTCTCGACTGAACGATCCTAAGGACGATCCAATTTCGGCCAATAATCCGTCGTGAAGGAAGTATCGTGGAACGGTGATTGGGTAAATGGTAAAACGTCGAAGGAGCCCGGTATCCGCCGCACAGGCATTACTCTTCGCAAGGGTCTTCATATCACATGCAGACCATTTCTATGAGAAATTCCATGTTGTGCAATACTCGTGGCGGTGAACAAGTTCGTTTGCGCCTAGTTTTTTTTCTTTTTTTTCTTTCTTTTTTGGTGCTTTCCATATCGTGGGCTACCGCCGATACCCCCTGACAAGGCGCGCCTAGCTTGTTTGGACCCGGCACGAGTATTGAACTTGAATGCATGGCTCAGTGCGGATCACATTGTCGACCTCACTCATGGTTTGTCAGGGCATGCTCCCCGCGAGTCTACACTTTTGAGGGCGTCTTCTTGACGAGCAAGATGCGGTGTCGATGTCGAAGACATTGCACACAATCAGAGGCGTGACGGTGTAATGGGCGGATGGGGTTGCAAAATACGGACGTGGCAAGGTATCCTTTTGTATGGGGCAGAACGATCGAACTCGTACGTGGCATATGATGATACTGAGACGACGAGGAAACTCATGATCAGACTCAAGGACTTGTCCCGTTCTTGTTTGTCCCATGTTGGAGTGCGGTGGTTTGGCTAGGCTCGAGAACCAAGGGCCCGAGAGCAAACCGAAGTGTCTGCGCGTGTGCAAGTGGCGCCTATTCTATGAACCATGGGCTTGAAGATGCAATTTAAGTGCCATTGTGTTGGCAAACTACACCGAAAACTCGAAACAACCGAAACGTATATGATTTATGGTGTAAAGTAATCAGCTGCCGCGCCTCATAACCGTTACACCAAAAGGTAGAATATGTATTGATTATGAGAACTCCAGCGTGCTTACTTATGGAATGATGAATCCACCGAATCCTCGCTATGATAGAGATAAGAAATCATTTGATAATTTGAACGTACGTATATGTTACAGACTCGAAAACATACAAGCGTCTAGCAAAACAGCAACAGTCTAACCGATTCGATACATAAATGAATACTGCCCAGCATTATACATCCTATCGTTTGTCTTCTAATTGCACACACATGCTTCTCACCGTGACAAGGAGGAAATGTACGCAACTTCTGTGGGCGCCGACACCTTCATGGTTTCGGGATCGTACGCATATGCTCCGTTTGTGTGGTTGGCCTGACTCTGTCTCTGCGCAACGAGCGCACAGAGGGCGGCTTAAACACATTCAGAATGGAGATAAAAGGACTGATTTCGTTGCACTTACCGCCAACACCGCTCCCATCCTTAGCCATGCCGATGTCGACACGGCTCTCCACTTCGGGACCAACGAGCGCCCGTAACGATGCTCGCAGCTTGGTTTGGAAGTTGGGATAAAATTCGACCAAGCTTATTGCGTCCTCGTTAGCAAGGACTCCACAGAGAAATTTCTTCTCCTACCTTCCATCTACCCCGACGCCGATTCTTTTGCCTTCGTCCTTCAGCCCGTCAGAACTTTGCTCACCGTGGTCCCACAGCCGTGCACGCCCAGTATGGACTAGTATAGCTGCTACGGCCGTTGCGCTCATACGAGCAGCCCGCGATGCTATCAGATTGCACACTTGCCTGACAACGTCTGCATCCTCAAGGGAAATATCAGGTGGGGATATCTCTAGCCGCTGCACCAGTACTCCTTGTATCCGCAACAGCTTTTCCTCCTTTTGGGCCTGTGGGGCACCTTGTTCTGGCGGACCCTCCCATGCCTCTTCGATCTCGCTGAGAACCGCGCTGTCCAGTCCCCATTGCTTATTCAGTAGAGCCGAGGACCGACCTCCGAAAAGGAGGGGTTTCGGAGCGGCATCAATCAAACTAAGAATCACGTTTCGGGCGATTTCCCCCAGATACATTCCCGAAATGAATTTCTCGAAGGCTTGGAAACGTGGGTTAATAGATTCGCGGTCCAGCTTGTTGTCATACGGTGTTGTTGGCAAGGCAGATCGCTGGAAGGTCACCGTGAGTAATCAGGGTGATGAGATAGAAGAAGAAGATTTTAATTCACGGAGTTGTTAAAACCACCCCACTCGGTGTTCACAATCATTTCACCACCTGCAGCGACGGCAGGGCTCTCGCCTAATTTCGTGATCTTGGAGACATCTTCGACATATGCCCCATTAGTTCCTGTCCCAAAAATAGCGCCCAGGATGCATCCTCCAGATGTATACGCTCGCGAAAGAAGCGCTCCGACAGTCTGTCATGGAAATCCTCTCATCAGTATGTACGGTCACGTGCAAAATGGAGACGTAGATCTGATGAAAATTGCAGATGAAGGAAATTGACTGACGTCGTTGACGAGGGCTACACACTTGACGTGGATATGTTTCCGGTCAAACGCGTCTTGAAGAAGCTTTACGACGTCCTTTCCTACGGCATTCTTTGCAGAGAAACCTTTGGTCCAAGTGAGGAGAACGCCAGAATCGAGAGCAGATTGTTCCACAGGGAAGGAGAATGTGAGGGCAAGGGGAACATATGGACTGTCCTCGTCAGCGTGAGATACGTGAGAGCCGTGGCCTTGGGAGGGGGTGTCCGTGAGGAAAGCGTCCACGGAGTCGGCAAGATAGTCTGAGAATATGTTGAAAGGGAGGGAACGAGGGAAAGGACAAGGGCCGCACCGAAAAGAGTTGTCACCTCACCAGTCTTGAGCGCCTCGGAGACTTTGTATTTTTGCTGCCGGAGGGAGAAGGTCTTGTCTCCTAGTAGAGTGACCTCGCAAACGCGACTGACAATCCATAAGGCAAGTACAAAAATAGTAGCATTTTTATCCTCACAGATTCGTTCCACCAAGATCGAGGGCGAGGAACGTTCTAGGATACTCAGTAAGGTGTAGTGATATGGGAGGTGATCCACATACCCTGTTTCGGAGCCGTCTGGCACGCCCTTAACAAAGGTCGGACTATCTGACAATCAGATCGGGAACAAGAGGCAAAGCGGGGGAAACGTGCATCATCGCCATGGGACGACCATAACTGGACAAACCCTCAGAGATTTCTGAGAGGAATGTTTGAGTGATCTTGAAGAGACCCTGATCATCGATAGTGAATTGGTTGTAGAGGGCGTCGAGGACATCCTCCTTTGCGCTGCCATGAAACGCGGTTGTGTGTGACATGGCAGGACAGGAGAGAAACGGACTGGTTTGCGAGAGACAGCGTGAGGAGATAAGCGAAACCCACTTTAGTAAGACGTCATTCGAAATCTCAAAACAGTCCAAGGGGCGACCACTGTGCTATTGGGCATTAACAAAGTAGTACCGAACAGCCTGCGCCAATCCTCACGCAAAGTTCAATCATATCCCTCACTCTCCCTCACTCTACGTGCTACAACCCGCGGTGGCCTCGATTCCCGAGAAATCCCGTTCGCTAGTCTCACCATTGAATACTTTTTATCACAGCTACTGGATATTAGACTTCGGAGTTAGTTCGGATTTTTAGTTCGCTTCGCAGAGTCACGTCCGTGCTGTTGACGGGGTTGGGTTGGATAGATGGCATCGGCCCGTGCCACTCTAATCAGTCGCACATCGCCGAATGCAACAGCAACAGCTCATATCAAGTTCATCTACCTCACTTTCTCAGAGTTTTCGCCTGAAAAAGATGATCTCCATGTAATTAAGTTATTACTGTAGCAAAAGTAGCTTGCTCACCCTGGTCACCAAGGCTCCAGTTGACCGGGACTCGGCAATATAATGGTATCCTTTTCCGGAAGTGCTTTGCAAGTCTAAGAGGCCGCAAGGTCACATCCGTTGCAAGTTCATTCAAATATCATCGTCCATGGCTATCGACGGTCTCATAATCCTAGACCCAGCGGGGTATGGTTCACCAACTTTGTTTCTTGATTACCATAATTACAAGATTTCGCATACAGACGTCCCATCATCCAGTCCAGTTACACCACTTATCCGGCAGCGTACCCCCTGCTTCACATCGAAGCGTTAAACAACGCACTAGCAAAGGCTCCACGCGAGGGTAGCGTAGACCCAGTTATATACGTTGGAGAGCTATCGTGTTCCAGTGCGTGCTGCCATGTCGAGGTTGGCGAGATGAGATTCATTGCGACCATCAGTGGAGACGGTGAGTGGTCATACGACAATTAACTCGGCACGTTTGGTTATTCTCTGGCGCCGACTGACAGTACTCGATCAGCGGATCCTCTCATCGCGTTCGCCTTTCTCCACGCCTTCATTGAAATACTCCACGACTATTTCGGCACAGTCAGCGTAGCAACTCTCAAGGACAACTTTGACATTGTATACCAAGTTCGTAGACGCTCTCCACTACTTGCAATTGCTCGTATTGAATAAGAGTCTTGGGCTCGCAGCTCCTCGAAGAAACGCTCGATTCATCTGGACATCCATTGACAACCTCACCGAACGCATTAAGCGATATAGTACTATCGCCTTCCTTAATCTCGAAGCTTCTCGCTTCGGTATCACCAGCTACTCCAGGAGTTCCAAGCGCGAGACAAGGAGGCTAGTCATTTATTTGATTTGCAACGCTTGAAATATGCAATAACATTATCTCGGTAACACAGGTTCTTTTGGGTCAAATGGTGCCAGTGGAGCTTTTGCATCGCCGATACCATGGCGTAAAGCTGGGGTTCGACATAATCACAACGAGATCCTTTTTGACGTCGTCGAAGAAATGCGAGGCATCGTCGGCAAGTACGCTCGAAGTTCATATCAGCCCGTCTTTCCCATTAAAACCGTTCAAATACAGAAATGGCACGACGTTAGTGAGCAACGTGTTTGGTAAAATTGAGAGCAATGCGAAACTTTCCGGGACACCCGACCTGACATTGACATTCACGAATGCAAATGTGATGACAGAGTGCGCGTTTCATCCATGTGTGCGGTGAGCGGTCTTGCGAATATATCATCTGCACGACGTCATCTCTGAACAGTGATTCTTGACTCAACTTCAGGTTACAGAAATGGACACGCGACAATGCCTTATCTTTTGTACCTCCTGAGGGGCGGTTCGTTCTAGCAGACTATCAGTATAGACCACCACAAAGCGCGGTCATCAGCAACGTGCCCATACCACTTTCCCTCAAAGCGAATATGGACATGGGAGAGTTTGGCGGTAAAGTTGATCACTGACGTTTCTTATGGTATATCACTGACACCGTGCAGGAACATTTGCACTCACGCTGACCTCGCGCTTGATAAAGGTGATGGAGAATCTAGAGCTGAAATTCTATCTCGGAGAAGACGCGACTAGCGCACAGTGTACACTGTCGAGTGCAGGTTCGAGTGTAGGATCTGTGGGAAGCGCAGATGGATCATGGGCATTTGATATGAGAACAAAGGTACGCTTTACCGGCGGTCCGTGTTGTCCAAAAAATCATTCCTTATAGACGCTTCGATGGGAGATACTCAATATGCGGTCTTCGGGGAGCTGGATTCTTCGTGGTTCATGGACGTCAAAGTAAGGAGCTTTGCATTTTCACAAACCTATGATACTTATAGCTGTCCAGAATCAAGGCTCCGCGTCCAGCACACGCGTTCCAAATACGCTTCGAGATACCCTCCTATAGCTTCTCTTCGCTCAAGGTTGATCAGTTGCGGCTCTCAAGCGAGACGTACAAGATGTACAAGGGAGTGCGGATGCGCAGCAAAGGCTCGATCGAGTGGAGATGGTAGCCAGCTTAGGACCCGGCTGCTTCGTGTATTTCTGCATCACGCAGCCTGTATTTGTGCCCCGAACGAGTCCCCTGAGAGCTGGTGTACCAGTACTCCCGGAACCGTTGCGTGAGCCTAATCGTGGCACATTCGCTTCCGTGATAAGTTCCTTTGTTCACAGTGATGAGTTATACTCGCTAGGAAACAGCCTCTTTCACTTCATATTCCACTTTCTTGACGGCAGAGAAACCGCACGCAAGCAAAGAAATACTCTCGAAATTGACAGAGGCATGGAAGATAAGGAAGATTACGAACCCGGATGGGCTAGCATTCGACAGCGCTATAGGACGAACACAAGGCTCTGACACTTTCTCGGGAGTGATTATGAAAACATCACGGAACAGTATCCGACCTTATTGGCTTTATTCGTCAACCGAAACAAGCTGGTCAGCTATGAGTTGAGGAGCGACATCCAAGCGACATATTCACGAAATTGCTGCCGCATAAGAGCTCAGCGCTCAGCTATTCCAACACAATTTCGCAGCCGCATGCCTCCTTCAAACCAACCAGTGATAGTGCTAGTCTCCCGTGTCAAATCTCGAAAGAAGAAAAGACAGTCCGTTCCCTCTTGTTCAAGTTCATAACCTGACTCCTCTGGCATTCTGTCAGAAGGAACTTGTGGGCAGATGAGCCTGTAGAAAGAACTGGGCGATGTGGTGATGTATGTGATTACCTGTGACCTTCAGCTGGGGCTCTGTTGGGAAAAGATGTAAGAGACGAAATCAGGCGAAGACCGTGACGTTACCTAGCGCTCAAGGACAGTATTAAATTAAATTATGTAAAAGTTAAGGATTGCTTGAAGCTTGACTCAGCCGGTGTTCGGCGAATTCGCGAATACCTCGTTCGTGTCAACCACAAGCTTGTACTACAGCGTATGTGAGTATTCTTTTGTTCTACCTGATGCGTATGGCTACCACAATATCTGAATAGCGTATATCTGCGAAACTATGCCTGCAGTTGCGAAGCTTGTGCCAGAGGAGACTGTATTCTTCCTCTGTGACGTGCAAACACGTTTCAGTACGCTTGATTCTGAACGAGCTCTGAATTGCGGAAATTGACTGTCGTGTCATTCACTGATATGAATCAGAGAATGTCATATTCGGCATTGATGAGCTTGTGTTGACGATCAATAAGATGCTCAAGGTCGCAAAGGTATTATACACATATCATGCCGTGTTGTGTTTTTGCTCACATAAATTACTCGAGGTGTTGGAGATCCCTGTGGTCGTCACGGAACAGAATCCCAAAGGTGGGCCCATCTGCGTCTTTCCTCACCGAAATGAACTCATCCGAAAGGAAAGGCCTCGGAAACAGCATCCCCGACATCGACTTGCCTTCCCTAGGGCCCCTTCTCGTTGCTACCATCGCGAAGGGACTCTTCTCCATGTTAACGCCAGAAGTGAAGGCCCTGCTCCACGAACGGCCACATATAAAATCTGTGGTGCTCTTTGGCATCGAGGTTAGTTCACCCTGTAACGACTGGCTCATTAGTAACATATCTCGATTCAGTCACAAGTTTGCGTGTTACAGTCAGCCCTAGATCTCATTGAGGCGGGGTACAATGTACATGTGATTGCAGATGGTGTCTCCAGCTCTAACAAAGAAGAGATCCCCTTCGCCCTAGAGCGGATCCGACAGAGTGGTGGATACATCACTACGAGCGAGAGTGCGGCCTTTCAATTGCAACGTGCGCTTTTCATTTCAACTCATGGGGAGGCCTGCTCATCGATTCCAGGGGATGCTGGTCTTCCCGGATTCAAACTGTTCTCGAACGTCATGAAGGAAGAGAAGAATAATGCGGTAAGAACCTCGCAGAAGCTGCTACAACATCGTTCTTTCTTGTAGAAATTTTCCTACAGTTTTTTTTACCATGGTTGTATTATATTCTTCGAATCGAAAGGGCGGGCCTTTTCCCAGTCGGTACCCCCGCAAGAGTCATTTCTGGGAATCGCAACGACCACACCAAGATCTATCAACACATCCATTCGTAACAATGTAAGCGCCCCTACATAACTAACATTCAAACAGGTAACTTGTAATCGACAGTGACCACTGGCTGCGTACCTCGGAGAGAACGAACTTGGCTGCCACTCGAGTTGCCAATGGTGTAAGGCAGGCAACTCTCGAATATACGTGGGATCGGCCGCGCATCTAAGACGAGTGCGGTGATTAATTCATGTTCCCGCTCATCATACGAACGTGTAACGTGGTCGTTCATCCCCAGTCCAGTGCAGTACAATCATATCTCGCATCCCATTCCAAGAGGCAATGTACAGGAGCGGATTTAGTGATGTGGAAGGCCAGGGCTCAGGCCCGCGGGCCCACCCGGAAACCCATATCCGCTCAAGCCCGGCCCGCTCAACACTGAGTGGGTTCTTCTGTTAATATGGCGGTTGTCCATGGCTAGTGACCGTCGTCAATCAGGCTGTATTTCTCCAAGTTCATCACGAATGTCATTCGAGACGAAAGGATGTGATAAATCAAAAGGGGAAGACTTAAAACGGCGGCAAGTCCGCTGAAGCAGGTTTTCACTGATCCGCGGTGTCTCGCGAAGCCTCTGCTGCGTAAGTCATTCACCTTTAGTTTTTATTTCTGTTATTAAATACGGTTATCAATGATGTAGGCTGTATGTTTGGGCTTTCGTTCGTTTCGGCCACTACATATGATATTGTAGACTCATTTCTCCTCTACACAGATCTGATTTTTATTGATTTTTAGGACGACGTGGTGTACCTATGTAGGAGGAAACCCGAGAACTTCATGGTCGCTGTCTACCTAGTCTCCCCTAGGCAGATCATAACAGGAAGATGGGAGTCTCATTCCACTGTGTAAGAATTCAGGACCACCCTTTCATTTCACAGGCCTTATCTTTTTGACGCTTACTATGTTGTTGTAGCAAACAACTTGGCATCTGATCCAGCTCATGGAAGTCACTACCACCAGTGCCTTCAACCTTGACAGACACGGAATTATACCGCAAATAGAATATCATAGCCCGTCATAGCCAAGATGACGTGTGCCTTCAAAAGTGATTCAAAAAGCACACTGGCGGACAGTCAATGGTGCCTTGATACAGACGATTTGGTGGGACGTTGGCCTCATGAATCTTATATTGCCAGACCGGCCCAGACACATTCCGTAGGAACGTTTCCAAGCCCCAGGTCGCTCTCAGCCGACGCTTACTATTGCCACCGCTCGGCGACACCCGAACATATACGTTAATTCGTCTTCGATTTCATTTGTTCTACATCCTTGCCCAGTACACCAGTACTACTAGTACTGGTGCTGTGTCTTTGTTAAAACGGTACGGTACAAGTGACCAGCCTGTTTACATTCGGTTCAACTAACTTCTTGCTGTATAATATGTCAATGTCATGTTGTGGCAAACAGTTCGCCGTCGTATCAAGCCAGTGACAAACAGCCACCGTCTCCAGCACCTTCCATGACAGACACAGGAATTTATCGTCACAGACATGATTGGCGAGGTGGGCCTTCACGTTAGTCGTTTAAATTCTTCACGCACTGTCACGGAAGCCATAAAACAGAGTGATTCATAAAGCAGTTGAAAAGTTTCTTGCACAGGTGACCTTCCTACAAACCTTTTGGTGAGACATTTTCATTCAAGCATACAATATTGTAGGCTCATCTCATGAAGAAAATCATACAGTACCTTGCATAGCCGGATCGGATGCGTTGGCACCCAGGCTCTCAAATATGTAAGTGCAATGCTGAGTGGATCATTAGGAGTCTAGTTTCTCATTCATCCATTCTGGTTAGGTCTCCTACTACTGATGCACGCCGTCGGAAATGTAGCGGGACTCAACTTCACTCAATGCTTAATTGACATTGTGGCGAATGCGAATGCTACCCAGAATTTAGCTGGTCTACTCGATGGCAACGGAGATCCCGTGTCTAATGCTTTTGATGCGACATCGATAACCTACGCGCTGTGCACCTCTGCCTGCGGGAAGGGACAGGAACCTTTTCAGTGGTCCGTCTTTTCGCAGGATCTTGGTTCATGGTTGCTGCCCAACCTTGCACTGATTTCGCAGCTCCCCTTTGGGGGGGAGGAAAGGCCTCATAATTTCATGGCTGCTGTCTTAACCGTCGGCTCACCGGTACTTGCCGGTTACTCTCTATTAATGACCCTCCTCAATTCTATCTGGATCAAACGCAAATTTAACAAATTGAAGAAAAATCCCGAGACTAACTCAAGTTTCGCAGCCTCTATCTTGAGCAACCTTCAGCAAGTCCCGCTAAGACTCAATCCCGATCTTGTCAAATCCCTGATCGTCCTTCCTGAAAACGACTGCTGGTTGAAATGTCTCTCGGAATTCGTGGACTACACACACACATGGTCATTCGCGCCCGCAACCGCCATTGCCTGGGTCGTTGTCGCATTTGTCATAAGTGTGGTCAACTCACCAGTGGAACTTTTTATAAGTTCGCAAGCTGACGGCACCGCTACTGGTTCCCTGTGGCTGTGGTTGATTCCAATAGTCGTTGGATGGCTGCAGCTCTCCCCCAAGTGCGATTTTTTTCGCTTAGAAGAGGCCTATAAACGTGCCAACCAACATGCACACGCAGGATGTCGTCACATGAAAACGTCAACTGAGTTTCCCACAAAAGCTTTAACAATAACTGCCAAGGACAACGATGTGTCATCTCCAGATGAACACCTTACCCCTCCAGTGTTTAATTACTCCCGTTCGTTTCGATGGGCATCTACAGCCCACATGATGTTCCTAGAGTTCGAAGCGGCATCAGAGGAGGAGGCTCAGAACTCCACTCTTGTCAGTTTTCCCATCCCCATCCAACAGTCCGAGTCTTCCGAGTCCTCCGAAACCCTCTACCCACCCACGTCCTTCGGGGAGATCCCCCGTGATGCACATTGCAGCCGTTGGGCGCCTTACGTGGTCTTAAGAATGGTCGCTGCTTCGTGTGCTTCACTTGCATTACAATGGGGAACAGCTGGAGCAGCGTTTTTGACGGCATGGTTCACGCCTACTACAGTGCGTTCATTTCGGTATACGTGATATGGTCGAGTTGGCTAACTGCAGGCAGCGCATGGGGTGTCGATCTATGAGTTACCTCATCTACGCGGGCTTATCGACCTTGGTTTGGATGATGCTTCTGGCGTCTAGTGTTCTCGCCCACTACAGTGTACCATTCCGTGACACGTACCCCGCGAGCAATCTCTATCGGGCGCTCTCGAATGGGTATGGTCCTCTCCCTGTGACGCAGAACAATTCTGACCCCTTTGACTATTTAAGCAAACAGAAGCGGTTGCCTGCAGGGCGTAATTTGGCTCGGAAGATATCAAACTTGCTGCGGTGGGCAGGCAAAGCGTTGGCCATTGCAAACTCCATCTGGTTGGTGCTGTCGTGTATTTTCGTGTATTCCAACTTCTACGATACATGCTTCTGCAATGGTAGCGTGATCAGTAGAGGAGAGGCCGCATACACTGTCATCATCGAAACTGCAGCTCAAGCTGCACAGCTGAAGGCTGCCTCGATCGGTGCTCTTGCTATGGCATGTGTCACGTCGTTTTTATTCATTGTGATCGTAAACTTATGGTAACATGACCACGACTGTAGGAACGTTTATTGCACGTTCATACTTGCATACGTGCGCTTTATACCCATTTTTCTTGGACTATTTGATCTGGACTACACAATTTCTTCTCTGTTTGTTGATTGTTGTGCCACTGTGAGCAGTATGTACACACATGATTATACCAGTTGGCACCAATATCACCGCACATATGATTGACTACAATCCATGGAGTAGTAACTCTGTTGCCAAATTGTGAGTTTTCAGTTAGGAGGCTTTTTTTCCAGCGATTGAGCATGCGCGCGTCCGAAGTGTGAAAGCCTCGCTTCGATCGACACTGTGGGAAGTACAAATACTGAAAATGAATGTATAGAATGTTTTGTGCCAACGCGAGGAATGTTTTATGCAAAATTTAATTTAATTTATTTGTCCAGTACGAACCGGATCCATAGAAATCCGCTCTGCAACACCAAATAAATAAGTACCACGACGAAACTCGAAAATCAAGAAAAAAGCCAAATTCTCCTGCTCCTCGCATAGCACCAGACTACCGTCAACTCCATCGAGCATCTCCCATGTTATACGCCACTGCCTGTTGATATTTGCACGCGCTCCTGGAAAGCGATTGAGGTCATGCCGGTTGCTGCATCAGAGTCAGCCACGAGCCGAGCGTGATATTCTCGAACGTTAAGGATGAGGCGTGGTCCTAGCACAAAGGACTGCATGACTTGCAAAATCTGAGCAAAACCAAGAAGAATCAGAGCTTCGAGGGAAAATGGGTCCTATAGAAATGATGAACCGCAGTCGCATGCACAGGTAAGTGAAAGATTGACATACCGCTAAGAGCGTTGGAGACAAATTAAGCATGAGGCCGAAGCAAGACACGGCAACAACACTAGTGCGTTTAATCATTCCGCGGAAAAGGGAGCCATATTCACAATATGAACTCACCTCGCAAAGTAAAGCACGTGGGATTTTATCAACACCGTGAAACAGTCCCCGATAATCCCTCCTGCTGAATGTTGCCGCAGCTCACGGAAGTGTTTTACAGCAATCCAGACTGCGAGACACAGTGCGAGGACCTCCCAGACAGTGCTGAGTATCCAAGTCATGGAAGCCAGAAGTGGGATATTGCCCTCAATGCTAATCGTGCACTCATATGTGCCAGAGAGAATGAGTTCCTCTTGTATTCATCAATGAGCGCCATGCACGGTTTTCATTCACAATTAAGTGTACCTCCCGAATCATGCCTCGTTATCATTACAACGGCTGCTACGTCGAATATGTTGACAGCCAAGGACATGATGACGAGAAATATCATATCAGGATCCTTCTGGATCGTTGATACATGGCATGTAACCGAGCGATTATGATGACTGCAACATGTTTCAGTCAAGTCAATATCATAGGTCTTGTTACTGTACAACTCACCACACAGCATTGGAAATACCACAACATTCGTCCAATTCCACACAATGAAAACCACAATCAAGGTCAGATCGAGACATCAGCGCCGAACTCTGACTGCTGTTCACGAACCTATAACATAGCTGCCAAGACGCGAAGAATTGATGACTGGCCAATAACTAGGGTCGTCTGAGACTAGTGTCATACTGTTAGAGGATGGATGTGATGGAGCGGGAAACTTGGTGGACATACGACGATGATATTTGTGCTAGATATACCACTACCATCCAGTGCTTGCATGACCAAAATGAGATCGAGGGATGATATTCGTTGCTGTCAGTAGATATGATGTCACGTTCGAAGTGATGTGGCGGGCCTTGAATAAAATGCTGGTGATGCGAAAGTGATCGGGTACTGAAGGTTCGATGCCAGCGATCACCGCACCCCGCGCCAATGGCAGAATCGTTTAGTGTTGGTGCGGCGGTGTCTTCCCTTCTATCGAGGTCGTTCACTACAGGTACTAGTAGATCTCTTATATCGTTAATCTTCATTCTGGTAGCTAGTGTTGCCAGCCTGTACTTAATCAGCGAATAAATAATGATTTCAAGATGTGGGGCTCAACGTACTTGGAACAAGTCAGTCATGACGCATTTGCACAGGCAGGACTTGAACAGCGCAAAAGAACATCTAGAACTGTTCGTGATTTTGTCACCTTTGTTCTGATGCCACATGCTGGTCATGATGCATGATGGGCGCAGTAATTTCGAATTTGCATCGTGGAGTTGGTGCGGTGGTGAGAGGCATCAGTTTTCACAGCCAGAGACATGTCGCACACCTTCAACGTTGAATACAATGAAACCCGATGCGAAACATACCACACAAAATCCATCATGCAGTCGATGCCGATTGGAGTGATAAAGTCGACTTCTTCATCCGCTGTTCATAGGGCAGCCTGGTATGGAATACCGTCAATGTCTCACGTGAGCCTGTTACTACCAGGACTACATAGTACACAAACACCCCCAGAAAACCCACTAAAGATCAAAATTCGAGAATGCAGAGCCTCCAGATCATGCAGAAATGTTGTCTGAATTTGAGAATGCAGAGGCTGTAGACGGAGAGGTGATTGGTGGATATCACTACCGCATGGCGGGTGTAACAGGATCAAACCAGGACGATAAGTTGTGGGATTGGTTGATGGTGCAGCATCAAAGAACCTACTTGTGTTGAGCCTCCGATCTGGTCTTTGACGATTTCATCGTCGCGATCGATGTGGATTTGTCATAGGCATGTTTCTGTGCTAGAACGTGGATAGCTTGATCAGAAAGATTTCACCACTCCAGGGCCTGTGCGCAGTTAGACATTCAAATGTTGATCTATTTGGAGTGTTTAGAATACGTTTCGAGGGATACAGCATAGTATTTGAACAAGCTATACGCCCTTAACAACGCAGGAAAGCGGGATTCACATTCAGTTGTGGCAATCTCCTCGAACGAAGTCGGAGATAACTTCATCGAGTAGGTACTGAGATCGATAGTTCCGCCTCCAGCATCAACAACGATGACTCCCTGGCTGTCAGATTGATCTTCCTCCTCGTCCGAGTAATCTGACACATCTATAAGGTTTTTAGAGAATATATCCGACACAATCATGCTGGTCAAACTAAAATGAAGACTTACATCGCCAGCAGTCAAGAGGTGCACGTGAGATTGCTCCTCCTTGGATGAGATGAGACCAGCGATCTCGACAGCGCGTCTAACCTGTCGCCTGTTGTTGTTGTTGGCCTTCCCAACCGTTCGGATGCGTGAGCACGAACTCAATAGAGTTCTCGACCGGTCTCCAGAAATTAGAATGTGATTCCTGGATGTAAGTCCGATCGCATTGGAAGAGGTAGCGGCACTTCACGTCACCCGCATTTCCAATTAGCCTGGGTCCGCGGCCTATTCGAGAGGAGAGAAGATATACCGTTGAAGGTCCACGAGTCCTCGACTGCTGGAGACAGAAATCTAGAGGGCTCAATTAGAATCTGGGACCGACAGAGGCGAGATGGGTTACTATACTCTTGGAGGACACAGACAAAGTGCTGGTACCTTCGGAATTCGAATGTCAAACACCTTTCTAAGACTTGCTTACCAACAGTTAAAATGGAGATGCCGACAAAAACAACACGTGTAGCCCAACCAAGCAAGAGAGTAAGCGTAAATCGCATATCCAAAGATCACTCACTAGCAAAGGAAAGATATTGCACATAGATGGAGATACGGAACAGGAAGAATTACATCACGGGGCAGCAGGCTGAGAAGCAAAGACAGCGGGACGAGTTCAACGCGGGATACACCAAAGTGCGAGGCAAAAAATTGCCTCAACAACCATAGTCTTCTTCTTGAGGAGGTTGTTGTGTCGCCGTCTGTGCCTCAGGCTGATGCTGAGGGGTCGAATGTGGCTGCGATGCAGGCTGAGCTACTGCTGAGGGTGACTGACCAGTCTGAGCTTTCGAGTTGGCCTTCACAGGGGGAGGCGCTATGTAGATTCTCTGAAAAATAGGTGTTGTATAAATAAATCATAACGAGGGACGCCTAATACACTGCTTACCTTTTTTCCGGAAGAGACGGTGTTTGGGGTGTTGTTGCATCGCAATGGACCCCCTTGCTGCAGGGCGATATCGAGAGGGGATGAAGAAGTTCCAAAGGCGGCGAGCGGAGGAAGCCTGAGGACACTGGGCACGAGGAGAGGGACCAGACAGTGCCGAAGCATGATAAGGCTTTGAATGTTTATCATCAATATTACCCTTCGCATGACGAAACACGAGGCTTACCTGAAAAAGTCGCTGTATGGATCTTCTCCCCCCTTAAATCTTCTGTGATGTATCTTCTATCCTGAGAGAATGATACACGAAAGGGTGTTGCAATCTTCCTGGTCTACGTAGTACCACTGTGTTTGGGTGAAAGTGCGACGGAATTCACCGAATTGTTGTGTTTGAACTTTGAAGTCGATCATCATCGGAGTTCTGTGCCTGAGTTACTTTGTTGAAAACAACGTGCGAATTTGTTCGAGGCAGAGTAAAGGATTGCTTGAAGCCGGTGTTCGGCGAATTCGCGAATACCTCGTTCGTGTCAACCACGAGCTTGTAGTACGTACAGCGTATGTGAGTATTCTTTTGTTCTACCTGATGCGTATGACTACCACAATATCTGAATAGCGTATATCTGCGACACTATGCCTGCAGTTGCTAAGCGTACCTCGGAGAGAAGGAACTTGGCTGCCACTCGAGTTGCCAATGGTGTAAGGCAGGCAACTCTCGAATATACGTGGAATCGGCCGCGCATCTAAGACGAGTGCGGTGATTAATCCATGTTCCCGCTCATCATACGAACGTGTTACGTGGTCGTTCAAACGTTCATCCCCAGTCCAGTGCAGTACAATCATATCTCGCATCCCATTCCGAGAGGCAATGTACAGGAGCGGATTTAGTGATGTGGAAGGCCAGGGCTCAAGCCCGCGGGCCCACCCGGACGCCCATACCCGCTCAACACTGAGTGGGTTCTTCTGTTAATTTGGCGGTTGTCCATGGCTAGTGAGCGTCGTCAATCAGGCTGTATTTCTCCAAGTTCATCACGAATGTCATTCGAGACGAAAGGATGTGATAAATCAGAGGGGGAAGACTTAAAACGGCGCAAGTCCGCTGAAGCAGGTCTTCACTGATCCGCGTTGTCTCGCCAAGCCTCTGCTGCGTGAGTCATTCACCTTTAGTTTTTATTTCTGTTATTAAATACGGTTATCAATGATATAGGCCGTATGTTTGGGCTTTCATTCGTTTCGGCCACTACACATAATTTGACTCATTTCTCCTCTACACAGATCTGTTTTTTTATTGATTTTTAGGACGACGTGGTGTACCTAGTGTCGGAGGAAACCCGAGAACTTCACGGTCACCGTCTACCTGGTCTCCCCTAGGCAGATCATAACAGGAAGATGGGAGTCTCTTCCCAATGTGTACTAATTCAGAAGCACCCTTTGATTTCACAGGCGTTATCTTTTTGGCGCTTACTCTGTCTTATCTGTTGTTCTAGCAAATAGATTGGCATCTGATCAAGCTCATGGAAGTCACTACCACCAGTGCCTTCAACCTGACAGACACGGAATTATATCGCAAATAGAATATCATAGCCCGTCATAGCCAGGATGACGTTTGTCTTCAACAGTGATTCTTAAAGCACACTGGCGGACAGGAGCCTTGATACAGACGATTTGGTGAGATATTGGCCTCATGAATCTTAATTTGCCAGACACATTCCGTAGGAACGCTTCTTCCAAGCTTACCTATACTAGTAGTACTCATATTATGCGTACTTGTGTTTACAGACTACCCAACGACCAGAATGTAACCCACCTGCAAGTTCCACCAATGTATTGTCAGACACATTCCGTAGGAACGTTTCTTCCTAGTACTAATACTATGCGTACTTGTGTTTAATTTCTGGAATGTAGGTGGTGCTTGCTTATCACTACATGATTGACTCCGGATAAAAACTAACGTTGCCAAATTGTTATAGCAATTCAGCATGTCAGAAGTCCCAAGCCTCAAAAATTGTCGCCTCGAAGTTCGTTCAATTTCGTACGTGCACAATACTTAGAGCCCATCTACTTCGGAATGGTATAGCAGGTCACCAATGATAGTCACTGCCATACTCCAGGCCGCTCTCAGCCGACACTTACTATTGTCACCACTCGGCGAACACCCGGCCATAAACGTAAATCATAAATGCTTCGTGATTTCTTTATGCTCCACCAACAGATCTTATCCTTCCCTTGCTGTGTGATATTTCAATTAAATATCATGTTTTTGCAAACAGTTCGCCGTCTTATCAAGCCAGTGACCAACAGCTTCTAAACAGGGTGAATCGTTCATAAAGCAGTTGAAGAATTTCTTGCACGGGTGACCACTTCCCACAAACCTTTTGGTGAGACATTTTCATTCAAGCATACAATGTTGTAGGTTCATCTCATGAAGAAAATCATACAGTACCTTGCATAGCCGAATCGCATGCGCTGGCACCCAGACTCTCAAATATGTAAGTGCAGTGCTGAGTGGATCATTAGGGTCTAGTTTCTCATTCATCTATTCTGGCTAGGTCTCCTACTTCTGATGCACGCCGTCGCAAATGTAGCGGCAATCAACTTCACTCAATGCCTGAATGACATTTTGGCGAACGCGAATGCAACCCAGAGTTTAGCTGGTCTACTCGATGGCAACGGAGATCCCGTGTCTAATGCTTCTGATGCGACGTCGATAACCTACGCGCTGTGCAAGTCTGCCTGTGGGAAGGGAGCCGAATCTTTCCAGTGGTCCATATTTTCGCAGGATCTTGGTGCATGGTTATTACCAAATCTTGCACTGATTTCGCAGCTTCCCTTTGGGGCGCGATACAGACCTGACAATTTCATGTCTGCTGCGTTAACCGTCGGCTCACCAGTACTTGCCGGTTATTCTCTATTCATCACCCTCCTCAATTCTGTCTGGATCAACCGCAAATTCGACACATTGAAGAAGACTAGCAACTCAATTTCCGCAGCCTCTATCCTGAGCAGCCTTCAGCAAGTCCCGCTAAGACTTGATCCCGATCTTGTCAAATCCCTCATCGTCCTTCCCCAAAATGACTGCTGGTTAAGATGTTTCTCGGAATTCGTTAACTACACACACACATGGTCATTCGCGTCCGCAACTGCCATCGCCTGGGTCGTTGCCGCATTTGTCATAAGTGTGGTCAACTCCCCAGTGGACATTTTTATCGGAGGAAGTTCTCAAGCTGATGGCACCGCCACTGGATCCCTGTGGCTTTGGTTGATTCCAATAGTCGTCGGGTGGCTACAGCTCTCCCCCAAATGCGATTTTTATCGCTTACAGGAGGCTTATGAACGCGCAGACCAACATGCACGCACAGGATGTACTCATATGGGAACGTCAACTACATCCACCCGAAGAGCTTTAACAATAACTGCTCCGGACAACGATGTGTCATCTCCGGATGAACTCCTTACCCCTCCAGTGTTCAATTACTCGCGTTCGTTTCGATGGGCTTCTACAGCCCACATGATGTTCCTGGAGTTCGAGGCAGAGGAGAAGTATCAGACCTCCACTCGTGTTAGTCTTCCCACCCCCAACCGACAGTCCGATTCCTCCGAAACCCTCCGAGTCTACCACACCTATCCACCCTTACCCCATAATGCACAGCACATCCATTGGGCACCTGGCGTGTTCATCAGAATCTTTTTCGCTTCGTGTGCTTCGCTTGCATTACAATGGGGAACAGCTGGAGCAGCGTTTATGACGGCGTGGTTCACGCCTACTACAGTGCGTTTATTTCGGTATACGTGATATGGTCGAGTTGGCTAACTGCAGGCAGCGCATTGGGTGTCGATCTATTAGTTACCTCATCTACGGGAGCGTGTCGACCGGTATTTGGCTTTTGCTCCTGGTGTCTAGTATTCTCGCCCACTACAGTGTACAACCACCATCCCATGACACGTACCCCGCAAGTCATTACCATCGGGCGCTCTCCTTGAACGCTGAGACGCAGAACATTTCCTACGATTCCTATGACTATTTAAGCAACCAGAAGCGGTTGCCTGCAAGGCGTCTTCAAGTTTGGGCTCGGAGGATATCGCACTTGCTGCGATGGGCAGGCAAAGCATTGGCCATTGCAAACTCCATCTGGGTGGTGCTGGCGTGTACTTTCGTGTATTCCGGCTTCTACGATACATGCTTCTGCAATGGTAGCGTGTTCGGTAGAGGAGAGGCCGCATACAGTGTCATCATCGAAAATACAGCTCAAGCTGCACAGCTGAAGGCTGCCTCGATCGGTGCTCTTGCTATGGCATGTGTCACGTCGGTTTTCTTCATTGGGATCGTGAATCTATATATATATACACGACCACGTCTGTAGGAACGTTTCTTGCAAGCTCATCTTACATATGTACGTTTGATACCCATTTTTCTTGGACTATTTGGATCTGTTGTACATAGTTTCTTCTCTGTTCGCTGAATGTTGTGCCAGTGTGAGCAGTATGTACACTTATGTCGAGAAATTTACTACAATCCATGGAGTAGTAACTCTGTTGCCAGACTAGTACTGTGAATTTTCAATTAGGAGGCATTTTTTTCAGCATTTGAGCATGCGCGCGTCCAAAGTCTGAAAGCCCTGCTTCGAAATATTTGTCGCTTTGCAAAGCTGAAATTTGACACGAAGGAACGATACGTCCGAAGTTCGGCCTGAGGGGAGACTAGTCATGCGCAGAGTCTTGCTAATGTTAACTAATTATTTGAAGTCTAATAGATCTAACTTTGCCGGACTTCGCCTCGCGAGAGCGCATGCTGCGAGGATTAGAATATTAGCCAGGAGGATCCGAAAGACCCCATAGCTTATACTTAATACATGATGCATGATGATTGAGAGGGGCTAAATTACATAAGTACTGGCGAAATTTACGATTAGCTAATGTAAACACAGTGTGCGAGCGGAGATAAGTTCAAAACAACCAAGAGAAAAGCTCGAATCTCCGTTACTAAACCTCGTTCAACGTGTCGATCATAAGCTTGCAACAGCACACACATATGTGAGGTTCAGTTCTCGTTTGCACTACACTGATGGTTATACAAACCCCTTGAATAGCATATCTGTGTCACTATGTCTCCTGCAGTCGCAAAGCTTGTACCAGAGGAAACTGTATTCTTCCTCTGCGATGTGCAAACACGTTTCAGTATGCCTGGCTCTGAATCCACTGTGAATCGCGGGAATTGACTGTCGTGTCATTCGTCGTTGCGAATTAGAAAATGTCATATTCAGCTTTGATGAGATTGTATTGACGATCAATAAAATGCTCAAGATCGCAAAGGTATAAAATACATACCAACTCCGTATCTTCACTCACATAAAAATACCCAAGGTGTTGGAGATCCCTGTGGTCGTCACAGAACAGAACCCTAAAGGTGGGCCCATCCTCGTACTTTCTCTTCAAAATGAAATCATCCAAAAGGAAAGGCCTCGGAAACACCATTCCCGACATCGACCTGCCTTCCCTAGGGCCTCTTCTCGTTGCTACTATCGAGAAAGGGCTCTTCTCCATGATGACGCCGGAAGTGAAGGCCCTACTCCACGAACGCCCACATATAAAATCTGTGGTACTTCTTGGCATCGAGGTTAGTTCACCCTGCATACAACGGCTCGCTCGTTGGTAACATTATTACATCCAGTCACATGTCTGCGTATTACAATCAGCTCTGGATCTCATCGACTTGGGGTACAATGTCTACGTGATAGCAGATGGTGTTTCTAGCTGTAACAAAGAAGAGATCCCCTTTGCCCTGGCGCGGATTCGACAGAGTGGGGGATACATCACTACAAGTGAGAGTGCGGCCTTTCAACTGCAACGTGTGTTTTTCATTACAACTCATGGGGGGGCCTACTCATCGATTCCAGGGGATGCTGGTCTTCCCGGATTTAAACTATTCTCGAACGTCGTAAAGGAAGAGAAGGATAACACGGCAAGAACCTTGCAGAAACTGTTACAACCTCATCCTGTCTTGTAGAATCTTCTCTGCAGCTCTTTACCCTGGTCGTGTATCATATTCCCACCCTTTGACATTTTTTACTTGCTATGGGACTTGTATGGAGCTCGAAGCATTTTGGCTCTGCCACATACCGGGATACCGTGTCCTTGCAAGTTAGAGTCAGATCTACCTTCCCTTGGTTGTGGCAAGGTATCTTGCCGCCACTTTGATGAATTTACGATATGAAACTTCGCGCTATTTCACCTGGGCGTTTATGCCTCCATTATTCCGCTGACAATGTCAAGCAGGCCTCTTGTACGTCTCCTATTCATGTCTAACATGCCGCTGATGCGAAGCGTTCACCGACATACGTTGTAGAACCTGTCTCAGAGGTTCCAAGCAAGGTCATTCATCGTGAGTTCTATCTACGTGATGTGACTTGAAAGTACTTGCTCATACATTGTCCTGACCACAGCTGATGTGACCTCATATTAAAGTTGGTTTGCAGACCATTTCAGGATTGTGTGTTGCTGTCGGTCATAACAGGAAGATGGGAGTCTCGCTCCACTGTGTAAGAAATCAGGACCATCCTTTCAATTTCACAGGCCTTATCTTTTTTGCGCTTACTCTGTCTTATCTGTTGTTGTAGCAAACAACTTGGCATCTGATCCAGCTCATGGAAGTCACTACCACCAGTGCCTTCATCCTGACAGAAACGGAATTATGTCGCAAATAGAATATCATAGCCCGTCATAGCCAGGATGACGTTGTCTTCAAAAGTGATTCGTAAAGCACACCGGCGGACAATCAATGGTGCCTTGATACAGACGATTTGGTGAGATATTGGCCTCATGAATCTTAATTTGCCAGACACATTCCATAGAAATGTTTCTTCCAAACCCCAGGTCGCTCTCATGCCACCGCTAGGCGACACCCGGACATAAACGTTAATTTGTCTTCGATTTCATTTGTTCTACATCATTGCGCAGTATACTAGTACTAGTGCTGTGTCTTTGTTAAAACGGTACGGTGCAAGTGACCAGCCTGTTAACATTCGGTTCAACTAACTTCTTGCTGTGTAATATGTCAATGTCATGTTTTGGCGAACAATTCGCCGTCGTATCAAGCCAGTGACAAAGAGCTACTGTCTTCAGCACCTTCCATGACAGACACAGGAATTTATCGTCACAGACGTGAGAGGTGGGCCTTCACGTTAGTTTTTTAATTCTCCACGCACTGTCATGGAAGCCATAAAACAGAGTGATTCACAAAGCAGTTGAAAAGTTTCTTCCACAGGTGACCTTCCTACAAACCTTTTGGTGAGACATTTTCATTCAAGCATACAATGTTGTAGGCTCATCTCATGAAGAAAATCATACAGTACCTTGCATAGCCGAATCGCATGCGCTGGCACCCAGGCTCTCAAATATGTAAGTGCAATGCTGAGTGGATCATTAGGGTCTAGTTTCTCATTCATCCATTCTGGTTAGGTCTCCTACTACTGATGCACGCCGTCGGAAATGTAGCGGGACTCAACTTCACTCAATGCCTGATTGACATTGTGGCGAATGCGAATGCTACCCAGAATTTAGCTGGTCTACTCAATGGCAACGGAGATCCCGTGTCTAATGCTTTTGATGCGACATCGATAACCTACGCGCTGTGCACCTCTGCCTGTGGGAAGGGACAGGAACCTTTTCAGTGGTTCGTCTTTTCGCAGGATCTTGGTGCATGGTTATTGCCAAACCTTGCACTGATTTCGCAGCTCCCCTTTGGGGCGCGGTACAGGCCTGATAATTTCATGTCTGCTGCGTTAACCGTCGGCTCACCGGTACTTGCCGGTTACTCTCTATTCATGACCCTCCTCAATTCTATCTGGATCAAACGCAAATTTGACACATTGAAGAAATCTCCGAAGACTAGCAACTCAAAATACGCAGTCTCTATCTTGAGCAGCCTTCAGCAAGTCCCGCTAAGACTCGATCCCGATCTTGTCAAATCCCTCATCGTCCTTCCTGAAAACGACTGCTGGTTGAAATGTCTCTCGGAATTCGTGGACTACACACACACATGGTCATTTGCGTCCGCGGCCGCCATTATCTGGGTCGTTGTCGCATTTATCATAAGTGTGATCAACACACCAGTGGAACTTTTTGTAAGTGCTGAAGCTGACGGCACCGCCACTGGTTCCCTGTGGCTGTGGTTGATTCCAATAGTCGTTGGATGGCTGCAGCTCTCCCCCAAATGCGATTTTTATCGCTTAGAAGAGGCTTATGACCGTGCCAACAACCAACATACACACACAGGATGTGCTTATATGGGAACGCCAATTACGTCCACCCCAAAAGCTTTAACAATAACTGCTGAGGACAACGATGTGTCATCTCCAGATGAACTCCTTACCCCTCCGGTGTTTAATTACTCCCGTTCGTTTCGATGGGCATCTACAGCCCACATGATGTTCCTGGAGTTCGAAGCAGCATCAAAGGAGGAGGCTCGGAACTCCACTCGTGTCAGTTTTCCCATCCCCATCCCCATCCCCATCCCCATCCCCATCCAACAAACCGAGTCTTCCGGGACCACCGAAACCCTCTACCACACCTATCCACCCAGGTCCTCCGGGGAGATCCCCCGTGATGCACAATGCAGCCGTTGGGCGCCTTACGTGTGGGTAAGAGTGGTCGCTGCTTCGTGTGTATCGCTTGCATTACAATGGGGAACAACTGGAGCAGCGTTTATGACGGCTTGGTTCACGCCTACTACAGTGCGTTTATTTCGGTATACGTGATATGGTTGAGTTGGCTAACTGCAGGCAGCGCATTGGGTGTCGATCTATGAGTTACCTCATCTACGGGGGCGTGTCGACCTTGATTTGGATTATGCTTCTGGCGTCTAGTGTTCTCGCCCACTACAGTGTACAACCACCATTCCATGACACGTACCCCGCAAGTAATTCCTATCAGGCGCTCTCCTCGAATCGGTATGGTCCTGTCCCTGTGACGCAGAACTATTCTGATCCCTATGACTATGTAAGCCAACAGAAGCGGTTGCCTGCAGGGCGTGATTTGGCTCGGAAGATATCAAACTTGCTGCGATGGGCAGGCAAAGCGTTGGCCATTGCAAACTCCATCTGGGTGGTGCTGGCGTGTATTTTCGTATATTCCAACTTCTACGATACATGCTTCTGCAATGGTAGCGTGTTCAGTAGAGGAGAGGCCGCATACTCTGTCATCATTGAATCTGCAGCTCAAGCTACACAAATGAGGACTGCCTCGATCATTGCTTTTGTTATAGCATGTGCCTCGTCCGGTTTGTTCATTGTGATCGTGAATCTATATAGATATACACGACCACGTCTGTAGGAACGTTTCTTGCAAGCTCATACCTACATATGTGGGTTTGATACCCATTTTTCTTGGACTATTTGATCTGTTGTACATAGTTTCTTATCTGTTTGTTGAATGTTCCTGTTTATTAAACCGATTATCAATGATATGGACTGGATGTTTGGGTTCACACTCGTTTTAAATAACGGCGCATCTAGGGGGTCGATTGGTGGGCTGTTGATGTACACATACCCAGCCCATGTTCGTATTCACTGTCGTCGCATTGCGTCGACCACGCGGCCCCCAGCCAGCCGCTTACGGACACCTCCAGACGCTCGCCAACCTCGTAGACGAGTGGTCCCTTGTGATGTGGTGGGGCCACAAGGAGGACGGAATTCCGTTTTGTCATGCTGGTATGGTACTCGTATGATCACAAGGATGTTTAATTGAAGTTCCCAAACAGGGACAAGTGATGACTCGCTGCCGGCTGTGAAGCATGTGAAGATGGACTGCGTATATGCTGGTCCAGTGTTGGGTCCCATCAACCCGTCTCGTGAGATGCCCCGAGCCCTTTTTAAAGATTCACAACTTATCCTTTATAAATAAAGGAGCTATGATCGTGCCAAAGCCTTCCTCGCAATGCCTCGTATTGATCAGCGCTCCAGCGAGATAACGAGGACGTAGTCAAGAAGACTGGTAACAGAACCCCGGTAAAACGATCACGATTCAGAATCACACCGCCCCAAAACGAGACTTACCGTACGTTACTAACACCCTCATTTCATCGCCTTACATACAGGCATCTCCCGCATTTTGCATATGAAGGAAGCAGTGCCAGAATTCTGAAAAGCAATGGGGATCCAGTGCCGCATCAACTATCAATGACATCCGTGTGCCCTACCTATATATATGCGCCCCGTTGATTGCTTAGTATCTTGTTCCTCGCAATTGCATAATGATATTCCACATATCTTTTTCATCAGACGTCTAACGTGCTCAAATCACCGCACCTCTTGGACCGAAGGTTCCTCCAGACCTTCCTTCAAATGACGTAGAGCTGTCTAGAGCCGTATGTAATCTTATCACTGGCTCCGTGGGAATCTGTGCTGTGTTAGCTTTGGTCACTGGACTGCAGCAGCTGCTCCTTCATTCAGTGACAGTACTCGCACGTCTGCCTTATTTGCGACTCCAGGAGTACTAGTAAACGCCAGCGTTCTGCTTCACTTTATAAGTAAACCTACAAGATGTTTGGGTGGCTATTTCACCTCGGCTTGGATGCATTCATTATCAGTGCATTCCTCGCTGGCGTAAGACGCTCAACAGGCCTCACGTATGTCTACCATGCCACTGATGCGAAACGTTGACCCTCACGCCACTGCAGACCTGCACTGTCTCAGGTTCCAAACAAGGACATTCGCCGTGAGTCCCAGTTCCATGACCTGAGAACACTTGTTCACATGTTGTTTCAACTAGAGCTGCTGCGGTCGTATCTTGAAATTGGTCTGTAGACTACGCCAGCATTAATTCAAAGTTTCATTTGCTTATTTGTTTCAGGTGAATACGCATTCGACTTCGCAGTCGTTGTATTCGGGGTATGTAACGGACATTCTATCATTGCATCTCACACTGCACGCCGCTGACAACTCCAACAGCGCTCCAGTTCTTTTGAGAGGAAGCATTGAGCTTGAGTCACTCGCCATTGTAACTCCCATCTCCGGCCGATTACGCATTGTCGACAGCAGATCGCACTCACTACTTTGAAATTGTAATATTTTATTCGGGCGGCCACAGAATTCGCTTACAGCCCTAAAGTTTGACGGACGGGTTGCAGTAGAATTGTGTGCTTGCGCGACCAGTTCCCTAATATTATACGCATTCATCCGAGGAAGTTATATACAAAGAAGTGCAGCACGATAGAGCCAAGGGCAAAGTCTGCGAATGCTCTGGTAGGAAATGAGGATCCATGCACAACAAAAGAAAGGATGCACACACCTTTCAGGCGAGACTTCCTTGAACTCGGATCTGTTTTCGGGGTTGACTTGTGTGCGGAGGGATGCGGTCAGAACGAACTGGCCCACTGAACTTGCAAACCTGTGACAGCACTCAGCACATGTCTGACGCGCTAACCAGAAAACTCACCCAGCAAGGAATGCATTGAAAGGAAAGTTTGTGACAAGTACGCAATACACGAACTGCAGCACTCCGCTAAGCACGATGAACGCTAAGAAAGCGTCAATGAACTTGAGGCGGTCGGGGGTCTGATCAAGATATGATTTCCACAACGTTGAAACTGCCACAGAAGTTTCTGACGAGGCAGATGATGGTTTTGAGGATGACTTTGGGCCAGCCATGTTGAACGAGTGACGGGCTAACGAACTGCTTACTTGTAAGTGACGACGACGTGGAGGAAGCAGTCTCGTCCAAACAAAGAAAGTCGGTGACTTGAAAAGACACCGATCCGTCACGTTCAAAAAATAGTCCTTTCACTACTTGCACGTCCCGAGCTACCTTCTACATAATTTGTAGTCGCCATTATTTGACATGAGCAGTTCTGGCCTGCGTCTAGCGTCGTCCTCCCTTACGGGTGCATTGTCTGCATGGAAGACCACGAAACATCCAAGGCAATTTTGGGGTGCACGGAGACACCTGCACTCTCGAATAGAACTCAACTACAAGGTCGATGAGGGCCTTGCAAACTTCATGTCGCCAAGGACGCTTAAAATGGTTTCCGAGGAGTACCAACAAGGTCTCCTTGACCGGCTGAACGAGATGTTCCCTGGTAAGTAACGTTTCGTGAGCAACTGACTTATGACTTATTCATCTACAGATGCTGCTGACCAGCGAAAGAGTGTCACACAACTCGTGATCGACACTGCCAGCTCTGGAAAAGATGCCCTCGGCTTCTCCTATGCAAGCCACGCCCTTAACAACTCATTCTTCCTCAACTGCCTCGTATGTCTAACTACCCCATTTAATTATTACACCGTACTAATTTACCTTACAGAGACCTCCGCAAAATGATGAGCGCTACGAAGATACCATTCACAATCTTTTTATAGGCCCATCCATCCGTTCCCAATTCGGCAGCGTTCCGCATTTCGTCAACAACTTCTCTTCCGCCGCCAGAGGGATGTCGGGGTCAGGATATATCTGGCTTGTCACGGACGCCCTAGGTAACCTTGCTATCCAGCCCACCTTTGCGGCTGGCACACTACTCGTTCGCTCGCGTGCGTGCACAGAAGACCCTGCGGGTCATCATGAGGTACTTCACGAGGGCAGGTTCCGCGACGGCCCTCAGCCGACGCGCTTGAATACAGGGCTGGGCAACACTCCGACATCGCCCACGTCAGGCATGTCGCAGGGCCCTGCGCCACTGCACCCCTCCGCCCCCGTACGGACGCTGCACTCGTCACCGCGCAGTTACCTAGACGGCGCGCGTTCCTTTTATGATAGTGAGCTCGCAAATCGGTCGCTCGACCCTTCCGCGGGGAATCTACGTGACTTGGGCGAAAAGATCTACCCCCTGTTCTGCGTCAGCATTCACGAGCATTGCTGGCTTCTCGACCACGGAGTGTGGGGCAAGGAGAAATATATGAAGGAGTTTTGGAGCGTGGTGGACTGGAAAACGGTTAACGAACGATACCTAACATTCACAAAAGCGACATTTGGCTCTCAGCCAATGCGAATGTAGGTTGATGGAGCCGCAGGAGCCTAGGGTGTTTTGGCATAATTCGCTGCTCAATCTACTTAGATCTATGAAGTCCATACTTACTTACACCATCCGTTTAAACCTTTTCGCATAGCGGAGTGCTATTGATTTCATGCATGGATCTTAAGTTGGCGGTTCATGATAGATTCCAAAAAAATTAGCGCTGAAGCCTGAGGGAATCAATTTGCTCTGATCGGGATTCGCCGAACGCGGTTACTCTTCACCAAGGTCAATTTAATTTTGCTTTGGTGTCCTCTTCACAAAATGCTTGGAGTGAGTGCTCGTCGTACAACTTTAGTGTCGTACTCTAGGCAATGTCTACCTCGTCCTGCTCGTCTTTATTCAACTCCTACGAAGAGAGCAAATGCACCTGCTACCGCATACGCCCAAGTCCCTCTCCCCCATCCAGAGTATCCCTCTCTGCTTGCTCAGAGGGAAGTACCAGCAAACCACCTCGTAGCAATGAACGGTTTTCTGAGGCGCAGAACGCCGTACACAATCCTGCCAACTCCCCTTCCAGACGACCGTGCTTCAGCTTTGAACAGCTTCTACTTCACCGATTCTCCAACTCAGGACCAGTTGGCAGTCATGGATGCATGTTTGCACAACCTGTACGACGTTCCCCGTGCAAAGCAGGTCTTCGAGCAGCTTAGAAACAGCAAAGCCCGCGAGCCGTTGCTCGAATCTCGCATATACAACTCTTTCTTAGAGGCCTACATCCACATGGCATTTGTCAAGGAGCCCGAGGATAGAACTTTGTGGGTCGAGGACGCGTGTCACCTCTACGATCTCATGGAAAAGGGTACCGAAAGAGTCTACCCGACCGCGTCTACATATGCTATCATGCTGCTAGCGTGGAGACGGTACGCTTCCCTCATCTCCCTAATTTATCACTCTGACCACACTTTCTAGATTTAATCCCGAGTCTGACACGCCCGTCCACCTCTCCGATATGCCCAACCCAACCACCCTCCTTAGCAATCTTATAGAACGAGACATTTCACCCACTGCTGTCGTCGCCGATCGCGCTTTGGCATCATCCGAAGAAGCCTCTGACATCATAAAACTTCTCTCCAAATCTGCAGTAGATCTCAATCTCCCTCGTGTGGTGGCTGAACTCGGTCAGGCTGAATCTCTTGGAAGTCATGTCCCAGACCCATTGGAGGGTGTCCCAGAGGTCAAGCCTGTCACGCGACTCGTCGTATGTGTTGTATCCTTTCACTTGAATCTCACTCACACATCCCCAGACGCCCTCTGAGGAAACTTTGGATGAGGACGGGAATGTGATACCCGCGCAGGCTCAGGAAGAAGTTCCCTTCAACCTCAACAATCTTCGCAACCACTTGGCTCAGGTTACCCTTGCACGACGCGTCCTCCCAGAAGACCTCGCTTCCCGACAAAAACTCCTAGAAGAATCAGTGTACGACGTTGCAGTAGAGCGCCTCCGTCACGAAGCCAAACTATTTGACGAGCTAGGTCTAGGCAATCGCGAACTCCAGCGCGCGGATTTACAAAAGTGGATGTGGGACTGGCACCAAAAGCTCAAGACGCGTCTTGAGGCAGAAATACAGGAGATCATCGCTGCAGAGGCCAAATTTAGTGAGCATATATATGTGCCTGTCAGATATCTGTGTTAACCGCCAGCTAGCTAAAAACAAGCAAACACAACGAATGGGCCCCTTCCTCTCCCTCGTCAAGCCCGAGAAACTTTCCCTCATAACTATCCTAGAGATTATGCGCCTCCAAGGCAGCGGTGGCGTCTCGGATGGTATGAAAACTGCCCGTGCGCTGCTTACCGTTGGGCGCGCGGTCGAAAATGAGTACAAAGCTGAGATGTGCAAGCGCAACAATATCGCCATTCCCTCGCATGCGCGTCCAAGCGAGTTCACAGGTTATTTCACCGGCCTCGGGTACAAGGACTTGCACGCGCGCCGGATGACGGCTGCAAAGTACATGGAAGATAGCGAGGAGTGGACCACAGAGTGGACGCAGCTACTTAGAGTACGCGTTGGGAGTATCCTCGTAGACTGTCTCATGGACACGGCGACGATCGAGCGGACTGCTGTGGATAGACGTACCAATGAGGAGATGTAAGTTTATTCGTCTCTTTCATTGCACAATCAGCTGAAAGTCTCCGTAGTAAAGAGAATCAACCGGCATTCTACCATGCGTACGAATACGTGCGCGGGCAAAAGCTTGGTGTCATCCGGTTAAATCCTGTGGTCTCAGAACGCATCGCAAAAGACGGCCTGCGCGAAACGCTTCACCCACGTCATCTGCCCATGCTCGTCAAGCCCAAGCCGTGGCTCAGCCACGACCAAGGCGGATATCTGTATAATCGATGTAAGTATGCTCATTCACATTTATCAACGGCTCGCTAACATAGTTTGGATTTACTAGCTGCTGCCATGCGCTTCAAAGACTGCCAAGAGCAGCAAACCTACCTCGAGCATGCAACCGCGCTCGGTAACGTCGAACTCGTCTACGCAGGACTGGACGTTCTTGGTAGCACGCCCTGGAAAGTGAACCGGAATATCTTCGACGTCGTGCTCAAAGTCTGGAACTCTGGTGAACGGCTGGGCAAGATCCCCCCAGCAGTATACGACAAGCCAGAGCCAGAGAAGCCCGCGAACATGAATACGGACATCAAAGCTAAGAGCGTGTACGGGACGCGTCTGAAGGCATTCATGCAGGACAGAGCAAACAACCATTCTGATCGGTGTAGCATCAACTATAAAATCGAGATCGCTCGCGCTGTAAGTCTTCCATCTTGTTTTTCCGTGTCAGTGATCTGACGAAAAGCGAAAGTTTCTGGGTGATACGATGTACCTTCCTCACAACCTCGATTTCCGTGGACGCGCGTACCCCATTCCTCCCCATTTCAACCACATCGGCGATGACCTCAGTCGTGGACTAATCATGTTCGGTGATGCGCAGCCCCTTGGCGAGCAGGGCCTGCGGTGGCTCAAAATCCACCTTGCAAACTTGTACGGGTACGATAAGGGGAACTTTGACGAGCGTGTCAAGTTTGTGATGGATCATCTTGAAGATGTGTATGATAGCGCTGAGAAGCCTCTCGACGTGCGTCCCATTCTCCTTGTTATGGTGCTTTTGTGCTGACACGTCGAACAGGGTAACAGGTGGTGGACGAAAGCTGATGATCCATGGCAATGTCTCGCGACATGTATGGAACTGCACGCGGCGCTCGAATCAGGCGATCCACTCTCATACATGTCGTCCCTCCCGGTGCATCAGGACGGGACGTGTAACGGGCTACAACACTACGCCGCTCTTGGCGGTGATGTCAAAGGCGCTGCGCAAGTCAATCTGAGCGTGACGGACCGCCCGTCGGACGTGTACACCTACGTCGCGAACATGGTGGAGAAGCTGCTTGAGGAAGACTTGAAAAATGGCGATAAGTATGCGGCTCTGCTTGCTGGTCGGGTTTCTAGGAAGGTTGTCAAGCAAACTGTGAGTGCTCGTTTTGTTGATTAAGGAATTGTAAGTTGATGTAGCGAGGCAGGTGATGACTACTGTGTATGGCGTGACTTATATCGGCGCTCGCGAGCAGATTGAGAAGCAGCTTAAAGATAGGAAGGATATTCCCGAGGAAGAGTGTTGGGGTGCCAGTGCTTACCTCGCCAAGAAGGTATGCATTCTCTCATCTACTAACAGCCTCGAACTTACCCATCTATTTACAGGTGCTCTTTTGTATTGGTGATCTGTTCGCAGGAGCCAAAGCCATTCAAATCTGGCTGAACCTCTGCGCCCGCCTCATCTCCAAGTCTATCCCAGCCGACCGCATCCCAGATGCATTGCAAGCTCCGAAAGGGCGTAAGAAGAGCGGTTCTTTGCTCCCTAGGAACCGTATCAGGAAAGAACAGATGTCGTCCGTCGTATGGACGACGCCCCTAGGCCTCCCCATCATACAACCGTACCGTAAAACGAAGCGCAAGCAGGTCATGACAGCCATTCAGAGCGTGTTCATCTCCGACCCTAACGCGCCTTCTGAGGTGAACGCTGTGAAGCAGGCGTCAGCGTTCCCGCCCAATTTCATTCATAGTCTCGATGCTACGCATATGATGTTGACCGCCCTCGAGTGTCGCGTAGGTCCCATCAGTTTCGAACTTTTTTTGAGTGATTGATGAGCGTGTTTATAGACCCAGGGCTTAACATTTGCGTCTGTGCATGATTCTTATTGGACACACGCTAGCAGCATCGACAAGATGTCTGAGATCATCCGAGACACCTTCATTGCGCTGCATTCCTCGGACGTGCTCGAGAAATTGTCTACAGAGGTGCGTAGTCCACATGCTGCTCTCCACAATACTGAAGTTCTGGTCACAGTTCCGGACTCGATATGCATCCCACAAGGTTCCTCTCACAGCGCTCCGCACCGGCAAGCTGTTGAAGAACCTTCAAGCTGCAGGCGTACGTATTGTAGCTTCGTCTGAACAAGCAGCCGCACTCCGTGAAGGCGGCTATACGACGTTTGACAACATCATCGATGTTTCAGACGAAGAAGCTGGATCCATTGCCCAGATTTCGAAATTGGAAACTGAGACTTCGAAGCCTAAGACTGCTCCAAAGCCTAAGCAAAAACGTGGCCGGCCCGTCAAAAACATGGTCATCGTCGAAGGTGCCAAAATGGACGTTCCAGTTGTTCCCACGGAGCACGAGGAAGATGAGGACGACGACGCAGGCGAGGATGACTTTGATTCGCTTCTGGTGGATAAATTCGTTGATTTGAGCGCTGTGCTTCCTCCTTTGCCGAAGAAGGGCGATTTCGATGTGGAGACGATCAAGAAGTCGCAGTACTTTTTCTCATAAAATGTTCGTCCATGCGCACGTTTCACTGTTCTTGTTTTCAGTCCATCAACATTGCTTCATCACACCGCAATACGCACACCCCTCGCACTTGCATATCTATCGCATTTATTTTTCTTATCTTATCTGTCACATAGACCTACTTACTCGGAATACTTAATAGAGACTACCTCGCCTCTCATATGGTGTTCGTGAACCGCGAGGCTGCCACCCAAAATGATATCGAAACTACTATGCGGATCAAGGTAACCATCAGGGTAGGTATGGCCCGTATGGGAGAACAAAAGACTGGCCTAGACTAGCAGTGCAACGAATCTGTGGTTGACACGAAGCTGAAATTAATGAGCTCGAAGGAAGCGCGCAATTATTGGGCGCAAATTGGTTTCCGCATTTAGAGAGACGCAGCACTCTGCTGGGGGACGAAGTGCCACCTCATTGTCTCCCGCGCATTGAGAGGATCTACCTGTACCCATCTGGTCCTACCAGCATACATAATATCAATCAATAGTTATTTAATTCACAGGGTCGCAAGGTTGTAGCAGGCGGTGGGGAAGCGGAGTTTAAAACGTGAACATACTTGGATGGTGAAGTTGGTTCGACTTGGAGTTTGCTGCTCGCCATCATCAACACCCTCGACGCTTGCCATTCCGACGTCTTAAGCGTACGGTCCTTACTTTCTTTTAAACACTCACAGTCACTTCAAGAAATTACACTCCTTCCGACGTTATTATGGACCCAACTTTCGACGTCTCTGCCAAAGTCCAAGAATCCAATATGGCAGCCAAACAGAGGGTCAGTTCAGCTCTTTATTAGCTTTCACTAGGCTCACATTCGCTACAGTTTGAATCATTCAAGATGGGCGGTGGTGCTCCAGCCAATAGTTTAAACAATTACATTCCAAAGCATTCACACGGACGATCTCGCTCTCGCAACAGTTCAATATCTTCCCTTTCAACACTATCTATTTCTGCTTCTGCACCTTCATTCCCCTCTCCAGTTGATTTCACTTTCAATAATGTCCCTTCAATCCCACCTCCTTCAAAGCGTCCTAATTCCCATCACAGACGCCGTTCTTCTGTTTCAACTCGCCGCGAGTCGGCCGAGCTTATGGGCGTGTCTCTTCCTGACCTTCCCGCAGCTAATTCAGATGACAATGTCAATCTTGGCGACAAGGACTCTATACGTCGCAGGGCTCTCTGGGCCCTTGAGGGAAAGCCTGACCTCGCTTTCTCCAAGGTCGAAATTCCTGATATCACGTCTCCCAATTTGACAAAGTCTTTTGAGTTCCGTGAGTTTTCCCTCGTTTTATCCCACAGCCCATATTCACAAAATCCCCTGTAGCAACAAAGCCCTCTTTCCCTCCTGGTACTGGTATCAGCGGGCATGGTATTAGTAACCTCATGAGCAAGCGTGATTCATTCGGCAAAATGTTTGCGTCCACTTCTACCTCCAAAGATCAGCTTCAGACACTAGTTGAGGAGGAGGAAGAGGAAGAAGAGGAATCTCAAGAAGACTGTCCTGCTCCAGTTGCCGAGGTTGTCGAGGAATTTACGGAAGCTTCCGCTATTCCACCTACTCCAGCCCCCACACCAGTGGCAAAGTCTGCTATACGTCACCGTCCCGCCAGCCTCAACCTTAGGCCTCTCTCGCTTGTTTCTGGAAATGCTGTCGGTTGCGCTCCCGGAAATCTCCCCACGCCCACTCTTACGCCCAATCCTCGCCCCAATGGTCTGAGATCTCTCGCCTTGACATCCGGCTCTGACACCTTCTCGCTTACGAACCCCAATCCCACGAACAGAAGCATGAATCGCCATTCTACCACTGTCACACCGTCTTCCAGTGGTTCCTTCAGTCTCGCCTCACGTCGCTCTGCTTCAACCGAAAGTTCCTCATCATCTGACATCAGCAGGAAACGCAGTAGCATTTCGTACAAGCGGTCTGTTGCTTCTATTCCTCGCGACATGGGTGTTTTGCCCACGCCTGGCTCAACTCCCACCGACCGTCGTTTTTCGGAATCAAGTGATGTAGGATGCGTCGCAGAACAGCCCCTTACCGCAGCCGAGCAACATTTTTTATTTAGATCGCACAATGTGCTCCTGGCTCGCATAATGGATCTCGAGCGCACGCTACGTACGCGATCGATGTCCCGATCGCGTCCCCTTTCCGCGGCTTCGGATGTTTCTGCAACATCTTCTGAACCAAGCGACGAGATGCTGCAGCTTATCTCGGATTTGAAGGCTGAGCGTGATGAGCTGAAGAGAGATGTGGATGGGTGGCGCATGCGTGTGGCTGATGCAGACAAACAAGCTAGCGTTCTAGCAAGGCGAGTTGATTCTGAGAGAAGAGAAGCCTGGGTGGCTCGCTCGCGGCTTGGCCTGTTGGAAGTCGAGAAGCGTGGCTTGGACAATGCCCTCGGTAGCAAGAATGCCGAGCTCCAGCAATCAATAAGCCAGAGCGAGCAGTTGAAGAAAGAATGTGATAGCATGAGGGGGGAGCTGGATAGGTTGCGTGCTCGTCTTCGAGATGCTGACAGCGCAGTCGACGAGTGCATTCGCCTCCGTGCTGCACTCGAGCTAGAGCGTACCAGGCGCGCGGAGCTGGAGAAACTGCTCGACGACGCCGGATTGCTTAATACACCCACAATTCCACTATCTGTTGATGGGCAGGTCCAATGTTCAGTGCCTAGTCGGTCTTATGGCACCCGTTCTCGTGGACTTGGCTTTCAGTCCATCGACTCTGACAGCTCTTCAACCGATGTGGAGTCTGTCGACCAAAGCTTTACCAAGGCTGAATTCACCCTCGATGCTGTCACAGAGGAAGATGAGGACGAAGACGAGGATACCTGTGACTTTTCTGATGATGAGGATGGGATGGCTGGTTACGAAGATGCAGAAGACTCCGACCTCAGCTTCCAGAGCCCAGATGGTTCATCCATTGGCTCCGAGGATGAACTCGATATCATGCCAGTCTCGGTCCTGAATGAAGCTACAAACAGACTCAACTCGTTGTCCAAACCCGCTCAACCAAAGTCTTTGCATTCTCCACGGGCTTCACTTTCCAAGACGTGGACCTTCCCCAGGGGCCAGCCTGTCATTGCAGTCAAGCGTGATGTTGACGAGATTGACCGGTTCTTTGGATGCCTCGATGACGACGAAAATTCACCCCCACTTAGTTCTGAGGAGATGAGCAAAGTAATTTTTACGTCGACGTTTGGTCTTTCCTACGATGATGAGGACGAGTTACCACCTTTTGTCATCCCTTCAGACGTTGGCACTGTCGTCCTAGACCTTCCCACGTCGAACAGCCTTGATGTTGTGCCAGAAGAAGACGAAGAGGATGCAGGCAAAGCTGATAACGAGCATGACGGCGAACCACTTGGTGAGGAAGTCGAGGGCGGGATCCGTTTCACATTCGACCCTCCGCCGGCTGTCTATAGTCCTCCACCTATCATCTGCATCACACCTCCGACTGAGTCTGAGGCAGCTATTGCGCTAAAACCTACCCCTGTCTATGAGCCTTTTGATGATGAGGAAGATGATGTTTCTCCCTTCACTTTCCCCCAGTCTAGGTTTCAAGAGCCGATCACCCCGCCCTCCTCTTCGCCACCGACTTCGGAGAGCAGCAGCCGTCCATCAAGTAGGACTACCAACTCACCGTCATCAATTCCTCGTGCAACTTCATTGCGTTCCTTCATGCCGCTCACACCACCATCTTCAGCTACACAGCCTGGACGCGCGTCCGATCGTTTTACTGCACTGGCAGACTACCCGGCGACGTCATTTACTACCCCTCCGTCAAGGCGCGGCGGGACTACCTTCATTCCTCAACCGGTCTCACCATCACCATCCAAGATATTCTCTCCTATGACATCCCGCGTTCCTGTTCCGGTGTTGCGCTCCAAGGGTGCCACAAATGGTTCGGCATTTAAGCCTCGCATCAGATCATCCATGAGTGGGTTCTAACTTTTTCTCTTTGGTTTTCACAGCCAACGATGCGACTCTCAGATGCTACGGCGCCTCTGAGGAGGTAACAGGAGCAAACTCCGATACTTGTGAATACTCCGACCAACAAGCCTCAACTTCATCTTTATCGTCCATTATGTCTTCACCGCTTGCGGCACGATTTTCATTCCAGACATTGTCAAACTTTATTCCCCTATCGTGGACGCCGGGTGCAGCTGCGGTTGCGTCGCGCACTACGCCTAGCACCTCAGTTAGCTCGATTGATGATGTTGCACAGGCAGCATCGTCATTCACTAGTGCTTCGCATGGTGTACGACGCTCGATTGAAAGGAGATTTGTTTCGAGGGATCAGCAGTTGGAGAAGCTGAAGAACCGATTGGGCAATAACCATATTAATGGCATAGGACGCTGTCTTGCGGTCGCTCCTTGCGGTGCTTGCAAGGGCGCCGACGTTTTTTTGTGAAGCACCTTGCCAGTATGTTCCCTGACCCACTGGGTCTGTATGCTCGCCCTAGTCGTATGCCTTCTCCTTCTCTATGACCCCCCTACATCTCCGATTGACGTGTCACATACTCTCACATCCCCCTCACTTTTTCTTTGTCGTGTTATGACTGCCCGTGAGGGGAAAGTCATGTTATCATGTCCCAATACTGTTGTCTTTGTATTATATTATTATTTGCCTTCTAAGAACACTTCGAGGACAATCTTCGTTCATGCTCATATTTTTATTTGTCACGTCTATGCATTCTTGGGTCTCATCGAACGATATCGATATGTCAGGGTTATTTGCAAGCTTGAGTCGGTAGGTCCCGGCTGGTAAGTAGGCGTGGGAACAATGCGAGAGCAATTCGGTCAATCCAGCTTCAAGCTTCGACAACTAAGAACCTCAACGTCAACCACCATGGTAGCACCCAGGGGAGCACGCACTTTCATGCGCAACTGGTTTGCCATCGAGGTACTTTTTCCTTAATTTGTACTTTCGTGAGCTGACCGGTTTACTGCACTCAGGCAATTCCTATGTGAGCTCGTATCTCCGCCTTGACAAAGTTCACTTTTATTGACGACCGAGCAGCTACGCCGTTATTGGTTTGGCAGTCGGGGGTGCAGGCTGGTATTTGACCCGCCTCGCTCGTGGCCCTACGGGTATGGCATACCCTCGTTCCGAGCTTGTTCGCATCTGCTAACGACCGAATGAACAGTCGTTTGGACAAAGAGTAACCCCACTCCCTGGAACGATGTCAAACAAGATGAAAACATCAAGATGTTGGATGTTAACTCGAGGTTCGCAAAGAGGTGCGCCGTATACTCAGTGCACGGGATTCTAGGGCTGGGCTAACTCATTGGTACTCTCAGCTGGTCGAGGGACAAGCTATAACTTAAGCTCGCACCGGAGTGCCATACCTTTTTTGTCGGTCGTGCTCGTTGTCATAATACAGTTTCAATTATATCCTGTTTTCCTCCATTCACGACCGTTCCATGCATGTGACCATGTCATTGATTACCGTTTCAGTCGGGCCGGATAGTTGCTTTTAGTTTTTGGTCTTGGGTTGGTTGACATTAAAAGACGACAATATCTCGTTCCCTCATTTGACGATCCGCGCTATCTATTAAGTAGTATGGTGGTCAACTTCAACGCTCCTGATCCTGATTATCCTCTCCCTCCTCTCAAGGAGGTACCGGATGACGATGCTGATAAGCCAAAAGAGGCGTATAAGCTGGTAACTCACATGCTCGATATTTTGACCACATACTGACTGTCAATCATTAGACTACGACGCTTAGCGGCTTCCCTGCGATCATCTTTGGCGCTGCTACGTTATCCCGCATCTATAATGAAGCCGACCATATCTCCGGAGTAACACCTTTACGAGCTGCCAGGCTGGCCCTGCGGTATGTAGCTTGCTAGACGGCGACGCGGAATGTATATCTGAGCGGCCTATAGCTATGGCATCAATGCATTCGATACTGCGCCATTCTATGGGGATTCTGAGATCATCCTCGGGAACGCTCTTCAAGCTCTTGAGCCTGAATTTCCTCGGGATTCATATACGTTGGTGCGTGCGCTTATCAGTGCAGAAGACTAACAGTAACACTGCTTTTGGTGCAGATCACTAAGGTCGGCCGCTATCCTACCGAATTCGATTATACCCCTGAGGGTATTGAGAGTAGTATCGCGCGCAGTCTTCGGCGCTTGCACACCACCTACCTTGACGTCGTATACTTGCATGATGTCGAATTCGTCGCGGACGAGAAGCTCCCTAGAAGAGGAGGAAACCACGTTACTGCTCTTGGGGAAGAGAGGGAACAATACGGGTTGAATGAAAGTCAGGAGGGTGAGACTTATACGGACAAGGATCACAAAGTTTTGTCCGCTGTGAAGAAGCTTTTTGAGCTGCGAGATGACAGAGGCGTCATCAAGCGCGTGGGGATCAGCGGTGAGTACACTCTAGATCTGACACTATCAATTCCCGCATTAAAAACGCGTATCAGGCTTCCCACTTCCAACTCTCCTGCGTATCGCGATTCTCATCCAGAAGCGCCTCGGGAAGCCAGTAGACCTCTTGATGTCCTACTGCCACCTCACACTGCAGAATAGCACCCTCGCGCAGTTCAAATCCGAATTCGGGCCACGCGCGGGAGTGAAGCAAGTTATCACCGCCTCGCCTATAGCCATGGGTCTTCTGCGGCCTTCGCCCCTTCTGGCGCATCCTGCGCCACTCGAGATCAGGGTCGCGGCAAAGAGGGCTGTGCAGCTCAGTGAGGAGTGGGATGCGTCTGGGACTGGTCTTCCTGACTTGGCGCTGCAGTATACGTTTGCGCGCGCGAGGGAGATTGGGATTCCTGCAGCGGTTGGGCTTAGTACACTTGAGGAGGTCCATGCGAGTGCGAAGGCTTGGCATGAGGTGGATGCTGAGGGGTTGTCGACGAAGGAGGACTGGGTTACTCGGGTTAAGAGCGTGCAGGACTTGTTCAGGGATGTGCAGATGCTGGACTACTCTTGGGCGACACCTTGATTTACATAAGTCGGTGAAGGCGGACAAGCATGTACGATTAAGTTTGCAGGAACAGTCACGGAACAGTAGTTGAAAGTGTTGATAAAGCAAAATGATATTTGAACTGATACAAACGAAACTACACTAGTGTGAATCAGACATGACTGCGCAGATCATCGTGTCTTGATGATTCCTGCGTTGATGAGTTTCATAATCTTCTGGCGTACGACAGGGTTTTTCATGTGATCTTGCAATGCGCCAGGATTGCCCTGCGCTTGCTGCAAAATTTGCTGCATCACGGGGTCGCCCATGATTTGCTGCAGAACATCTCTGATTAACACCATAACCATGCAGGAAAATCAAATAACACTCACAGCAACTTCGGGATCCTTCATGGCTCGGTCGAGGGTCTGTTCCTCCGTCTCATCGGCACGTTGAGTAAACAAGGCTTGCTGGATCTTGGACTCCTGGACTTGAATCTCATGAGCATGTGCGTTCCCGGTATCGGCTGACGACGCGGCCTGTAGAGCCTCAAGAGCCTTGCTATACTCGCGCATCGTGTGCAGGATCGTGGCTTTTCGGATATATGCCTTGACTGAAGCAATGTTCAGAAATGACCTACGGCGAATCAGACGAAATCAAAACTCACCGAATGTGGAATCGACCTCGATTGCTTTGTCGGCATCCTTTAGAGCTTCAGCCAATGCCATGAGTTTCATGTACGCTGCCGCTCTGTTGTTGTATCCTCTTGCATCGGAAGGATCGCGCTTGATACTCTCCTCATACAATTTCACGGCCTTTGCGAAGTCACCACTCTTGAATGCGGCATTACCCTCCTCACGTGCGGTGGCAGACTTGGCGGGGTCGATGTACGACTGCCGCTCGTTCTCGACGATGGCTTTCTCGGTAGCTTGGAGCTTTGCGAGGATGGTAGCGTCACGGTGTTCTGAAAGTGACTTTTGGAAGTATTTCTTCGCAGACGGTAGGTCGTTCTTTGCGGTGTACGCAGTCCCAATACGGCCGAAGATTTTGGCAATAATCTTGTAGTCTGCGCGGAGCTGGGTCATGCGTTAGAAGATGTTGTTTGTGGGGAAGGGAGCGACGTACTCCTCGGCCCTCCTCAACAGCCAACTCGCACGTTTCGATACACTGATCGTACTCTTTCGCCTCGAGATATGCAGCACCGAGATTGCCAAGGAACGTGATGTCCTTTGGCCACAGATCCCAAGCTTTCTTGAAGTATTCTGCGGCTTCGGTAAAGCGTTGTGCCTTGTAGTGCTCTGCGCCCTTAGCCTTTGCGGCGAGCGCGTCTGCCTTGGCTTTGGCCTCTTCAGCATCCTCATCTGTCATCTCAACGTCTTCGGGCTCAGGGGCTGGTGCTGGTGCTGGTGCTGGCGCTGACGGAGTCTTCGATGTGAATGAAGGTGGCATCCGAGGTGTTCCAGCCCTTCGGGGAGGGATAGGGTCTCCCTTAAAGCCGGGCGGAAGGACAGGCTCTCTATCAAAGTCGGGCGGGAGCTCATCAGATCCGTCTTCGCGCGAAAAACCTTGCATATCGATGCCCATGGCTACACCAAGGACATCAATCATGCGGGGGTCTGATGAGAGAGCTCTATAGAGGATGGTTGAGTGCTGCTAAGGAACAGGGGTTGTTGAGCTAAACTTACGAATCAGCGAGTGCGGGGTTTTGTTGGAAGAGTTTGAGCTGGGAACGTCAGTCAATTGTATTGAGTGAGATATTGAGGAATGATGTACCTTTTGCACAAACGCTGGATCGGCGAGATGTTTTTGTGTTCGGGGGTTAGTTGCTAGCTTGCCAATGAGATTTGGGTCTGCAAACATTCTTCCGAGGCCAAAGGCATCAGATCCATCCCTGCCTGAATTCGGTGGCGCGTCAATGACTGATTTAATCTGAGTGAACGAGGGTAGCCTACCCTTTGCATCCTTCACCTCTTGTAAACCTTTGCGCAAGGCAGGGCTGTCCTCGAACTTGAGGCCGGCTTCATACGCCTCGACAGCCTCATCATATCGTCTTGCACCGTGCAATGCAGCCCCTTTTCTCGCGTAGCCTTTGGACCACGACATATTGAGGTTGATACACTTAATCGCCGCATAGGCATCAGCATGCCAGACGCGAATCAGACAGGGCTCACCTGTTCTGCGTCCTCAAGCGCTGCTGCCCACTGCTTCTGGCCAGCTTTCGCTGCACTCCGATTTGAAAAAAGGACATGGTTCGAAGGGTCGATGGCGATGGCAGCTGTGAATAACTCGATGGCTTTGTCGTAGTCTTTGGCAGAAAAGGCTTTGTTGCCCTGGTCTTTCAGTGCATTTACCTGCGTAAGTGTTTGCCCGCGTTAAATTGTCCGGTTAGGCGACGAATTAGATAGTATGTTACGCACATCCGACATGCTCGTTAGATGAGCTTGGTGAAAGGTCTTAGATGGACGTTGGCGGTTAAGATGGAGATGGATCTTCGAGACTGTGTAGTCTTTCAGGTTAGTACTTCCCCTCTGGCCCAGTACTTTTATACAATCCGTATTCGTCACTGACCAAAATTGAGGAACTTTCTCGAATCTTCGAGCAAGGAGAGTCCAAGATTGGTCTAAGCGCCCAAAATCGTTATCTTAATCTTATCAAGTCAACCATGTCTAGAGGACTACCGTACTATGTACCAGTCAACCATCCAACGGAACAAAACTTTAACGTTAATGCGTCAAGCTTGTCTCCAGTTTTTCTGTGACCTCGAAACATAATTTCTCACGATAGCAGCTGCACAACTGGCACGCGGGGTTCGGGTTCGCAATGCGCATCATGCACCCACTGTCAGCTTCCCAACAAATATTGGCAACCATCTCCGCACTCATAAGCACACTCTATGGGTTGCATTGTCACTGCCAACCAATAGTTGGCGGCTCCCCTTCATGGTCAAAGACGTAGTCCAAAACAGGACACGAGTCTAGTTCGCGCCAAGGCGAGCATCTGTGAAGTCACATTTGGTTAGATCAGTGCGTAAGTATGTGCGGTGTATTTTTGTCCGATGATTCACACCTGCAGGCATATTCGACATCTTATAGTGGTTCTCACCGACCTTACCGCGTCCCTTGGTTGGCAAACAGCGGTCAATCTGCACGGATACTTGTGCAGAACATGGTGGCCAGGCTGACTACCTGTCAATTGTCGCCATTCTGACATATGCACGTTTAGTATTGCCGCAATGCGATTCGAGGGAAATAAGTGGTACACCGGATTCATATTAATGTCGCAACTACCACTCCACCCTTCCATCACAGCGTTTCTTCTTCAAGTCACATGCACCCAGAGGCTATGGTCATAAGGGAAAGGCTATATATTTAATCTATGGGTCCACAATGCGCCGATTCTCTTGTCTCTGTCTCTCATGGCAGCTTCTTCCAATCCGACAGAAGAAAATTGGCATCCGTCCAGTCTTCTTGCATATGACGCACTCCCGGATCACCAGGACTTTGACTCCATAATATCTGATGCAAAATTCACCGCTGATACTGGAACTGATTTCTACGGCCGTAGTCTGACGAGTCGCAGATATGCCCTTGTTGGGGTGGCATGCTCAAGCATTTTCGGCTGCCTATGCGTTGTTGCAGGCCTTGTCACTTTAGCCAATCACGGAGTCTCAGGAGTAACCCCGACCAAGATGGGCACTGACAATTGGTTGTTACGCGTGCAATGGGAGATAGTGACCTTGCTATTAACCTTAATTGTCACGTTTTGCACCGAGTCTATAGGCTTTGTACACGACATCTCATTGCGCTCTGCACTAGCCTCAGAGTCTCGACTTCGTTTCAACACCAATCTGCGCCTTCTGACTGCAGCTCGTGGATGGTATAACCCCAACGGCGCCCTGCTCAATGGTGTCTCGGCTGTCCTCCTCATTATCTCCTATAGCTCTGCCGGCCTTGTCGTATGTGTCGACTATTCAGCCCCAACCCCATCGCCAGATTGGGTGCTTGAGACGGGCCTTGCCTTCGCAGGGTTACCTCTCCTCTTGTTGGGTGTCGCACTTCTTCTGCAGGTGGTGATCGCATTATCAGGGATGCGGGCTGCCAAAATTTTGACGTGGAGCTCCTCGCCTTTTGACTTGACCGCTGCACTGGTCCACCACACGCAATTGACCCCGGTTTCTTTCCGGTGCATGCGTTGTGTGTCTGATATAGACTTGGCTGGAGGTCCAGCGAAGCCCTCAGACACGCAACCCTCAGCGTGGCACGCTCATCCTAGCGTCCGAAAAGTTGTCATTACTCTCTGAGGGCTCGTTGCAGCATGCGCTGGATGGGCCGGAGTCGTCTTGTATATCCAGGACAATGACGCCGACATGGGAGTGACCAACCCCGCGCAGCCGTGGTCGTTTTTGCCAACGCCCGACGAGCGTCCCGGTACCATCGTGTATAATATTTCGGGTTCCAATCTTCAGGGGTGGATTCTGATCTTCTTCAACGTGGGAGTTTTCCAGGGGCCGTTGACACTCGGGCTGCATTGCTCGGAGCTCATCGCGAATGTCATTCGAGATGAAAGGCAGTGGAGATGCGCTACCGGGAGGAAAGGAATTAGAATGGCGACAAACCCGCTGAAGTCTATTTTCACTCATCCGATCTGTCTCTTACTTTTCGTCGTGAAGCCTTTCTTGCGTGAGTCTTTCATCTCTAGTTTTTTATCGGTGTGATTGAGCACCATTATCGACGATAACAGACTGGATGTTTGGGCTTGGGTTCAATATAGATGTCACCGCCAGTGGCGAGCAACTACCAAGTTTGCAGGCTTCCATGAGCATTGCCCAGGTTTGCACTTACTATCCATGCAAAACCGCTACAACATCCTCATACACTCATGCAGATCTGGAACTTATGTATAGCGCTAGTTATATTCGCCTGTCTCTTCACTCTTGTCGCACTGCGCCGACCGCGTGGCCCACAGCCAGCCACATACGGGCACCTCCAGACGCTCGCCAACCTCGTGGATGAATGGTCAACTGTGATGTGGTGGGGCCACAAAGAGGACGGAATCCCTTATTGTCATGCTGGTAGGGTACTTATATGGTCACGAGGATGATGCATTGATGGTTTCAAACAGGGACGAGTGATCATCCGCTGCAGGATGTGAAGATGGACTGTGTTTATGCTGGTTCCGGCGTCGAGCCCCCTGCATCTGGCTCGTGAACGGTAAGAAGCCCCCGCTTTCAAACAGACATTTCTTGATTTATCTTTGTCGATATAGGAGCCAAAATTATACTAGCCAGGCCAGCTATACGTCGTTGGGGCGCACAGCGAGCCGCGCCGTCGAAAACGACACTGCGGTATATCATCATATGATATTGCCACTTGGATATACTTTGGACTGATCTGCTGAGAGTCCGACAGGATTAACTTAGCAGGACCAAGATGTAAAAATTGATCGAGTCTCAACGTTCCAGATACTACCATTATTTACCTTGCTCGCATTGCTATCTATACATAGGACTCGCGATTTCTTTCGCTAGTATGAAGCTACATGTATTTGGAAGATGGAGATGGATCTTCGAGACTATGTAGTCTTTCACGTTAGTACTTCTCCTCTGGCCCAGTACTTTGATACAATCTGTATTCGTCACTGACCAAAATTGAGGAAGTTTCTCGAATCTTCGAGCAAAGAGAGTCCAAGATTGGTTTAAGCGCCCAAAATCGTTTTCTTAATCTTATCAAGTCAACCATGTCTAGAGGACTACCGTACTATGTAGCAGTCAACCGTCCAACGGAACATTTAACGTTAATGCGTCAAGCTAAGCTTTGTCTCCAATTTTTCTGTGACCTCGAAACATAATTTCTCACGATAGTTGAGCCTGAGAAATGCAAACTCGCATGCACCCACTGTCAGCTTCCCAACAAATATTGGCAACCACCCCCGCACTCTATGATAAGCACACACTCTGGGTTGGAGCATCTGTGGAGTCACATTTGCTTAGATATGCGTAAGTATGTGCCGTGTATTTTTGTCCGATGATTCACACCTGCAGGCATGTTCGACCTCTTATAGTGGTTCTCACTGACCTTATCGCGTCCCTTGGTTGGCAGACAGTGGTCAATCTGCACGGGTACTTGTGCAGAACATGGTGGCCAGGCTGACTACCTGTTAATTGTCGCCATTCTGACATATGCACGTTTAGTATTGCCGCAATGTGATTCGAGGGAAATTAGTGGTGCACCGGATTCATATTAATGTCGCAACTACCACTCCACCCTTCCATCACAGCGTTTCGTCACATGCACCCAGAGGCTATGGTCATAAGGGAAAGGCTATATATTTAATCTATGGGTCCACAATGCGCCGATTCTCTTGTCTCTGTCTCTCATGGCAGCTTCTTCCAATCCGACAGAAGAAAATTGGCATCCGTCCAGTCCTCTTGCATATGACGCACTCCCGGATCACCAGGACTTTGACTCGATAGTTTCTGATGCAAAATTCACTGCTGATACAAGAACTGATTTATACGACCGCAGTCTGACGAGTCGCAGATATGCCCTTGTTGGAGTGGCATGCTCAATTATCTTTAGCTGCTCATGCATCGTTGCAGGCATTGTCACTTTAGCCAATCACGGAGTCACAGGAGTAGCCGTGTACAACATGAGCCCCCTTGACACTAATCAAGAGATAGCTCAGTTGAGCATGCAGGGGGAGACAGTGTCCCTGATGCTAAACTTAATCGTCACGTTATGCACCGAGTCTATAGGCTTTGTACACGGCATCTCATTGCGCTCTGCACTAGCCTCAGAGTCTCGACTTCGTTTCAACACCAATCTGCGCCTTCTGACTGCAGCTCATGGATGGTATAACCCCAACGGTGCCCTCCTCAATGGTGTCTCAGCTATCCTCCTCATTATATCCTATAGCTCAGCCTCCCTTGTCGTATGTCTCGACCAGCGATTACCGACGTCACCAACAGAATTTTTTGCGGAGGGCCTTGCCATCGCAGGGTTACCTCTCCTCATTTTGGGCATCGCACTTCTTCTGCAGGTGGTGATCGCATTGTCAGGGATGCGGGCTGCCAAAATTTTGACGTGGAGCTCCTCGCCTTTTGACTTGACCGCCGCACTGGTCCACCACACGCAATTGACCCCGGCTACTTTCCGGTGCATGCGTTGTGTGTCTGATCTGGACGTGGATGGAGGTCCAGCGAAGCCCTCAGACACACAGCCCTCAGCATGGCACGCTCATCCTAGCGTCAGAAAAGTTGTCATTTCTCTCTGGGGACTCGTTGCAGCATGCGCTGGATGGGCCGGAGTCGTCATGTATATTTGGCACAAGTACGCCGTCATGAGGCGCCCCGTTTACCCTGAGCCGCCAATTTGGTCGTTCTTGCCCAACGGGTATCCCGGTACCATCATGTATGCTATTCCGGGCGCCAGTGTTCAGGGGTGGATTCTGGTCTTCGTCAACATGGGAATTATCCAGGGGCCGTTGACACTCGGGCTGCATTGCTCGGAGCTTATCGCGAATGTTATTCGAGATGAAAGACAGTGGAGATGCGCGAGCCTGAGGAAAGGACTTAAAATGGCGACAAACCCGCTGAAGTCTATTTTCACTCATCCGATCTGTCTCTTACTTTTCGTCGTGAAGCCTTTCCTGCGTGAGTCTTTCGCCTCTGGTTTTATTTATCGGTGTTATTGAACACCATCATCGACAATAACAGACTGGATGTTCGGGCTTGGGTTCTTCGTAATTGTCGACCCCACTGATGAGAAAATAGTGGCTTTGTATATATACATGCCCACTGCCCAGGTTTGCACTTACTGCCCATGTAAAACCACTACAACATCCTGATTCCCCATGCACTCGTGCAGATCTGGAACTTATGTATAGCGCTGATTATATTCGCCTGTCTCTTCACTCTGGTCGCATTGCGCCGACTACGCGGCCCACAGCCCGCTACATACGGACACCTACAGACACTCACCAACCTCGTGGATGAATGGTCGCCTGTGATGTGGTGGGGCCACAAGGAGGACGGAATTCCTTATTGTCATGCTGGTAGGGTACTTATATGGTCACGAGGGTGATGCATTGATGGTTTTAAACAGGGACGAGTGATCATCCGCTGCCGGATGTGAAGATGGACTGTGTTTATGCTGGTTCCGGTGTCAAGCCTCCCGCATCTGGCTCGTGAACGTTGAGAAGCCCCCGCTGTCGAACAGACAATTCTTGATTTATCTTTGTCAATATAGGAGCTAAATTTATACTAGCCATGCTAGCTATATGTTGATGGTGCGCACAGCCAGCCGCGCCGTCGCCCAAGACACTTGTGAATTTCATGCTGTCTACGCTATGCACTGGCAGGCAGCTCGGTATATCATCATATGATATTGCCACTTAGATATACTTTGGACTGATTCTCGGACAGGATTAAGTTAGCAGGACTGAGGTGTAGAAATTGATCGAGTCTTAACGTTCCAGATACTACCATTATTTACCTTGCTCGCATTGCTATCTATACATAGGACTCGCGATTTCTTTCGCTAGTATGAAGCTACATGTATTTGGACTCTGATTTCGCAGACATTCCCTTGCCTTGGCTCGCCGCTCCAAAACTTTCCAAGCCTGCGTGTCACTGAAGAGCAAATAGAGCATGCACATTGCACATCTCGAGTAGGTTGCTGTTCGTCGGATCAATTTCTCACTTACTAATCAAGAGCAACTTGAACGGTTTCTGTCGACAGGGGCTCAGCAGGGCTCAAACGTTCAACAATACACACCATAATCAATTCACTGAGCGAAGAAGCATAGGTTCTTGGGAGGTGGTATAAAACGGTATTTAAGGAGGCAGCTTTCCTATTGTTAACTTCTAACTCGAACTTCAATAGATATGGGCTATCAAATACTTGCTGAGTTTGCCACGGAAGCCCAGATTGATGCATGGATTGATGCCACAGTTAAGGCTGCAGTTAAAGCTGAGGTAGAGAGATGTTGTGCCTTGTTTAAGGCCAAGTTGGTGGCCCACGACGAGTGGTTCCAGGCGATGTTGAAAGCCAAAGAAGAAAAGTTCAAGGCCTGGTTGGCGCAGTCGGATGGGGGAACAAGAGTTGCGCGTAAAGACTCATTACAGGTACGAGGACATCTCGCTAGTTCTGTTCATTGTCTTGTCATATATTTGACCCAGCGCGCACAGAAATACCGTCAAGCTGCCTCATTTTCATCTCACTGAGTCCCCACGGTGCAGCCTCACCAGGGGTTAGTGCCACCTGGAAACCAGTACAAAATATTTGTCACAACCATTGTCAGTGTTCCTTTCATGAGTTGCTCTTTGTCCAGACCATACAACCCTGGCTCGTGAACGGCAACACCAATAGATTGCTGTTCGATCACCAGAGATCTGAGCTGAGCGTTACAATGTCCAAGCATTTCCCCCTATAAACGTACTTAGGGTCCGATTAAGTATCCTGCTCACTGCTCAAATGCACTCGTCACTTCAAACTTGAGAAGAAAAGACGAAACCTCTCAACAGCCAACCCGAGCATACCAATCCCAGGTTCCGAAACTTTTTAACTCTTCACCGGTCCAGGATCTTGCGCCGATGTTAAGTAAACGTATTTCAACCGTTACGGACTGCATTCCCCATTCGATAAGCATCTACATCCAATGGCAGAGAAAAAGAAACGTGCGTATGTCATCACGGTGCGGGTGGTCGCGATTGTGTACAGCAGGGTGGTACGTGGTCGCCACGAGCAGCGAGGTGTTTATTGTGGTGCATCTCTCTGTCAATGTCCGCATCACGTTGTATCCCCTGCAGGCCGCTGCATAATGTTGAGCCTGGCTCAACGAGGCTCCCTACATCGACTCTTCCTCCGCTGTCGTCGAGTACGCAGAGGTATGACTCCCGCCTCTTATGCTGCCCTGCACAGGATAGGGCCGCGCATCGGGGCAAGGTGGTTGAAGATCGTGTTTACCGTCAGATGAAGATATTCCCAGACCCAGATGCAGATCCAGGTGGGTTGTTCGGACAGTGCTGGCCATGGTGTTGCCTAGGATGTGGGCGAGGCGGAAGAGGGCAAGATTGGGGGCGTAGATGCGTGATTGGGAAGGGTTTGTCGCAGGGAGTGATTGGGGAGACGGAGGGAAGTTGGGACCTTGGCCATTGTCAAGGTAGTGAAGGTTAGACATGTACATAAGAGAGATGATGGACGCATTGATGATTGTTCGAGTAGTATAATGTACCACATACCCCAGGCTTTCTCTCTGCAAGCCCCCTGTCATTAATCTCCACCTTGTTGGGTCGCGGTGTAACGCAAATAACGTGAGGCCCGTGCTAGTTCACCACCGAGCAGCCCAAAGTTCCTCGCTGTCTGTCTTGCCGAGAGTGAAATAATGGCAGCGATGAGGCACTCAATGGGTTGACCTTCAAAGAAATGCTGAACCATTGTGATTGTGGTAGAGGATGACGGGACAACTCGTCCAGCCGACTTGCATGGCCATATATATGGCCATTGGCCACGAAACCATTTCCACATGACCTTGTATTTCAGAACAAGTACAATGCTTGTGCAGTCGTTTCCGTCGCACCATACCAAGCCCAGCAACCGTCAGCACTTGGAGCTATACTTTATTGTTGCGTCGAATGTACCAGAAAGCACGACGCGCGTGAAGAAGAGGTCTAGGCCGTATACAAAGACGAGCGACGGAGCAGATACCATTTCTCAACGTTCAACGTTCCCCATGTTTGCACTCGCCGCACTTGCTATACATGGTAACTCCGCAATAACTCCGCATGCGATACATTCATAAGAGTCCCTTCCCCAGTCTGTTTACTATACTCGACTGAGGTAAGTCTCATTGTATGATCCTCACATTCCTTAATGACGCAGCACAAGACTTACGAAGTTCTTGTCTGTTTAGACGCGTGACGTCTTTCACCCCAGAGCACATTAGGTTGGGCGCACATGAAAGTCTAACTTACTCATGAATTATGATGCCAAGCATGTAACGACGGCGCCCATCAACGCGAGGACTTGGATTCCTACATATGCTCCTGTCATCACGAAATGTTCGCGCGGCCCAGCCTTTTTCTGGACCTGGGACCTGGAAGCCCAGACTTTGCCACAGACAGGCACTCATAAGAACACACAGAATTTGGTACACCATCAAGTTGAAAGTGAGTGTTTTTCTGATTATGATACCGTTTATTGGGGCAGTGACACTCGTCTCTTCGCTATGCTGTTAGGCTCGCCTAGAGCCCCAGCTTTTCAAGTAACGGATACGTTCTTCTCGTATTGCCGAGATGTCAGTTACCCGTAAAGCTGAGGTAATCTTCCAGTGCACATCATGATGATTATCACCTCAGGGCTGATTGCTACCTAGAGGCTATGAATATCTTGGTGGAAGCGTGCATACTTAATCCACATCCGTAACGCTTTGACCATCTAGCGTCCGTTCTCTCCACTCCCCCATGTCAGCTTCTCGCCATTGGTATCCACCCAGTCATCCTTCCTACCATGCACTCCCGAAATCCCATGAAGACTTTGACTCAATACGGTCAAAGTCCACTGCTGGGACTGGGACTAATTTCTACGACCGCAGTCTGACGGTTCGCATGTATGCCCTTGTTGGGGTGGCATTCTCCACTATCATCAGCTGCTGTTGCATCACCACAGGGATTGTCATTATAATAATTCAAGGAGCCAATGGGGTGACCCCGTTGATGAGACTCACAGGTGCCATGCAAGACAGCGACCTGCCGTTCGAGATATTGAAGTTGATACTAAACCTACTCGTCACAATATGCACCGAGTCTACAGGCTTCGTCCATAACATCTCGTTGCGCTCTGCGCTAGCCTCGGACTCTCGGCTTCGTTTCAACACGAATCTGCGCCTTCTGACCGCAGGTCATGGATGGAGAAATCCTAATGGTACCCTATTTAATGGCATCATGGTCATCCTCCTCGTCATATCCTACACCTCATCCTCGCTTGTCGTGTATATCAACTACGCATACTCTTCAGACGGTTCGCATGCGGATTATGTTGCCATCGCAGGGTTACCTCTGTTCTTGTTGGGCATCGCACTTCTTCTGCAGGTCGTGATAGCGATAGCAGGGATTCGGGCCGTCGAAATACCCACTTGGAGCTCCTCACCTTTTGACTTGACCGCTGCACTGGTCCACCACACACAATTGACCCCGGTTGCTTTCCGGTGCATGCGCAGTGTATCTGACATGAATGGGGATGGAGGTCCAGCGACGCCGTCAAAGACACAGCCCTCAGCGTGGCGTGCTCATCCCAGCATCCGAAAAGTCGTCATTTTTCTTTGGGTGGTTGTTGCAGCATGCGCTGGGTGGGGCGCATTCGTTATGCATATCTGGGACAAGGTCCCCAGCACGAGATTCTCGTCTCCTCCGCTAGCCATGTCAACGTGGTCGTTGTCGTTCAACGAGAAATCGAATTACATCGGTTATTACATGCCGGATGCCGGTCCCCAGTGGTGGATTCTGGTCTTTATCAACCTGGCAGTTGTCCAGGGACCGTTGACACTTGCATTGCATTGCTCGGAACTCATCGCGAATGTCATTCGAGATGAACGACAGTGGAGACACGCTACCACAAGAAAAGGACTTCATACGGCGACGAACCCGCTGACAGCGATTCTCACTCATCCGATCTGTATCGTACTTTTCGTCACGAAGCCTTTCCTGCGTGAGTCATCCACATTTATTTATTATTGAACACCACCAACAACGATAACAGACTGGATGTTCGGGCTTTCATTCGTCGTATCTGACGGCGCCGCTGACGGGGTGCTGGGAAGGTTCGCGATATTCATGCTTACTGCCCAGGTTCGTATTTGCTGCCCATGTAAAAACCACTACAACATCCTCACACACTCATGCAGATCTGGAATTTATGTATAGCGCTGTTTATATTGGCCTGCTGTTTTACTTTCGTCGCACTGCGCCGACCGCGCGGCCCACAGCCAGCCACATACGGGCACCTCCAGACGCTCGCTAACGTCGTGGACGAGTGGTCGCCTGTGATGTGGTGGGGCCACAAGGGGGACGGACCTCAGTGTTGTCATGCTGGTAGGGTAATCGTTTCGTCACGATGATCATGTATTGATGGTTTTATACAGGGACGAGCGATCATCCGCTGCCAGATGTGAGGATGGGCTTTGCTTATGCCGGTTCTGATGTCAAGTCCTCTGCGTCTGTCTCGTGAGAATCCTTCGCTTTCAAAAAAACATTGCCGACATGTCTACATTGGAGCAAAATCCAAACCTGCCGGGCTGACGGTGCGCACAGTCAGCCATGCCGTACGTTGAACGAGACATTTGTAATTTTCATGCTGTCTGCGCTTCACTGGCAGGCAGCTCGCATTGCCACTGCACGCTTTCCAGCTCTTTTGGTTTCGGTTTGGTTTTGATTTGGGGTATATATACTTTAGACTGATCGGCTCGTACAGTCTCTAAACAAACAGGACTAGGATGTATATCATATTACTACTGCACACTTTCCAGTCGTTTCGGTTTGGTTTTGGTCTTGGGTGTACTTTGGGCTGATCTACTTGCACCGTATTTAAACGGGACTAGCTAGGATGTTGACATTGATCGAGAGTCCCGATGCTACCATCATATACCCTTCCTCGCATCGCCATCTTCACATAGGATTCAGGATTGCTCTTACCACAAAAGTCAGTACGAAGGCTACATAGCATTTTTGATTCTTTATTTCCACAAACGTCGTCAGCGCTTGTACTTCTTCGGAACTCTCTAGTAAAATGAAACCTTGTCGAAAAAACTACCAGCACCCAGACCTCGGCGCGATAAGATATCACGTCCGACTGTGAAGGTACTGCCTTTAACGATACTTGGTAGGAACACAACGAGGGGGACTAACGTATTCTAGCAATTACAACGAGAGATCTAGAGTTACTCAATTGCAAATTTCCGTCCATTATGGACCTTGCGTTGAAATTTGAACAAGCTTCATGTGAATATTTTTACATAAATTGTCCCCCCTCCCCCTGCTGTAACCATTGTCAAGCAGCGGTTAATCAAAGCAGCCTTGACATTGGAGTCCCTTGATCACATTTTTTTTTCAAGCGCAGCGAAGGTCAAGTGAGATCCGGATCCCTGCATCTGATCATGAGCTTCCCGAAAACTTTCAATTTCATCGATACATCGCATGCATGCATATAATACAATACACAAAAAAAAAAAAAAAAAGGACGGACGGACGGAGCAGCAAGGCAAATACTTGAAAAGAAGCACGCACACGCACAAACTAGGTATGGATAATGGATGTCGTACATCAAGCGAGGGGATCGGACACGTGTGCAAGGGTCGTTGCGCGGTGGGTAAAAAGGTCAGGACTATTACTTGGGCAACGGGTTTGCGTCGGGGGGGTGAGATGGGGGGTTTGGTCGCGGGGGGTTATCGAAATCGAAATCGCTCGCAGGGCTTGACTGGGGTGTGTGTGGGGAATAGTCGCTTGGTGTGGGGAATGGGTCGTTCGGTGTGTGTGTGTGTGTGGGGAATGTCGGTTTGATGTGGGGAATACAAGTACACGGGATTTCAATCATGCAATTCGCCATTCGTTAACAAAACAGACAAACAAAAAAAAACGAAAACGAAAGACGAAACCGAAAATGTGTTGGACATGGGGATGGGATACGTATACGATGCGCTTGGGAGGTATGTATGTATATGGAGCATGGGAGATAATTAAGAATGCAGCGTCGATTCGACTCGGATAGCTAAAACAGTGCGATGCAAAAATGCCAGGTAGAGGTATAGGTATCTAGATCCAAAAACCGAGAAAAAAGAAAAAGAAAAAGAAAAAACGTACACATTGTCGTCGCGGTGTCGTAGGAGTGTTTAGTGCCAAGAGCAGCGAGGATGTGTCAAGCAAAGTCTCATCCCCTCTCCCCTGGAGGCCGCTGCATGACATCTAGAAACCGCGCCCACTCTGCTTGGCTTAACGATGCTCCCCACATCGACTCTTCCTCCACTGGCGTCGGGTACGCATAGGGGTACGACCCACTGCTCCCTCCTATGCTGCCTTGCACGGGATAGGGGCGTGCATCGGGGTAGGGCCCTTGAACACCATGTTTGGTATCAGACGAGGGTGGATAGGAACGTACGGAATCAGAGTATGGTTGTGTCTGCGATGGCGGTGGTGCGGGGTACGGATTGCCAGATCCCGCCCCTGACCCTGACCCTGATCCAGACCCAGACCCAGACCCAGACGGCGGATACGGATTTCGCGCAGGTGCAGGAGGTGGCGCATCCGGATACGTACTCGTAGTCGTCGAAGCCGTCGAACCAGCAGCAGGCGGCGCCGTCCTCGAAGCACCCTCCCCATACCTCGCACCGTCATATGACCCCCTCACATCACTATACCCCCTATTCTCAGGGTATGGATAAGGCGGGGACGAATTAGGCGGGACGTATCGCGGTTGAGCCGGATGCGTGTGAGGTGGGTAATCTACGCTGCCCCTTCTCGCGCTCGCATTCGGGCTTCCGCCAAAAGCCGCCACGCTATTATTAGGACTCCCAGCTGCGTACCCGCCCCCTGGGCTGCCAAGGTATCCGCTCGGACTGCCGCCCGAGTAGTTGTGTGGGCTATCGCCTGTCCCACCTCGTGATGAACGTGCTTGGTCGTGATATGGGAATGCGAGGGTTTTGACGAGCCCTAGGACGCGTCCTTTGACGGCTTCGCGCTCGCTTGCTTCCATATCTGCGAATCCGATTTCGTAGAGGGGTTGGAGGGCGCCTAGGATATCGAGTGCGCGGTCTGCGACTGCTTGTCCGCGGCTTAATTCGAGAGTGCCGAGCGCTTTCTTGATGTTTGCGCGGAAGAGGCCTGCGCCTGGTTGGTTTGGGTTTGAGATGAGTTGGAAGGAGAAGAACATGGCTGCGCTGAATACGTGGAAGGGGCCCCAGGACATGTGGCCTGGTACTGCTAGGCTGGCGTTTGCGAGAAAGTCTGGGCGGGCGTGATCGACGAGGGTGATGAGTTTGTCGGCGCTGCCTACTGCTATATCGAGGCTGTTTGCTTGGCGTTCGGATTTGGCGGTGTCTTTTGGTTCTTTGTCGGCCTTGTCGTGTTTGTCTTTGTCGCGGGGGAAGAGGGAGGGTGAGATGGATGCGGAGGCGTATGGTCTGTGGAGGGTGAAGCGGATGTGGTAGTAGCTTGTTCGGATGATGACGCTTTGTACGCCTAGTCTTCTCGTGACGGTGTCTGGGCTTGCGAGGGCGCGTGCGATTCTGAATTCGTCCAGATCGAGCTCCTGGGGCAAGCTGTCCATCCAATTGGCGAGAGCTTTATCGTGTGCCATGATTGTTTCGTATGGGACGGCGCGCAGAGAGACAGCGGTGTCCATGATGTCGCCTAGAATGTAAGCGAGGCGGAAGAGTGCGAGATTTGGTGCGTAGACGCGTGGTTGTGGTGGGTTTGTGGGAGTGATTGGGGAGATGGAGGGAAATTGGGTGTCAAAGTTGTGGGAAGCTACGGCAAGGGGACGACCAAACATGAAGGCTTGCCATCTGGGGAGAATTAGGGATGTAGGTGAGAGAGATGATGGACGTACCGTTCGAGTAGTATGATGTGCCACCATGCCCAACGCTTTCTCTCTGCGAGTTCCTTGTTCATTCTCCACCTGGTTGGGTCGCGGTGTAGTCCCATTGCGAGGCCCATGCTGACTAATTCTCCGCGAACTGCCCAAATTTCCTCGCTATCTGTTTTGCTGAGGGTGAGGTAATGACAGCGAATGAGGAGACACTCGACGAGTTCGAGGGTGTATGTTCTGCACTCTGCACGATGTCGATCGAGTGCTGTGCGCATGACGCCGTAGAAGCGACCGCCGAGTTCCTCGTGGTTATCTGCGAGGTGTGCGATGAGGGGGTCGCGATTTGGCAAGTAATGGACTGCGATGGCCATGATCATGCAGACAGTCGCGAGGACGACTCTATCTGGAGAGGAGCCACTCTTGAAACGAGACCATGCGGAGGTGAATGCTGGTTGGTTTACATGGCGGTATATCCAATTGCAGTATTCGAAATAGTAGATGATGAGAGCGTCGATTGTTTCGAGTGCTGGGAGAACTTCGAGGAGATCTCTGTCGTATTCGTGAGTTGAAGCAGCGATTTCGTCTGTGACGAGACCTTCTTGTGAGGGATGTCTGTCCATTGTGTCGTCTGAGGATCTCGATTCGTTCTGGGATGTGTGAGGAAGAGAAATGGAGTGGGGGGAGGAGAACTGACCATTGTGAGGTGAGTGACGACTGAGGTAGTACCAGCGTAGAAACCTCCATGTCCCTGGGAGCCGAGCATACCGGGTGCATTGTCTGGGTCGACCGAGTCAGAATCTTGAGGCTCTTTCTTGAGTGGACTTGGTGGACCTGAAGGGGTTGGGTCTAGTGGACGTTTGAAAGGGAGATTTCTGTGGTTTGCGATGATGAAAGTTTCGAGTAGTGATACGCTGTGTTTTAGACGAGTTATTTCTTGCATTGGATCTACTCTTGAAGCGTTTCTGGTAATGAATGAGTATGCGTTCAAGTGGAATTTCTATTTCGTACTGGTCATCTGAACGCAAATTCAAGTCAGATTCATGACCACGAGCATCCTGGTAGCATAATGCGATAGTGCCTATATGATATTTAGTTAGAAATAAAAAAACTGTGAGGTTGATTGACCTCTTAAAACACAACTTGAGCATGGTCGATTTCTGTGGGCGTTCTTAGAAGGTTGTTGTTGACGTTAGAGTGCGCTCACCTATCACACTTGAGTTTTGAATTTCTACATGGCTCACAATTGATAGCTTTTCTCGCTCTCTTTGTTGGTGGTCTTGGGTCGTGCTCGTTTGGTGGTGGACTCGTTCTTGACCTAACGTTTGTTGATCTTGGTAGTGTCTTTGAACGTTGTTGGTCGTCGGCCATGACGCCTAGAGAAGGGAGGAATTGAAATCAGAAATTGAACCGTATTGAACCGTTTTCACTCGGGTTTTACGCTCATGTGCAATCTAACCCTAATCCGCCCCCACATGCGAGGTACTCGACTGCCATAATCGATCATATTTCCTAATTTGGTTTCTCTTTCACTTGATTAGGATTCAATCTTACCAAATTAAACACTCCGCCGGCCCCCTTACTTTGCTTCCGCCGTCACTTTCCATTTTAGTTCCGACTAGTACGCTCTGATCCACCTATTTCTAAATTAAGTAATACGCAATGCTCCTTGTGCATTATTTGACCCTGCAGGGAATCCCAATTTACTTTTTAAAGAATACTCCTATCTCCGCCGTATACATCTAGATTCAACACAGACGCCGTCTACCACCTCCAAACCCCCCCCTCGACTTTCCCCGCATCCCCACAGCATCCACCTTCTCCTCCTCCCTGCTCGACGTGATCCTCAACCTGCCGCCGGGAGTCCTCACACATGCTCGGATCTCATCCAAGTCCATGTAAATCATGCGTATAAAGGGACCGTGGATCTACGCTTTTTCAACCGTCCACGATCTGCACTTGTGCAATGTCCAAGTAGGATTTACATTCTTGTCGCAGTGCAATGTAAGATCTGCAACAGCAATCTGCGTCAATTCCATACTGCAGCGTCACTTTCGCTCAGCCATGTCGACCATTGGGACATTCTAGTTCCAAGATTCTTCTCGTGCTCCGCCACCCTCCTTGCTGTGCGCACGCTGCTACGGCCCCGTGGCTCGTTCTTGACTTCTCTCCGGCTACATGTGCCGGTACTCTCGACCGTATCCAATCGTTGCGCCGACTGCAGAACCAGAATTCTCGAGTCGCGACGCGCGTCGAATTCGACGGCCTTTTGTTTATTCCCCTCTTGGCTTCCGCGGAACGCATCTCCTCCACACTGAGGTGTGTTTACATCCTGCATCAGAATTCCAACTCATCTGTGGCGGCAAAGCTGCCACTTATCCCTATCGCATCGCACGACCCATTAAAGTTCCACTATCTCTACCTACGTGCACCGAAAGAACCGGATGCCACCTCGCTTTGTCACGCTGTTCATTACATTCTTTACCATTGGCGACCGCTACATGCCGCCGGGTATTGCAAAAAAAAAAGCCTTATCTTCACCAGTGCTTCTATCAACGTGCATTGGTTATTGTTGTTCTGCTTCTTGACGCTGCGGCGCTTCCTGCTTACTGTTTACCCGCCATACAAATTGTCTGCTCGTTCTTGTTCTTATACTGCGATCACAGTACTGCGCAAAGTATCGCTATTGGACCCTGCTGCTAAACTCTTCACATTCATATCGCTTGGATAGTGACAGCGGGCTCCGCCGACATTTGCCTTCCGTCGTCTGCTAATAGCTAGCCTATCTTGACACTGACAGTTGTATGATATCTCCGATAAGTACCGTTGATAAAACGAGTATCGGCAACGCACCCCTGGCTCTTCTTCGTTTTGCAGCGAGCGCCCATTTCACCCACTATGATTTGCTACAGGCCTTTCGCTCGCATTTCATCAAGCCTTTGGACCCACTTGGACCCTCCACCAGAACAGATCGGGATCAGATATGTCCATCCACTAGTACTAGAACGTGCGATCAGCGGTCCTAATCTGAGGGAAGATACTAGAGATCGCAGCGCCACTGGCAGTCGAACGTTCCACCATTTGTCATGGATTTCGGACGCTATCCCTGTCATGTTATGTCGTTGTGGCCTTCAATTTGCCCTTCTTTGGATGGCTGTACTAGTCATGTGCATGGGCCGGCGTATCCCGGGGGTGGATTGGCTTCAAGGGACCTGGATAAGCTCAGCAAGAATGCTACTCGGACCCGATTTCTTATCTCGCTGACGGCGTACTGGCAGCGGGGGACCAGACACGCACGCCGCTGGGAGTCTGCAGCCGAAGGATGGGCCGACCTGATATGTTAGTAACACGCCCCATCTCCCCTCTCGGAAACTGTTGTGTTCTATCGTGGAATTCTGTTAAGGTTAAACGATACTGGCAAGTTGCACGATCAATGGGTGCGATATACGCACGCCGCAGCAGTTCTACGCAGCCCAGGGGTGGATGTACCCACACATGAACCGTGGTGGTGTGTGTTTTTCTACTGTGGGAGTTTTTTCCTTGATAAAGGTTAATCTGATTTTCCTTTTTGGATGGATTGACGTTAGTGGGGGATGCTGTAATCGATGGATTGTGCGTTGGTTTCTTTGTTTCTACTTTGATGAGCTCATGGGAGGTGCTAGGTGCTGGATTACCTGCGGCGGCCTCTGTCACGACTCATCGACGGGTTGGGGAATTGGCTTCAGCCCCATCGTTACGCCGCGCGGGATGGTGGGACGGGATCTAGTATCTACAATCCAGTCCTTGCCCGATCGATGTTTGGGATGGACGTCACAGTCGATCGTGTTGATACCCGTCCGTTCACGGATTCACCGTCAGGTCCAATAGCTGGCTGGATCTTGTTAGATGATGGACGGATGTTGCGATTGCGCTGTTGGTGAGTGGTCCTTTGTCGAGCGTGTGTCGATGGATGAACTCATGGAAGCTACCGAGGTACTATGATAGATGACTAGTGCAGATACACTTGTACCACGAGCCATTGACAAATTGGAGAGATGAGATTCATAGGTTCTGTTCCCGTGTGTTGCAAACCCTCGGTGTGGGACACAGTGGAACAGGGGCTAGGACTCTACAGTCTAGTCTTTGGCCCGATCGATGTTTAGGGAGACTCTTTGATTGATCATGTGGACATCTGTCCGTTCAGGTCAGGTTCGATGGATAGGTTTCGTTTGACGATTAACGTCTGTTTTGGAGTCTAGGATGCTGTAATTGATGAGCGTTGCCTTTGTGGGTAGTTTCTTTTTTGTGCGTATGTCTATGAATTCATGGAAGCTACAGAGTTGCGATCGGTGCAGATGGCTTTTATCGCGAGTCATTCAATAAATCGGAGAGTTGGAGTCTTAGGTTCTGTTCTTGTGTATTGCAAACCCTCTTGTTTTGAACACACAATTGAACAGGGCTTAGGACTCTATAATCTAGTCCTGAGAGATTGTCGTTGTGGTGAGCTTGGAGTACGAGTTTCTGAATTTCTTAGCTTGGTTGGATTTAGGGATAAGCCTGAATCACAGAGCTTTCATCGCATTGGATCGTAAACCCAATCGCACGGGAGGGGGTGAGACGGTAATTGTGCGTACGTCTCCACAATTCAATCTTTGATCTCTGGTCAAAGTTTAGGGTGGAGTCGGCAGTTGATCGTGTTGACGTCTGTCCGTTCATCAGATCACCACAAGGTTGGTGGATGTCAGATGGGTTGAGCGGACGCCGCGCCGTGCCACTCGAAAATATTTATCAAAGTCTAATTTCAGATCTAAAAGACAGGAACTGTATCGCGATGCCAATTTTGACTCGACGACCGATTGCACTCCTGGCATCGATCGAAAGATAGCTTGGAGTGAATCGGTCACAAGTGCATTGGATCGATTGCTGGGACAAGTATACGTGCATAGGAACAGTTGTCTTCCCCTCTAGCATATAAGCTGACTACTAGAGACTAACGTCATCATATTTCATGCTGACCACTCCAGGACACGCCACGACAGGTCAACTGACAGGTGTTTTACAAATGCAAGTAGTATGGGCATCTCGGATCCGTCTCGGATGCTTTGTTTGGGTTTCAGGGTTGATAGAGTGTGGTGAACGAGAGCAGCGATCAAGCCGGGTAGAGAAGAGGACTCCACGTCAATATGCTTGTACCCCTGACAGCCACCCGAGGTACAAAGGGCAGCGCCTAGTAAGCGAGAGGGGATCCCGGCTATGTCAACGGTACTTGGGCAGGCGCCTTCGCCGAAGGTATTAGGTATTCTGCTGTTTGGTAATTAAAAAGATGAGACGGCGACTAAAGCTAATTTGTACGACAGAAAGAGGATCTATCATCGTCATAGCACTATTGAGCAAGTTGCCATCCACGAATCACGGCAAGACGGCGCGAACGAGTTGTTGAAATGAAGATCTGGATTCTGAGGTTAGGGCTAGGAGCGATATTGATGATTATCGTGCGTGCGCAGCCAATGGACTGAGTGCACGGTTTGTGAGGGCAAATTCGGCGTGGGAGCCAGCGTTTTCGTTCGACGGATTTACTGCTTGGGGTTAAGTGCTCAGGAGAACGGTAACTGAGCCGTAGTGACGACGGTACCTATGATTACAACCGGGCTCCCTCAAGTTGAACGGGCCACTCCAGCGAGGGCGTGGTTACGACACTTCAAACTGCGATCATAGAAATCAGCTCTGGACTTTCTGATAGTGGTTATGGTCATCTTCAGCATCACTGGGCATACGTCAAAACGCGTAAAGGTTAGACAGCGACCAGGATTGTCCGACAAGTTGGTTATGTTGCCATGAGAGAGAAAGCCGATGAAAGGTATGCAGCATATGCAGCATATGCAATATGTCACATGTGCCCTAGCTCTCGCTGTGAGCGCAGTCCGTTGGGCACGGCGAACTAATTTGAGCACCACCACCGCCTGACTAACGGCGCTACTGGGGATTAAATGCCAGCAACTCCACAAACCTCCATTGTTTAATGAGAATCCTAGATTTAAACCTGACAACGGACATGTGGCTCCGTCTATCTTGGAGAGCCCTAGAATATCAAAAGGGCGTGCAAGCGCCTTATTAAGATCATCGGCGTTGATCGACGATGAGTCCTGCGGTGGCACGATGCGCAGATGACGGCTGAGGAGTGCGTGACATTAAAACAACTGATAGAACTTACAAAAGTAAGTTTGACGTCGAGCAGACGGTTCCAACATGAGGCCTGAGGAGTGACGGAGGAACACAAGCATGACAGAGTATGAGGACAGCGGACCGGTGGGATGACGGAGTGCGAGTAGACATATTAATGTAACTGGTGTCAGACCTCCTTTATCGACACTGTGCCTTGGACTGCAGACAAAATGGCAAAAAAGAACAAACGCAAATCCTCTCTGTTCTCAAGCATGAGACACAGGAACCCATTT